GGAAGATTATCGAAATATAAAAAGAAAAGGAGGGATATCGAGGGAGGAAGACTATCGAGGAGTCTCTTATATTATAATATAAGATCGACTTTCCTACTAGCCTAGTTTACTAAGGAAGTCTCTAGCATACCCGGTATGCTAAGGAAGTCTCTGGCATACCCGGTATGCTAAGGAAGTCTCTAGTATACCCGGTATGCTAAGGAAGTCTCTGGCATACCCGGTATACTAAGGAACTCCCTTGTCGTCCGAAATTAATATATTGCGTCGATATTGAATATCAATCAGACAAGGTTACAAAAGAGTTTAACGGATAGCTAAGCCTTCCTAAAGGCCATTAGAGTCGATAAAAGATCGAAAAACGGGGAGATTTTTCTATTCCCTAAGCCGAGTTATACGGGTAGAAGGCGGATTACCCTGTCTTCTTTATGCTCGATCTCTCGCTCGTGGGTTACGTGTGTCTATGGGTTGGCGGGTCTTATCTCTTTTCTTTACCGTCTCTACGGGTTCGGGGGTTGTACTCTTTACCACTTGACCTTGGTTACCGGTATAGCGAGTTCCGTCGTTGTTTGAACGTTACGTCGATATTTCGACCCCTTACCGTACGGGTTATCTTAACGCTAAATTCCTCGTTATTGACCTTATATACTAAACCGATATATCGTTCGAATACTCTTAATGAGCCCTATCTAATGGTGCTAATATCGCAAAGTTATTCCGAATATTTCTTCTAACCTTAACGGGTTTTGTCCTACTAGATTGATCTCTGCGCCTCTTCTTGCTTATGTGCTGGTGGCCTTGCTATGTCGCGACCTCAAAAATTACGGCCTGAAGTGAACATAGAACCGGTTTTCATGCGCTGTATTCCCTAGCAAAAACCCTAACCACCCACACCCACAAGCACATATCATATGGATTCACCAGCCGCCCGTCTAATCGACCGCGCCATCCCCTTGGGTATACTGTAAATGGAGAATGACTCGCGTCCACGGTTTCTACCTTCATGTCCGCTCCAGCCTTCTGTACACTCTCCACCATGCCCCTTTGCGCGTGGACCGGGATGGCCTCGTCTCTCTCACACAGCAAGTACGTGCTTGGGACATATTTCCAAGCCGGGTACGTGACCTTGTGGACGCAAATGTCCTGCAAGAGTGCGGCCCCAGCATGTCTATATACTACCGCGGCTCCTCGACGTCGTTGTAGAACGTCTCGATCGGCGTCGCGGGATCGACGATGGTTTCGTCCTCGTTGATCACGAACTAAGGCAACGGTATGTCGTTGAGCGTGTTCATCAGCGAAACCCCCTCCGGTAGGGCAAACGCGCAGCAGAATTAGATGTGCGACACGCCTCCCTGTTTGCCTTGCTTCTGGCGCTCGGCTTTGCTGTACCCTTGCACGGCTTCGTTGCCAGGGACGCCGCCGTACGAATGCACCACGAGCACGATGTCCTTGCCGTCACGGACGCCCCATTCCAACGCCTGCCGGATCTTGGCCACGCGGGGGCGGAAGCCTTCGACCTGTCCGGGGCTTGTTACAGAAGGGAGCGTCACGCCTTCGTCTCGTATCCCGCAGCTTGGAGCTCATCGATCATAAGGTGAAAGCATTCCGGTCTGTGCCACAAACACGACTGGTTTGGACGACATTTTTCCCCCTAGCAAGATTGTCATACAAGGATGAACGAAAAACCAGGAGATGTCTTTGCCTTGTTCAGAAGATGTGACAACTACTGTGTAGACCTATTCATGTGTGTGGAGCCCCCGAATCTCTTTCACATCAAAGGACTCAAATGCCATATGTCACTCATCCTGGTATGTAGCTTATCCGGCCATTGGACCGAGGTTTTCGATCGCGATGGTCAGCTTACTGTTCGTGAGGCTTTGCCTTTCCCCGCGTTCCCAAACATCAGGGTTCTCGAGTCAGATGAGTATGATTGGATAGTTCCAAACGAGAGTATTCCCCCGCGTATCTGGCTCTGGCACTAGGATTTCCATTGCAGGGGAAGAATAAGACCACCTTGTTCTCGGTACTCGACCTGGGGTACGGAGACTGTCTCGGCAGTAAGACGTTGAAGAGAATGTCGTCGTTAGATAAGCGCTAATCGCATCGTTGGTCCCACTGCCACGACCTTCACCTATTGGATTTGAGGATCTGAGGGGAACTCCATATTCCCACTTGATTGCAGCCAAAACTGTGCATGGACCGCCGCTCGGTGACGGGTTGCTATGCTTTCATCATCCCCATAGGATTAATGAACCATGCTATCCAAATATCCAATGGCCATCGCCCTGGGCAGGAGTAGACGGCCAGGTGCAGTGCGGTTGGTTGAGTATGCGATCAAGGTAGTAGTTCAATCAGCAGACTGTGAAATAGTCAAGAGCCATCGGCTTCGCAGTATCAAAGTAGCTGATGGCAGTAGCAGGCTCAAAGCTCAATAGCTGCTTATCGGTTGACGCGGGTTGCGGCGCGTGGCGCGTTTCCGCGTGACGGCTGCCTGCGCCAGCCAAATCTCAAGTACAACTTTCACTGATCCACCATTCTTCTGATAACCATACAACAAAAATGCCACGAATGTCGCCGTCAGATTCGACGTCTTCTGAGACGAGCCTACCGAACGATGTCAAAGTTGCTCTCGAAGGTGCAATACCTGCTCTCTCTCGAGAGTACGGAGACAACTTTCGACACGATGGCGTTCTCCGCGACATCAGTCGACAAGAACTTCGCGAGGATACGCGCATCAATCCAAGCGACGAGCCACGAGCCGTGATCTCAATGGCACGAGATGCGGCGAATGCTGTTGCGAATGCGCGCAATGAGGCCACCTCTTTCCGCGAAAAGATCCAAAGAACAGAACAAGACCTAGAGCGACTCCAGATTTCTCAAAATCTTGGAGATCTCACGAACAAAACCGAGCGGAAAGAACGTCTGGTAAACAAAATCACAGATCTCTTGCAAAAGAATCCCGAAATTGTCCCAGACATCGCTCAACACGATCTCGGTGCGCCTGCGCGGGACGCCCTAGCTGCTGCAAAAGAACAAATCGATGCTCTACACAACGAAAACTCCGCGCTACGGCAAAGATTGGCAGATATCGAGACGGACTACCAGATCCTCCGAAATCAGCCCTACGGACGCACCCAAGAACTTGACGAACAGTCCGTGTCAACAAGTCTAGGCATCACCAGGACAGTCATCCAGTCTTTATTCCTCGTTCCCTGCGACTTGGAAGCTACAATCGACTGGGATGGACTGGACACTGCCTGCGATCCTGCTCTCAGACTTGCTCGACATTGGGCAGACGACCAAATCCAGCCAAACGCACATCTCTGGCTTTCCCGACTGCCGAGACTTGTGCGGGTCGACAACTCACCTCGATCAGCTCAAGAGGTTGCAGTTCGGCTTTTTGTACAAGCCTTTATGACTCGAACTACAGTCTCTCTTGTCGACATCACTACATTGGCTGGAAAGATGCGCGGTCTCGAACCGCAAGAACTAAAACTGCCGCTGGCATTTCTGCACTTCTTCCTGACCCATAAGTCAGATGAGGCCCTGCTCGAAGACGCCCAATTCTCCGAAGCCCGGGCGCTGATTCTGCTCCGAGGCATCGAACTCTTCATTGACCACATCAGTGGTATCTTGGAGTTGCAGAAGATCGCCCAAACCTTTGCGGAGATCAAGGCATACCTTCGAGAGGCTTGCAAGCGCAGTTTTATCGTCAATGGTCTGACACTTTATCTCGACGCCTTCTTCAGCGGGCGCAAGCCAGAACCATTGACGAACAAGATCATCACCAGTGCTGGGGAGAACACGATCACGACTGACAATCGGCTCATGTCCATGGATGGCGACAACGTCATCACCTGTGCCGACGGCTCCGTCACTATCTACCGACCTTAGGAGGTTCGGCTAGAGGTTGACGATAGCTGCATGGGATGGATTCTCATCATCGAGACAGATGAGCAGCCTCCATGGACATCGAGTGTAATCGCTCTTACTGGTGCAAATCACCTTGCACTGAGACGAACATTTCCCAAACTCCTCGAGAGACTCAATGATGACAACCCTCCTATTGAGCCGCAGGAGGAGGTCTTCCGAGATGTCTGAGTACATGGGAACAAGAACCTCTTGACGATAGTCGAGACACGAACAAGAACACACGAGCTCCTCAGCTGTAAGCTGGGACAAGATCAAGCACAAGACCATGCAAAATGAAACAGGACTTGGGACCTGTGAGAGAACCGCAGTACCGCAGGAGTGAGAGGAAAGCCCAGGGCTGTGATACTAGGGCAAACCACGCAATAGTATGGCTAGTGTTTGGTAGGGACTATTTATTCGAAACCGTAGGCTTTGGAGTCATACTGACTGAAACCTTAGGTGTATACTCGCTTTTGGTCCTCCGCATACGGCTCACCACGAAACGCTCCTATCAGAATTGCTTGACCCTATCATTACGCCGGACATCGACCACCACGCTACCGGAACACGAGCAAGAGATGGAGAACATGCAACAGATTGCCAGCACAAGCAAGAGATGGAGAGCCTGCAGCACATCGTGAACACAAGCAAGAGATGCCGATTTTGAACGTTGCTAGCAAGCTCGAGAGTTGGCACGCGTGGCAGCCGCAAGCAGGGAATGGAGCGTTTTGAACACATGGCGGAAACCATCGAAGATAGTTGATCAACCTGTGATGCCTGTGGCAGGGTGGTTCCTGCAGCTACGACGTGTCTACCTGCCAGCGAAATCGGCAATGGGATTCAGGATGGGGGCACAGCGTGCGAGTGTGGCTCTGATCGAAGATTCATGAGATGGAGATCACAGATCCTGCGCAGACCGAAATTCGGCACACGCGGAATGGAACGGCAATGTGGTGTATCTGAGACAATTAAGCCGACAAGGGATGGAGGTTTTGCAAGGGGAACGGATGTCAGGACGGAACTACAAATTGATACTTGCTGCAGAACCTCGATAGCATTTGATTTGCTACGCATTTCCGCAAGCAGCTGCAGGCTGGATCAACGAACTCAAATAATCAAGTCGGTCTCTTCCATCCCAATGGGTCGTCTTTCATTGGTGAGACTAGTCCTCTTGGCCTTTTCAGAGTGCTGCTGATAACCGCCATACTACAACACTTACAGCCATTAGAAACTCCAAACCACTATCTGAGAACTGCGGTAAGATAACTCCCCATGATCGGCCACGCGGTGCTCCAAGTCTCCCTCTGCACGATACCGCCCCCGTTCCTCATTGTACCTTTCACAACCATGGTGGCGCAGCTGCTCCGATCAACCGCTTGCATGGACTGGTAGGATTTCCCATGGGAAGGTGAGATATCCACTACCAGCGCCATACAGTTCCTGATTCGAAAACCGCGGAGAGCCCACTGTCAATCCTCTGCACCACGCGCTGCACCAGCGGCTGCGTCATCCGTTGACAGGAAGAAGAAAGCGTGCCGGGCTGACCGCGACGAATGTGTGCTTCAACATAGGGAGTCCGAGGCTATTGTGCCTCTGCAGCGGTGTTTAGGGCAAACGTACAAGCACGAGGTGTGATAGCAACTGCGATCGTGTAAAGTGTCTCCAGTGCAGTTGCACCTGTATCAAGGCTGGGGAGAAGGACTGCTTTTATCGTGAGTCCCTTTATAGGTTGAACTAGGACAGGCAGCTTCGCCGGGGTTAGGACTGTTATCCTCCCTTGCTTCATCGGTTCTGTTGACCACAAACGTGGACAACAGCCTTCGATCCTATGGAATTCTGACCTTTCTGCCTAAAAGATATGCTCAGCAGCACTGTGGAGTCTACTATGTGAAGCACCAGCATCGATGCCCACGGGATCAAACACGGCAAAGGTATATTATACTCGGAAGCAAATTAATGACATCCAGTGCTATTCCAAGCAACCTCTTGTGGGCACCGGAAATCGCGCTGGACGCACTTCGACGACATCCTCGCCGAGATCTTGGAGATCCAAAGCTCAGGAGGAAGGTTCGACATTAGGAAGCGAGGCTGCTATTTCCGGTTGGCCCACGTTTTCTAGCACTCTAGATGCTCTCACGTCATCACACAAGCCCTACAAACCTATCGTTTTGTCCAATATTGACAAATATGCAGGGTCAGCCACCTCATCATCACCGGTAAGTAAGCTCGGCGTGTAATTGCTTTAGCCGGCATCGGAATTCCATAAATATATCTACTGCGATATTGTCCTCCTGGTTTACATAGATGGTGATGGGGACAAGCTGTCCTTGGAAGGTCTCCAAGGGTGTAAGAAACACTGTAGGACCTTGCTTCGGTAGGAAGAACCTTGCCTACACGAAGAATGCTCAGTCTATCTGGACCACGAAGTGGCTGGGAACTGTGGATACTCCAATGGATGTTAGCAACGGTCTGTCAGCCTTTATAAGCGCATCTACCATGTGCTTTGGATCACATCAATCACTTTGATTTTGAGAGTTCGGCCGGAAATAAACAGCACCAGTTTCGAGCCCACGAATTCGCTGAAGGTTGCGTGCAGATTCTGACCAAGCATGTCTCTATCCTGCTGCAGCTCTAGGTAAAGACAGGACTATCAGAAGACTTTAGTACTGCCTAAAAGACAAGTCCTAGCTGTTACTATTGAGGCTAACGACGCGGATACAGCGGCACGCAGATATGGTTTTCTACCATCGCATTTGGGATATTGTGTTTTGCAATCGGGACTTACTAACGCCACTTCCCAAGATACGCTACAACGCGTGCGAAGATGGCATTTGCCTATAACATTGCATATCGATATGCTAGAGCGCGATCGCGAGAGGGCGAGTGTACTGGATGTGTATGTTTCATGGCGTAAGCCTGGGAACGTGCGAGAGAAACGTCCCATTCTCGCAGAGTTCTAGTGCTGACGTCGAGGTTGAGCGATCATGCCAGGATTGTCAGGCTATGCAGGACTGGTTTGGCCCCCCCCTTCTATGTACTCCTTGAAGGCCAATCAATATCCTTACACGGCACTTACTTGACTTGTTCCAAAGAAGATGAAACCACAGACACATAATATCGTGGTACCGATCAGCTAGCATTCGGAAGCGCGAAGTCGGTATCCCTGAGCACTTCCCCAGCCGTACAGGTTCTTGAAAGGCGAAACAGCCTCCTGGCCGGCGTCGGGCCGGCTCTAGTGGATATAAGGGAAATTGATTTCGAAATTCAATCGAGACAAGAGCAGAACGGGCTGTCTTAGCATTGCAGTAACTCCTAGAGTGATATCGCCGTCTAGCTCGGATCGGGCAAGAGCTCAAAGTCATTACAGAACAGAAGCAAACGGACGAGCATATTCTCACCTTAGCAGCTTCGTCTGGGGAGGAAAACCGCCACCTTGCTTGCTTGAAGTGTATGCTCTGCTGGTGTTTAGGCAAGTTTACTCGGGTAATGTCTCACCGTGTAACAACCGGTGGAGACATATATCCTCCCTCGCCACCTGTTTTGTGTAGGAGTTTGTCATCCAGAGCCGGCAAAATCCTAGGGTCTCGGTGCAGAGGTGGTCAGTTCATTTTTCCAAGTTGTGGTAGGCAGTCCTCGCGAATCTAGCGATACAACGAGCCCAACAAAGCAAAGAGACAGTCCAAGAAGGCGAGGCAGCACCAGCGTTGATCGTAAGAGTTCATGTAGTTCCGGGCACTAGAGCCTGAGATCCTGGTAAGCTTTTCAGGATTATTATAGTGGCGCCTTTACTGACTGCCTTTGTAAGTCTACTGAATCGAACTCTTGCTGGGAACCTGCGAGGGCAAACTTGTTATCCATACACAGCCTTGCGAAAGAGGACGATATCTAGCACCGGCCAAAGGCCCTTGCTTTATAGTGGGCCAAGTAGATAGAGATGGCACTAGTCCTAGCTAGTAAAGCTCCCATCGAAGGCAGCTACAAAGTTGATGTCGCTCGTCGGCGCCGCATCTCAGATATGGAGTTTCCCCTGCGGCTGCTCAAGGTACCCGACAGGACCATGGCGACCTTGTCCACCCAGCTAAAGTCGCGGGTACTGTCACCAGACCAGTGAAGGCTTCGAAGAGCACGACTGTCCTCTGCATTGTGGAATCTGGTGCGATCAGACAGTCGACAGCTTTGCAAACGAGTCGAAAGCAGCAGAACGTTGTCTGAAAACATGACTTTCGGGCATCTGGCAACCTCCGCATTACCTAGATGAATCGATGCCTTCCGCCTTTGCCAGTTAAACCGGTAACTCAAGAAAACGTAAATCGAACAGACTTGACGATAGAGGCCGAAGCTGCCTCCGGAAATATGTCGAGATCACTAGGCAAGACGCCATCGTTCCAGGTTCCCTCGGCCTCTTTGTGCTACCGCAGAAAATCAAGGACTATCAAAGAAGGTTGAAGAAATCTCTGTTGATTGCTTAAGGGGAGCCTCTGACTGTATAGCTTCTAGGTGGCTGGGATGCCTATGTTTGACAAGGACATGGTACTTGGAATATGATTCAAGTTTCGACACCAGCCGTGATTGAGCTGCGTCCCCAACGGAAACGTTACGGTTCATCCTGTCGCTCCCGCTCAGCATCATTCTGTTGCCTTTCTCCTCGTCTGGTCCTTGTCTTGACTGCGGATAGAGAGCAGCCATATAGTGAAGCCAAATTTTGGCCGACTTGTCATCAGCGACGGTGATGAAATTATGACGTTTATGAGATGGTTGTTGACGACATCCATCTCATCGGAGCTAGATCTGGGCCTACAGAAACTCGTCAAAGAGAATTTGCTTGATATGAGGTAGGAAAGCCTGGCATGCTGGATAGCTTCCTCGTCTTAGAGTACTTTCAAGGCTCTGGGGAGGAGCATATTGGGAAGGCACGCAAGATTCATGCGCTGTTTCTCTGCTCAATTGGATCGAGAATCACGCTGGTTGAGAACATCTGGCCAGAGCGAGGCCTTGCCAACGCACCCTCAGATCTGTTCAAGACATTGTCTGGAAGGATGGTCAGGACTGGCGAAGCGAACCACCTCACGCTCCCCATGACGGCATGGGGGAGCAAGGCATAAAGGAGTGGGACAAGGCCTTGCCGACTTCAACGCGCGAAGGGCGTAGGCAAGGTAACGTACTGAGAGGAACAGAATACCGAGCTCGCCTGTCAGCAGCATATCGCAAGCTATGATGTCTTCTTCGCGCCCTTGCATAAGACATCATTTTAATTGAGGTGTGAATTGTCGTCTTGGGCCCTAGCTCGACCAGTGTATAGGTCTAGCTCATCTTGTAGATAGGCTTCGTCGGATTCCGGACGTCCTGTTTAGGATTCGCAGCCGGGGAGCATACACTCGAGCGCGCGTAAACCTGAATTTGATTGAGATTGGACACTCGGAAAATGGCCGAGCGCGAACGCCGGGAAGCTTTCAGACGGTTCTGGGATGATCGTAAGTGCGTAGTATAATCTGCTGAGTATAAGCGGATGTGGAGGACATTGTGTAGTAGAAAAACACGCGTCGAAGCAGACATGAAAGGTGACAATGCAGTAACTGATTGTTGCGGTACAATGGCACGGTAATGGTATGATTCCTCGAGGAAAGACGGCATGACTTGCCGGCACTGTCGTTCGATTCATTATTCATGCGGTGGATGGTGTTGTCATTGTTCACGAGTGAGCGTGATTGGCCCTACAACATAATAGGACGGGGTGAGAGTGTCTTTGAAAGAATGTGGCGCGATGTCGTCACAAGAGGGAGCTGCTACGAAGGGACACGGGCGTGATGAACAGTAGAGAAACAGGCGCGCGAGAACAGGAAACCATTCATGTGCAGCAATCCAGATTGTCATGATGCTCATCATTCAACACCGCCATAGACATCACAACCACTGATCCCCGGAACCAGACAAGTCTCCAAGCATTGGAAGTGCACATCAATCACCGAGCAACAACAAATCCAGTAGACGCCTCCATCTGCGCGTGAGCCGTGACCTTCACGAATTAGTCAAGACAGTCAAGATTGTGACAAGGGATAGCACTCACCCATATCCAAACATGCATGAAGGAAACACTAGACTGAACCAACTCGTCGTATGCCAATTTGTGACATCATCGCAGGTTGACACGCTCGAAGCTGCGTCACAACATGTCAGTAAGAGAATATGCAGCACAAATCAAGCCACAGTCACCATTTGCAGTAGAAGCTTCAATCAGAGACAGCGGAGTTGAACATGAACCCGAAGCCGTGACACTGGAGTATGGTCGGGCCCTCGGCAAAGTAGCGGCTCCGTCATGGCTCAATCACGCAATATTGTGGCCTGGCAGCTTCATTTGACGTGCAGTGCGTGGAAGTAATCAGGTTGGTGTGTGAGGGATGCGAAGAAGTAGGATGTCTGGATGGCTGGATGTTTTGGCGAGAAGCGACTTTGCAGTGTCTGGAAAGCGTTGTTGGCTGAGCAATGAAAGTTTTGGACAGGCTCTGAGTGACTTGCGACTGATGGACAGTGATTTGCAAGCACAAACAGTGTGGGTTGAAGTCTTCCGAGGTGATGCAAGCATCGATCGCAGCCTAGATGGGTTCCTCCTCTTCCGGTGTGGATTGTGCCCTTTCTTCCAATCTGAACATGTTCCTTCTCTTCCAGTGTGTTATTTCCTTCGGTGATGAGTGATGTTCTGGTAATGCGGATCTCAGAGGAGGGTCAGGAAGTAGGATGATATCGTGAGATGCCTGGAACGATTAGCGATGCCAGCAAATTCCGTGAGCCATCAGGCCGGGAACATACCGAGGTTGTCGTCAGTGACTTCGAAGCCGAGCTGTCGTTCAGTCCAAGAGTTGCGTAGGCTGGTGCATGACAAAGATGGTTTGATCGGGCTGGAGCACGCAGTGGGCGCAGGCAACCATTGCAATGAGACCAGGAGTCCGAGAGCGGAGAAGCCGATGGTCAGTTGAAGCCGGCAAGGAATCCATGAGCAGCAAGGACAATGAATGTTGGAATGGAGATCAGGATAGCTCATAGGTTGTTACAGGACATCCGTGGCGACTGGGCGGAAAACCGTGGACGCATCCGAGAGCAGCGGCAGCAAGCCGTTTTGATTGTGTCGCTAGCGGCTCTTCTGGCATGTCTTCACGGCCAAGTGAAAGAACTCTGATTTGCTGGACTCCGAAGTAACGTTGACAGTGTTGACATTCTCAGTCTGTCCGGTACAGCTCAGTACCCAAGGGCAAGCAGCTGGAAGAGCAAGCATGATGATCGATACAGGCTTGAGAAGGAGTGCCTGTTGAATCCACAAAGGGATGAATATGAGAGTAAAAATTGCAGCATTCCGAGGTTTCTTGGGACTCTGGTGCAGTCAACACCTTTGGCAGAGTAGTTGGAAGAGCTATGTTGGTTGCAACTGGCTCGAGAAAGTATTTTCGTCGAGTCGACAAGAAGAGGTGCCGAAGACTGACAGGTTGAAGCATCCGTATGTTTCTTGATCCTTCCAGTACAGCTCAACACCCAAGTGTGAGCAGCTGGTAGCATCGACGAAAACTGTTGATGAGTTGTGTCGACATAGACTGGCCTCTGGCAGTGGTTTCGAATGAAGGGCGTAGCTTCTAATCTGGTGCAGATGGTTTTGCAGTGATGGCTGTGATGATAGGTGATGGATCAGTCTTCAAGTGAAGCTCAGCACCCGAAGGCGAGCAGCTAGAAGGACTGATGATGATGCCAGAAGCCAGCGAGGAGTCAGACTGTTTGAGGAGGTTGAATTGATCTGACAGCATTGGCATGACCCTTCCAGTGCAGTTCAGCATCCAGGGCGAGCAGCTTGATGAGTCGTTGACAACGGCGAGGTGAATGCTGGAGCCTTCCAGTAAGACTTCAAGAGTGAGATTCGAATCATTCAGCGGTGACATGTTCGTCCAAGTAAAGCTCAGCATCCGGTGCGAGCAGCTAGGAGGAACAACAACAATCGCAACGGACAATGAGATTTGAGCACTCAATGCGAAGCTTTTGGAGAGGTTGTTTTGAATTGATCAGCATTGACATGGCTATTCCAGTGCAGCTCAGCACCCAAGAGCGAGCAGCTAGAAGAACCAATGGCAATGATGCCGGGAACCTTTGCATTGAGGTCAAGATTCGCCGTAAACTTCGTCAAAAGAGGTCTAAGACTATTGTAGATTGCGATGATATTGATGAAGATTGTCGGTGCCAGCTCGAAGGAGTCTCCTAGTGCTGCTCAGAACCCTAGGGCGAGCAGTTAGAAGACTCTGTCGACGGCATTGTGAATGTGGTTGTTTGTGACTTGCATGATCGAGTCGATCGACGTTAAGGCAATTCTCCCAGTGCTGCTCAGCACTCGAAGGAGAGCAGCTGGAAGATTCGGCGGCAACATCGAATGTAGTGGTTGCTGGGTTTCGGTTTCGATACGATTGGTTTCGATACGATTGGTTTCGATACGATTGGTTTCTATACGATTAGTTTCGAGGCGATTCTCCTAGTGCTGCTCAGCCCGAGGGCAAGCAGCTAAGAGATTCGCTAGTGATAGCATTATTGAATGCGGAGTTTCGAAAGGTTGATTTGATGCGTTGTACTAGCTTCTCCAGTGTAACTCAGCACGAGGCGAGCAGCTGAAAAGAAGCAGTGACCACATAAGTGATGGTGGTGATTTCGAAGAACGGTTGAATGTATATTTTATATCTTCCCTAGTGCAACTCAAATCCTATAGGATGAGTAGCTGAAAGGAAGTAGTGCCAACAGAATTGTTGTTTCCAATTGTGGTTGACTAGGTTTCGCGCACGACGGTGACTTCTCTAGTATTACTTAGCACCCGAGGGTAAGCAGCTGAAAAGAAGTAGTGATGACGGTATTGTCGAAGTGGTAAATTGAAAGAGTAATTCGATATATTTTATAAAACTTCTTCAGTATAGCTTAGCACCCGAAGGTAAGTAGCTAAAAAGAAGCGGCGATAATGGCATTATTGAATAAGATTATGTTATAGTGTAATAGTGATTCGATGGGTTGAATAAGATATAATACTGTTCTCACTTTCAGTGCACACCATCTCAATCTACACACGACGAATCATTTAATTCATGTCAGACGTTCTCACACAGTCAGGCATACAAGACCTTCTCAAACGCATTAGAGACCTCGGTCCTATATGCGAAGAACACCTCAGAAGAGGACTTTATGACTCAACCACTTTCGAGTGGAAAGAACAAGGCATCCTAGGATTGCCCAAGAACGCTGAACAGATTATTCCTCCGTGGCACCCATCCAGCCCATACCTTACCGATCGTCGAAGCGCTATGGCGTGGTTCTATCGCGAATTCGGCGTGATCGGGTTCTGGTACTGGGTGGGGCAGATTGCTCGTCAAGAGATAGCTGCGGAGGAAGAGGCAAGTGAAGTCAGCAAGCATGACTCGAGCTGGGACAAGATCCTGAAGGATCACGAACTCGATGCTGACTCAAGGATGCTGTACTACCTCTCTGCTATACCGCCAGAGGTACTACAAGCAGTCATCGGCAGCGATCAATCACACCAAGGCTAATATACTGCTTTGCAAGAACATTGACTCCCAGTACTGGTGCACTGGTTGCAACAAGTACGACTACCAACAGGGTAGGGCGCGGTACCTGGACAACGCCAATCAAGAGGAGAGCATTCGGCTATGGCTATACGTACTGGATGATAAAATCCTTAACGATGCCAGACGCCGATCTCTGGCGGATCCGAACTATCCTTTGCTCCATGTCCCTCTCCGCCGCACGTTCCCGTACGCTGGTCTCAGTATCAACGTCGCTTCAAGGGCCACTGCTCACCACGGACACACTGGAAGTGAGTGTATTGTGTACGGACTCTTCACAGCAGTTGTCAGGTGGAAGTACGGCCGTCAATTTGACGTGATCCACTTCACGTACCAAATCCTCAAGAACGTACGTCCGGACGATATTGGGCTGTTGGAGATCCTCGGCTCAATCATCGCATCCGCGTATACCTGGGATACCGGTCTTTCTGCCAACTTTGCTGGCCTTCAAAGAGGAAATAAGGCATCAGACCCTCCCCCTACGTACTATCAAGATCTCCGCACAAACGCTCTCGAATTCCGTGATTCTGGCATTCAAAACCAACAGATCACCGAATCAATCCGGAAGATCGAGGAGTGGAAGCAATTCACACCACTAATGCAACAGATGCGTGCGGAAAGACCTGACTACAGAAGCTTAGTCAACGAGAACGAAGCCAAGATGCAGCAGCTTGTTCAGCAGGCTGAAGCTCTCGAGCTCAACTTGCAATTGACTGAGCTCGACGAACTAGCGAAGGAGTATGAGGCTGAGAAAAGAGCCAAGTAAGATCCTGCCACTTGTAGCCAAGACCAATCTCAAATATAAGCTATATTTAATTTGTTGATCTATTCTGTGGCTGCTAGAATTGTCCACAGTCCACTAAGCCGCGGCCGCACGCAGCGCCTCGCGACGCGACACCGACTTCGGGTCAAAGTAGGGCTTCTCTCCCAAGGACACAACACGATTCCCCTGTCTCTTGCCAAAGTAATCATTGGTCGCTGTGTGGAAGACGGATCGATTATCCCAAATTGCCAAATCGTTCTCGTTCCAGCGAAAACGAACCTGCAAGTCATGATTATCGGTGATGAGTTGCAGGAAATAGGCCTTCAAGATCTCGCTCTCCCGCGGGCTGACGTTATCGATCCAGCCGTGGTGAACCTGATGGCCAGCGCCGAAGAGACTCTTCCAGCCGGTGACAGGATTGGTACGGACGACGGGACTAGGAGTAAAAGTCAGCGACTGATTAATTGTGGAGATTTGATCTTTCCATGGGCATTTTCCTTCCGGCTCAGAACAGAACAAGAACGTTAAAGAAGGGTAATACTTACTGAGACGCAGTGAAGTCAATGCCATTATTCTCGGGCGCGCCGCGATCTTGCTCGATGAGTTCCTCGCCGAACTCCTTAGCCACCTTAACGAAGTTGGGCTGGTAGTGCGTGGCTGTCAGTCTCTCCGCTAGCTGCTGGAAGTCAGGCGAGAGCCGGTCATAGAGCTCGTAGCCTGAAGCCCATAGCGTGTCGCCGCCGGCGTCTTCAGGTTTCGTGATAATTTTGAGGATAGCGTAGTCGGAGGGGATGCGCTCGAATGTAATACTAGGACGTATCGTTAGTACTTTAGTAGGTGTAAGGAGCTTCGAAAGCACTTACTCGGCGTGCCAGCCTTCGCTAGCTAGTCTTTTCGTGTCGGGGCTAAATCGATCTTTATAGAACTTGCGATTTTGCTGTACAGTGCCTTTAGCACCAAAGAATAAAAACAAATATGATGGTAGCTTACCTCGGACGAGATGACCGAGACTTCATCGTCGAGCTTACCGTTCTCATCAACTGCAATACCCCGCTTGCTGTTGCTCAGGGCATGACGATGGAGCTAGATCATAGTGTTAGTGGCGCTACCAGAGGAAGTGTCGATAAACGTACCTTCGACGTCTCAGGCTTACCCGTCAGCTCCCCGAGCTTCTGGCCAAGTATTTTTTGATCTTCGATGTTGATATTCTGGTTGCGGAAGAAGACAACGCCGTGCTGGGATACTGTTTTATATTAGGTTAGCTGCCCCTTAAAATGACGTGGACCAGACCGACCTGTGATGGCGAGATCGCGGATTTTGTTGTCGTCGTGCAAGATATCGCTCAACTGCAGCTCTGGGTATTCGCGACCAATGACGTTGGTGGCTTCAAAGGACTTGTATCCGTCGAGAGAGCCGGAATACTTCAGTGGTTCCTTGAGCAGGCTTGCGTTAGCCCCTTTTGTGACCGGGATGGTGGTGGTCGATTGGTGGGAGATAAGGTCGATATCAGCAGCAGGAGGTGCCATGTTTGTCGGAAGACTTTAATAGAATGGAGTTGCAAAACACTTCTTGCACGTTCGCACAGTCGGATTCTGGCCAGAGAGAGTATAAAACTCCAGATACGCAGGCTGATATAGCAACGGCCAGAAAGCCCAGCTTGTAGTCTCCTTGCCGGTTTCCCGAGATACCAAGCGTCTTTAAGAGGGTTGAAGACAGCTGAATTTGATATCGTGATCTTCCCTACAAGCCATTGGCCATCCCTCGGAGCACGACATACAAGCGTAGATGAGCAGCAGAGATAGAATCATTTCGCACCAATCTCCTCATGTTCGCGCCATTGCTCTCCGTATTGCGCAATCTCGGGTACGTGGGACCGTATGCTTGTGGTCGACCAGATTCCGAAAGACCTTGGCCCAGCTTGATATCGTTAGTGACTGGTCGCGTCAACTACAGGTACAGTATATTGCACCAGCCTTGCGGATGAGCCCCCCATATCAAGGTTAGATTGCGTGAGGGGGCTGTACCGACAGTCGTCCGCTTGTCAGCCTCAACGAACGTAATGCAAATGCGGCAGGGGCTGTGAGAGCAGGTCAAGGCGCTAAGTATGCAGGGAAAGCCGGAATGAGACCATATTTATAGTGTGGGGGAATGAACTGAATGCGATACCGAGTATTATCGATAGTACAAGGTTGGGCTGTGATTGTTCATGAAGGTTGGAAACATGTGAAATGTTGTCGTGAGAAGGTTCAGAAGTGGCATCATCCCTGGGATATACGTTACTAATTGCTCCTCTGTGCTCCTCTGTTATCATTATCTCCTCACGCACTAGGCCTTAATTCTTGCGCAGACCCAGCTGCCAACACTCCGCGAAAGTCTCCACCCTGGTGAGTGTTCCTCGACCGGCAGAACTCACTTCGCACCTTTCTCCGCACCAGCTCTGCCGCAATCCCCGTCTGCTCAGCTGCTCCTCGTTTTCATCTTCACTCTTCCTGCTCCACGATCACCCGCCGTCCGTCCCTGCGTTTGAGCGCTCTTGCTCTGGAGAATTCTATTTAGCTAGCAAAGCGGAAGTCCAACCGTTTATTCCCTTGATCAGTCGTCGTAGCCAAATACTCAGTGCGCTGTTCCTCGGTCATGCTATTCCAAACACGGTCGCGATATTTGTTGCGTAGAGTGTAGTAGACCTTCGCAAAGGCATATAGTCCGACATTCAACGCACACAAGGACACAAGCACACGGTTCCCACGGCGATAGCGAGGTTTGTCATCTGTACCTGTAAGTAAACCGCCAGCAATAATCCAAATCATACGACTCACCCTGACGGTAGATATTGCTCGCAATGATTCCAGAAGACTGGCAAGCCATATTGTACAGCGCCGCGCTGACAGTCCTGCTTCGGACAGAATTCGAGTTTCTGGAGCTCCAGCCCACTTGAATTGCATGGGTACTCGGGTACGCTAAAAGGGTGGTGATGATTCCAAAGGCAGCCCATTTGTTGATACTGTTGATGTCGACCGCATACATATATGCCAGGAAAGGCAAAGCCCACAGCTGTGCGAGCAAGCCGAAAATCCAGAGCTGACCTACAACTTCGGCAAGATAAGTAAAGGTGAGCATGGTGATGATATGGCCGACGTAGTTCGGAATCGACAGCAAGTTCGTCATGAATGTTCCAAACCCGAGTTGCCTCAAAATCAGGGTGAGGTACTGTTGCGGAGTGGCTATCCTCTTAGTGTCATGGCGCTGCAACAGGAGAACGACGAGACTTACTCATGGGGGTTTGGAAATTCAGCCCTAGTAGATAGACCGGCCAAAGATCATAGTCGGAGATACTCTGCCATAACAGCTTAGGCGTGATGGGCTGTCTGTTGTGCATTGTGCTCTTGCTTGGATCCTCTCGGATGATCCGGTTGACCATGATGGTCTCTTCGCTATGGTGACATTGGCAAGATCTCAGGCACTGAGGGCACGGACGACTTACCGTTCAGTGAACCACCCTTTCTTGCCTCGAGCCCAGTTGGCCGTTTGGCATGGTCCTGGGGGCATCAGGGTGAATGCAGTTAGTCCCACGACAAGGGTGAAAAGTCCCTGGGCACGAGTTAACATCAGGCTATTTCAGCACTGGTCGGACTGACCTCAATGAGAAAAAGCCACCTCCAGCCGGAGTAACCGAGATGTCCTCGGAGATGGAGCAAGCCAAAGCCGAGGAAGCCAGCAATGATATCGGCCAGCGACATGGCTGTCCACCAGAAGCCTAGACGAAGAGACAGCTCGCCGTGCTTGTAAAAGTATGAGAGGTACAGTATCATCTTTCCTCAGGTCAGCCTAGCGCATCTTGTTCTTTAAAGATGCTTACGTCGGGAATAAAGCCTCCTTGCAAGAGAGCCAGGAGAACTCGGCAGACCAAGAAGCTGCTTCGTCCGGACAACCAGAATTGACAACTCGCAACAATAGACCAAAGTATCATTTGCGTCGGGATCCAGCGATCTGGGCCCATCCATTTAGATACCAGTTGCGACGGCAGCTCAGCACACAAGAAGGCGAGTTTGAACACGCTATTACCCCAATTGTAGTCTGTTCGTTGTTAGTCGCGCCAACCGGAGGCTTGCGGAGGACAATACCATTGGTGTCCATGCCGAGATCTTTGAGAAAGGTATCTGTTAGAGCTTGATTGATATTGGCCCGATCCAGCTCGAGAGACATGAACATGATACAGGCAAATACCATGATTCGAAGGTCGATTTTGCGGAGCACCTGGTATTCTTCCCTCCACGTCCATCTGGCACTCGGATTGAAACGGTGGAGATTCTCCCAGTCAGCACGAGGCTGATAGTATTTGGCTGTTTCCGGGTCATCGTATACAGAGGGAAGTGTTGCAATCGCATCGAGATTGAAGTTACGACCTCGTTGCCACCAGAACTTCTTCTCCTCGGTTGGTTCGCCTAGATTAAGGGTTCGAACGAGGTCTAACGACAACTTCACCTCTGAGCTCGGTGGAGTTCCGTACAGAGGTTCAGGGGTGACAATAGCTTCAGATTTTCCTATCTGGGGGCCTCTTGCAAGGACCGTTGCCATCTTTTCTAGGAGGTTTCAAATGAGGAGTTTTGGTAGCAGGTAGCATCAACGATAGCCGATGAGGTATCGGGTACTTATAGTTAGATACCTTAGCCAGCTGAAGCTGCTGTCGCAATGGCCGTGGATGGTGTCGCCAGGAGCCAGCTCTAGCCGATTGTCTTGGCTAATGGCGACATCGAAGCCGTGGATGGACAGCATCTCACGACATATGGGACAATTATTTGCTGATTCTGGGCGTTCGTTCGGAGGCATGCCCGTATGGCTACTAGCCTTTTCAGCTGCAGGAATTCAAGCACGCAAGACACCCTGTAGAACGCTGCGAGAGAGTAACATGTAATTGCATCCCGGTCATTGGCTGGAAGATTGAGGAGGTAGGAGGTCGATTACATCGGTGCTCATGGAAACATGGGAGATACCCAACGGAACGTGATGACACTCAACAAAGTCCTCAAAGATACCGCGCTCTTGGACATCAACATGTTGTAGATGGACTGGCAGTGCCAATATCAATGGGAAATCGACGATCTGTCGCGAGCGAACCCAGAATGCAGGCATCTCTTTAACCTGCTGCCAAGGGTGGTCGTTCTTGTCGGTCTTCTTGTGTAGAGATCCACAACCGCAACCCGATGCCACTCTTAGGGCCCTAGACCATGGTTGTTTAGACTTGAACTGGGAGGTTGATTTGATGCCTTAGGCATGTCATGGCTTGGCTGTAGAATGTCATATCGCGTGCTCGTTGGGCAAAGCAGCTACACAAATGTCTTATGATTTCCTTCAGTCGAATGCCATCGTGTCGCTTTCTCGAAGTTAGCGAAGAAATACAAGATGACGGAGATTGTGATGTGATCTGACTAGGCCAGGGCTCGATTCTTCTCTGACGAAGCGAGGTCCAGGGCACCCAATTACTCTCCAATTTCTGTTCAGATTGGGGAAGAGGTCGTAGAAGAGCTTGGCGGCGGTGGAATCTCAATAATCGGGCACATCCAGGTACCTCGGTATTTCTGCTAGCCGCTTAGGATGTAGCAATATACCTGCGTATTGTCATACCCTTACTGAGAATTTTAATGGCGGTCTCACGCCCTCGGAGCAACGCTTTGATAGAAGCTATGAGAGCAGAATTTTTGGACAGAGCCCTCAATGCGTGACAATGGTCCTCAGTCATAGGTGGCGCAATAGTCTCACAGTAACTGACGACGACGTCAAAGCACTCATCCGCATTATAGCAGAGCTTATGCGCGAGTGATACTGCCAGGTCAAAGGGGCACTCGAGCTTATTGACGCTCTCGAGCCACTCGCGGTCGAACATGTGATCGCAGCCCCCGCCTTGATTGATTGAGGCCAATAGTCGGTCGTGGTGAGTATGAGCGGCAGAAGCGCATAAAGGCCGCCTGTCGAGAAAACCCATACAATGATTTTCCTACTGTCGATTTCCTTCTGCTCGTTGACCCAATCCAACAAGCTCGACCAACATCGATCGGGACTTTGAGGATCCTGTGCTGCTGCTGGCCAATCGCCGGTACCGGGAATCTCGGAAACGATGGTGGCCACCCCTCTAGAACAGCCAGCCCTGCTGCGAACCCGCCAAATCGGTTCGCCAGCCGTCGAATCCGGTCATGATCCAAACTAGAGGACATGGGTTCGAGGCTGAGGCGGCAGGGGGAAGCAGGAGGCTCTTATGTTGTGGATCTGTACTGTAGCTTCTACAGTCTAATTTCTGTGTCTGATCAAGTAAGTAGTTAGCTATAGACCTTCCAGTACAGTGTCTAGTCAAAAGGCTGTTAAAAGGTGCGAGTTCATACATCCAGACCCTCTATCACTCGGGGGATCGGCGCGGCATAGAGCCTTGCTGTTGTCGTGGCGAATGATCTCTTCCTAGCAAAAGATTAGGGACGGTGAGAACAAGATATAAATTGTGTATACGTCAAGATCTTCCTGTGACATAGTGCTCTCGTACCTGGACTATTTGAAGTGGGGGCCACAGAAGACCTCGAAAGCTTGCGTAGACCTGCGCAGGTAACGATCATTCTGCCTTCGGTGTTTCAATGAGTGTGTCCCTCGAGCTAGTAAGCCGGCTGACAAGACTGGGAGATGTTGTCTCGGCACGGCGAAGGATTGGAATGAACAGAGAAGCGTACGGACCACGGTGCTGAAACGTTAGAGATCTTGTGGGATGGGCAGATCGTTACTCCCCTTTACACACACGTTGATATAGAATACTTCTCCTGTTCCGGGGTCCAAGCGGCGTAGCACCCCTCGGCTGTCCTCACGGCTGTCATATACTGGTAGAGCTACGAGCTCTATATGCTATATCTGCGTCGAATGCGGATGTGCCTGGCATAGTAGTCCTAGGTTGGCATCTGCTAGAGGCATAAGAAAGATCAAGCAATTAGTCCAGGCTGGAGAACTTCACCGCTAACACCGGACCCGTCGAGAGCAGACCGCGATGTGGTGGCTCCCGGAAGTGAATGCTATTGGCCCGTGTGACATGGAGAGCCGAAACCCGCCCGGATCTAAGCTAGTTCAAGTCAACTGTTACGGAACGACCTTATAACGGCAGAATAATTCCTGAAGTGAAGGAAGGTAAGCCGGTAGTGCAGCGTAAAACGCCAACTATATTGGGAACACAGTTTGGCCCCTTCGTGTACTTAAGACTTGGCGGCTAAGCGGCTATTGTATAATTTGATTCCAGACTCGTTCGACTTGACCATCTCTATAAATAAAGGCAGCCTTGAGTTCATGACCGGCGTCTTGCTGAAAAATCCTCACCCGGAGCAAGCGCTCGGGCTCGGAGGGTAAGGAAGTGATGTCTGATTGAGCCGCCGTTTCAAGTGCAAATGCCTGCGATGCGACGGTAAGCAATTCTTCCCTGTCCCAAAGTCCCTCCCTCCTCGGACCTTTCCCCATCAGGCGTAATGCCTCTTTGCGCAATGAGAAGTGGCGACATTTCAGAGCCGTGAAATACAGCGGCGGCAACACCCCCATCTCAAAGGTGAAGGCGTCATGAATTTGTCGCTTGGTAGCAAGAGCCTCGTCGGCTTTCTCGACAATGACCTGAAAACAATCGAGGCTCTCATCGAATGACATCTCAAAACCCTCGAGCGGGTTTCTTAACCAGATCACCGCGGCGGCATGCCACATGCTCAGCGTCGCGATCACGGCATGGTCGGGATCGTCGAGACTCCCACACATTCGATGAAAGTCGCTGTACCATATATCTAGCTGGATGCGCAGCTCCTCCTGTCGCTGCAAATAGTGTTTGTGCGTCGAAATCGGCCGAGCCGTCGTAGAGTTCAAGCTCTTGACAAATTCGTGGGTGACGACCAAGTGCTGGAAAAGAAGATCCCGGGCGTCTTTGAGGCTGTTGAAAGTGGACAGTGTGGGATTTGGACTAGGCGGAAACGGTAGGTTGGCATAGTAGATCGGGAGATTGTGTCCGAACAGCTTTGCCATCATCACAAGTCTGTTATACATGGGACGCAGACTCTCGTTGATAGTTGCCCATTCGGACAGAGCAGAGTGCCGACGAGTCCACCCTTGACAAGACTCCATCAGAAAGTGTCCATGTAGGAAAAGGGACATGGCCTGCAGCTTTTTGCCCTGCAGAAATTCCATGCAAAGAAAGAGGGGACAAGTTAGTATGGCCACCAGTTCCGGGTCGGCAGATTCTGTGCGTTGACTTGCCCTACAAAGGGCATTTTGGTAGTAGTTCAAAGCGACATTGCAAGATTGCCGAGGCGTCGTTGCTCTGAAATGTCCGTTGCGTTCCCCAATATATGCTGCAATGGCAATCGCCGAATGACGGATGAATGACGTCGAGTGAGAGGCCTGCAGAAGCGTCGTGATCCAAAAGTCTTCGTCAAGGAAACCACCTAGCTGAAAGGCGACTCTCTTGCGGAAATATTCAAACAGTCGACACTCATCGTCGCTTCCGTGAAAGGTGCCGAGTGGGCGCTCGGGATTGGCGGCCGACTGGCTGGGGTTGTGGGCTGGAGTCGCCGAACGTTTTCGCGAGACATTAACGTCTCTAAAGACATCTTGATAACCAGCACAATGAAGCTTCAGCCGTGTGCATCTGGGAGAGATTGTATCAGCGGCATGCCGGGTCGGTGGATGTGTCGTACCTCTTGCACTGTGGTCTGCTCTCATCGCACTTGACCCGATGCTTTCTGCGTACTCATGAGCAACTCCGGTTACTTGACAAAATTTTGTCCGATTGTTTAACTTGCCGACACGTGAAGCAGCCGTTCTTTGTCTTCTTCGACCCTAGTCGGCCATTGACCCTTTGTGGCTGTGTTTCTGTGGCGTCCGTGGCCATGACGCGTCGCTTATACTCAGCCAATTATCCCCTACGCGTCAGCTATGTCCACCAGAGGCGATTTTTAATCGAGATATAAGAGCGACGAGAGAAGAAGAGGATGGGAAGTTAAGAGAAAATGGCGTTCGAAGGTGGTGAGTTGTAGGAGGCCTTAAAAAAACAAGGTCAGCCTCATCAGCCTCTATCGAACCCCGTCGACTCCATCGACTCCATCGACTCCACCAGAATAGCGAAATCTAATTGGGTCGTCGCTCTCGTTTCCTCTGAGGGAAACTTGCAGCAGCGATCAATCAATCTCTCAGACTTGAGCTCCAATATTCACTTACCATGCCAGGCTCGAAATAGAAGTCACGGAGTTTATGGATCGAAGGCGATGCTCCATGCTGGTCAAATGGCAAATTCGGTGCAATTCCAATCTCAGCTTATAAAAAGCCCGATGGAAGGCGCGACGCAGGCACCAGTCTCTATTATTTCTACTGCTATACCTCGACCTACAACTACCTACTCGTTCATTTCACGGTCGAGTTCAACATGCTTCTTCAAAGCTCCTTCATTCTCTTGTTATCGCTGGTGCGCTCCTCGCTTTCGGAGTCCTTCCAACCATGTCCCATTCTCGGTCCACGGTTTCCCCTTCCTAGCGGACTGGCCGGGGACAGTATCGTTCAATCTGTGCTGAAAAATGCCACTGACACACTTGATGAACTTGTTGCCACCTCCAACAGCACGTATGGGACGATTTCCTCCAACACTACCTCTTTCTCTATCGGTCTGTTTACTTCCAATGACCCTCTCAACATTTCACATCCCTTCTTTTATGAGTACCATTATGCGGCGCCCGCCCTGGACAAAACAAAACTCGGAACGTCAAAACTTGACTCGGACAGCCTTTTCCGTATCGGCACGGTCACAGAAGTCTTTACGGTCTGGGTGTTTCTCATCGAGGCTGGAGAAGCATATTGGACCGACTCGATCACGAAATACCTACCAGAATTGGCCGAGGAGAAAGGTCCAATCACATTTGGACACTTTTCATGGGAGGATGTCACACTTGGTGACCTTGCGGGACACGTTTCTGGAGTACCTCGAGATTGTAAGTTTGAACGATTGAACCAGGTTCCGTCCTAACGGCAGACACAGACGGCATCACCGATCTGAGCGCGCAGAATTTTTCCCTTCCCGATACGTCGGTAGTCGCGAATCACTTTGGTTGTCTCCAGCAAACCTGTACGAGAGCAGGCGAGTCATCTACTCTATCAGACCATGTTTACGACGAGAACTAACGACAATGTGCAGATTTCTTCAAAGACCTGAGTGCCCGATGGCCCGTTTATCTCCCGGGCACAACTCCTATTATGTCGAATACGGCTTTTCAACTGCTCGCCTATGCCCTGGAGGGCATCAAACACCGACCATATGAAGCCATGTTCAACCAAACCGCGAAGTCAATAGGGATATCACGCAGTAGCTTGCGTTGCCCACCAAACAGCACAAATGCTGTGATTCCGGGGGCAAACGAGAGCGTGAGCGGCTGGTCTACCGACTTTGGCGACGAAGCCCCGTGAGTACGAATGAAGCCCAGTGTTACACCTACTGACAGCTTTTTCAAAAGGTCCATCTCAATGTATTCCACAATCACCGATATCTCAAGAGCAGGAATAGCGATGCTCAACTCCACATTGATTCCATCTGCCATGACACGCAGGTGGCTCAAGCCAATTACCCACACATCAAACCTAGTCAATGACGCCGGTCGCCCCTGGATTATCTACAAATCGACCGAGGATCAGAGTCTCATCAATCCTGTCATTGACATCTATACTAGCTATGGCTCAGTGGGTCTTTACAGCTCATATTTCGGGCTCGTGCCCGATTATAACGTCGGCTTTGTCATCCTCGCAGCAGATGAAGTGTCCGCACCTGATCTCAATGTCCATGTTGATATTGTCGCCGACATGCTCCTACCGGGCCTCGAGGAAGCAGCGATTAGTCAGGCAGGCTCTCTTTACACTGGAGAGTACAGATCAAACCAAACAGCGGCAACTTTGATTATTGAAAAGCCGGATGGCATGCCTGGCTTGTCCTTGTCCAACTTCACAATGGGATCCACAGACATTCGCGAAGAACTTGCAACCGTCGCCGGAATTTCTCCATCAGCGTTGAGTATCAGGCTTTACCCAACGGATTTGATCGAGAGAACCACATCCGGAGGAACCAAGATTGCCTTCCGAGCTGTTTTTCAGGACGAAAATGCCGCCATTGACGCCGGAACCCCAACCTGCATTACCTGGTTGAGCCTCGATGTATTGAATTACTACGGGAAACCTCTGGATTTGTTCATTTTCAATTTCAGCGAGGGGCAGACGAGCGTCGAGATCCCAGCACTCAATCTGGACATGGTCAAAGAGTGATGGATACAGAACAGCCCTGGCAGCCTCGCGGTGAGCCTGGTAGTATAAGGACACCGTGATAGCACAAAATTCAAAGGGAAAGCGCCTCATTATTAGCGTGGACTTGCTTATGACGTGAGGCTTCACTCGGCCTTGCCTGTGAGACTCAGCCTCGCCGCGTCTTTTGTTTCTAGCCCCTCAAAGACTTACTAGTGGGCTGATTTACAGGCAGAGGAAGCATATGTAGCATCATAAACCCCCGTAAATTGTTATTGCAAAAGCAGCACCGATCGCTTGAATTCGCAAGACGAGTTATCTCAGGGCAGATACCAGGGCGTGTCACGGGAAACTCTTTTCCTGCTACTGCTTAACGGAATCTTTACATTTCGCGGTGAAATGCTCCGCTAGGTGAGATGAAGGGTTGAGCTTAATCCCGTGCCACCGGATCTACGCGACAAATTTCCGACCATGTCTAACCTAAGTTATCCACGTATACATGTAGGCTCTCGGATAGATAAGCTAAAGCGACCCACCCGACCTAATTGGGCATCGAGACGACGGACCTAGGCGCTCACGAAGTGACTTTGGTCCAGGTCAGAACCTACGCCGGTACCGATCTATAGGTCTGCCATCTACGTATATCATTTGGTCAACGTCCTCCTCTTCTCCCCGAAATGATTGTGCGCGTGCAACGTCTACAGCTTGATAGTATTACCTCGGTCTTCTCGTTTACTATTTCTGCCTCAAGAGGAAGCCCAACTTTAGGAAAACAGAATTTCGCGACGTGAAATACCAAACATGGTGGTCACCGATTACAAAGAAGCCATTCGAAGGGCCAATGAGCTTCGCGAAACCTCGCTTAAAAAGGTACCCAACTATATTCGCGACGAAGACCTACCTAAGAACTTGGGGCACTACGTCCTCGATGTACCCGAGAAGGTCTTGACGTCGCGCGAATTCGAGATCACCCAAAAGTACGATGCGACGGCGCTGGTGGCGGCACTTCAAAGCGGGAAGCTCACTTCGACCGAGGTCGTCAAGGCCTTCCTCCGTCGCGCGACACTCGCCTCGCGGCTCGTCAACTGTGTCACGGAATTCCTCGCCGACGACGCGTTGGAGCGAGCGGCGTACCTAGATGCCTACTTTAAGGAACACGGCAAGCCCATCGGCCCCTTACACGGTCTCCCGATCAGTGTCAAGGACCACATTGGCATGAAGGGCAAGGTCAACAGTATCGGTTTCTGCTCCATGATCGACAATGTGGCCGAGAAAGATGCCGACATCCTGGTCCTGCTTCGGAACCTGGGTGCCGTCTTCCACGTCCGCACCACTCAGCCACAGGCGCTTTTTTCCATCGACACGTCGAGTCCTCTCTGGGGCAATACCGTCACGCCCTACAACCGGAACCTGAGCGCCGGTGGAAGCTCGGGCGGCGAAGGAGCTCTCATCGGCATGCGTGGTAGTGTCCTCGGCTTGGGTGAGTTTTACACCGTGGACTATACTACCCTCAAAGTAACCCGCATATAGGTACCGATATTGGCGGCTCCGTTCGGGTCCCCGCGGCCCACAATGGAATTTATGGATTTCGTTGCTCCGCACGGCGCACGCCGTACGACGGCATCTGCCTCTCGGCTGGAGGGTCGGAGCAGATTCTCTGTATCGTCGGACCTATGGCGGTCTCGCTGCGCGATTGTCAACTCCTGCTCAAGACGTTGGAAGACGCTCAACCCTGGTCCCTCGACCCTTACTGTCTCCGGATGCCCTGGCGGGAGGTTCCCAAACGGCGAGACTTCACCATTGGTGTCATGTGGAATGACGGTATCGTGGAACCTCACCCGCCCGTGAAACGGGTATTGAAGGAGGCCGTGGCCAAGCTGGAAGCGGCCGGCGTCAAGTTGAAAGAATGGACCCCGTACGAGCACAAGAAATGCTGGGAGATCATCGCCGCCCTATACTGGATCGACAATGGCAAGGTCGACTTCAAAGCCATGGAGGCGAGCGGCGAACCCTGGTATCCCTTGACGAAATGGATCCTGCCGGAAAACGAGTACGCCAAAGACCGGACCATCGCCGAGAACTGCGCCATCGTCGTGGAAAGGGACCAGTACAAGAAGGAATACTTGCGACGCCTTAACGAGGCCGGCGTCGACTTCATCTTGTGTCCCGCCACCATCGGTGCCGCCATGCCCATCCAAAAGGCTCGATCTTGGGCCTACACGGCTCAATGGAACTTGTTGGACTATCCGGCCATCGTCTTCCCAGCCGGTCAGATGGACATGGAAAAGGACAAAAAGGACGAGACGTACGTGCCCAAGTCAGAGGAAGACAAGTACTTTTACGATCTCTACGAGCCCGAAGTCTTCAAGGACGCCCCTGTCGGCCTCTCGCTCGTCGGGCGAACATATTACGACGAGGAATTGGCCAGTGCACTCGAGGTGGTGCAAGAGATCCTCGCAGAATAGCCTTGCCGCGGTTGTCGGTCTGATCCATGAGACCATTCAATATCTTGATTTCAATACCCGCATTGGCTTTGGAATGGGTGAAAGGATCGCTGTATTCTATTGGCCCTTGGCCATAAGTTTTGCTGGTCATGTTTTGGGCGCATATAACTGTAGAAGATCGACACAACATTATGATCCTGATGGGTTGAACAATATAAGCCTACTAGGATACAGTACATTAAGTACTAATGGAGGGACAATATCTTCAAAAACTAAACGCGGTTACGTTCGTCAGGAAGCGAGCCACTTTTCCAGAATGAATGGCACACCATAATCACTGTCTGACCACTGCATCTAGGAATCCTCTTACTTTCCGCAGATGACAGTGCAGGCGTCAGTACGCCAAAATCAACAACCTACGCTCCTACTGTGCTCTCAAGCTCATTCGTTTCCAGCTTGTCAGCAGCCGCTTTGAAGACCTAGGAGATAGCTTCCGCGGATGACAATCAATATGATGCTACAGCGGCGACGCTATCCAATTGCACACACATCTTGAACATATGCAGTCTATTTCACATATATTCTAAATACTGCTTATAATCATGCAATGATCGGTTGGTGTCTAAGGAAGATGTCCTTGCGCATAGAAAAATCGTCGGGCCTCTACCCTGGCGATGGAAACTTCTCATCACCGCACTCAAAACTCAATCGTCCAGTTGTACGAGTGAGTAATTCGATACTAGAGGGGCTAAGGTTATTACTCTCCTAAGAGCAGCTCCAAACGCAACCACAGGCGTCTACATTGATCCTTACCCAGGCAACGAATTTTTACCAGGGCCTGGAGATGAACTCGGGGTCAGCGTTCAACACCATCCAGGCTATGATGCTGCTGTTGGCCGCCGATGCCACGGTCTCATCCGGCATCGCCCACATCGACCTTGTGCCACAGCTCTGGCTCTCTGCCACCGCCAAGCTAGCAGACGCCAAATTGTTCGGCTACCTCCAGGCTGAGAATCCCAACCTTCGCATTATCAACGTCCAGCCCGGCGTCGTGACCCGCGAGCTGAACTCCGGCAGTGGGTTTCAGGGGCAAGATGAAGGTAAGTGAATATTTATCCTCGTCTTTCCTATGCAAGAGAACAAACCTTTGGTTTGACTGACATGCTAACATGGCCCCAGTCGAACTTCCTGCTCAATTTCACCTCTGGCTTGCGTCGCCAGAAGCCGGCTTCCTCAAGGGCAAGTTTGTTTGGGTCAATTGGGACGTGGATGAACTCAAGGCTCGAGCGGACGAAATCAAGAACTCTCGTCTCTTGAAAGTATTGTTGAACCGCGTACCAATGTAAATGCAAAGCTGCAGACGCAGCCAATTGGCAGCAACGAGCAGCCAAATTGGCCGACGGAACACCTAGCTAGATTAGTGGCTGGGATAGAAGAGCCCATTTGTTCAGGTAAGGATGACTTGGCGTCTGTAGAGGTGTGCGAAGCTATCATTGCAGAGCTGGACAAGAAGCATGGCCATCCTGTTGATGTCAAGCAACGCTAACGTCGTGACATTGGAAGCTGTTACTCCACGATGTTCGGTCATCAACGCTTTGAAAGAGATTGTACGGCACCCAGGCATGATATTATCGGACGGAGCAGAAAATCTACGATTGAGACAACAAAGCCGACGTCTTGACCTTTTCCACCGTAACATGTGCATCTCAAGTTGTTGATATCGATACTGCAGCCATCGAATAGCAATTGGCCTTAAGATGGTAGGTCCAACAGTTGGATATCCTGCTGATCCCTTGAACTGCAGCATACGAATCTTCGACAACGTTCAGCGGATCCTTGTTGTTGGGAGCGCTGTCCAATAGTACGATGGCAATGGTGAAAGTCGGCCAGATTATTCTTCTCCGATGTAGCCAAGGCCGGCAATGGCGATGCTTGCCTCAGTTTGTTTCCAGGTGAGACGGAGTTCGTGTGGCAGAAAGCAGGGTCGACTCAAGTCGTGTGTGCGTATTTTGCTGACAGGTCGGATCTTTGGACTGACAAAGTTGTAATTGGTAGATTGACTGTTGCCGATACTGTAGTCCGGTACAAGGCAGCTTTTGGAATAAGAGTTGGAAGAGCCGCTTGTCCTGCAGATTCAGTCTGACACGCTGTAAGGTCACGTATCATGATCTGTTATACGTTCCGCTCTCTGGCTTCTCTGGCTTATCCTTGTCGACTTGCTGGATGCAGCCAAGCCTGTTGTGGCAGACATGCGTGCTTGCAGCATGGCGAAGGGCAACATGCACAATTCAAACGACGGCGCTTATTCAGCACGCCAACTTCGCAAGACCAAATACACCATATCAGGCGACCAGGCGAGCTGCTCAAGCGGAAGCTGAAGAAAGCCAATCATAACATGTATTGAGCCGTCCTTGGATCGAGAAAGATGTATTGGGTTATGATGAGACGTATCTGCAGCGTATCACATGAGCTGAACATGATCAAAGGCGTATAAAAGTGGTAACCGTCTTTTCAACTCCGTGAGAAGACTTTGACAGCACCGTCGCCTCCACAACTGATGACCCATCTTCCGTCGGGACTCCAGACAACACTACAGACTCCCTCGCCCCTCATGATGCGATGACTTGAGATCTCTTGTGTACAGCTCCTCTTTTCGAGGGACCAAAATCGTAAACTTGCATCATGACCACCTGATACGAGTTCTCTGCCGTCAGGACTCAGAGACAAGGAGGAAATTGCAGAAGGATGGGCGAGCATAGTGTAGGTGCATTGCCCTGTAGAAAGTCAGCTTGCACGACGGTTAAGGCTTGGGGGAACATACCACTATTAGCATCGAAGAAGCGGATATACCGATCTTCGTAGCCAGCGATGACAACACCTTCGACGCCTCCATCGGAGCCAGTCGCTCCATGCACAACATCATCTTCGCCCATCGAACCACGCCGGCCTGGAGCCACCGAGTCACGGGTATCGAAGCCTGTACTGCTAGCGACAACAGCATTGACGCCGGTGTTCGGAGTTCCGTCATAGGTCTCTTGGCTAGCCATTCCGACAATCTCTTCCCCCGTCCGCGTGTCAAACGCAAGAACACTTGCGTCTGTGTAGCTGACAATGAAGCTCTCGCCGTGTGGCCCCAAAGGAGATATTGAAGTCGGGGCAGGATGTTGCGTTCTTTCTATCCGGTGTACCAGGCTGTAGTTGAACGGAGTCGTACTGGCGATATTTGGTTGAGGCGAGCTGGGGAAATTGGAGCCTGCTGATATTGAGTTGGCTCTTCGGCTACCTCTTGCTGACCGACTTCCAGCAGGTGGTGAAGATATCTGAGGAGGCGTGCTCACAGCCCAGATGAGGATGGTGCCATCAGCACCTCCAGCAACAAGCAGGACCCGATCAGGGCCACCAAACTGGGAACAGCGATCACCAAAAATGGACCCTAGCGTGCCAGGCAGACAGCACAATGCCCAAACTGCATCCTTGTGGCCTTCCAATGTTGCTTTGGCGTCGACTCGACCACGTTCCCAAACCTTGACCATGCCGTCTTCTCCGCCTGAAAATATCCAACCGTCACCAGCTGCCCGGCCACCACTTGAGAAGTTTGCAGAAGGGGGACACGCAGCCAATGAACAGACCGAACCAATGTGCCCGCGATGAGTGAAATGTGCTATGCGATCCAGATCATCGCCCAGAGCCACGTTGTGTGCATAAGATGCTGGAATGTGCCACCTTTTGACACCTCCATCGTCGCTTGCTGTACAAAATTCCGGTTCTGAAGGACTGCCGCCTCCTGTGAAGATGACTGCACGAACAACGTCCAGATGACCTCGCATGGCAAAGCGTACTCTGAACTGTGTAGCATCCGTTTTCGTGGCCAGTTCTCTAGCATCGTTGCTGCCTTCGCTTCGTCGTCTAGCTCCAGAGCTCCTCCGCCGATATGAGCCAGGAGCGCGAGGCGGGGACTTGGAGGGGATGAGATGCGCACTTGGGAAGACTTCCGTGTCTGCTCTGTGCTGTGTTGCTGCTTCTGTTTTTCCCTGAACTGCTGGACCATCGTCGAAATCCCAACCATCGGAGATTTCCTGCTTCGCCTCTTCTCCCGGTCGCAGCTCGGTCTGGTCCTTCGCCGCAATTTCACGCCCGTACACGTCGAAACTGTGGGAAATCGACTCGACGTGCTCTTCAGTGATGGGCAACTGCTCGTTGTAGAAGTTTTTTCTCGAATCCAGCGCAGGCTGGGTGTTCGGTTCAGGTGCTCTGTTTTCTACAGGACTTCTCTGGAATTCTTCGATATTGATTTGTGTGTTGGATCGGGAAAGTGGCGAAGGTTCAGCAAATGTTGGCGGTTGCTGTCCAGCATTTTCTCTGACCATGGCGACGTTGCGCTGCTGCTGTTGTTTCACCTGTTGTAGCTGTAGGTATGCTTCTTGAAGTTCTTGCTGAGTGGGCTGTCGCCCAGGGAAGACATGATTGCCATTTGCAGAGAGCGGAGGCTCATTCGTGTCGGGAGGGATATGAGTCGTGGGGAGAACATGGTACGTGATTTCGGAGGAGCACTTCGAGAGGTAGCTTTTCGACTTGTCGCGTTCTTTCTCTTGCCGTACGCCATGGGCGAGCCGGTTGTCGGGGTCGATGTCAGTATCAAACTGGCTGGCGCTCTTCGCAATTGATCCTATAGCATTCATTGTCAGTGGATGAGCAACGACTTCAAACGGACACTTGCCTTTTGAAACTGCCTTGAGCTCATCACGCGCATGTTCCTTTGCCTCTTTTCTGGCCTCGACAGATTCACCTTTGTTCACGCTTCTGGATTTGTCGCGCTCTTTTTTCAAAGCATGCTCCAAGAGCTTCACATGTCTTTCGAGGGATGTCCGTATGCCTTTGCTAGTCCTTGTCTCGCCCTCAAGTACAGCCACGCGATTCTTCATCTCTTCACGTTCGATTTCCCAGGCATTGCGGTCTCTTTCGTGTCGGTGCCATTCAGTTTGCAGGAATCGCATAACACCTGTAGTAAACTGTCAGAGGTGGTTCGTTGCGCAAGGCAAAGGAAGCTGTACCTTGCAGCGTGTATGCCTGCACGCCGCTGGGTTCTCCTGTGGCCATGCCTCCCGCACCATTGCCACCAGCCCCGGACTGCCACGCCATGTTGCGCTTCCGGGCGCTCGTGTGACTGTGAGCCTCTCATCTAGCCATCTTGGTGAAGCGCAGAGGTAAAGGATGGTCACGCTGGCCTCAACCGAGGTCGTTCAGTTCGCACAGTGACGGTAGAGCAGTCGTCGGGCAGGAAAAGCTACACAGAAGTGACTAACAGTCACTCAGAGAGTGAAAGACAAGCTGGCAAGGGTGAAGACAGAAGGAACCGTGGCACGCAAGGAATCGTTGTGAAAGAAGTGTAATGTTCTTGTTGTCTGTCCGAATTGCGGCAGTTTTTAGCGCCGGCGCAGTCGCCTTAAAATTGACGGCCATGAGATTTAGGTACCTGACCCATCTTAGCAGTTGCTCATCTGGTCTATTTTGCATTCCTCTCCCCATGCTTCGTTCAACTACTTCATGTTCCAGAAAAGACCACTCTTAGAGACCATACCAGAGACATTGTGGCTCGTAGCTACCTAGGTATTGTCACACATGTTTATACCACAGATCATCAGCATTAAAACATTTGAACAATCAAGGAGGCTTGCATTCGGGGTATCTAAAATCACAAATCCAGTTCTTCAACCTCAAGTCCACAGATTATACATTTCTTGATAGGTATTCCGCTCTCTGGATTGTCCACTGGGCGACCAAATTCGTGAGCATGTTTCCCATCGCCGAGATCATCGCCAAAATTCCCTCCACCTCCTTTCCGACCACGCTGATGTGCTTCCACTCTCGTGCGCTTCTTCAGGTCGGCCAGCCTTGACTTGAATTTGTTTTCCTTTCGCCTCTTTTTCTCATTTTGCCTCTTCTCAAATTCGGCATCCAACGCCTCGGCGGAACCCCACCTCTTTTCTGAAAAGGCATAGTCTTCCACCTGGCATCGCAAGTAGAGAAACATGTTATGCCAGGTAGATTTGTGTGGGTTGGGTCTCTCGAGATGTGGCAGGAGGTTTTCATCTTTGAGTTCCGGGTCAGTGAGCAGATAATCCTCCTTTGCTTCGGTCTTGGTGAGTAGGCTGTATCGCTCTGGGAATTTCTCTTTGCAAGCATTGCATACTGCGATATCAAAGACGTCTAGCCATTTCCAATCGACCTCCAGCGTGCCGCATTCTCTGCACGACTTGGTGTTCTGATCTTGCGCCGCACTGATTCCGGGTTCAAACGGGCCAGTCTTCTGATTTCGCAACGATCTCAGCAGTTGCTGTCTCTCCCATTCTCCCTGAGTCACATGGGCAGGCTTGACGTCCTGTTCATTTGCGTGCATTGCTTTATTGTGAGGATCATCGTCCGCAGTCAGGAACCCACCCTTCGTGTCTACCATCTTACTGAAATCATACTCGACATACTTGGCAAGATTCCGCGCAGGCTGGATGGCTTCGAGCGGTCGCGCAGGGTTCGCCGGGGATCTTGCATCTCGGTTGGAAACGGGAGCCCCAGCAAATGTCTCAAAACTTCGTTTCTGTCCAGCGGCCGAGCTGTCTGACCGTTTGAGTATGGTTGCACCTGCGGCTTCTGCATCACGCTGCTCTCGGAGTGCTTTGGCCTTGAGTCGATTGATCTCGATCCTCCTAACCTGCTCCGGCGTCAAAGGTGAGGTAGCAGTTTCGCCACTCCGGGGAGGAGGCGTCGAAGGACGCGTTGACATCCTATCAGTAGGCGATCGGGAGCCGGTAGTGTATGAGGAACGATAAGATCTCGACAACTACTCTAAAGCGACACACGCCGTGCATACCTCTATCGTGGCATCAATGCTCCAGAGAGAGATGGCTTTTGATAATCTGGGCGCACGCGCAGGTAGAATGACGAACAGCCCAATCCGGTGCCTGGATTATATAAGCGCCTGGCGGCCTGGCGAGCCACTCGGTGAAGGAATCTCCGAAGTCGCAAGCGAGCAGTCCCAAAAGTTTTGGTCTCATACAGAGCTTCCGCTCTCTCTCCAGAACATCAAACCTCGTGGACATTTGTGAGTCAGATACTGTCGAGTCATGATGGCAACCAAGACTGCGCGTTCAGATTTCGAGCATGTCTTCCCATCCCTGGTGCAAGATCTACTTGGAGAAGCCAAAAAGTTCAACCTTCCCAACAATGCACTACAATGGTTCGAGAAGGTAGGCTCTTGCGATCTTTTCAAGTGAGATGCTCTGTTGACTTGGCACTCAGTCCCTCAACGCGAACACACCTGGTGGCAAGTTGAACAGAGGCATGTCAGTGCCAGACACTGGCTCACAACTCCTCGGACGGCCTCTATCCTCCGAAGAATTCAAAGACCTCGCAACCCTCGGCTGGCTTACCGAACTCCTACAAGCTTTCTTCCTTGTCAGCGACGATATCATGGACTCGAGTATTACACGCCGGGGGGAGCCATGTTGGTACCGACAGCCTGGAGTTGGAATGATTGCCATAAACGACGCATTCATGCTAGAGTCAGCAATATACCTCATCCTCAAGAAGCACTTCCGCTCACATCCCGCATACCTTGGCCTGATCGAGCTGTTTCACGAAGTAACATGGCAGACTGAGCTGGGTCAGCTTTGTGATCTTATTACTGCTCCGGAAGATAATGTTGATCTCAACAACTTCAGCATGCAGAAATACACATTCATTGTGATATATAAGACGGCATATTATTCCTTCTACCTGCCTGTCGCCCTGGCACTGCACTACCTTCGATTGGCCACTCCACAAAACCTGAAGCAAGCACACGACATCCTCATTCCTCTTGGAGAGTATTTCCAGATCCAAGACGACTACCTTGATGCGTTTGGCGATCCTGCAGTGATCGGAAAGATTGGAACAGACATCAAGGACAACAAGTGTGGGTGGTTGATCAACCAAGCGCTCTCGATCTGCACACCAGAGCAGAGGAGGCTGCTGGATGAAAATTATGGACAGAAGGACGACGCGAAAGAAGCTCGGGTGAAGGAGTTATACAATGAATTGCAACTGGAGAAGAGATACCAGGACTATGAAGAGAAGCGCGTTGGCGAGATCCGACAGATGATTGCAGGCGTCGACGAAAGTGAAGGATTGAAGCGAGGAGTATTCGAGGTATTTTTGGCCAAAATCTACAAGCGCAGCAAGTAGGCCTCACGTAGACATCCTATTGCTGAGAAGCTCGTCATGTGCTTCAGCATCCTGATACCTTGCAGCATCTGCGCCTATGTCGCATTCGCGATGCGCCTGGCAAACTGCAAAGAATGCGGGACCATCCCCCAATAATTCGGGGTGCGTTGGGTCCTTGAAAGTGCTACATCAATCACAAACGCAGCTTGAGACCTAAGGTGGACACATAAACCAAAGCTTTGAAACAATTCGCGGGAAAGCCACTCGAGCCACCTATCTGACAATGAGGCCTAGACCGTATGAGGGAGCCGCAAGCTCAAAATGACGTTGCTAGAGCATTGTATTATGGGTGTGATCCAAGCAAGCATAAAGGTAACTGTCATTAGCCCCAGACTGGCGAGGCAGCTCGTCATTCTTTGCCCCAGAGCCGCGGTCCTCTGTTTCCCCAAAGTCGATATTCTGCACAGACCGTTGCATTTGGCCTCGAAAACAGCTTCGTGGACACACGCAGATCTTTACATGGGCTTCTCAAGAGCTTCGATCTCGAGTCTGGAGGTTTCCAAGACGAATCTGGCCCAAGGATCCAGCTGCCCTTGCTTTGTGGTGGATCCGCTCCTCGACTCCTCATCCACCGAATCCACTCACTACTGGCACTCCAAAGAACGGTCGCATTATTTCGGCCCAGCCTGCCTCAATTTCTTGCCATAAGCTACCACTGTTCTGCATTACGTCTTCTGCTTTTACTCCTCGGCGGTGCTCTTGTAACTGCCAGACAAACCTTCAATAAGACAGATCTTGCAGCTTCAAGAGTCCTAGCTTTTGCTTTTGACATCCGGTCCGCCATAAGTTGTTTGAACGAGCTGCGCTTCTGCGGGGAAGTTTTCGCCCTCGAGTTCACAGCAGCAGAGTCCAGCTCTGCTCATCCCTCTCCTTACTTTATACCCACGGAAGACTGCACCGCCAACATGAACGGCGACACGGGGAAGAGAGACATCAAGAACCATTTGCTGTTCGAGGTTGCAACTGAAGTTGCAAATCGAGGTCCGTGATCTCGCAACAGCTGTGGACATGTGCTAATTCTGTACAGTGGGTGGCATCTACTCGGTACTCAAGTCGAAAGCTCCAGTCACCACTGCGGAATATGGCGAAAGATACACCCTGATCGGGCCTTTGAACAAGAACTCGGTATGCGCATCACCAAGAATTTGCGAATACACGCTCACCAGTACAGGCTGCGGTCGAAGTAGAAGCCCTTGAGCCTCCCCCCGGTCCATTACGAGAAACGATTGCATCTATGCAAGAGCGTGGCATCGAGCTGATGTACGGAAGATGGCTGATTGAAGGTGCTCCAAGAGTCTTGCTCATAAACACTGGAACGGGTTATCGTTGGCTTGACGAATGGAAGGGAGACCTCTGGTCAATAGCTGGAATTCCTTCTCCCGCTGGAGATCACGAAACGAATGAAGCTATTGTGTTTGGCTACCTCGTGGCTTGGTTCCTAGGCGAAGTAAGAGCTGGTGGCAGACAATTGCCGATTTTGAGCTGACATCTTCTAGTTTCTCTCCCGCGAAACGAACCGCGCAGTTATCGCCCACTTCCATGAGTGGCTGTCCGGAGTTGCTCTTCCCTTGACCAAAAGGCGTCAGATGGACCTCACCACCATCTTCACCACGCACGCTACTCTCCTCGGGCGTTATCTCTGCGCCGGTTCGGTCGACTTCTACAACAATTTGCAATATTTCGATGTCGATGCAGAAGCTGGAAAGCGTGGCATCTACCATAGATACTGCATCGAAAGAGGTTCGGCGCATTCCGCCGATGTGTTCACGACGGTCTCCCACATTACCGCTTTCGAAAGCGAGCATTTGCTGAAGCGGAAACCGGATGGTGTCTTACCCAATGGTCTGAATGTCAAGAAGTTCTCGGCTGTGCACGAGTTCCAGAATCTCCATTCCGTACAAAAGGAAAAGATCCATGAATTCGTACGAGGACATTTCTATGGTCATCTGGATTTCGACTTGGAGAATACGCTATACTTCTTCACGGCTGGAAGATATGAGTATCGAAACAAAGGTGTCGACATGTTCATCGAGTCCTTGGCACGTTTGAACCACAGACTCAAGGTCACCGGTTCCAAGCTTACCATCGTCGCCTTCCTGATAATGCCGGCCCAGACAACTTCTCTATCGGTCGACTCCCTCAAGGGCCAAGCAGTGACGAAATCATTGGCCGACACGGTCTCCAACATCGAACGCGGTATTGGGCGTAGACTTTTTGAAAGATCTGTCCACTGGAAAGAGGGAGACCCTATGCCGGACGAGAAAGAGTTGATCACACCAGCTGATCGTGTCATGCTCCGACGTCGACTTTTTGCTATGAAACGACACCAGTTGCCGCCAATTGTCACTCACAACATGGTCAACGACGCAGAGGATCCTGTCTTGAGCCAGTTACGCCGGGTGCAGCTGTTCAACTCATCCTCGGATCGTGTCAAGGTTGTTTTCCACCCGGAGTTCTTGAACTCTGCCAATCCAGTTCTGTCTTTGGACTATGATGACTTCGTCCGCGGCACCCACTTGGGTGTCTTTGCTTCCTATTACGAGCCATGGGGTTACACGCCTGCTGAGTGCACCGTTATGGGTGTTCCTTCCATCACCACTAACCTGTCGGGTTTCGGATGCTACATGGAGGAGCTCATTGAGAATTCGTCCGACTACGGCATCTACATCGTCGACCGCCGGCTCAAAGGCGTCGATGACTCCGTCAATCAGCTGACTGACTACATGTTCGAATTCGCCAACAAGAGTCGGAGACAGCGGATCAACCAGCGAAATCGTACAGAACGTCTCAGCGACCTCCTCGACTGGAAACGTATGGGCATGGAATATGTGAAGGCTCGACAGCTCGCCTTGAGACGTGCCTATCCCGCCTCCTTCGAAGACGCTGATGAATTTGACGACATCATTGGTGGCACCGAGCAAAAGATATCGAGACCACTGTCAGTGCCAGGATCCCCAAGAGATCGTTCTGGCATGATGACACCAGGGGATTTCGCCTCCTTGCAAGAGGGAAAGGAAGGTCTAAGTACCGAAGACTACATTGCGTGGAGGTTGCCGTAAGTACCACTGTTGACGACAACCACGCTCACCATGCTAACTGCGTGTCTAGTGAGGAGGAAGAGCCAGATGACTATCCTTTCCCACTCACGCTCAAGACCAAGAAGGATTCCGGACCCAACTCTCCTGCGCCGCTTGTTGGAGGGATGAACGGTTCATGAGATGGCAACGCCCAGCCAGAAGATGTCGCAAGAGATTGGATACCTCAGCATCCAGCAAGTAACACTGTAACTTCGAATGGAGGAAGCAGCAAGCAGCCAGACACAGTGCGTTATCAATTTGAAGGGGTATTTCCAACGCAAGTTGCTTTTCCAGTTCTGGGTCCTTGATGCCGTTTCTCATGTATCGATCATCTGCATCCGCATCTCAGCCGAGCAAGCACCGTCGTATGGTACAGGCTGGCTCATGTTGATTACTAAAGCAAAATCGTAATGTTACTGTCCATGACCATATTCTGGCATTTCTCGCGTAGAACCTGACACATTCGGACAGGTCATGTCTGCCAATAACGGCGCGGCTCGACGGACTACCTCAGAGGAGCAACACTTTCCAAGGTTGCACTACAGTTGGGAAGTCAACAGTATTGTGGTGCCAGATGATACTTCGTAGCAAAGATAAAATATTCCAATCTCATTCACAGCACTAGCCTGCACACACCTCCCCACGGATGCAGGGTTTTATGAACCTCTCTCTTCGGAGGGGATGGAACATCAAGACTTAGACCAGAGATGCCATATAAAAGCAAGAGACGCAATAGTAGTGTCGGTGAATGAGTTCGGGCAATGCCTTCGCGCCAGCCAGTCAATCATTCAAGATACTATGCGGGGACTTCCATCCTACGGCAGGAGAGTGGCACTAGCGGGTATCCGCACCAGGGATTCTCTGGAATTTTTCCTTCGTTGACAGGCTAACCATTTCAGAGCCCGCAAGCCTACAAATTTTTGGGCGCTCGTGTTTTACCTCACAGAAACTTGTTCCTTTCGATTTCCCACCGATTGCTCGCTTACAATGGGTGTTGGACGCCGGTTCAAGAAGCAGGGTCCGCCCGCCACCCTCGAAGAACTGGGAATCAATCTGAAAAGAAAACCTAACAGCGAACCCTCCCGTGAACCTGCGAAGAAGAGACGGAAATCTGACGAGCACGATTCAAAGAAATTGGTCAATCTCGACCGAGCGCTCAGGACCGACAATGTGACAGACCCGAAGTCAACAAGCAGCAAGACAGGCGAGAACAAGAAGAGTAAGAAGAAGAAGCAAAAGCTGGTCAATCCCGACGCGCAGATAACAGTCCCTCCGAAGTTCCCCTCAATGCCCGAGTCAAATAAGCAAGAAGAAGAAGAAGAAGAAGAAGAAGAAGATAAGGAGGAGGCAAGTGAAGCGGAAGGTATTCCACTGGATGAGGCTTCTTTGTCAGGCATGGAAGAAGACGAAATGGTGGAAGAAGACGAAATGGTGGAAGCAGAACTTGAAGATGCAGTGTCTGAGGATTCTGTATTCGACTCCGATCCAGATGAGCAGCCGAGGCGCATGTTCTCTGACGATGAAGACGAGTCCGACGCCGAAGCCCAGCTGACCGCCGCGAACATCGAGGGCCTCTCAAGAAAATTAGACCAAGAGCAGGCTCAGGTCGAAGCCGAAGCACAGCAAGAATTGGAAGATGCCGCTTTGCAAACAAACATTGCTAAAGATGAAGGCGTCTTGGACGCTGTGGCGGCGCAGGGCCTGGCACCGGATCTGGCGGTTCTGCGAACTCGAATGACTGAGACTATTCGCATTTTGGGCAACTTCTCCAAGCTTGCGGACAAGTCAAGGTCGCGGACCGATTACACCGAGCAATTGCTCTCCGACGTTTGCACCTATTACGGCTACACCCGATATCTAGCTGAGAAACTGTTCTCGCTTTTCACACCTGCGGAGGCATTCGCCTTCTTCGAGGCCAACGAGACACCGCGTCCAGTCGTGCTGAGGACAAACACTTTGCGCACCAATCGTCGTACCCTTGCCCAGGCATTGATAAACCGAGGCGTGGTGTTGGAACCTGTTGGCAAATGGTCAAAAGTAGGACTGCAGATCTTCGAGTCGCCGGTCCCATTGGGTGCCACGCCAGAATATCTTGCAGGTCACTACATATTGCAGGCCGCTTCTTCATTCCTCCCGGTAATGGCGCTTGCGCCTCAAGCAGACGAGCGTGTCCTCGACATGGCCGCTGCGCCTGGTGGAAAAACCACCTACATTTCCGCCTTGATGCGCAACACCGGGGCGGTCTTCGCGAACGACGCCAACCGCCAGCGTGCGAAGGGTCTGATTGGCAATATTCACCGCCTCGGATGCAAGAACGTGGTTGTCTGCAACTATGACGCTCAGAAAGCCTTTCCGAAAGTGCTTGGTGGGTTTGACCGAGTCTTGCTTGACGCTCCATGCTCTGGCACAGGTGTCATTGGCAAAGATCCGAGTGTCAAGACCTCCAAGGATGAGCGTGACTTCTTGGCCTTGCCGCACATGCAAAAGCAGCTGCTCCTGGCTGCCGTTGACTCGGTTGATCACAAAAGCAAGACCGGCGGCTACGTTGTCTACTCGACGTGCTCGGTGACCGTCGAAGAGAACGAGGGCGTGGTTCAGTATGTCCTTCGTAAGCGACCAAATGTCAAGATCGTCGACACTGGGCTTGGGAACTTCGGATCCGAAGGTTTCAAGAGCTACATGAACAAGAAGTTCGACGACAAGATGACATTGACGAGACGATACTTCCCGCACCGCGAAAACGTCGATGGCTTCTTTGTCTGCAAATTGAAGAAGACTGGCGCGACGCCCAACAACGCAGGGCAGATGAACGGACTGAAAGTATCTGAACGGAAAACGCCGGTCGTCAATGGCAGGAAAGCCATGGCAAACGGTGATGGGGATGAAGACGAGGCAGATGTGGCTCCAGACAATGACTTCGGCGGCTTTGATGACGAGGAAGATCAAAAGTACATTGCACAGGCTGAGAAGAAGTGGCTCAAAGCTCGTGGTCTCGACCCTAAGGTGGCGGATCGAAAGAATACTGATAAGACAACGGAAGCGAACGGGATCAAGCAAGCAGCGAAGGCGAAGCCCGAGAAAAAGCGTAGTCGGTAGAAGAGGATGGCTCGGAAGATAGAAGGCGCTCAAGACCCAGCGCCGTAGAATGGCTCATTATCATTGCACTGCAGAGTAATATCTTAGTATTCTTCCTCTCCCACTAAACTGAATCAATGGGGCAACGTATGTGAGCGCTTACGAAGAGTCAATCGCCAGATGGTCCCACCCGCTATCGCAGCTGCAGCCAAAACAACAAAGAATAGTGTCGCCAGCATCCACAGAGGTCGTCGATTTCTTGCTAGGAAAGATCGCCATGGTGTCGGGACATCCTGCTGAACTGATGCTATCTCTGGTGAACATCTTGGATCATCTTCGTGCTTTATCATGCCCTCATGCTCGATGATTGCTGATGGCCAGCGTGTTACTGTGCTTGTTAGCTCGGATTGGACAGTCCTGCTAGTGATTGCGCTTCTGTCATCGGCAAAAGAGACATGGTCCAGCCTATGAGTACGCTTGATTGGCGAAGGGGAGGAGCAAGTGCTGCATTGTTTCCCGTGTGATGTGATGCTCGAAGCACTTTCGACGTCCAGATGTCTTGGCAGTGCCGCAAAGACATCTTCAGCAAACGACCTCTTCCGAGTCTTGGGAGAATGTGCAGGAGAAGGTAGCCGATACGAGCGTGGAGGTATCGCCAAGGGGGACAATATGATTATAGGGCGCAAGTTTGGGAGAGAGGTCTTCGGCCGAGGCGGGCGCGGTGGCGGTGAGGATGGCGGTGGGATTTGAAGCGGACTCAGTGCAAGGCATGAGGTTGATGATGTCAACCGTTTGGGTGGTGTTTGAGGGATGGAGCTCGTCCCGGAAGAAGAGGAGATTGTGAGCGGAGAGGTCAATGAGAAGGATTTGCGCGCCATTGCCCTCCAGGATCAGCATCAGGTCAAGTCATGGTAGCCCACGATACCGTCTTCTGTCAATCGGTAGTATAAAGTGCAGTCAATGCTCTTGACAGTAACAGAAGAGACTCGAAAAGAAGGAGAATGGCTCCCCCGGAAGGGCCGCTGGGGCGGTCATGATGTGCAACAACTCGACGTTATGTTACGGACGGGTTGTCTTGGACAGAATGGAACAAAATAGTAATCTGTCAGTGACACATCATGGCCACATCTGGGCTGCAACGATTCAACGGCCGTATGCATATGCAGTGTCGATCTGGCCTGGCAGCTGATGGGCTGGAGAAGGCTGCGCATGCTGTGGAAGGGTCAATTCCAAGTCGGTTAATGGATAGAGTAATGATTTCTTACTTGGTTTCACAACTCATCAGAATTTCCATGGACGCAGAATTGCGACGAGAGATTGTCCGCATTTGAGGTAAGACAGAGGGAGTAGTGGTCGCAGAGGCGGAAACGGTGGCAGAGTGTGCCATTGGTCTTCGATAAATCCACCCAGCCTTGCGGCATGTAGCATTTCCATTGTCATGGTTGGCGACCCGACAGCTTCAAACCCAGCCTATCGTCTTTCTGTCTATTATCCACCATGCAACATCAGGTGCGTTGTCGGCTGCTAAGGGTGTGGCATGATGGCCCAAGGAGAAACAGGGATCATTGGGTCTACGATTGTAAAGGATTTGAGAGAAAACCGCTTCAGTGTAAAAGGCCTTGTCTTCCCACTGCTTAAGGCTTCATGAACGGATCCCATTCCGTCATGGTTGGTAATTTGGGTCAGTGACGGCCTCATCATAGGGCCAATGACAAGGTCACGCCACTGTACAGGAAGACACATATGTAGTGCCATACTGATCGATCTTTTTGCCTTTTCGGAGCTGGAGGCTGCTGGGCAAGAGGTGCTGGCAAAGGTTGCGTGCGAATGGCACCTCCGTTTCGGAAATCTGAGGCACATGATCGGGCTAGCCTCGTCGGGTATCGTGAAGTGGACTTTGATAGACAGGATCCGATGCAGGGCGTCGGGGCGGGGTAGAACGCGAGAATCGGTACCATCATTTGATCCCGCATTCGTCTTATTCTCCACGAAACAGCTGAGGGCGATTGCCAATCGTATATGAAGACTGCGCGTCTGCTTGAAATTTCAGGTTTGTCCTTCCACCCTCGCCCTTTCTTGTCTTCACCTTCCTTTGCTTCTGCAGCGTTTCCAGTGCCAGCATCGGTCCGGCGCCATATCGAACTTGATCCTCAAGCCTTGACGCAACAGTGAATAACTTTCAACATGAACGGTGCAACGAAGACCGGCGCAGCGCGCTTCGATCCCAACTTCACTCAGCATGTCATTGATGCCATGGGACCCAAGACATCTCCCAGGATGCGTGAAGTCATGACTAGTTTGACAAGGCACCTGCACGACTTTGCCCGTGAGGTTGAGCTGACGGTGGATGAATGGATGGAAGGTGTGGAGCTTCTCAACTGGGCCGGCCAGATGAGCAATGAAAAAAGGAACGAGGGCCAGCTAGTGTGCGACGTGGTGGGTCTGGAATCGTACGTCAAGCCTCAGCAGAGTTGTTGGCAGGATGTACTGACTTGTGACAGACTCGTAGACGAGATCACCTACAAGAAGGCATCCGAAGCCGCCGACATGGCCACGCAGAGCGCTATCCTCGGCCCGTTTTTCAGACACGATCATCCGATTCGAGAGAAGGGTGCAACCATCTCCTTCAACACCCCAGAAGATGCCACTCCCGTGTATATGTATGGCCAAGTGATGGATGCAAAGACCAAAAAGCCTTTGGCGAATGCCACAATTGATGTCTGGGAGGCTTCCACAAACGGTAAGATGGGGAAAACATGTCTCATGTTGAGATCTTGCCCTGACATGTGTTTCAGGACTGTATGAACAACAGGACGAGAACCAGGTAGATTCCAACCTCCGAGGGAAATTCAAGACCGATGAGAATGGCGAATATGCCTTTTACTGCCTGCGGCCGACACCTTATCCCATACCCTATGACGGACCGGCAGGCAAACTGCTGCAGCTTCTTGACAGACACCCTTACCGACCAGCACATATTCATCTGATTGTGAGTGTTGCTCTGACCGTGCCAAAAGCCGTCCAGCTAATCATGGCTTAGGTTTTGATTGAAGGCTACAAGCCAATCACAACGCAGATTTTCGACAAAGACAGCAAGTATCTCGACGACGACTCGGTTTTTGCTGTCAAGGACTCCTTGATAGTCGAATTTGTGCCTCGAAAAGGCGACTCCAAGGCCAATTTTGAATTGAGATATGATATCCTAATGGCTCCCATCGGCGAAAAAGGAGAATCCGGTCCCGAGAACGGACTGTCAACTGTGGGACAACCACAATACTGACACGGGCCTGAACAAGGAGATTGTTGTATTGTCTTGTATACTTTAGCGAATTCACCTTGATTGTGTTCATGATGCGTGTGCTATACGTAGAATACCGGTCGGTTGTATCCAGCACATAAACCGCGAGCCATCTTGTGAGGCTTGTTTCTTTCACCTCGGCTGATTATGTCAACATGCTACGGAGTATGGATGGCCTGCATTGGATTGGCTCGTCTAACAATTCAGTCAGCTGCACAGCCGCAAGGCAGAACCAAATCCCGAATGGGCTCCAGTTTCCAGGCTCATTAGGCTCGCCATGGCTTCCCTTTCCCCAGACCTTGGACTTTTTAATGCCCACTTCCGACGAACTTCAGCTGCTCCAAAACCTCGCAACTCCACGCAGATTTTGCTAGGTGCCATATCCGATTTCGTTGCCCGACCATCCGCTACGATCCGCTGGGTCCCGCTGGACTGCTTGCTGTGTGCGTTACCGGACGCAGCGCCAGTGGTCTAACTATTGTGTGGATGCCATGCCTCGACCCAGGGTCAAGGACGAAGATCGGAAAAGGGTCGCTCGGGCATGCGACACGTGCAAACGCAGAAAAGAGAAATGCGACGGGCAGCAACCGTGTCTGCTATGCAAGCGACGCGGCAGAGAACCGGAATGCATCTTCACAGAGGCCTTTGCCAAAAGAGGGCCCGGACACCACACAGAAACACGTTCACCATCGCATCCGATAACCCTCAAGGATGCGCTGAATGAATCCAACGACGCAGAAATTGCCATTGAATCATTGCTGACATTGTCCGGCTCAAGGAGCGCACCAAAGTCACCTCAGTACGAGCGGGGACCTGATGATCTCATTTCGAGAGCCCCAGTACCAAAGCTCGCCAGACTTCTTCGCGATGGCAGGGGTAAATTCATCTTTGTCGGAGACTCGAGTAATCTAGCTTTCGTTCAGAACATCCGCCGTCTGGTCAAGGCAGAAATCGGAGAATGCGGCCTAACAACAGATCCTCTTCGCCATGCAATGTGCGAGGTCATCCCACCACACAAGGTTCCGTCACCACTGCAGACTCAGCATCCCAAGCCGACCGAATCTGAAGCACGCGATCTGGTCAAACACTATCTCCTGTGTTCAAGTGGCGTAATAGACTTGTTTGACCCAGACGAAATCACGGATCATCTGTGTGCTTGGACACGAGATTCAGCGACAGAGACGGACTTTAACAGCTCCATTTATTATCTGGTCATGGCTATCGGCGCGTTGTGTCGTAATGTCAGTGATCTCGACACAGCGGAGTTTTATTTCATGAGAGGTCGAGAGATTGGCGTTTCTAGCTTTCTTGAGGACCCGAGTGTCCTGACTATCCAAGCCTATGCCCTTATCACGTTTTACATGTTGTCCGCTACGCGCCGCAATGGCGCATTCATGTTGATGGGCATTGCTGTTCGAGCAGCTTATGCCTTGGGATTGCATAGAAGCGATATCTCAAATCTCTTTGAACCGCGCGAGAGGCTTGCTCGAGAAAGAGTCTGGAAAAGCCTACGTGTGCTCGATTTGTATATGAGTGGCTCACTTGGGCGACCGCCAGCAACGTCCGAAGTCGACGGTGGAAGCGTCTCTTGGAATCGATCTACCAGAGATTACGAAGGAATTCAGATGAACGGACGAAATACTTCGGCAACGTTGAGGATTTGTTTCATCTTCGAGCGGATATTGAACGAAGTGTATTGTCGCCGAGAAGTCTCCGTCCAACTCGTGGAGAGTATATCCAGGCAATATCGAGATTGGACAATGCAATTACCAGCGGGCCTGCAGGCAGACAGCTTGGACCAGAAGGCAGGTACGACATCTCCGACCCTGCGGCAGACAATCGGCATTGCGCATCTCAAAGGTGCATACTATTGGTCAATCATCCTTTTGACAAGGCCGTTTTTGATCTTCAAAGTGTCTTCCAAGATCAAGGGGCGGCAGGATGAGGACGACACAGCAGGAAATTCCGTCACCATGACATTGAGTGAGGCTTGCATCGACGCTGCATTGAGGAGTATCGAGATCGCAACCGATCTTGTGCACACTCCTGGTGTCCCAAGGAGGCTTTTCATGGTTGCCAACAGCGTTTTCATCTCTGCCATGGTGATAGGGTTTGCCATCTTCGGAGACTTTGACAAGTCCTTTCCTTTGCTAAGCAGTATTGCCCAAGCAGAGTCCATCTTGGCGATCGTGGCGAGGGATGATTTATCTGCTCGCCGACATGGTGAGATCACGAGAAATTTACACCTGGCTGCCCTCGAGCACATCAAAAGGCGCGATCAGATACAGATGCAGAGACGCAGGCAGGACATCCACAATATATTCGGAGATCCAATCAACAAGAGCAGCAGCGCAAAATCTACAAGACCGGGCACAGGCACCCACACTCCCGTTGATGCTGCTGTATCAACCATGGGCGATCACAGTAACGGCCTGGGCAATTTTGACACCTCCGAGCCGGTCGAGGAGTCACCGCCACCATGGCAATTGCGGTTCGACATGCCAGCTGAGAGCCGTGGGCCCGTGCTGACCACGTCTGGAGCATTGGCTTACAACGGGGATGCTTCTGGAGAACAATGGCCTTCTGTACCACGAACGGACTTCGGGCAGATGCCTGAGACAGAATATCTTTCTCCCGATGGTTCAGGAATCCCAAGCCTTCCGTCTTATGCAGAAGAGTTCCCTCTCTTCTCATTAATGACGGAGTTCGACCAACTGCAAGACCCGTATACGGTGCCGGGCCCTTGAAGCAGGACCTGATCGATGATCAGGCTCAAGAAACAGCTGCCCGTGCGGGATACACAAGCAAAATCCATCTTGAGGTGTATCGTCCGTCGTCCCAGGTCAATTTGGGCTCTTCCGTGCTTCAGCCCGTGTCAAGGGAGCGGTACAGACCCGAGAAATCCAGCCAGAGAGAAACCACGCGCCCACTGCTACCAGCATCAGATACAGCCCTGTTGACAATAAGGACCGAGGGAAAAAGTCCAAAATATACCGATCCAGGATGATGTCGACCGCAACAGGAGGCACGTTCACCATGAGACTGTCATCCAGACTGTAGTAATCTGCAGCAGCATATACTCGGAGGAAGACAAAAGTCGTATCTGAATCAGGAGTCGCCTTGTGCTGCTGAAGAAGTTCCGCGTCTGCTGAACTGAGCTTCGCGTGGCGAGAGTATGAGTACTCGCTCAGAGATTGAAGGAGATCGGGATCCTGAAATACAACGTTGACTTCGAAGGCCCTAAGCGAGAAAGAGGTAGGCTGTGTTGCTAGCCAGCATATCCGGACTTCGTAGCGGTTGTGTGGACGTAGGCCTTCTAGGAAAAACCAATGAGCGGTTCCTTTGGGACTTGTGGTGTTGGGGAAGCTCGCTCCGAGATGAGTTCTGACTGTTGGAAATTTCTCCGATACTGATAAGAGAAGGAGGTTGTCGAAGCTTGCATCACGAGGCAGTGGTTCAGCAGAAGGTGATGTGAAAACGATCTTTTCAACATTTGCACAGACATACTGGAGGTATGCAAGCACAAGTAAGATGATGGAATTCATCGCCGTAGATGATGTCCTCAACTTCATCGCTGGATCATTGATAACTATTGATGCAAGTGCATCAGCCAGGCGTAGAAGGGGTGTTGACGGAAGTTTCCAAAGCCGGCATGTGATTGGTCTGACGCGCAGGCGGTGAAGGAAACGCGCACTGTCAACAAATTAACAATCCGCCATCAAAGTCCACCGCTAGCACCAAACCAAACCCCCACAATCACATACAGAAACTTGGCTGCAATCAACAGTCCATCAACCCTCTTCGTGCATCAGTTGTCGGATTCATAGAGTCATCTTGCGTCCTGTGTCTCAGTCGCCTTTGTTCAAAGTCCTACCTAATCCGCTGTCATCATGAGAGAAGTCATCAGCTTGAACGGTATGTCAACACGCGTCGCCCAATCCTGAAGCCCCTGGACAATCTACAGACTGCAGAATGTGAGCTAATCTATCATCGTGCAGTCGGCCAGGCTGGCTGTCAGATCGCCAACTCATGCTGGGAGGTACCGCATCTCCTCTCCATCGCAGATTGTACATTGACTGATGCGTGCAGCTGTACTGTTTGGAACACGGCATCCAGGTGCGTGGTTGGCGCTCTCACTGGCTCGTCCCCAATAACTGACTCGAACCTACCAGCCTGACGGATACCTCACAGAGGAACGAAAAGCAGCGGACCCGGATCAAGGTTTCAGTACTTTCTTCTCCGAGACAGGTACGCTCTTCACCTTCGTTGATTGATTTAGTGGTTCGCCGCTGATAACAAGACTAGGCAATGGCAAATATGTCCCCCGAACCATCTACTGCGATCTCGAGCCCAATGTTGTCGATGAGGTCCGCACTGGCACATACCGAAGCCTCTTCCATCCCGAACAGATGATCACAGGAAAAGAGGATGCATCCAACAACTATGCTCGTGGACACTACACTGTTGGCAAGGAGCTCATTGATCAAGTTCTTGACAAGGTTCGACGCGTGGCAGACAACTGCAGTGGTCTTCAGGGCTTCCTTGTCTTCCACTCCTTTGGCGGCGGTACTGGCTCTGGCTTTGGTGCCCTGCTGATGGAGCGCCTGTCGGTGGATTATGGCAAGAAGTGCAAGCTCGAATTCTGCGTGTACCCTGCACCTCAGGTTGCTACTTCGGTAGTGGAGCCTTACAACTCGATCCTCACGACACACACCACATTGGAGCACTCGGACTGCAGTTTCATGGTTGACAATGAGGCAATCTACGACATTTGCCGACGAAATCTCGGAATTGAACGACCAAACTATGAGAACTTGAACAGACTGATCGCTCAAGGTAAGAGCGTTGAGTTCTTTGTGCACTTCTTCGCTAAAGATGTCGATAGTTGTCTCATCCATCACTGCGTCCCTTCGATTCGATGGCTCGCTCAATGTCGATCTGGCTGAGTTCCAGACCAACCTCGTCCCATATCCGCGCATTCACTTCCCACTAGTGGCGTACGCTCCGGTCGTCTCAGCTGCCAAGGCACAGCACGAGGCCAACTCTGTCCAAGAAATCTCAATGGCCTGCTTCGAGCCCAACAACCAGATGGTCAAATGTGATCCGCGAAACGGCAAATATATGGCAACTTGCTTGTTGTACCGTGGTGATGTGGTCCCGAATGATGTCCACCAGGCTGTGGCTACACTCAAGACAAAGCGAACCATTCAATTCGTCGACTGGTGCCCAACTGGTTTCAAGATCGGTATCTGCTACCAGCCTCCTCAGATGGTGCCTAATGGAGACCTTGCCAAAGTCAACCGCGCAGTGTAAGTCACGGACCACTAAATTGCAAGGACATTTCTGACTTCCATAGCTGCATGCTTTCGAACACGACCGCCATTGCCGAGGCTTGGTCAGCGCTGTCTCACAAGTTCGACTTGATGTACTCCAAGCGTGCTTTTGTGCACTGGTATGTGGGTGAGGGCATGGAAGAAGGTGAATTCTCCGAGGCTCGCGAGGATCTCGCTGCGTTGGAGAGAGACTACGAGGAAGTTGCCAGTGATTCCATCGAGGAGGGAGATGGCTCTGAGGTCGAACATTAGCCCCGATCTTCTGTCTGCCTGTTGTTTAGTCACGTTATCAAGCTCGTGGTCGAGCATGCAAGGAGTGCGGGAGCCATTATTACCAGGTATTTCAGTTGCTGATTGAGTCGTGCAGCAAGGGTTGAATGGCCCTTGAATAAATTCTCTGCGAGATGAACATAATTCAAACTTCACAGAATTGCTCAATCCGGGCTGTCAAAGGGTGGCCAGGGAAATGAACAACTCGAGAATTTCTATCCGCAGTTCTGTTTATTACTCCGTATTAGATCTAGAGTCGGCCTCATATGCCCCGGTGGCTCGAGCCGTCTCCGATGGGCTTAATAAGGCTCACCAGGCTCACTAGGCCCACTGTAGGTGACTGGAGCTTCCACCTTGGCACCGGCAAGCAGCAACTCCTTGTTAGTTCGTCATCGCGATCCCGTCTGCCACTGCGCGAACGCTCCAGCCATTTCTTCAGATACTCGACACGGCCTCTGAGGTTGATTTCTTTGACCTGGACTGCAGTTGCGTACACGACGACGTTTGATTTCGTACTCGTTTCTACAAGCATATTGCTTTCTCATGTCATCCTACTCTACGTGCATCCTCTAGTCTTACCCGGTGTAATCCGTCGCGGCCATAACATTAGAAATTGTCTTCGGTAATGGCGGAGGCTATAGGTTTATCAGCTTCAGGTCAGTCTCTGCCGCAGAAAAGTGTCACAGGTTTCCTCGCGACTGATGAATCACTCGCAGGACATCCGAACCTGAACCTCAATCCTGAAGAGAAAAGAATATACAGCCAGCTCCTGAAAGAGGCCGACCCTGATGGCTTCGGAGCTGTATCTGGAGATGTGGCTGTCAAATTCTTCGAGCGAACGAAGCTTCCTCCAGATGTCCTGGGACAGGTCAGGATGAGCTCTACCCAAGCATAGGGCCCGACGTTGACAACCTGCAGATTTGGCAGATTGCCGACGTTGAGAATCGAGGCTTCTTGACACCAGCAGGCTTTGGAATGGCTTTACGACTCATTGGTCATGCGCAAGCTGGCAGATCACCCTCTGCGCAGTTGGCACCACAGCGTATGGCGCAGGTTACGAGTTAAGGAGTATTAGCTGATAATTCCCAGCGGCGCCTCTTCCTCAATTTGACATGTCGCATACTGATCAACCGCAATCCCAATCGCAATCCCAACCGCAATCCCAACCCCAGCCGCAGCCGCTGCCACAACCGCAACCGCAACCTATTCCCCAGCAGTCGACTGGACCGCCAGCGAGCCCGACTCCGCCAACAGCTCCCCCGATCCGTGTACCTCCGTTAGGTCCAGACAAAGTTACAGAGTATTCGTCCTTGTTCGAGAAATCAGGCGCAGAGAATGGAATCCTTCCAGGGCTGGTTGCCAAACAAATTTTTGAAAGAGCAAGACTACCAATTGAAGTCCTGGGTAGGATCTGGGCGCTTTCTGATACGCAGGGCCGGGGCTATCTGGATGTCACAGAGTTTGTCATTGCTATGCATCTTTTAGCATCCTACAAATCCGGCCAGATGCGAGGTGTTCCCAGTACCTTGCCACCGGGCCTTTATGAGGCTGCCAGTCGTCGTCTTCCTGTGCGAATGGGAAGTGGTTCACGTCCAGGCTCCAGTGCGGTGCATGGGGTCCCTCCGCAGTTTACCGGTTTCAATGCTCGCCCACAGAGCCCGATTACGCGACAGCAAGTCAGCACACCGCTATCAGCACAATCGACTGGAGAAGCTTGGGTTATCACACCTGCTGACAAAGCTCGGTTCGACTCGATCTTCGCAACGATCGACCGTCAAGGATCGGGCTACATCAATGGAGAACAAGCCGTCGAATTCTTCGGAAATGCAAGGCTGCCAGAGGAAACCCTTGAACAGATCTGGGATTTGGCCGATATCCACTCGCGAGGCCAATTGAACAAAGATGAATTCGCTGTTGCAATGTACCTGATTCGGCAGCAACGAGCTACAAAAGATGGCCGTGGTAACTTGCCCTCAACTCTGCCTCCGGCTCTTGTTCCACCGAATATGCGCAAGCAACAGGTTCCGCCACCGCAGCCTACTGCGCCGTCCTTCGAAAATGCACCTGTGACCAAGCCTCGATCAGCCGCCGATGATCTCTTTGGACTTGATGCATTTGGACATGCACCTTCTGCTCCAGCCGCTCCACCAGCCCAAGCTCCACAGTCGACTGGAGGCACTGATGCTGGTCCATTTGCCAATCCTCCCGGATTTACGCAATCACTCTCTCCACAGGCTACATCGACAACATTCAAACCTTTTGTCCCTTCCAGCTCTTTTGGCCAGAGCATTATTCCACAGTCGACCGGCTCCCCTGCCCCTCAGATCAAGTCGGCACCAATGCCGAGTGACGACTTGCTTGGGGATGCAGACCCAGAAGTCAGTTCAAAGCTCACGAACGAGACGAGTGAACTGGGAAATCTCTCAAACCAGGTTAGCACATTGTCAAAGCAAATGACAGACTTGCAGGGCACGAGGAAGCAGACGGAGCAGGAAATCTCAACCACCACGGCACAGAAACGAGCATTCGAAAGTCGACTGGCTCAATTGAGATCTCTGTATCAGAAAGAGGCCCAGGAAGTAAAGGCACTTCAAGAACAGCTGACAGCAAACAAAAACGAAACAAAGAGGTTGCAGCAAGATATGGCAATGATTGATGGCGCTCACCAGGATTTGTCAACTCAGCATGAACAGTTACGGGCTCAGCTGGAATCTGATCAACGTGAAAATGCTGCATTAAAAGACCGCATCCGCCAAACAAACCAAGAGATTGATCAACTTAAGCCTCAGCTCGAGAAGCTGAAGTCTGATGCGAGGCAACAGAAAGGTCTCGTCGCCATCAACAAGAAGCAGCTCGCTACCAATGAGGCGGAGCGAGATAGAATAAAAGCAGAAATCGCGGCTTCTCAAAAGGAAATCGAAGATGCTCAGAGAGAGGCGGCAGAGTCAGCACGACTAGTGGAAACCTCGAAGAAGGAGCTGGAAGAGGCACGAAACGTACCTGTTCCGTCGACTCACGGTCCCCCTTCTGTCGCAAGTCCCGCCCCCTCAACGAGCTCAAATCCATTCTTCCGCCGCACCGCAGACACTGCCTTCTCGCCACCAATCTCAGGAGGAGAACCGAAGGATCAACAGAGCGCCTTTGACAATATTTTCGGCCCCTCGTTTGGTTCGTCCGCTGCTCCTCCGCCTGTGGTCTCTTTCACGGGCCCATCCTCTTCAGCTGCTGCTGCTGCTCCGTCGAGTGTCGAACCGAGTGAGACCTCAGCATCTAACACTCGAGATGCGGTAGAACCACCGGCACCGCCTCACTCGCGACAGATGACCTCTGCAGCACTTCCATTTCGGAGACCCTTAGAGAGAGGAGACTCTGTTAGTTCTTCTGTCAGAGTTGTCCCACCAGGCAGTCGACTGAGTCCCTCTGACACTCCTCGTGCTCTGACACCAACCACCTCAACTTCAAGTCCTTCCGGACCACCGGATCCGCACGAGGATCCATTCACGGCTGCTGCACCAGATGAGGAACAGGAGTTGGTACGACAAACTCTCCCTCAGCCTTCGTCTTCCGGCCCCGCCGAGGACACCTTTGGGGAACCATCGACAGGCCCAGTCGATATTCCTGGAGCTTTCCCCTCAGGTTCGCGATCTGAAACCCCTGCTGAAGGCGTAAATCCAACAGCGGTTGCCGCTGGAGCAGGCACTGCCACTGTTGCTGCGGCTATAGGGATTGCTGCGGGTGCCACCAACTCTGAAGAGAAGTCCGTAGGTCCGGAGTCAAGTCGAGAGACACCAGCAAAGTCCCCTGAGCAGACCTTCGACGAGTACTTTGGCGGCCCTGCTCATCAGCGCACGGCTTCCCAGAAAGCTGCTGACTTTGACTCAGCCTTCGCGGGCATGTCACAAGCCCCAGTGACCAATGGTGCCGGAAATCAGGCGGAAAATGAGTTTCCCGACATTCAGGAGCTCGAGGGCGATGACGACAGCAGTGAATACAGCGATGAAACACCCATGAAATTCGAAGACGATTTCAATACCAGATCGCCGCCAAGGGATACTGCACCTACTAGCGAGAACAAGGCTGGTAAGCAGCCTGAGGTCGCGCCTGAGACGCAGACGCTCAGACCTCCTTTGGAAGGTCCGTTGTCTACAGCAAGCTCGCTACCTGGAGCTGATCAACAAATGTCTCCTCCGACTTATGGTGACGTTGTCCCGAACGATAATCCGACACATTTCCCACCCGAATTCGAAGGATTGCTACCGGAGAGGCAAGATCCCACTTCACCACCTCCAACGGCTGGCGGCTCTACCCATCCTGGCCCTCCTCCAACTGGCAGTCCACCCGCCTACGGCCCCGAAGCTCACCCTAGAAGTCCATCGGACACGAAAGCGACTGCGCCTCCACCAACGAAAGCAGCCCCTTTCGACTTTGATAGCGCTTTCACCGGAATAGGGACTGCACCAGAGGAAGACGAGAATGATGAAGATGAGGAGGGCGGTGCTTTCACACCGGCGAAGACTGCAACTGACTTTGATCCCACTTTCGACTCTCCGCCCCAGACCAGGGCTTCCGCTGCTCCTCACCCATCCGCTTACGAATCGGTCACGAATGGCACATCTAGACCTGCTGAGCAGAACAATTTCCCCTCAAATGGAGCCCCTCCGGCGACATCTCTAGGATCTCCGGGCTCTACCGCCGGGACTGCGTCACACGACTGGGATGCACTATTTGCGCCATTGAACACCGACACGGCGTTCCCTGTGGGGGATACAACTGCATCAGCGGCAGATGAAAGTGTAGCGAGACAAGAAACTGGCGTGCCATCTGTGCCGCGAACAGAAATGACGCCCGCGTCACCCACAGCAGCTTCGCCTACCTCAACAGCACCCGCTTCCAAGCCTGACCGCCCTCAGCCTGGTCGAGCGCTAAGTACGGGCACTGAGCACGACGACCCCATCTTGAAAAGATTGACAGCAATGGGTTGGTCGCGAGACGAGAGTCTAGCCGCCTTAGAACGATTTGATTATAATATTGACAAGGTAGGGATGCCCAATCCGCAGCATGATGCAGCTTTTCTGACCAATACTTAGGCCGCCGACTACTTGACATTTCAGTCTTGATCAATTAGTCGTTCATAGTCAGATTTGTTCACTTCCGGAATGATATGGATTTTCCTCTCCAATCGATATGCCAGATGTTGGATCACCATGTCTCATTGCTTTTGCATTTCACTTTGAGCGACACAGCGTTATCTTGAAGCGGACGAGGGAGTGTTCTCTTGAATACAGGCACGTTTTGATTGAAGACCGGGCAGAATCTGACGGCAAAGGACCAGAAGCTACTTTTACAGATTCACTTTCCTCTGTCAAATTCTAAAGTCATTTAATCCCCGTGCAAGACGGCAAGCATATCTCAAAGTCTACAACAGTTGATTAGGGGTTTTTCGACATGTAAGAAATGTTTCAGCGTGATGCTTATACGCCTCAACTTGCCAGATAGTAGATCCGTGCATTCAAAACAGTCCATCAGGAAGCTAACAAAGGAGTGGAGGGACTGCAGAATGCAGTCGAGGAAGCAGTAGCATGCATAGCAAAGCCATTAGAGCCTCCAGGCTCAGCTCATCGGGTCCGGTTAGAAACCCCTCTCACCAATGCGTGGCGCACCTCCTTTCCAATCATGTCGCTCGTAATATCTGAAGACCAAATCATAGCCATCAAGGTCATGGACGATACGGTCCACGCGCCGATATCCCTTGATAGAGTCCATTTTCGCATTGCGACGAGCAACCTTGCGTTCAAGCATCTTGATCTCCGCCAATTCATCATGATCCGCATAGGCTCTCTCATGGTAGTTGGCTTTGGCTTCGAAGAGTGTAACACTGAATCGCCCAGGTTTAAAGATGTCCACCACATGCTGAATAATGTCGGTTGTCTCCCGGCCCTTCTGGCCAACGGGAACATTGGTTTCGAACGAAGCATAGGAGCAGATTGGCTCCGGAGTAACGTGCACAGTGAAGTAGTGAGTGCCCTTTTCGCCGTGAGGCGCTGGAATGACACCGTTGGCTGAAAACCCGCAAGGAGTGAACAAGTAAGCGTCGACGCGGGCATCGGGGTACTTGTCGGACGGGTAGACATCGGACAAGCCACATGCGTCGGACACCACGGTCCCGAGGGCATGTCCTTCAGTTGTGAGCTCGGCTGGGTACGGTTCCTCCCTCAAAGAAATATCAGCGTCGGATGAAGCATTGCTGAAAACATCCACATGGTCGTCTTGACCTCCTTGGGATCCTCTCCACTGATCTTCCGCGACCGCACTCGCATGGTCGAGGTAGAATTGCTTGGCATTCTCCTCATCCAGATCAGTCATGAGAACCTCGAGAGTTTCATCTTCACCTTCGCACACCTTCGAACCACGATCGACAACCAGAGAGGATGGCAAATCCAGCATTTTGGTTTCGGTGCCTGGACTTTCCATGCTCTGTGGACTTGCTGGTGGTGTCAACATGGTGTATGGTTCAGTCAAGTAGAGGTACCAATGCTCGCCGTTCATCTTGCCAATCATGTATGCACTTCCCCCCACGAAAAGCTTGTCAAGGGCATGGACTTCATCACGCCAGCTGCGATGTGGTCCTTGTTGTCGATCCGGGAAGAGGTAATTTTTGCGACTGTAGAAGACACGATATGGAGCAGCTGCCACCGCAATGCCGCGAGAAGGTGGAGCGGTAGAGCGTGAGAAGCCTCCAAAGAGTGTGGCAATTTCGAGAATACGTGGAAGGCCACACAGCAGGGTAGTTGTGCCGCACGTCTTCAAAATGAGCTTGTGGGGGAAGACGAACATGCTCGATTCCGAGAGCAGGTAGGCGTCGACATCTTCGGATTCAACAATGGACAATACTTTGCAATTGACCAAGTCGAGCATGGACTTCCATATATCTGCGGGCACGGCCTTCAGACCGGTCGGTTCGGAACAACCCTGAAGGGCGCTGGCGGATGGACTGAACCATACTTCTAGAAGTTTTTCAGGACCTACACATAATTAGTATCCGCAATCCAGCCGAGCAGAGATGACCGACCTTCGAATGCATTGCTAGAATCAAGATCTAGCGCAACTTCACGATTGATAGTCAAGGACGTACTATGACTAAAACTCGACGGTGAAGTGGTATAATGTTTGGGGATCCCAATATGTACCATATCCTTGTCGGAGGTGTGGACAAAGTCCGTTTGATATTGAAATTGGCAAGACAGGAGGCGAAGAGACACTGATCTGACGACTCAGTGAAGCACTATCTGCCACCCAGACGAACAATGCGGTGTCCGCCTGAGAAGAGAAGGCCCACTAATCTGTGGGAGTTGTGGAGGCTGGCTTTTGCCAGCAGCAATGTCTGATATGTTCTGTATTCCCTCTAAAGGGTCGTTATGGAGGCCGGAAGGAGGTGAGAAGAAAGAAGATCTCCTGCACGAACGGAATTGTGGGCAGAATTTATGTTCTTTCTCTTGGGTCAAGGCTCGATACCTGTCGCAGTACCGATAGCGGCGTTCGTGGTGTTTTGAGAAAGACGTATGAGAGAACGGTCAGTCTTTGGTCGATTGGAAGATATTTGCAAGTAGCTGGTGTTATCGAGGCCTAAAAGATGGGGTCAGCAGGAGTGGATGGGAAGCGAGAGGCCATTGACATACTTTGCAGGCTTGGATAGGAAGCGTAGCAGATCTTTGCGGCTCATAGAGATGTTGCTAGAGACTCCTAGAATCAAGGTCGGCTTTCACAACCTGGAAGAAGTTGGAATGGCCGAACAGGTTGATTTCGCCAGAACTGCGACTCTGCGAGGCTCTGTGTGAAAGTCGAAATTGGCTCAGCAGAAATTTCCACACGGCTTGGCTCGTGTGAGGGTTTGGAAGCGTTGTGAGGTGGCCGGATGCGACTCCAGTAGTCTGCAGATGCTTTGTTAAAAGCTAAAAGAGAAGAAAGATGAGATCCGAAGAGCAAGAAATTGTTTTGAAGCCAGTCAAAAGCGGCCGATTGAGGTGGTGTTACACCGAAAGAAGCTGCGCCGATGTTTTTGTGTGTGACGGTCCGAGTGGAGTGGCTGCGAAATTTTGGTGGCGATGATGAGCGGGAACCATGCAAACGCGGTGAATGTAGACGCCAATGACGAAGCGCTCTTTTGCTTGGTCTTGGTCTTGGTGGCAGCCAGCGAGCCAGGCACCGGTAATTCAAGCCGAACGAGGATCGATGATCGAATCTGCAGGTGTGTTTTCTAGAGCCTTGTACGTGGCGATTTCAGCATCAATATGAAAATGAAGCACGTGCTGCTGTATATTCAACGACTCTGAGGTCTTCGCTACCACAAAGCAACGATCTTCAGTTGCAGTTGGTCTTGGTGCGCGATGGGATCTGAAAGCAATATCGTGCAGCTCATCCAACCGGCACGCGAGCAAGGCTGTCAACGCCCGCCCCTCCATGCCTATTCCTCGGTGCCTGTAGCCCTTGGCGCCAGCCTGGTGAGCCCCGCGATAAGGCACAATTGCCAAAACCACTCCCACTCCCGTAAGGCTGAGAGAAAAACTTTGGGCCCAGGCGTTACGCCATCGGTGGACAATGGCGGGTTTTGCCGCTGTTGCTTAGCAATTACTTTTCGCAGACGTAGGTACTTACAGTACTCGTCCCAAACTGCGATTTCCTGAGGATCATCCCTCAGTATCCTCCAATCTACCATCATGGGTCTCGACAACATCAAACACGTTGTACTTGTCCTCTCCGGAAAAGGAGGTGTTGGCAAATCTAGCGTCACCCTTCAACTTGCGCTTTCACTCACCCAACAAGGTCACAACGTTGGAATCCTAGATATCGATCTGACAGGCCCCAGTATACCTCGTCTCCTCAATCTCGAAGACAAGAAGGTCACTCAAGCGCCCGGAGGCTGGCTGCCGGTCAAGGTACATGATGCAAGAGACGGACAGGTATCAAATATCAACGGCGAACCGTCGCCGTCTGCCTCAAAGCGCGGATCTCTTCACGCCCTGTCTCTCGCCTTCCTCCTACCATCTCGTTCTTCCGCTGTTATATGGCGTGGTCCGAAGAAGACTGCTATGATAAGACAATTCGTCTCAGATGTCTTGTGGCCACCGAATACAGAATACCTTCTTATTGACACACCACCGGGTACTAGTGATGAACATATCGCCATAGTGGAGGAGTTACATAAACTCGCTGCTGAAGTGCGGCCTGTCACAAACTCAAATGGCAATGGAATGACTTTGCACATCGACCCACGTCCCAAACTTTCTGGCGCAGTGGTGGTGACCACGCCTCAAGCTATCTCTACTGCCGATGTCAGGAAAGAACTCAACTTTTGTGCCAAAACTCAAATACCCGTGCTTGGAGTCATTGAAAACATGTCTGGATATATGTGTCCCTGCTGTGGAGAGATCAGCAATGTCTTCAGTAAAGGCGGCGGAGAAGTCATGGCTGAAGAAGCCAACATTCCCTTCTTGGGATCCGTGCCCATAGACACCGGCTTTGGTGCGTTGGTTGAGGGCGTCAACGAAGAGCATAACTCAACCACTCAGTCCGGTACAGCCAATTCCTCGCCAGAACAGCCCACGGAGCTTGTTGAAAAATACAGACAATGCGGGCTATGTCCCATCTTTGCAGAGTTCGCAACAAAAATCAACCAGAAGGTGTGAGGGCTGGACAACTCTTGAGGAACGGCCGATCGACTCAACTACGATACCAGGCCTTTATGGGCCCAACGGTGTGTCGGGCTCATTGGATAGGAGTACAGCATCATCATGGCAAGCAGACTACGCTCTCCTGGATATATCGTGTAATGATACTGTCTTGACTGGGTGCAAAACAAACTGCCGCTTGAATCGTCGAAGCGGCAGTTGGACCTCGTATCCGAAAGGAGTCTCTTCTGCCACACTGTTTGTCGTCGAATGGCACCCTTTACACGAATTACCCAGGAGACCGTGGAAGGTTGAAGACAAAGCAAAAGCAATGCGGCGCCCGGACGGCTCGGCAAGAAATTGTCTCACCAGTTGAGATGTGACCTGGCTACTAGGGATTATACATCCACGTCTACAGAGCCATCTCTCATGCCGGTCCGCTTTCCTAGGTACTAGCCAGCGTTTAGTGGAAGAAACGCGGGAGAAGCATTGAGGTGTTTACAGCCTCTTGGTACTTGTCACGGTTCATGAGGAGAGAACGTTGCAACGCGGCTCATTGTTGACTGCAAAGCCTTGTGTCCTTGGCAGCGGTTAAAGCATGGGTCACATCAGTCGGGTATTCATCAAGCCCTATCTCAATGATTCTGGTCGACCCCATTCGAGGCAGCTCCATTCGTGTCCTGGTGACCATTCGGATAAGAGTGCGTCTCCTGCTGTCGGACTTGCCATGGTAATGGGTCCTTGGCTGGCTGCGCAGGGCCTACATCTCCCGCCTCTGACCTCCTCCTCATCCACTCGTCAATATCTCTCTGGTCCACAAAATTTCCATGCAAGCCCAACTTCAATTTGAACGGTAAATGAATCACCGCAACAGGTCCCTGAGCCACATTGAGAGCCTCCAGAATTACGATCTCGTTTCTCAGCACATCCAGATGATTGAGCAAGGCGATGATATATCCCTCCCCTTCGCCTCCTCCCTCTTTTGGAATGAACGACGGTTCTTGGAACGTCGCTGTTGGACCTACGAAGAACACATCCTCCGTTCGGCCATCCCACGTGTAGTGGCCAACACAATTGAATAGTCCACCGGCTGGCGGACCACATTTTAAGAGGTCGTATGGCTTGGTCGGGTCGACTTTAGCCTGCCAGAAGTGATTGTACTTCTTTGTCACGTAGCGATCATCGATGCGCGAGAACTCGCCGTTGGTCATCCACGTCTCTGATGGATTCACTCTCGTCCCTGACTTGGCTTTGGGATCGAAAATCCATCTGCAGGTCGGACTGCTGAGCTGATTGCGCTTCGTGAGCGGAGCCTCCTCCTCATCCACGGGCGGGAAGAAGAAGAAGACATTACCATCTGCTACTGTTAGATCGAAAATGATGTGACCTTCTTCGTTCTCGTAGCAGCCGGCGATATGGCCGTGAAAAGCTGTCAAGTCTTGTCAATTGAGTTCTGTGTGAGCTTCGGCAGGCTGAATGCTTACCGTTGTCGGCCCTGAACCACACAATATCCTCTGGCTTCCCATCTCGTCTCGGCACGACGCCGTACCACTGATCCTCTTTAGAATCCCACGCCCAATGATTTTCTCCCTTCTTCAGCCTGTCCATCCCCGTCCACTTGATTGGCGTGAGTGGGAGCACCAGATAATTCTTGCTGATTCCGCAATCATGAATCATGCCGCAAAATGGTGCCTTGTACCAACATTCCTCAGTCTTTTTACCGTCACGATCGATCGTCCATACGACGATATCATTCGACCCGTCGTGTCCGTCGCCGCCAGCCTCATATGCGAAACACAACATTTCCCCCGTGTCTGGATCGAATTTCGGATGAGCCGTGAACGTAGGGGTGAGAATTTGGCCTTCAAAGTCATACCGCCCTATCGTTTCGAGTGTGACTGGATCCATGATATAGGGTGGCCCATCCTCCTTGGACGCGAGGAGTACGCCACGCCAGAAGGTGATGTTTGTGTTCGCTGCGGTGCGGATCACTCCCTTGACCGTCTCATTATCCGTGTATGGGTTGCGGTAGCGGCCGAACAGCGCACGCCGAGCGGCGGTTTCCACTTGGTATCTGTCCGTCTGGACATAGCGCTGTTTGAAGTCCGCATGGCCGTTGGCAATCCGAATGGCTGTGACACTGCCGTCGCCGTTCTACGGTGGAGCGGCATATCAGAGTGTTGATCCTATCCGAAGCATGACAAGGGACAAGACGGAAATGTAGAGGAATGTGCTTACGAAATGGATGTCATCTTCGAAGATGGGCGGGAAGCGGTGGTCGGGCTGGATCCGGTAGAATGTGCCGTCGATCTCGGGAGGGATAGTGCCATCGAATTCAAGGTCGAAGATGTCCCCTTCGAGGCGGGAGGGCTTGTTGAATCCCTGGAATACGCCGGTAGATGGGTAGACGACACGGTCGGAGGACCTGATCCCGTTGGTATAGTTCGGGAGGGATATTTGAGGGGCAAGGTCGAATATATGTGCCATTCTCCCAGGGTAGTGCCTCTTGCACTATTGTCTGATCGGCTCAAGTGTGAGGCTGTACGCCGTTGAGTACAATACCGTAGACGAATTGGCAGCAGCAAGCTGGCCTTGAAATGATAAGCCTGACTGAGATGACCGAAACAGTCGAATGAAGTACATGCCAGCGCATCCCGGCAAGTGTGCAACATCAATTGCCGGAGGACCAGCGGCTGCAAGAGTCCATTATCGGATTCTGGAATCTGTTCATGCCAGGAGCAGAAATTCCTTTAGTGCCTCCTCGAGATCCTCGACTGCAATCTGGGGTATGTGGAGTCTGGCTCTCCACCATGCAGTAGAGACCGTGGGGAAGGGCCATTTCCGTAATCAGTATGGACAAAATAAAGTCAGTCTTCTTCGTGTTGGGAATTACGTCTTTCCACGGAGGCTATAGGAACAGCGGGTCTCACTGATTGACCAGGAGGGAAGATTGCTATCTTTCTGCTAGGGACATTGGCGAAGATCTAGCCTGCCGCTGTCCATTCCTAGGCGGGCGTGGCATCAGCAATCTCGCCATTCTCCTTCACTTTGTCCGCAACGGTCACCTTTTCCTTATCCAACCTCTCTTGCTGATCTTTTGGCAATGCTAGAGTCAATGGTGGCTCCGACGTGCTGACGTCCTGACCATAATGGGGAGCTCGCAGATCATCATCTTTGACGTGCTTTCCAGTCACAGGATGCGGATAGTGGAATGGGATCACACGTGTATCAGGCCAGAGCATCTTCTGTTCAATAATCTCATCTGGCCCGGTAGGATCCTCCGGGTACGTCTTTGTTGGCCATGGGATGTAATTCTTCTTGGTGTGTGCCCAGCCTCGCTCAAAGTCGGCGTGCCAGAAAGGAAAGTAGCGGTACCTTGAGACAAAGTGAGACAGAGCTGGGGATATAAACAAGGAACTTGCCTGAACAATTTCCATACACCATTCTCTTTGATATACTCGTTCTCGTAGAGGCCACCTTCCCACCATTGAGCATGACCACGAGGATGCTCTTCTTGGATACTTTGATGGGTACCGGCGGACATCAGAGCGCGGAGACGGCCCCAAGCATGGGTCTCGGTGTCGCGGTCAATGATATCTTGAAGCATTGGGTGATCCAAGAGGAAACCGTAAACAGGACCGTTACGGCCTGCCACGAAGTACTGCTGGAACCGTCCTTGGTAGAGACGACGAATACCGGCTTTGCCTCTGTAGCGCGAGCCTAGAAACTCTACGTACGCATCGGGGTGGTCTGAGAACATGTCGACAACCTGCCACCACGAATGAATTAATGACCAGTTCAACTCACAGGGCCAGTGGACCTCGCCTCTGAATATAGGCACTTGTCAATATAGTAGCCATATTTGAAGTGAGTCTTTCGGATCTCCGCTTCGTCTAGTATTGTGTGAGTGATGTTCCAAACGCCGTGAGTCCCGCGCATACCTTCCACCTTTTGCAGCTTGTTGTGAAGTCTCTTGACTTCTGCTTGAAGATCAGCGAGTTGAGCTTCCATTTTGCGCATCAATATGGCTGATGGGTACGCAGGAAGACAGGGACCCAAGGTCTAACGGTAGCCCTTCGATGTTTTGTATCCCATCGTGGCCAGCATGGTTCTCCGCAGCATCGATGCGCTCTTTCCCGAAAGCAGTCAATGCCCCATAATTATAGTTCCACAACCTGCATATGAGGCATGCAAGCGCTCAGTGATCCGTGTCCAGAGTCCGCATGAAGAAGTTGGACGATGGTAAACAGGGGCAGAGGCGTGCAAGGCTCGTTTGACGAAGGTTGACAATCATTCAACGGGAAACTTTGCCGAGATGAGGTCCTCTTCTCCTCTCCACCACTTCACAAACTTATGCTCCTTACGTGTGAAGGTCGAACATCGAACGGACACTATGTTCGCATCAAAGGGATGACCTGCTCGTCGTTCGAAGCTGGACGTCCTTACAGAGCCACCAAAGATGGCCTTCGCACTACCTCCCAATCCTAGTGCAAGGTCGTCAAGCAACTGCCGAGCCTTGCATGCAGCAGTCGTCCTCCTTCGTACCCCGCCTCCAGCGCGGGGTCAGCAGTTCCAGAGAAGTTGTAGGGTGAGAATATGGGCGTACCATCGCCCACGACAAGGGAGAACGGGTCCAGTGGGCGACGATCTCTGACTGGCAGAACAGTGAGCGGCGAAACCTGCTTTACAGTCCAAGCACGCAGCTTGGTGAATCTGCTCGGGTCAACCTTCCCATCATGGTAACACTCGATATGACAAGGCTGGCTCCTCCTGAACCCGGCATCACAATGTTGTCCAGTATTATGATTTCTGGCCCGGCTTCGCATTCGTTTGTCCATCTGACTCACGTTCTTTTTATTTGAGATGTCGCCTTGTTGGCAGTCGAAAGCCACCTAATGTTCAATACTAACAATGGCAACTGGGAGAGGGTCGTTGGCTACTCCAGGAGCTCAACGATAAAAATGGTGTTCGCAAAGGATGATTCTGGCAGTGAGGCAAAGCAATTCGACGTCCAAAGAACACCGCTCATTCTGGATGGATTGGGCTCTGCATTGAGGTCCGGAAGCACATCAGATTAAAGGTAGGATGCGTCTTTCTTGTCTCCAAAGGGTGGTACTGTTTCAAACTTCCTAAAGACAGGTCTTGCGACCCAGGGCATGCCGCTCACAACGGCTGTCAGTGCTTAGGTGTTGCTGACGGCGCCTTTGGTGCAGATCTTGGCCGTGGAAACGTGTGCACTAAAATTTTGATCGAGAGACAAGTGCATTTGCGGACAGTGACAGTGCTTCAGCCGCAGATGGCTGTGTTGCTAACTCAGTTCTCAAGCCGCGTTCATTCTCTCCTTCCCATATGCGGCTTTGTTGGGAATTTAAACCAACAACCGGCTTCTTCCTGATTCTTCAACATCGACCGACAGAAACTACAATGGATGGCTGGGATTCCTACGAGTCTCCGGGCTCACGGATCCGGAGCTCGAGCGCTGACAATACCACACCTAAAGACAGCATGGCGGCCAATCTCGGACTCGGGAATGGGGACCTTGTGAGCAATCTCTTGCGCGGGTTGGGCGCAGCTGCCGGTGCAAGGTGAGATTCAAGCTCCTTGAAAGGACCAACATCTATACGTATCCCGGGCGATGATACTGACTGTAATCTTGACAGACTCTCTCCAACCATCTTTCGCTGGATGGCCCGCCATCCCAAACTTACTAGCATCGCGCAATACTTCGGTGTCGTCTGGTTTCTGTCGACCTTCGTGCTCTCTAACATGCACCATGTGTGGACATGGCTCATGTCATATGCAATGGTATCCGTTACTATTTCAAAAGACGACTCGGAGCTCTACTGCAGAGTTAGGACTTGGATCTTGACAAACAAATGGCTCAAGCCTCGTCGATCACTGCATGCCCTGTCCATGAATCATGCCATGAACAGAAACTACGCGAACATCCGGGATGAAGACGGCATGAAAGTCATCTACAAGAGCAACGCAAAAATCCAGTTCTTCAAACATGGCAACAAATGGTTCCTCTACACTGAAGAAGACTCGGACACCATCACACTCTGGTGCTTGGGATTCTCGACTAAGAGGATACAGGACCTTCTGGCTGAGATTCAGAATGGCGAAGATCGGTTGGAGTACACTGAAATATACGGAGTGGCAACCTGCCGCTTAGCCACTGCCGAGTGCGACAAGCATGGAAGAACACTGTATCGAGAGGCATGTGAGTGGGAGTTACGCTCGAACACTCCGCGCAGAACACTCGAGAGTGTATGCCTAAATGCGCAGGTCAAGGAGAAGCTAACGAAAGATATTGCCCGATACCTCGACCCCAATTCTGCCCAGTGGTACGCCCAACGAGGAATTCCCTACCGACGAGGTTACCTGCTTTTTGGAAAGCCTGGTTGTGGCAAAACCTCTTTTGCAATGGCCGTTGCAGGTCAATTCGGCCTCAATGTCTACGCACTTTCCCTCCTGGACAAGGGTCTGACTGACACCGAACTTGCAAATCTGTTCCTCACCCTTCAGCCGAAAAGCTTGGTGCTTCTGGAGGATATCGATTCTGCTGGGATTGGACGAGAATGCGCGAAGAAAGATGATCAATCAAACAAAGACGGTGCACGGAAAGCCACTGGGCATGCGTACAATAGCGGCATGCCCGACGCCGCAGCAAGTGGATCAGGAACGAGCAGTGACACCAGCAAGAAAACCACCACTGAAATCCCCATGCAGAGCCGGTCGCAAGTTACACTAGCAGGGCTTCTCAACGCAATCGATGGTGTGGTAAGTCTCTCCCAATTCCTTTCGTGGTGATGCAGGGGCATTTCAGAGCTCTCGACATCCTTGCTGTTGTTTCCCATGTGCTAACCATATGAATAGGCCTCACCAGAAGGTCACATCCTCATTCTAAGCACCAATCATCCAGAAAATTTGGACCCGGCACTCATTCGGCCAGGCCGCGTCGACCTCCATGTCGAATTTGAATTTGCGAGCAAGGAACAGATCCATGACATGTTCATCAGAATGTACACACCGTACGGGTCCGTCACGACTCCCGAGTATGACATCAGCACGCTCCCAGCGCTTGCCGACCAATTCTCTGACATTGTCCCGGCTGGAATGTTTTCGCCGGCCGAGATACAACAGCACCTCTTGATGCACACTCGGGACCCCAACGAAGCTATTGCTCGTGGTTCCGAGATGATCGAACGGAAGGAGAAGAGCAACTACAGCGGTGCTAAGGGTGCATCTTTGGGAAGCAATGGCGTCCCCGTACCAGAGACTCAGCCTGTACAAGCGCGTTTGGAGAAATCTCGTGCTTCCTGAAGGAGGAGGAGCATGTAGCTGGATGTAGTGGAGTCCTACAGAGGCTGGAGACGCAGCAGGGGGCTGGAACATGATCGGCGCTGCATGTAGACTTCAAGCTGATCCTTTGCGGCGGCTCAGGACCGAGCAATGTTAGCATTTGAGGCTGTTGCCTGCCCAGACGGCAGAGTCTAAGGCGTGCCCCAGTTATCTTCCTTCTTCTCCAGAGCCTCGATGGTGAATGGTGCAACTTAGCACTAGGGTGCCATTCGACAACAAGAAGGAGCGAGGACGATTTACGTGGCAGAATGGCCTCCTATTCAATGAGATGACCAACCGCTGCTTCGACGATTAAATCGGCAGCGGTCATCCCAAGCAAATATTGGTAACAGCCTGATTAGCCCCATTTTGGACCCATCGTGCCCATCTCGAAGTTGGTGGAGGGTCCCCACCCCCACACAGAGGATCGAGAACTCGGCTAATACGATTTTTAATGCAGGTCACGGCAGTGTGCAGAAAGTCGTGAGTCCTGAATTGCCGATGGTGACCTGGTACTCACAACCTGGGCGTTTCCGGTGGGTTACCAGTGTAGTCAAGGTACATTGACTGAGCTTACTCCTTTGTCACAAGAAGCATTCATTTTCAGCACGCGAGGAGATAGGTCTTTGGGCACAATCTACAAGATGGGGTCTGTTGAGAGAATCGAAACAAGACTGTTCATCAATGGCAAGGTATATACTGCCCGATGAAAAGCTTTTTCTGTCTGGCAGAAGTTAACGAGTAATAAATAGTTCGTGGATTCTTCAGACGGGAAGACGTTTCCCTTGAGGTCACCAACAACCAGAGAGGTGATCGCGGAAGGTACGTCATGCTCAGCATGATGCCATTGATTTTGTCGTAATCTATTGTTGCAACTGAGCATATCTAAGAATGCAATAACAGTACATGAAGCCAGCGAAAAGGACACCGATGCCGCAGTTGCTGCTGCGAAGGCGGCATTTCCTGCATGGTCGGCCTTGTCTCCTGACGAACGTGGAGCATACATGAAGAAATTGGGAGCTTTGTTGCACCAGAGCGGCAAGGAGCTATCTCGACTCGAGGCAATGTCCATGGGCCGGCCAGTGTCAACGTATTTTGACAACCATGCTTGTGCAGGCGCCTTTGAGCACTATGCTGAAGCAGGATATGAGGCGCAAGGCGTCAGCAGCCTCAACACGCCTGGTTTCGTCAACATGACATTTAAGCAACCGTACGGGGTGGTCGCCGCGATCATCCCTTGGAACCTTCCACTGGTCTTTTTTGGAAACAAGGTAGCCCCAGCCATTGCTGCAGGCAATACCGTTGTCTTGAAGAGCAGTGAAAAAGCACCACTGTCGGTAAGTGAAAGGTCCTGTGCTGGGAATCCAGCGGCAGTATGCACAACATGTCGTCTTGCTGACCGTCTCGTTCAGTCCGCCTACGTCGCAACTTTGATCGAGAAAGCTGGCTTTCCACCTGGAGTCATCAATGTCATCTCTGGCCATGGCCAAACATCGGGAGCTATCTTATCTTCGCACATGGACGTGAGAGCACTCAGTTTCACTGGATCGTGTCGGACCGGTAGATTGATTCAGGCGGCTGCTGCCAAGTCCAATCTCAAGAATGTCGTTCTCGAACTGGGTGGTAAGACGCCTGCCGTCGTGTTCGCCGATTGCGACTTGGAGAGCGCAGTCGCCGACACACAGAACAGTATTCAGTTCAACAGCGGTCAAGTGTGTATGGCCAACAGTCGAATCTATGTTGAAGAAAGCATTGCGCACAAATTTGTGGAGCTTTTCAAGGCCAAGTTCGCCAACATCTCCGCAGGTGACCCTCTGGATCCAACAACGAACCATGGACCCCAGGCAGATTCTGCTCAGTGGGATACTGTGCAGAAGTATCTTGCGGCAGGGAAAGATTCCGGTGAACTTGCGTTAGGTGGGACGGCAGAAATTGGAGGTCTCTCAGGGGGAGCTTCCAAGGGTTACTTTATCGAGCCAACTGTATTTCTGCAGACGCCTGAAGATGCAGCCATCATGAAGGAAGAGATCTTTGGCCCGGTCGTCAACATCAACACCTTCAAGACAGAAGAAGAAGTTATCGCTAAAGCGAATGACAGCGAATTCGGCCTGTATGCTGCAGTGTATACTAAGGATATCAGCAGGGCCATGAGGTTCGCCAAAGTCCTGGAAGCAGGCACCGTGGCCGTCAACTGCACCAGCCCGACTCTTGCCAAAGATATGCCGTTTGGTGGCTTCAAGAGCAGTGGTGTAGGCAGAGAAGGCCTGGGACAGAGTCTCAACAACTTCCTCGAGACCAAGACTGTGTTGATCAAGATTAGTTGATAGATGAAATTTGCTATCGGTCTCGATCAGGATCTTCAGGGCTAATTCTAGCATCGTGAAGGTGTCGTCGTCTGCGTTCTTGTCTGTCCAGAATGTCTCTCAGCTGGGATTCTGCTGTCACCACTCGATCATTGTGACCTTGGACCCATGACAAAAGTCCTGCTACATCCTCCGTCGGGATAATCGACCGTATTCTTTCCCGAAAACTCGGTCGAGGAGGGTGTACCGGGAAGGACGAACCCTCAAACAGCTCGTTGTAATCATAGCTGTACAGCGGATAGTGCCGACCATTAGTAGACACTATAGGCGGATCTGACACGGTGACTGCATTTGCTCCAGCAGAAAGATAGGTCTCGGACACGACGGCATTTGTGGTTCTGGCCTGGGTCTCGCCGCTCTCACGTGTCTGGTTTGGGAATAATTGCCGAGATGGATGAGCGTGAGGATGTGGGACCATAGATACCCTAGCGTGATCATTGTCTTGTGCAGCTGGAGATATCTCTGCAGACGCAATTCGAGGGGGACGGGTATGGACGGAACTGGTCCTAAGCTCAGTAGCAGGCTGCCCTGCACCGTCGATCCTGCCGTGTCGTGTGCGTGGGTTGACTTGCGCTCTCTCTAGTAACCCATAGGCTGCTGAACCGGTGTGACTGCCATCCACGAGACTTGCATCCTCCCTCAGAATGAGCACATCGTCTGTAGCCGCTAGTCTCTCGTTGCTGGAGCTGGCTTCCGCCACGGCTTGTAGAGGGTTGTTAACAGCCATGATTTCCCCTTGCGGGGGTAGGTGGCTCTCATGTTGATCGGCAAGAACTAGCCTACTTCTCCCGAGGATTTCGGATATGGCATTGACGTCTTCTTCAATATCTTCCTGGATCGCAGCCAAAATACCTTGTATGCTATACTCTTGTACTGGCGGAAGCTCACGGTCTCTGCTCATGATCTTTCTGGGTTTTGGTGGTCGACTTCTGGGATGGATTTGTATCGAAGCATCGGCAGAATGAACGCGAAGGAGGACGGGTTGAGAAGGGATCGTGGTAGAGGTGTGGCTGCCAACGGATCGAGCTTGGGCATTTCTAGAGAAACTGGATCGTGATGCGTTGAACTGCTGGATTTGCAGCAACGGGGAGACATTGCTACGGTCGCTGCGCAGGTAGCTCGAAGACTGAGGGAGGGATCTTGCCTGTCCATGGTGTGAAGGGGCGGCGAGAAATGCCCATTGTCCCCCAAAGCGGCCCAACGACGACGTGTCTGTCCGAGTGTCCATGATTCAGGGAAAACAACGCATCATCTAGCTAGGGAAACCGCTGTACTGTCGCCCAACGATGCGAGGCCATGCGTGGAAACTTTTGAGGTGGTTTCATGACCTGCGCTGATGGTAATTTAAGACTGGAGTCCGGGAACCGCGGTTTGGTCAGCGTGGCATCAGAGGAGAGGGTCGCCGAAGCTGCAAAGTGAGGAGCATGGCAATGGCGAGACCATAGAAAGATGCTGTCTGAATCTGTGTAAGATGACGGAGTACCGTGGTGGTAGTGTGATGTTGTGATGCCCGGAAAAGCGTCGTTGGGTCAATCGGCGAATGCCAGATGGCGGGGAATCATTCGACCATCTCAAAAGTGATTAGCCATCAATATCAGTCCTCATCCTTTCTCCCCTGCGCGTCGCCAGGCCATACCTCTCTTGTGAAACATGCGATTTCATCTTCGTCTGTGGTGGTGAGATCTTGCAGCCGTATGTTGGACAAGGCGATACTGTGTAACATGGCAGCCAAGGATAACGTTGTCTGACACGAGCACTCGTGTTCCATCATGTAGGGTTCTAGACATTCGAGACCCTACCTTTCTGAATGGGCTTGCGATGATGTACAGACATCTACCTTCATGTCAATGACCAAAGTAATTCTGGCTACCTACCTAGGTATACCTCTGTAGCCCAATTTCAATACCCAGTCCAGCTCGATCTGACCAGGATGACCGTGCCCTCGCCAGGTACTGTATGTTCAGCCTCGACATATTATAATTCAGCCTCGTGCGGAGAGCCGGCAGATTTCTACTTCCCACGGTCCGCCCATCATGACGTTGGAATCACCTTTACTCAGCGTGTGAGGAGACAGCTGCGAGCTGACATGACGTTGGATTAATAAAGGTTCGTTTCGGTAACCATCAAAATACATACATACCAAGGTACTCTATGCTTCGCGCGCCCCAGATCAAAAAACGCATCCTACCAACCACCTTTGTCCGCACGATCAGAATGGACTCGTCTCTCCATCCCCTGTCCGGTCTCTACAAACCTCATCAACTGAAAGGACTATACTATGGTCCGGATGTTGTCAAAAGTCACCTCCTTTCCGTTCTGCCCACCACTTCATCCAAAGCTTTCATCATAACAGGCAGCTCTCTGGCCAACAAAACGCCGCTCATCAAGTCTCTTGAATCCCTTCTCTCCTCCGGTCACCACGCCGGCACGTTTAGCAATATCAAAGAACACGCCCCCGTCGCTCAACTCGACGACGCCACTTCACAAGTCAAGAAGGACTCCACCATCGACACCATAATATCCGTTGGAGGAGGTTCCCCGATTGATTCGGCAAAAGCCATTTCTTACCGCGTACACGAAACCACCCAGAAATGGCTCGTCCACATAACCATCCCGACCACTCTTTCCGCTGCGGAAGCCACCGCCATCGCCGGCTACACCCAGTCAGACGGCGTCAAGACTGGCATCAGCGACCCAAATATCTACCCGTCGTATATCTTCTACGACCCTAAATTCGGCCTGTACACGCCACCACATCTATTCCTATCAACGGGTTTCCGCGCTCTCGACCACGCCGTCGAGTCCCAGTACCACCCCACTACAACGTGGGTGCCCTGTCGCATGGTAGCGTTGAACGCGATCAGCGAGCTCTTCAAGCTGTTGCCCAAGTACAAAGCCGACCCGAAAGACGAGGACACGATCACTGGCCTGTTTCTGGCGGCATACGCGAGTCTGGGTTTTGTAGGTCAAAATCTCAAAGGCGGTCTGGGCCTATCTCATTCTCTGGGATATGCCCTCGGCTCCCCGTATGGGATTCCGCATGGAGTAACATCGTGTTTGACCCTTGGGCATGTCGTGAAATTGAAGGCTAGGCAGAGCAAGCAGAACGCAGAAGCGATTGCCAACATCCTGCCGTATATCGGCCAGGCGAGATCAGGAGATGATCTGAAAGACAGCGACACCTTGGGCGATAGAATCCTAGGATTGGTGCAAGATTCGGGGCTGAAGACAACGCTGACCGAGAAAGGGGTAGGAAAAGATCAGGTTGATATCATCTGTGCGAGGGCGACCGGAGGATTGATGCCTGGGAAGACAAAGAACGAGGAGGAAGAGCAAATTTCGAAGGCAGTCAGACACTTGGTGGAAGGGCTGTTCTGATCGCAGCCTGATTCCAGGCACGGCAATTCTGCGAGCTGGGCACCTCTTTTCGGCGTCTCTGACAAGGCATGCTCAAAGATCTCGAGGCGATTGTACAGCCGCTTATATATTGAGAGTATGTCATCCCTGGTTTTGACAACATTTCAGTTTGCCATCGTATAAGAAATGCTGCCCGGACAGTCCTTAGGTTCACGTCGTCTGCCATGTTTGCGGATATGAGTGCCGCCATGATCCCCACGAGGAGGTCGCGGCCAAGCCTGGCGAAGGTGCAACATAAGCTGACCCTGTAGGTGAAGTTGCATATGAACTTGTCGAGGCACTCAGACTTGAAGTCCCTCCCGCGCTCTGGCCACTGGGCACGCTATAAGGCCCGATTCCAGGCCTCGGGAATGCTGGCGTTCCGTCCGTATTCCAACCGAACTGCTGCGCACGTATAGTCCTGGCGCTCCAACCCTCCAAGTAGTCATGCATGCCATGGTAAACGATCCAATCCTGCGTGCTATCAGGTGAAGTGGTGAAGCTCGCATGACCTACGCCATACACCTCCTCATCCGGATTCTGGTAGAAGACACATCCAGCTGTATACTTCTGCCACGAACTCGGGTCCATGGGGTCGTCACCCACAAGTTCCAGCTGCCCGAGACAGTAATTCCGATTGTCGCTCCGGGCTGCCGAGTAGATGATAAACTGCTGTCCTGTGGTCGGATTGACCAGCTGTTCAGGCCCTTCGTTAGAGGATAGCCGAACGTTAACCGTGCGATTGTACGGTGTTTTCTCCCACAGCTGGTCTGGTTGCGATATCACAGCGCGCTGATCCAAGGGTGACGATACTGTCCAGGGATCAGACATGCGCGAAATGCACAGCATACTGGGCCAAGATATATAAGCGCCATTCCAGCACGAGTAGACGTGGTACAAGCCTGTGGAGTGGCTGAAGTAAGTGCCATCAATCGCGAACTGGTCATATGTGTCGAGCTCTGCTTTGAAATTGTACTCGGACTCCCATGGGTCGGAACTTGTGGACTCGAGGACGAACATGCGATGGTTGACTGCCGGACAGGTAAAGTCGCAATACATGTCTTGCTCTGGGGAAGGTTGATCGGGATCGACGTCTGCCGTGAAAATAATGTACCACAGGCCGTTCATCTGATGGAGTTCGGGTGCCCAGAGATCATAGCTGTACGAAGTGTTCTCGGGTGGTGTGAATGCGAGCTTGATGTCGGCGTTGTTCCAATCGCTAAGCATTGCCAAGGTCAGTAAGGAAGGGGTAACAGGTTCAGTTTGTACTCTTACGTGAGGAGACTGCTTCTTAGGATAGTGATGTTGTCATTTGTTGTGTATGTCATGTAGTAATAGTCTCCATGATGAGTAACCCAGCTCAACAACACCGTTAGTCTAGTAAGGGCTCCCGCGGGCTGCGAACTTACGGATCTGCACCGACACTGTTCAAGATTGGATTTGTGTAGGTAGAAGTGCTAGCAGTAGCTGTGATTGTCTGTCCAGAGCACAGTGACGAGACCAGCAGGAGACTGCCGACGGCCACGAGAGACACCATAGCTCGACAATTGACATTCAGCAGTCAACAACAGGAGAAAAACGGATAGAAGCACAAAGCTGGACGATATCAAGACTGTCGACAGCCATTTGATCGGTGCCGCACCAGGGTAGTATTGGATTTGTCGTTGAATGCGGAGAAGAACCAAACATGGGAACGTCTTGACCTCATCATGCAGACGGCCACCGGAACCTGAAAATGTGCTCCGGCATCTACCTACCGATAGCAAGAAGTACTCCGACGCCAATTGATGGGATGAAGGGACCTTCGCAAGTCCCTTTGCTGATACGCGACTTTCCACTGCAGCCTAGGTGCTGTTGAAGGAGCGAAATTCAACACGCGCTTTAACCATCGCAATTTTTGGTCCAAATTTACAAGCAAAAGGTTCTCGCCGCGTCCAGGTAATGGCAGACTCCTGTACAGAACTCGTGAGTGCCGGGAGACTTCGTTCACAAGGTTCCGAGGGCGACCGTATTTTACAGAGATGCTTTGATCGTCTCATTGACCGGTTTGACCTCGACCATCAACTTGCCTGCAACCCATTAGACATTTTGAGTGATTGTGGACAGTACTCTCTTACCAGTATTGACACCATTGTACAAATCCCTCAAAGCCTCCTCAGCCTTTACTAGGCCGCCCTTGACAATTGTCTCCTTCCGCTTGATCTTACCCTCGGAAAGCCATTGGGCGAGGTCCCGAAGAGCTCGAGGGTATTCTTTCTCATAGTCGAACACGATGAAACCTTGCATGCTAGTCTGGTCAGCTCTCCGACCACAAGCGGAGGATGAGATGGCCTACCGAATCCTCATGGAGACTATCATCAAATAGTTCTGAGAAAAGTCAGCTGATTGAGCTTTCAACTGAGCCACTGGCCGACCTTTGGTCCCTGTGGATTGGACGTGTTATATTGGCTGATGCCTGTTCGGTCTGGTCAGCGCTGTTATCACTGAAAGACCGCGCTTGACGTACCACCGCACATGACAAATCTCGCATGTGGTTTGGCCCTACTCAGAGCCTTGTCGAGAATGTCACCACCAACTAAGGGATCGTCAGCGAAATGCTTGCGCTCTCACTCTCGTCACCAACCATTATCGAAGTAAACGTCAATCAAATTCTGTCCAAGTTAGTCTCGCCCCATTGGCCAAGTACGAACTGGAGGAGCATTCACCTTCGTAGCGGCCCTGAACCTCTTCTCAAATTCTTTGTCCTTGTAGTTCAGTGCCTCATCAAACCCAAGTTCCTCTTTCAACCACCGGCATTTGTCGTCGCTCCCGGCAATGCCCAGAACAGTAGCGCCTTTCAACTTGGCTATCTGCCCCACGACGCTGCCCGTAGCCCCTGCAGCGCCAGAAACGACGACGAAATCTCCAGCTTTGACTTTGCCTACGTCGGTGATGCCGAAATACGCCGTCAAGCCGGTCATTCCTGATAAACATCAACGCATAAACAAACATCCTCGCTATAAATGGAGCTGCCTAACAGGCACTTACCAAGCACACTCAGAGTATCCGTTAATCTCCCACCCTTCGGCAATTGGACCTTCTCCAGCTCACGACCTTTGCAGACCTTCAATTCCGTCCAGCCAACCGAGCCTACCGCGTAGCTTCCCGGAGGAAAGTTTGGATCCTTACTAGCTTTCACCGTTCCCACGGCGTAGCCTCTCATGACCTCACCAATTTGGACCGGTGGTATGTACGATCTCGTATTGTTTAACCATCCTCGCATAGCAGGGTCGACGCTAAGGTAGTTGGGCTCGAAGAGGACCTCTCCATCTTTCAGATCCGTGGGCGACGGAGCCGGATTGTCGGAGACTACTTTGAAAGTCTCACCGCAAACGATATTGTCTTTAGGCCGTTTCGCAAGGACGACGGACTTGTAGGTCGGAGCCATGCGTGTCGTCAACGCTAACACTACAACGGTGAAGTCTTGTCGTATTTCAAAGTCCGGATGAGGTAGGCTTTTGAGCTCGACAGATGAGATTCTCCGTCCTGAATTTCTAAGATGCTGAGGGAGAGACACGCAAAGATGAACGTCGAAGAAACTTTGGCGATCGCCAGTCGCTTTGATTATAAAATGGCTTCATGCTGTACCCGACAACGCCGATGCATGCGACAAAGGAACTTACCTCGGTTGCCAATAACGTAAGCAGGCATCACCAGGCGAGCAGGGTACCTTCGCTTCTAGAGCCCAAGTACAAAATCTTGGTGGTTTGCTTAGGCCTCCATTCGGCCTGCGCCAGCCTTACGTAGCCTGCATGCAGCTGATTTGGACTAATCATCGGGCCTCAGAGACTCTCGGCCGAGGCACGGTAAAGGATGATGATACTACGATCCAGAAATTGAAGCATAGCAAATGTTGCGAGGACCTTGAATTGATGACAAGCTCTGCCGCAAACGCTCGGAACCAAGCCCTCTCGATTTGAAATGCAATTAGGATTAATGTTACACGATATCCATAATGCTCCCGCATGCAATCCCTGGTGCAAATGCAACGCCCATTTGATGCAATTTTCACACGCTTTTCACCACTTTGAACCAATGCATCTCATGGCGGACGTCTGTGACCGAAGTTGTGGCTTACAGGTCATACAGCTACCGGTAGCAGCTGCACCTTGGAACAAGAGTTGGGGTATGGGCCGGTGCCGTAAACGATGTTGAACAATTGAGGCGTAGTAAGCCACCAATCGCAAGCTTTGAAGGTCCCAATGTCAGTCACTGTTCGTCCTCTGAAAACTGACACGCTTACCTAACCAACCTCCGGCACTATTGTTGTACTGCAAGCCAGTCTCGTTGAAGAAGAAGCCCTGGTAGGAAGTTGGTCCTAGAGCGATGCTGATGGATGCTTCGGCCCATCCTGATGAATATAGTCAGTACGCGTTTTCTTGTAGAGGGGTTGCGAGCTCACGTTGGTAGCTATTTGCGTATTCCAAAGCGAGAGGCCAAGGGCCTATCTCGTTATTGGGATAGGTGAAGAGTTGTTGGGAACCATTGAGATAGCCCTCCCAGGCCCAGGATTTATTGGAAGATAGGCCAGCATCGCCGAGACCAGCTCCGGTGTGGTATGAGAACACCCAAAGATCGGACTTGTTGGAACCTGTATCTTTGTGGTCGCCGTTGACTACCTTTGTCCGTAGATAATAGAGGGGAGGAGGATCGATGGTCTGTCTAGTCTGAAGGAGAGGTGATGCTGTTGAGAAGGTGATGAGCGAAAGGAGAGTGGCGGTGAAGACTGTAGCGAGATGCATGGTTAACGTTGTTATTCTTGATGTGGTGCACGGTGGATGAGTCCGTCACGGAAGAGTCAAGAGATGTTGATGGAAGAAATCCGAGCTTCAAAGGAAGCAGAAACGACGGAAGAGCTTCTTTTATGTCAAGTCAAAGTCGATCCTACCCATTTGTCGGTTCGTGCCTGAATCACCATCAACGCTCTGGATCTGGTGAAAGCGGCTACCCGAGGCACTACGGATGCATGGTTGCACAAAAGATCAAATACACTCTGTACCATCGGGAAGCTGGGAGATGTGGATATTCGCAGTGGTGGAATTGAGGGGTGGCGATGAGGCATGCCGTTCTCGCCGTCTTAGCCTTGAAGACTAGTCGAGGCACAGACCAATTGACCATCATCACATGAGTGTCGACGTGCGCAAGGGTTACAGCTCGCATCGAGTCGGATTGGGGGTTTCAAGACATGCTTAAGCTGCTTACATGTAGCTGCAGATATTAGCTGTCTACTTCATGCGAGGCTGAGCGAAAAGGCGAACAGATCGTGTGATGGATGGTCAAGATCACACATGTTCAACATACCTAGGCATCGTGCCTCATAGCTCCGGATGGCGACTTTACCCCAGACACGCCCAGAGCAAGGTGTAGATCGCTTGCATAGCGACATCATGATCGACAGGAGCTCATGCGATAGAATGACGAAGCACTCCAATAAAATCAGCCACAGATCGGATGTGGAAGAGTATTCTGGCTAGATAATCATAAGATGAAGCTCACAGTATTCTTGAGCTCTCAGCATCATACGGATATTGCGAGGTGGTCTAATAATAGATTTCCAAGTACTGCGATAGAGTTTTGCAGGCTAGTGTAGGTGGCGTGCATCTCGAGGTTATGTGACATACTTCTAGTCCGGTGTGTCCGGTTCAACCAGTCTCTCACAAGTCCTATGCGATTGCAACTCGCGGTGGCTTCAGGATTTGTCGTTGGCATCGAAGATATGGTTCCAAAATGCTCGGAAATGATGCTCCTTGCCCAAGTCTGAGATCTCTTCAACTTCTTTTGGAGTGAGCTTGAAGGTGAAGATCCGAAGCATATCGCTCAACCTCTGCTCCTTGGAACTGGTCGTAATCGCAACAACGTTCTGATCAATGCACCATCGCAGCAAGACTTCACCCGGATTGACTGCATATTTCTTTGCCAGTGACTCCAGATAACCATCAAGCGGGCCTCCCTTTGCACGAGTAATAGGTGTCAGTGGGCCGTAAGCTGACACCTTGATATCCTTGCTCTTGTGGAATTCCAACAAGTCTCCGTGCTGAAGATATGGATGGTATTCAATTTGGTTGATGGCAGGTCGAACTTTGCAGGTTTCGAGGATGGCATTCAAGTCGGATTTCAAGAAATTGCTCACCCCGATGCTCTTCGCCTTACCCGTGGCCGCCATTTGCTCCATCTGAGCCCATGCCTCCTGCAGCAGTTTCTTGTCACCTTTGGCGAAGAAAGGCGAGTGAATAAGATACAGGTCAACGTATTCCAGCCCCAACTTCTTCAGGCTGCGGTCCAAGGAACCCGGGATGTCGCTAATGGATTTGGAGTCGGAATCGTTGAGTTTGGTGGTTACAAATAGTTTCTCACGAGGGACCTTGCTTTCCTTGATGGCGGCTCCGAGTTCCTCTTCAGTATTGTACACTTCAGCGCCATCGAGGTGAGTATACCCCACCCTGATAGCGGTCTTTGTCGCATCGATACATGCCTGGTCTTTGGCACCTTCAGTTTTCTTGAACCATGCTGTACCAGTTCCATAGCCGATCTGACGAAGGAGTCAATCCACTGCACGAGTAGTCTCGAAAAGAAAAGAATATCCAACTCACCATGGGGATTTTGTTGCCATCGGGCAAAGTCAGGTCAGGAACGGAAAGCTCTAGCTTGGCCATTGTTGACAACGGGTGACGTGGATATCTGGACACGGCGTGGAAACTGCGCAGAGCTCGAGAGCGAAGAATAGTCGACACAGATTTATTCATACACTAGAGTACAGTGATTATTTCAATAACAAGTCTCGGATGAGGTTGGAGACTTTCGATGATGATGGAAGCGCTGTTTGGTCTTCGCCCGCAACCGGTCCCAGAGCCGATAACCCTTTCCTTGCCAAAGGTGGGGTAAATCATCCAGTTCGTCGCTGTTTGGAACCGCTAGACAGACCTTACTCATGACGTTCGATTGGCGCCGCAAATCGGACATGTCGCAGCTCTGCTAAAAGGGCCTTTCGCCGGCAACATGAGTCTGCTGAGGGCGACTTGGTCCCGAACTTCTTAAACACACACGGAGCCGCGTCCTTCAAGTCGTTCGGATGCACATTGAGCTTTGCAGCCCGCTCATCAAAAGCCCGGCGCCCTGATTGAGCTGCGTTCCGGTGATTGTGGTTCCTTCGAAAATGGGTTGTCCTTCGCCAGCAATCATGAGCCTTTCGCCTGCCTGACTCGGACAGTCAAATGGCCTTTCATCTAGGCGCATACATTTCAGCAGCAGCCTCTTCCCTGACCACCTTTGACAGCATCATTCATGGTGAGATTGACAGTCTTGGGAGCCTTTCCTTCTTCCCTGCCCCTGCCTGTGCCGTATCCTTTGACTCCGCTCCGTCGATCGTTGAGATCATATCGGCCGGCTTCGATGTTCTGATATATTCTCTCAGCGACCTCGAGGAATGCTTTCTCGACCCCTTCACCACTTTTCGCACTGGTCTCGACGTATTTGACCACATTCTCCCGCCTGCACCAGTCTTCGGCCTCTTCTTTTGTGACTGCACGTTTGCTTCCCCCTTCGATATCGGTGCTTTGTTCGGCAAGGTCTAGCTTGTTTCCGACTAGTATAACGACAATGCCTTCTTCAGCAATCTGTCTCAGGTCGTTGAGCCATGCGGTGACTGACTCGAAACTGCTGCGTCGCGTAATATCGAAGACGAGTAGAGCCCCAGACGCCCCGCGGAAGTAACTCCTCGTTATGCTTTTGTATGTTTCCTGGCCAGCTGTGTCCCACAATGAGAGCTTCATCTTCTTCTGCTCGGCAGACCCATCACGGCTGGTCTTGCCATTCGGGTTCCCAATCCCCAAGGATGCATTCGCAGGTGGACCAACAGGTACGATCCGTGAACCGAACTCGACTCCTATGGTAACATCATGAGAAGTGGAAAATCGACCTTCGCATAGTCGGACCGTCAGACTAGATTTGCCGGTTCCTAGGTTCGTCAGAAGAGAAACTTCGCGACCAGGGACTGGTGTCCTCTCACCAGAATCACCTATGCAGACGAGTTTAGCGATGTAATTCCAAGGCAGCTTTGGAGGATCGGTGGTAATGTTGGGCATGAGCGCTATGCTTGTGTTCCAAGTCTGAGGACTGAAGAATGCCAATTCAATCCTGACATGAAACAGTTACAAGTAGTATGACCCAGGTTGATGCGTGTTGATATGGCAAAGAGTCTGGTGACGTACAAAGCGGTCATCGTCTGGGCGCAGTTTGGTGCCTGACAACGGGAAGCCTGAACGACATGGGCGACTCGGCGACTAGTTAATTCACTAGCCAACCGCCATCGTCCGCAGGCAGCCTTTCGGCCTTTGTCCTAACCAGACCAGCTCAGCGTGACCAGTCGAGTTTCAGACGCAGACAACATTCGGTGCTTCACTCTTCTCGTCCTACACGCACACGATCAATCAATCTACTTGGATCCCTTCCAGCCATCGCTCACAATCATCTCTAAACAAAGACCCTGCTTTGTGCTTGACAGATTGTATCGTCCCACATCTTATCGCGACTCATTACACCGAGTGATAACTCGTGTGGTCACTGCCTGCGGGCAGCATGTTCTCTGAATGTACGTCGCAATATGGTGCAGGCAGAAAGACACTGCTGATGAGATGCCAGACGCTTCCAGGTTTCTCGCCCAATCTCAATCACGTATCAGCTTTGCCCCAGCCGAAGACCGTCGTCCTGGGGATGATCGATCCCGCAGACAGAATCAAACATGGAGATCCTCAACCGCCTCTAGGACCTTAAATTCTCGAGTCCCTAATCCTTACCAGCCGACTTCTTCGCAGTTATCCGCTTTCCCTTTTGCATCGCGCTTAAATCCTCAACAAGCCCCCCTCTTCTACAGCGCGACCGACGAGTTCCGGGAGGAGAACGATGAAGAAGAGCATGAGCGAGACATGGCAGATTTCTATGCCCTTCAGAGATCAAGGCGGCAGCTCGGAGCCAGTGACTTAAAAGCCTCGGCTGATGCAGGAGACGGAAGCGGATCGAGTGTACATGGTGACAGCAGTCATGGAGAAGACTCGCGAGACAGAAGCACGAGAAGAGGAGGGGGCATCAGAAGCTCGTGGCATGGCGGTGTCCCAAGCTCGCGACGAAGGGGCCCAGGCCTCGAAGATCTTGCGGAATCGGCAGAGGCACAAGCTGATGAGCCAAGTCCTAGCGCCTCGAGAACTCACATGGTCGATATCGGTCTGGAGGACACTTTGAGGAGTGAGTATGAGGACGACCCTCCTGAGGATCTGATGGAAGACCCTCCCTCTATTCAGCATTTACGGACTCCCAGACCGACGAGGAAGGACGAGTACGATTCGGATGCATCAGACAGTGACGACGTACTACGAAAACAATTACTTACCAACTCACAGAGTCAGGAAGTGGGCAAGGGTACTCGTCCTGATGACATTCAGCAATCACCGGGTCGACAACCCAAGCATGACTCATTCTGGGGTCAGATCTATCTCCTCAACCTGGCAGCCATGTTTACGACGTGGTTCCTCATATTCCTACATACTGATTCTCCCGCAACGAACCAACCACTCGGTGACACGATATATACAACACTTCACGGATCTTTTTATCTTTTAGCGACTTATACCCTCATAGCGACTTTCGTTTCATTATTTTGGCTTGCAGCACTCAGGTCATACGTTCGATATCTTGTCTACAGCATTATCATTGCGGTGCCGGTTATCCTGTATTCGTTCTGGATTTACCCATTTATCTCCAGTTACCGCGGATCCTGGCATGGCGCAAGCACTCAAGACGCCATCATGAGATGGAGCTCCCTCGTACTTGCGATAATGGCCACATTCTGGATACTTGCCGTTATTCGTGGAAGACTGGCGATGCAAAAGGCCATCTCGATCTTGGAGTTTGCCACACGGATTCTAGCTGCGAATCCAACCTTGGTCTTGATCGGGTTTTCGGTGCTGGGCTTCATTATCAGCTTTACTTGGTTGTGGCTGTCCATGTTCACCCGGGTCTTCCTCGGTGGACATCGCTCGCCTCACTCCGCCATTAGCAGGTTTATCATCGACACTTCCACGTGGTGGGTTGGGCTGTACTTCATCCTGGTGTATCTTTGGACCATCGCCGTTGCTTTTGGAATGCAACGGACGATTACCTCTGCGACAGTCTCGCAATGGTACTTTCACCGCCTAGCTGTTCCGGCACCGACTTCTCAAGCCATCGTTAAGGCGGCCTTGTATCATTCGGCAACCACGCTTTTTGGCACAATCTCTCTCTTCACGGCATTGAGCCTTTTGGTCAGGCTACCTCTTCTTCTTCTACCTCGCCGGCTGACGATGTTGCTGGGAGTGGCGATGTACTCTTTCATACCAAGTCCCATCGCCGTGCTGATCAACCCGCTGACACTCACGTACGCGGCCATCCATTCTCAGCCTCTCAGCGTCAGTGCCAGAGGCCTTTCTCAGATGCATTTTCTCATGCCAAATGACGCCACCACCTCTCTACATCCGAACACGTTCAACCGACGCCGACGCAATGATGGTTGGTCTGCTGATACGGCACCACTATTGTCGTATCGCCTGGCAAAGCTCATACTACACGCCACGAGATTCATCATGTCGCTTACCCTAGGTTTCGGCGGATGGGTATCAACAGCTCGATCTCTGAAATTGGAAGGGGCAGGTGTCCGCGGAAGCCTTTATGCTTATATAGTCGGTCTCATTGCTGGGGCAATCGGCTGGGGCATACTTGGTGCAATGGAAGGTGTACTTGCATGTATCGTCGATGCTGTGGTGGTATGTTGGGGCAGCGAGGTAGGAAGCACTGGCACTGGCGAGGTCAGGTATTGTAGGGAAGCTGGAAATTTGTTTGGTGAAAACGAGGACACCATCGGAAGAGTCAGTCTAGCCTGAGATCGGTTGAGGATACGTGGTCTATACCGAGCAAAGGAGTGGAAAATTAAACGAATTTGTCGGTGACAGCATTGATGGACAGACCAGATGGGAACATCCCTTAAGAAGATATTGTAGACCCTCATCTATCACATATGTCCGAGTCTTTTTTTGGTTCGCAGTGCGGAGTCGACGGTACAAGTCAGCTGTTTCTACGACTGTCCCCCTGAATACTAGCCCAAGTGGCCCTGCGCCAAGTGGTTCAGGACACCATATCCAACCCTTCAACGCGCATGCTGCCAGCTTTCAATAACTGGTCTTCAATTCTCGATCCTCCTGACACTTGTTTCTCCTTCTTAATGTGCCAGAAATGCTTTCTACTTCTTCTTCTCATTTCACAGTTTAATTGAATCTTGTCTTCGTCTCCGGCCTTTCTTCCCTCAAAAAGCGCCGACGCGTGTGAGGGTTTCTTCTTTCCTGGCCCGCGGTCACGGCCTCAAGATTCCAGGTTACACGGCCTGTCTTCGACAGAGGTTACTTCCTGACCTTAGTTTCTTCGGAATCCCACTCTTGATCCCTTCATCACATTCTTCACGATGGCTACTGTAAAAGGTGGCTATACCACCGGCGCAGGCCAAGACGAGGCTGAATTGCGCCGGAGAAATGTCACTAGTTACGACAATGCGAATGGGCAACACGTGTACAAGGTGGAAGCTGAAGACACAAAGAAGCTCCAAAAGGTTGGCAAGACGATACCAGTTCCGCACACAAATCTAATACTGCTACAGCCCAAGTCCGGCCTCCTCGACGTCCTGGACGAGTGGGAGTTCTTGATCGGCCCTTTCGTCTTTACCGCATTTGCCCTTTTCACAAGACTATGGAGGATAGGATTGTCTCCCATCGTGACATGGGATGAAGCCCAGTAAGTCGAACCAGTCTTGCTCCCCTGTCACTGCTAATGATCGTCCCAGCTTCGGCAAATTCGGCTCCCATTACCTCAAGCGAGAATTCTACTTCGATGTCCACCCTCCCCTCGGAAAGATGCTGGTCGGGTTGTCGGGCTATCTAGCTGGATACAACGGCTCCTTCGAGTTCAAGTCTGGCGAGACCTACCCTGAAGATGTTGACTATACATTTATGCGTGTTTTCAATGCCCTCTTTGGCGCGGTTACGATTCCTCTGGCATACTATACCGCACGGGAGCTGAACTTCAGACGTCCTGCTGTCTGGTTGGTCACCCTCATGGTCCTCTGCGAGAACTCGTACGCCACCATTTCCCGGTTCATATTACTGGACTCGATGCTACTCTGCTTCACCTTCACCACTGTCCTATGCTGGGCAAGATTCCACCGTCTGCAACACAAGAGCTTCTCCGTGGAATGGTTTGCTTGGCTATTCTTGACCGGCCTCAGCATCGGCTGCGTCTGCAGCGTAAAATGGGTTGGCCTGTTTGCTACAGCTTTGGTCGGTCTATACACCGCGGAAGATCTGTGGAACAAATTCGGCGACCTCAAAATGCCAAAGACAGAATTGGCAGCTCATGTGGTTGCGCGAGTGGGCGGACTGATCGTTATACCGGCGCTCGTCTACATGTTCTCCTTCTATCTGCATTTCTTGATCCTGGAGAATTCCGGTCCCGGTGACGCCCAGATGTCATCGCTCTTCCAGGCTAATCTCAAGGGTACCGAAGTCGGCAAAGATTCACCATTGGAAATTGCCATGGGCTCAAGGGTCACTATCAAGAACATGGGCTACGGAGGTGGCCTGCTCCACTCCCATGTCCAAACATACCCTGAAGGCAGCGGGCAACAACAGGTCACTTGTTACCATCACAAAGACGCCAACAATGACTGGTTTTTCTACCCCAACCGAAGCCAGCCCGAATTCGACCCTGAAGGGCCGTTGAGCTTTGTGTCCGACAAGCAGGTTATTCGTCTGATCCATGCTCAGACTGGCCGTAACCTCCACTCACATGCTGTTGCAGCGCCGGTCACCAAATCCGACTGGGAAGTGTCCTGCTACGGTAACGTGACTGTTGGTGACGAGAAGGACCACTGGCAAGTCGAAGTTGTCAGCGACGCTGCGTCGTCCGACAGATCCCGCATCCGAACTTTGACCACTGCGTTCAGACTGCGACACCCCGAACTCGGCTGCTACCTCCGTGCCGGAACGGTCAACCTTCCCCAATGGGGCTTCAAGCAGATTGAAACAACCTGTGTCAAGAATGCGAGCCCCAGAGACGTTTACACCCATTGGAACGTTGAGTCACATGTCAACGATCGACGTAAGTGAAGAAGAAACGCGCATGACAACTCAGCTAACAACCTGCAGTTCCCCCCGGCGAAGCCAAGAATTACCGATCGCCGTTCCTGAAAGATTTCATCCATCTGAACGTTGCGATGATGACATCCAACAATGCTCTCGTGCCCGATCCAGACAAGCAAGATGATTTGGCCTCGCATTTCTGGCAGTGGCCGATTCTTAACGTCGGGCTCCGCATGTGCTCGTGGGAAGACCATATCACCAAGTACTTCCTCCTCGGTAACCCAATCGTATACTGGGGCTCGACCGCATCGTTGGGCGTCGCTGGTTTGCTCGTATTGTGGTATTTGATCCGCTGGCAACGAGGTTATGACGAACTCCGCCAGTCTGATATCAACCAAATCCACTACTCGGGCATTTATCCTCTAATTGGTTGGTTTTTCCATTACCTTCCTTTCGTAATGATGGGGCGAGTCACATATGTACACCACTATTATCCGGCACTCTACTTTGCGATTCTTGTGGCAGGATTCTGCGTGGATTGGACGACGCAGAAGCTGCCCAAGACGGTTCGCTGGGGCGTCTACTCTGTGCTGTACGCTGTGGTCATCGGGCTGTTTGTTCTGTTCAGCCCCATTGTTTTCGGTATGCAAGGACCGAACAAGCAATACGCATACCTCAAATGGTTCGATCAGTGGAGGATCGCCGACGCTTAACTCCGGAAGCCTAGGATTTGGTCACGAGACGATTTAGGTATTGCGGGCTCATAATAATGAACGCAGCTGGAGTGGACATGAGGGTCTTGGGGTGCATGAAAACCAAAAGAAGATCTCGAAGGATTTCGTTATAATGATGTCGATTCGTCGGGCAGTGGCCTGATCGGTAAAACAAAACTTGGGGCAATGAAATGGAAAGATGCTGCCACCAGCTTGTGGCATCACGAAATGCATGCCACTCGAGGATTGTCGTTTTGAATGTGGCTCCCATCTACTCATCTCTTCGTCAGAAAGTGAATGCGCCGCTTGGTGAACTTATCTTCCGTCTTCCTCCTGCCTTGACTGTATGTATGCAGTAACATCTTTGGGTGAGGACAGTACTCCTAGATGGGTCACGATACTTTTTATGCCAAAATATGGGCGGGACAATATTTCGATATTTCCTAACTCCGAAGTGTCGCGGACACTTTCGACCGAGCATTAGTATATATCACAAGCATGAGAGCTGGATTGTGCAACGCCAATACGCCCAGTAAGTGTAAAGTGCCCGGTCGAAGAACTTCTGCAGAACAGGACAAGCACAGGTTGAAAATAGGGTCTTCAGAATGTCGGCGTCCACCCTGCGCACCACCGCTGAACGCTACATATCCGCCTTCGAGACTCTCGACTCCGATCTCTTTCTGTCCCTGCAATCGCCCAGCGCGTACAGCCATACCTTTGGCCCAGCGTCGGCCTCGCCTCCTCCACCACAGGACGGCGAACACTTTGCCCAGCACATCGCCGACCTGCGCGGGATCATGCGCGGGTTCCCCGTGTACACGCAGCAAATGTACGTCAACGAAGCCGCGAGACAGGTCGTCCTCCACGCCACCAGCGAAACCTGGTTTCACGACGAGATCAAGGACAACGACATCCCCGAGAGCGACTGGCTGTACCACGGCGAGTATATTTTCATCCTAGACATGGATGACAGCGGCGAGAAGATCACGCGGGTCTTTGAGTTTCTCGACAGTAAAGGCACGGATGCGCTCCGACAGTTGATGAAGCGGGCGAGGGCAAACGAGGCCAAATTGAAGAACAAGGAGGTCAGAAAGACGAGCTGGGAATGATTCCGTGGGGTTGTCGGGTGGTCAAATATTGTACGAGGTTGTACAGAGTAGACGCTCCTAGAATGCTGCAATGGAGTGATTAGACTATCTCGAAACACCAAATACGAAGACTGCAAAACATGAATTTTTGATATTTGTCCAACGCAGTCCACTCATTATCCTTCAATAGACAGTCCTGGAACGAGATTACGGAGCTTCACTATTTAGTATACTTGTGTTGACTCGGCTTATTATGCTTGAGCCGCGATAGTCTTCTCACTGTCACTGTCACTCGTCCCCGCTTCCAGGCCAACTTTTGCCCCTCGTGTTTGAACGCCAGGCGTCACCTTCAAACTCTTCCACTCCATACACAGGCTACAGATGAAGGCGACACCACATAGCGGTACCGCTGCAATGAAGACGGCCTGCAGCGAGTCGTTGTACAATTTGATCAATACCGGCAGATCTGCTGCGGGGACGACATCCCTGAACCGCGTCGCACCCAACTCAATCACCGTCCTGACATTCACACCAGGAATGATCCTGTCGCTGTTCGCATCAAGGAGATGATTCTGCAGCAACGTATTGCCCACGGACACGAATATTGCGCCGCCGAGGGACTGGCTCGCCACCACCGCGGCCGTGCCAATGGGCACCTCCTCCAGCGGCAGTATCGCCTGCACAGCGCTGAATCCCTGCTGGATCGCCATACCCAAGCCCGCGGAGATGAGGAACTCGTACGCAATCCACTTGGACGACGACGTATGCTCATTCAGCGTGGCTAGGAGTCCTGATCCGATGGTGCCGATCGCACAGCCCAGGATGGCCGGCGGCGCGAACAGGCCGTTCTTCGAGACGAATATGCCCGCAAGAAGCGAGAAGAATGCATTGGCGACCATATATGGGATCATGTTGACGCCCGAGTGGATTGCGGAGGTGCCTTTGATGGCTTGGAACCAAATTGGCAGATAGTAGCTGTGTATCAGCAGGGCGCCGTAGATCATGAACGCAGCGCCGCAACTAGCTGCCACGGTACGCTGGCGCACGATTCGAGGCGGGATCAGAGCTGCATCACCTCGGTACAGCATCCAGCCGACGAAGAGCAGCGTGGTGACGCCGAAGCCGCACAGTAGACCCACGCAACGGGCGCTGGACCAGGTGTAGCGTGTTTCAGAGAATTGCAGGGCGAGGAAGAGCATGGTCGTTGCGCCGAGGAGGATGATGTTGCCAATGATGTCAAGCTGGAGGATCCGCTGTTTGAGGGGAACCGCGGCAGCGGACGAGTTGTGACTGCGGTGCTTGAAGCAAAAGAAGACGGCGACAAAGGTCACTGTGCCGATGGGCAGGTTGACGTAAACTGCAAAAAGGTCAGCTCAAGAACACATGGCCGAGAATCAGAGGACGTACAACACCATCGCCAGCCGATAGTGTCGGTAAATGCACCTCCAAGCAGTGGACCGCAAAGGGCACCGACGCCGTACAGGATGCCTACAGCAGCAAACAGAACCGGCCGATGCTGGAGTCTGACGGAGTGAGTGGCAACGACAAAAGCGCCTGTCAAGAGACCTGCACTGCCGACACCTTGGATGGAGCGTCCGATAATCAGACAGTTCGATGACGGGGATATTGCCGCGATGAGACTGCCGAGTTCAAACATAGCCAGAGCAACCAAGAACGATGACTTGGTGTTGAAGGACATGTAGATTCGACCGTACAGGGGCTGAAAAGCAGACGCAGTCAACAAATATGCACTGCCGTACCATCCTATGTCGTCGTAGGAATGGAAACGGGCCGTGATGTTGGGGATTGCCTGTCGCGGATGTCAGTTGCTGGGCCAAGGAAGGACGGGGTAAGGTAAGGCAAGGTATGTACCGTGGTGATGATGTTTCTGTCCAACGAGATGATGAAAACAGAAAGGCAGATACCCAGCACGATCAAGGCCAACGGCAAGGGGCCAGGATACTCAGTTGGATCATCCTCGTCTGCTGGCCCGGCTGCCTCGCCCAGTGCGTTCCGATTCTCGAGTGGCCGCACCGCAGGATGCGATTCGAACTTGAACTCTGAGGACTCTGAGACGGTCGATAGTCGTCGTTCTGGTGGTTCGAACCGTGTTTCGTTGTCGTCGGAGCGGACAGCTCGAGCATCGGAGGATGCGTCTACGTTCTCTGCCATGATGCCTGAGGCTGTGACCTTGGGCTTCCTGGGCGCATAACTTGAAGGGATATATGGTGTCTCTGGAAAGTTTGCCGCACCCTGCGTGGAAACACTCTGAGCCAACTTTGCTGCCGACTCAGCGTGAGACTCAGGCTTGACGATCGACAAGCTGCCCATAGGTACATGGCCGGATTGTTGGGAGTAAGCTGGTGGCGAAGCCTCTGTGAGCGTCGACTGGGGTGTGTTTCTCCCGCTCCCCCGCGATGATGTACTGGTGAGACATGATGCTGGAGATATCGTGCGGTCGAGCGAATGGTTCGGCCGTCGTCCGCGAGACACCTCGCTTCGAGCGGTGACGAAGGTTGCTGCGTCAGTGTCTTCTGGGTATATTCTGCCACCGTCATCACCGGCCGTATCGCGAGCAACATGTTGGGCTCCGTTGCTATTTGTGTCACGGCTGGGCTCCCGCCAACGATTCGTTGTTGATCTACTGACGCTTCGCAGTGACCTACTCCTGCTTCGAGAGGAGGCACGCACTATCGAAGCGGAGTCGATAATGTCGCTTACAACTTGATTGAGCCATGCATCGTTGCCCTCGTGTTGATAAGCTGCAGCGAAGGCTGCCATGGTTTTTGCAGCGGAGCTGACGCCTTCTCTGGAAGGTCAGGAGAGATTTGTTGAGGAATATCCTGGAGGCAGCATCTGCAGCGCTTGCAGGAGAGTGAGACCTTATGGCAAGAAAACCATTGAGACGCAAAGTCCGTGGACTCGCTAAACGCCCTGTTGATTATCCATGTTGATGATCTGCACGAGCACAAGAGCGAGCGAAGCGACGCTGTCCGGTTTTATGGCGACAGAATGCGTGTTCAGGGCTGATTGTGGAGCGAGATCCGCATAAATTCGCATCATGGAGTTTGGAAGCAAGCAGCATGGACTGAACAGTGCATATCCAAGGAAATCCGCATCCAGGATGGGACAGGCAGGATAAGACAAACAGGCCAACTCCCCGGCATGTCTTGCTGTTCATTGCTCTTCCCACTTGCGTACGATGATTGGGTGGTGGATATGCAAGCATATGCAGCGCTTATCCAGACATGTGCTCCGCTTATGGAGTACCTAGGTACTGTACGAGTACTACGAGTACTTTTTGGTAAATTCGTGTATCGCAGTGACGACTGACGCTGGTATTTGTCATTCTGCAACCGACGAGTACTAATCCCTGTTTACGTGAAGGTGTCTCCACGTGCCCTTCAGGTGGAAAACCCAGGACCTTCGCTTCAATCCCCGTCGCTCTATCGTTACCTCTACTAGTTACCTAGTTACTCGACGGCAGGAAACGGAAGGGCGCTCGTCACAGTGACACTCTGTCGATCTCGATTGAGTTCGATGATTCGGCTCTTAATGCTCACTCGCCAAAAGTGCTTACTCACATCCAGACTACACGAAGATCTAGTACAGTCTAGGAATTGCGCTGCTCCCAAAGAGTGACCCTTGCAAATTATGAGTCCGGCCTGATCCTGGCCATGTCCTTCTATGGTCTTGTTCTACTTGTACGCTCAGCAAACGCCTCGTCCAGTATGACTCCCGCGGACTCCCAACATCAATCAGGCATTGTTACACAAGCTGATAGGGGGAGAGCTTGCCAAGCTGTGCAAGCGTAGCCACGACTCCCTCAATTCCAACCCCATCGTAATGCCTGCCCAAGGCAATGTCGCCATTGAACTCGTCCTCCAATGCTGTTTGGCCGGCTAGGAGAGTGGCCATGCGCATTCCCCGTTGCCTCTCCGCTTCGATGGCTTGGGCGAGCTTCAGACCATGGGACTGCGCATTGGCCTCCGCTTCTCCTTCCTTGGCCAGGTAGCCAGTAGGTAGCAGATTCGCCGCTTCGAGCATTTCTTGGGGTCTAATGGTGATTCGCGCATTTTTGAACACCATCTTGCTCAGAGCAGAGGCCGCAATTGGAGCTTTGGCAGGACCGCAAGTGCTGTCGGTAGTCTGGGTCTTGAACATTGCACCAACGTCATCTTCCACCTCCTTCTCCGAGGAGCGAGTATTCTGGTCGGGGTACAGGGAAGATCGCCGTGGCGCAATGTTGGAACTTCTCTTGACAAAGTGCGTGACAAGATACAGCCATTTATCGTCCCAAGTGAGGACTCTAGTCCACATATCGTAGGTCTCGTAAGGGAGCAACTCCTTTCTGAATGTGCAGGTGACTGCTCCCAAAGCTACCGAGAATTTGCTGTGCGGCCTGCCGCTAAGACCATTCATAGTGGTGCCGCCCCGGATTTTGGCAATGCCGTTGCCAAAGAGAGTAGTGATCAGATGCACTCTGGCCACGTCTATGTCGGAGAAGTATGTGCTGTTGGATTTGTGGCCGAAAACGTCAATCTCCATCATAGGAGCCTTTGACGATGTGATCAGGGGTTGGAATAGTTGCTCGGGTCCGACATCTTGACTGGGCCGTTGAGAGCGCAGAACAAAACGGAGCCCATTGAGAATGCGGAGGTGGTAGATGAAGGGAAACACCTTGAAATTGAGAAGAACGAGTATCAGTGTCGACAGCTTCCAGAAAGTGTTCCAGGTGAGCGTGTGGCTCAAATACACCCAGGCGGTGGCCAGCGAATCTGTCTCGAGACTGAAGGACTCCGAGTAGTTTGCCAGCAGTGTTATGGGTTCAAAGCCCGAGACAACGGGAATACTGGAGTTCAACATATTCATTGCTGCTTAGCGTACTGTAGTGACAATGAGCTCGCCGTTTGCACTTTTAAACTTTGTCCTCGGTCGATGATAAGTAGTGAGATACTGATGGCGACAGTCCTGGTACACTTGGCCGAACGTCAGGCAGCCGTTGATGTGTGACGAAGAGCTCGACAAGTGTACCCAAGCCCCTTCCCAGCTTTCTCACAAATGATAGTCACCGAGTATGCGAATCAAATTCCCTCCACCTGCCATCGTTGTGAGACAGGTCAGTAAGGAACGTGTCAATCAACAATAATGCCGATCATGCCTTCATTCAAAGAAGGATTTCAGCATGTGCCAGCTAGTCCGTCTCTCAAGGACAAGAGCTGAGCGCCGATCGGTTGCTGTGGAATATGCAGAATTTTGACATCGCGCCGGATGACATCGAATTGGGAAATGGGATGAGACCTTGCCAAAGGTGGCACTGGTGTTTGGTTGGGATCACATCATGTAGCGTAGCAAGTCCTGGAAAGTCCCCAGCTAGCCTCGTAAGGGGACACGTTGCGCCTCTCCACCTCGTCTCTTCGGAGTGACAAGTTGTTGGTAAACTTTCCGAGACATTATTTGGTCGATCCGCCCAGCTCAGGCTCAGATGCGACCTGAGTGATGTTTACGTTGTGAACTCCACCTCAGAGCGTCTCGGTGAGATTTTCCTGCTGGACAGATAGCTGCTGTACGTCGCTCGTGAGAGTCCGTCGAGAGCAAACTTTCACGCGGTCGTTCTCGTGCCCAATGCGGATACGATAAGTGGTTCAGCCAGGCTCCGTGGGTCGCCTCATGTTGGTGCTCATAACTACAGCCGCACGGGGTGGTACCTTTGATGTCAAGGATTTCTGTAGATCTTTTGGACATCAAATCCGGTAGCTCCCGATTGAATGAGGAAGTGGAGGCAGGCTTAAGCACGGGACGGAAGCGAGATAAGAGAAAATGAAAGTGATCAGTAAGTGTGATGGGTCTTGTTCGATGCCTTTGCGAATACTGACTGAAGCTAGTCAGCCCGCCTCGGCATGCAGGATGACGAAGGGGCACTATCCGTAGGTGCCTATAGGCCCTATACGGGGAAGGGCCACACGCCGGTGAGACGCCGGTTCAGGGCTGTAATCATGTAATGACAAGCCAGCGAGGCCAGCAAGTTCGTGCGAAGTCGGTTTCGGGGACAAGCGCTTGATGGCGGCTTCGGAAATGCAATCCTCTCCCGAACCGGCAAGTTGTCCAGGGGCGCAGATGCCAACTTTATTTCGACGGCTCTTGGTACGATGGTACTTTGGGAATTCTCCGACAGGGCAATTATGTCTCTCGCTTTCATATCAGGGTCAGGAAATACTATCTCGACACTGGAGTGGTTTCAGCACGATGATGCAAACCTGCAGCTTTGCTTCTAAACAAAGTCTTTCGGGACGGGGGTCGACGGGAATAGAGACTCGCTCATGAGCAAGGCCAGTCCTGCGCCAGAATCCCTTGGTATTTTTAGTCGAGGTGAAAGAGCTACATACGCTATCTACACATTATGGGCGTTGCTTGCCTTATTGGCCAATTGTCTTCCCTCGACCGCTGATCGTGTGCGAAACAAATGTTTCAATTCACTCCACCATTCAGTTTCTCGAGGAGTCCTTGCATACTCATCTCCCCCTCCAAAATCCCAGATTTGCTGACATCATATGCGTGGGCTACTTAGCCGCGGATACATTTGTCCTCGTTGACCGTCTCCACAATGGCGGTCGTGGCCGACTTCAACACATCTGTAGCCATCTCAGTGGTTTCGGCAATGCTTGGTACTTCCGTTTTCTGGGCTTTCTTGAGAGCTCGCTTGGTGGATGGCTTCTTGTATGTGGAGAAATAGAACAAGACGAAAAGCACCAGATACGAGGAGAGGATTGCACAGCCAGTAACCGCCGCAACTTCCTGGCGCCGATCACCACAACTCCCTTGATGAGGCAGCCACGGGGCGTAAGTGTCTGCGAAATAAGTGTAGCAGGCGAAGTAGATGAAGCCTGGGCGAGAAGTTAGCAGTAGCACAGTTGAGAGACTCGAGCGCAATACCGAGGTCCAAGACAAACTGAGTGATCTGGAACATGGTGATGTATTGTTTCCACCACACTTTCACTCCACGAGCCGACTGGTAGTAGTACCTGCAAATGTGAGTTTGGGTTGGATCCAGGGAATTCAAGGACTTACCAATACATGACCACATGCACCGCCAAGTTGAGGGTGATGGGTACCCAGGAAACGGAAGTCTGGCCAACCAGCTGGGTGTAGCAGAGCAATGCAGTCGCGCCGTGGTGGTAGGTATGAAGGAATGTAAGAGGTTTTTTCTTCAAGACCAAGAACACGGTGTCGAGGAGTTCCAGGTACTTGGTCAGGTAATTGAGGTAATAGAGCACAAGTAGCTTTTGTGACCAGCCAGTAGATCCGCAGATACCGTCGTACAGCCCGTTCTTCCACAAAGCTGGAATGAGTTGTTGGGCGAAGAGAAGAAGCAAGCCCCCGGAGATCGCAGTGAGGTAGAAATTGTGAATGATGAACAGAGTGTTCAGCTTCATGGCAGGCCGATTGCGCATCAACTCGCGACCACCGAAAATGACCAGGTAGTAGGTCGCGATGAATGCTGCCGTCTCCTTGAAAGTCGACAAGGGGGTCAGACCTTGGACGAAGCGAAAGTCGTCGGTTGAGTAGCCCTTGGCCGTGCGCCACATACCCTCAAACAGTGTCCATGGGTCGAGCTTGATGACTGATGGAGCAATGAGTGCGATCTCACCCTTGGTGGGCAAGGAAGTGGCATATGGAAGGAAGCTCGCAGCAGCGAGGTAAGTAGAATTGACGAAGTCCATGATGGGAGTGCCTGGCTCTGGCAGCAAGTCTTCAATGATTGATCAAGGGTTTGCCTGGGAAAGAGGAGAAAGGACAGAGACCATGGGAGAGATGGAAAGGAAGAAGTGGTTTCCAGCGGGGGACGATGCGTGTTCTTGAAGACTTTCACCCACCTCGTCGGACAATCGTCAGAGGCTCAGAGAAGACCCATGCAGCTGCTCCGGATTCTCCAAGCTATGAGCACTTCACAGCACCGAGATACTCAGCTCTGGCTCCACCGAAGAAAAGTGTCTATTGGTAAAGCCCGCCCAACCCGAACCACCAACCCGTGTGCTCAGATGGTGGATCAGAGCAGAAAGCTGATGTGGGATCGGACTGTGACCATCATGCTTACCGAAGCTCCGGAAATGATCTGTTGAGGAAAAGTGTTCAAGGACCGTATGGCTGACTGAAGATCGCCCAAGTCATTGTCTGCATAGAGATGTTGTTGATGCTGATCATCTCAGGAGCTAACGAGAGGTCCCAACATGAAGCATGAAGCTGGTTGACCTGTCGTCAAAGCGACAATGTGTTATGGACGTGATAGTACCAGACAGATGTGGATCCCAGTCGATATGGCCTATGTAGGACCCATATCGGAAACAGAAAGTGGAACGTACATCGAGGCCTGTTTCGTCATAACAGCGGACATTGTTCCTGATCAGCGGCGGAATAGCCGGGCATGTCAGTAACTTACTATTGATGCCATCAAGTTTGACATACCATAGTCCTGATGGGTGCCAGAGACATTTGTCCCAGCTAGTCTCAGCGTGACCTGGAGTCAGTAAAGATCTGCAGAGCACATGCGTCTCATCCTCATTGGCCGTATCCAAGGTCAGTATGCTGTTGAGCAGAACCAGGACGCTGCTCGTCAAGTCCGTCGAGTCCAAGCCCTGCCAATACTCAGCTTGTTCAATCGACTCATCACCGCGAAAATACACTCCTGTCTCGGTGCACTTTTCTCCCGTCAAAAGCGTCAGATTCCCTCCCACAGAGACTTCGGCTTCTGGCTCTTTATACACTCACCTTGAATACTCTTGTCACTTACCGCACGCATTTTCCAAGATGACTATCCAGATTCCCTTCTTCCCTTTTGTTGCAGCTGTCACTGCTGCAGCCCTGTTGATCGGAAAGTACTCCGAGTCCTTCAGCAGCGCAAGTGCACTTGCCGTACTTGTCCCTGCGGCGACCGTTTTGTACACGCTCTACTACAGCTGGATTTACCCCTTCTACATCTCCCCGTTGAGACATATCCCTACCGTCCCTGGATTTCCACTCTGGGGTCAATTTTTCACCATCATTACTACCGAGTGCGGTGTTGCAGCCCGTGACTGGCACGAACAGTATGGACCCATTGTGCGGTATTTCTTTCCTTTCGGCAGCGAACGCCTTTCGGTGGCAGAGGACGATGCTATCAAGCAGATGACCGTCAGAAATCCATACAACTACCCAAAACCTGAACGCGCAAGGTTGTGGATGATGCCCATTCTCGGCGAAGGTAAGTGTCCACTTAAGACGGCTTCCTTTGCTGAAGCCCAAGCAGGCGTCTTGCTTGCCGAAGGACAGACACATGTTGTGCAGCGGAAAGCACTTACGCCAGCTTTCTCGATCACCTCCATCAGATCACTGATGCCGGTTTTCTGGGCGAAGTCATTGCACATGGCAAAGCTCTGGGAAACCGAAATGAAGACGGAAAAGGTCGACAGCAAGTGTTTCGAGGTATTGGAATGGCTGAACAGAACAACCGTAGGTTTTCTACGCCCAGACGTTGCCCCGCTTAGGCATGAGCCCTGTTTGCTTTTCGGTACATTGTAATGGGCTGATCTCTGACAACTTGGGCAGTTGGATATCATTGGGAAAGCCGGCCTGGGAACCGACATTGACTCCCTTGATGATCCTGGGACGCCCTTGCGGGATGCTTACCGACGCTGTTTCGATTTCGACCTGCAAGCTCGAATCATCAACGGTCTCGCAGCTTTCACGCCGCTCATTCGTCTCCTGCCGGCTCGCGCCAATCGGGACATCTTGATTGCTCGCAATATAATCCTCAGCCGTGCTCAGCAGATCATCCAAGAGAAGCAAAAGAACCCGGAAATCCAGGAAAAGGCTCGTCACAAGGACATCATCGGACTCATCGTCAAGGACAATATGGTTGCCAGCAAAGAGGACACCCTGTCGCTGGAAGAAATGCGCAATCAAGTCATGACTTTCCTTGGAGCAGGGCAAGTGCTATGCGTGTCTCCTCCAGGAGCAGTGGCTGATCGTTTTACAGACACGACACAACCGCAACTTCCGTGGCATGGACACTTCTCATGCTTGCGAAACATCCCGACATTCAAAGCAAACTGCGCGAGGAGATCCGATCCCGCATGCCTTTCCTGTTCGATCCCGAGGCCCGGGAAGTGGAAGAGAACATTGAAACGGCCGACGTCGACTTGTTGCCGTACCTCGAAGACGTCTGCAAGGAGTCCCTGCGCTATATTCCTTCAATTCCAATGACGGTGCGCAAAACCATCGCAGATGACATATTGGCAGGGTACTTCATCCCAGCAGGAACCACTGTCTATCTGATGGCCAATACTATCAATCGTTTGCCCATGTACTGGGGGGAGACAGCGAACAAGTTTGACCCCTCTCGATGGCGCAATCTTCCAGACACGTACACGACAAACGCCTTTATGACGTTCTTGCAAGGTCAGTGAAAGTGTGGAGTTGTTGAGATGAATGACGCTGATCGTATTGCTACAGGTCCGAGAGGCTGCGTTGGCCGCAAATTTGCCGAGGTTGAGATGAAGACCATCTTGTGCTCTTTGCTCAGCAAGTTCACTTTTGAACCAGATCTCTCGGTGCAAGACCCAGAGGAGCTGAAAATGTGGCGATTGGTCTTGAGACCCCGAGATGGCGTCAGCTTGAAAGTCTCTCCACTCAAGCAACAGGCGTAGGACTGATTGAGTGAGCAAGGAGGACGACCGATCAGAATGCTGGATTGGAAACAACGGGTTCAGCGGGTTCCGTCTAGTTAGGCCAGAAGTTCGGGTTTGGTAGTAATAATGCTATGATCTCACGATGCAGAGCTTCGGAGTTGTTGACAAATGAACAAGTGAGAAGCAGAGACGCGGTAGTCCCAGTGCCAGTGTATCGGGGCACTACCTGTTCGTTCAAAGTTCAAAGCCGCATATGCAATTCCACTCTGGCGTGTACCCGACCGAAGGTTTCTTGACATGTGGACCTCAAAACCAAATACCGCATTGAGTTGGCATCTCCCGATACAGTTTTTTGTTGAGTAGATAGCTGCCGAAGTGGGAACTTCGCTGGAGTGGCTTGCATACGGCTGCAGGTTGTGTGTAGATCACATTGGTGCGGAAATGGAACTCGTACAATGGACATTGGACATTGGACAAGGGTGTGCAAGGCTTTCAGCCAGCTCCTGAAGACAAGCTTTCCAGTGCGGGTCCATCATTTGGCGAGCGAAGTGTTGGTGGCTTCCCGGTCAATGATACCGTCATTTCAAACCAGATAAAATCACTGATACCACTCTCCACTTGTTGTACGTGAACATGCTTCATTGGACGAGTCCGCATAAAAGAAGTCAGTTAACAGGGTCGTGAGAGCCACGGACTTCGGCAATACGTTCCTGCAGATCAGCGCGCCACGACACGGCACGCAGGCTTGTCGGCCAACCATTCTCGATGAAAATCATGTAAGAATGCCTGAATCTGTGCATCCCAACAACGGTTTGGTCTACCTGGAAATGCCCTGTTGTGCAGCGCATCAGACCCCTGTACTCCGGACGTGCATTGGAAATGTTTGTTGGCGCCCAGTCCTGCTATAGCCGTTTCGTGAGGCTGAGAACCCCGATACCTGTTTCAGCTTATGGTCCACACATCGAGGCGGGTTGGAAGGCTCCAAAAAAGGTGGCAGCTCCATAACTCTCTTAGTGGTCTTGCTGCAGTCCATGTCATCGGCACTGTCGCACTGGGAACCGCCACGTCCTGGCTTACCGGATAAGGCAGTGATCGAGGACTTTCTGCCGCCTGCATCGAGAAACTTCTGCTGTAGCGCGCTGACCAGAACCTCCTAAGCATGTGGTTCGCGCGGACTTGTCATTTTTCGCTCAGGTCGATTAATGTTGTCTCACGCACCGGGCAATCAACAATGACATGTAGATCTTTGCGCTCTCCAGGTCTGCTCCTCATTCCATTACGTGAGGACGATCCGTCGGTGGGAGATCATCGCTTGCCAGTGACAGCATCTCGGACTTTCTGCTGCAGGCTTGATGATGGAGGGCACGCCAAGCCAGCTGAGAGGAACGGTGCACTGAGACAACACCGAGTGTGGCTGTTATTCTTTGAAGAGCTGCTTGGTTGGGTTGAGCAAAAGCCGTAGCCTCTTTTGAAGCTGAAGATATAGTTCGTAAGAAAGATCAAAGTCCTCTATTCAGTTGAAGTGTTCAGAAACTGGTCAAAATTCGTTCGCCTGACCTTCACAAGACTTGTTCTCGAAGCGAGATGTTGTTTACAGCAGGGTACCTTATCCTTATAGCCTTGATTTGCTACAAGGTTGTGTCGGTCTTTCGCTTGCGAAGACACCATGCCCGCCAGGCAGCAACACTTGGATGTCGGGTACCTCCACTTGCACCCCGGAAGGGATTCTTAGGCATTAGAACGTTGAAGGAGAGCCTCCGAGCCACTCGTGAGGAACGGGGACCAGTCTGGATGCATGAAACCCTGAACTCGATTGGCAAGAATGTCCATACTATCAAAGCCTCCATTTTTGACTATGACTTGATCATCACCAGGGATCCTGAGAATGTCAAGGCCATGTTCGCAGTTCAGTCTCAAGACTTCGACATTGGCCTACACCGTGAGAAGTGCTTCAAGTCACTGCTCGGTTCAGGCGTGATGACCAATCGACAGGAGAAATGGAAGCACTCTCGCAGCATGATCAGGCCGCAGTTCGCCAGAGATAACGTCGCAGATGTGGATCTCTTCCAGAGACATCTTGAAGATTTGTTGGCCAAAATCCCCATGTCGGAGGACAGCTGGACCTGCAAGGTCGATCTGTCGCCCATGTTCTTCAATTTCACCCTGGACACGGCCACTGAATTCCTTGTGGGTCAGTCAGTTCATGTGCAGAATCCTGCAAAGAATCCTTTGAGATGGGACTTTGGTGCGCCTGATTTGGCCAGCTTTGGCCATCACCTTGATGAAGCCAAACGTATCATCGACCGACGAGGAGCAATGGCCAAGTACGGATGGTTGGTCCGAGACAAGTCTTTCCCGGAGCACTGCAAAGCCGTCCAGACTGTCATTGACTACTTTGTGAAGCAGAAGCTGGATTCCTGCTTGGATGACGAGAAAGTTGTCGAAACTCCCAGCGGGAAACCCAGATTCGTTCTCCTTGACGAGCTGGCGAAAGAATGCACTGATCCGGTGGAGCTGCGCTGCGAACTCCTGAACGTGTTGCATGCTTCCAGAGACACAACTGCATCTCTGCTCGGCTGGTCCTTCTATTTCCTTGCCCGGTATCCAGAAGTATTCGCGAGACTGCGAAGAGAAATCTTGGACAACTTCACGGATAGCCCGACGTCGGAGATTACAGACACCGACTTTCGAGCTTGCCATTACTTGCAATATGTTCTCAATGAGACGATCCGCTTTGTGGGCATTGTGCCCATGAACGAGCGGGCCGCTGTGCGTGACACAACATTGCCTCGTGGTGGTGGCTTCGATGGACAGAGCCCTGTATTCGTGCCGAAGGGCACTCAAGTTCTCATTCCGACTTACTCGATGCAACACCGTGAGGACATCTGGGGTCCGGACGTCGAGGAATTCAAGCCTGAAAGATGGCAAGGTCGCAAGTTTGGGTGGGATTTCATACCATTTGGCGGAGGTACGCGTCAATGCCTGGGGCGTAAGTTCACCCGCCGGATGCGCCGGATCGTCATCACTGACATGTTGCAGAACAATTCGCACGGACGGAAGCCATGTATGTCATTGCGAGGATGCTCCAGATCTTCGACAAAATTGAAAACATGGAAGGCCCGGGACCGATCAAGATGCACCATACCATTGAGAATCGAAGTGGTTCTGGGGTTCAGGTCCGCCTTCATCTCGCGTCGCCGGCATTTGGATACTGCCAGAAACAACATGACCTCAAGTTGAGCGATGAATGTGACATGGGCCTGGGGGCAGACAGAGCGGAACAGGTTGCGTGAATTGCGTGAATGGGACAACGTGTATCCCGCGTACAGCTCTCATGTCGACGTTCTATGGTTCATGTACGGCGAAATGTGAATGTCAAACTTCTCAGATTCGGACTGGCCGCATCCACGTGGAATTCAACCCCGATGTTCTTGATCGCCTTCATGGTGATTGTCTAAAGCAGCGTGTCTTTCGTTGGCCACTAGCTTGTAGCATACCACAGACGTCGTCGCGAACGAGTCGGCTGGGCTGGAAGACGATGATGAAAATTCGAACGGACACGGGTCACGAGGCTGCCAAGGGACTAGCCCCATAAAGGGATAGCTTTTCCTTGCTTCCGATGAAGAGATCGAGGCTGACGAATGAGGCGAATCTGGGGGTTGAAAAAGGCGGGATGTTTTCTCGCACTAAGTCCCTCACTAACCCAACTCCCTCACCATCAATCACTCGTGCCACTGCACCTACACTCTTGCATTGCCCAGGGAGGACCATTTCTCTGTCGACCACCTTCAGCATGTGCTGATACTGTGCCTGCGCTCTCCTTCAAGAGCACCCCTATACCCTTCGCCACCTCCATTGTGCACCGTCGCCCGTCAATCATGGAGGTTCAGCATCTCTCGTCTCCCGGGCTCCTTGCGGGTGACAACTCCGAGCAACCAAATTTTGACACGGCCGCCGATGGCAGGATTGAGATGGCACAGGAAGACATAGACGCGATCATAAGGAACAAGAGGAAGGTTAGAGATCCAAAAGCCTGCTATGCCTGCCATCGCCGAAAAGTCAAATGTGACCGTAACTTGCCCTGCGACTCCTGCATCAAGCGAGACCATCCCGAGCTATGTTCCTACGAACGTCCGACTAAGAAGCGGCGTATCGCATTGCCGGGGCCCATGGGTCAGAATGAGGGGACACCATTTGACGGTCATGATCCAGCGCTACAGACTGGGCCGAATGTCACCGTGCCGCGTGAGCAGTGGGAACGCATGAACAGGGAATTGCAAAGATTGCGTACGCAGGTCAAGAGTGAATCCTTATCCCCTGGAGGACCGCACACAGAGACCGACGATCCCAACACTGCGGGCACACACAGTCGTTCCGATGAAGCAGAAAGAGAGGGAATACATGCTCCCAGCAATCAGATGGGCACTATGCATCTGGGTTCCAGATCTGTCCTTGCGTACATGATGGCTTTGGGAAGAAGTCAGACGACGCAAGACACCGCGAGGTCTCTTCTCGAAGAAAACATTTTACCAAAACTGGGTCTTGACAATGAAAGCGCCACCTATCCTTTCGTCGATTTATGGAGTACCGCTTCTAGTATGCAAGACGTTAGTGGCTTGTGTAAAGCAATTCCGGACGATGAGCTGTGCCGAGAGTAGGTTGCAGAAATCCGAAAGCGTTGATGCACATGGCTGACCGTGCGTAGATTTTTTGTCGCTTACAGAGATGTCGCAGGCACCATCTATCCCGTCGTGCCTGATGCCGCCAGCTTCGAGGATACACTGACCTTCATGCTTTCAAATCGAGCTCGCGCTCTTCGCGACCATCTCGAACTTGACCCGAACAAGCCGTATGGGGTTTCTTTGCCTTGGCTTTCACTGGTTTTCGCCGTGTTCGCCTCAGGGTCGCAATGTGCTGATAGACCGGCCAAGGAAAGGGAGCTTACCTCACAAGTCTACAGTATGTTGCCTACATAGTCACTGGGAAGAACTGTGCTGACACCTTGCAGTATGTTGCTCTTATCAGGCGCTGCGTATGTCGAATTTTCTGACTCATCCTTGTCTGGAGACTATCGAGGCTTCTCTTATCATCGGCAACGTACTGTCATACAACATGAATCCTGGCGTGGCGTACATATTCCTGGGGATGACGTTACGCATGGCGTTCTCCATCGGCCTCCAGATCAATTCGAACCATTTCACCGAGGCTGAGAAGTGGACTCGCCGACGCATCTGGTGGGCACTTGCGTGGCAGGATTCGCATTTTGCGGTCAGCTACGACAGGCCGACCTCGAGCGTCTTGTGCATTCCAGACATACCATATGGTAAATTCAGCTCGCCAGGAGATCGAAGCTATGCTGAGAGCATGTTTGCCATCATCAGACTCACTCAACAAATCGTCCGTGAGCGCTTACTCCACCCTCGTTCTTACATGACGTGGGACACGATTCGAAAACACACCGACGAGATCGCTAGCATCGTTGCACAAGCGGCGGCTCACCTACGGGACCGAAATCAATGCTACACAATGACCCAACATCTCGAACGTCTAGCCTTGAAACTTCATAGTTCCTACATCATCAGTGAATTATGTCGACCAGCATTGAAGGAACCATCTTTCTCATCCGTTGATGGAGGCATCGTCTCTACGCCCTCTCTGTCTCCAGGCGGACGCCGCAACACTTCACAGGGGCCGTCACAGTCGGGGCTGTCCACTCCGGTCTTGGATCCCACTTCACGAGCACAGTTTCGGCGTGAATGTGTCCAAGCTCTAGAAGGAGCTGTTGCTGCGTATGTGGAGATACATAGCTTGAGCAAGTTTGCGGCACGTTCTTGGATTGGGATTCAACGCGCAATTTCAGCAGCATTCTTATTGGGTACCCTGCCCGATACCGGCCAAGATCCCCAAAGACTGACGCTTCTGCGGGATCTTGAACGAGTGATAGGCCAAAGGACCACGGAAGATCCGACGTTTGATTTGCAACCTCAGGACGCCCCTGCGACACGGCGCCTTTCCGCTCCTGAACCACCACCATTGGCCGACTCCCCCCACTGGGTACGCAGTATGGCCAAATCGCTCAATGCGCTTGGAAAGCTGAACGCCGCTTTAAATGGGCCCAAACCTAGTCCTGCTAAATATCCATATCCCTCCAACTCCAACGGACAATCGGGCTCGGGAAACATCTTACTGAATATAGGAAGCAATTCCAATTCCTCACAGACTCAATCCAAGTCCCTCTACCCAGGCATCACGAATCTGAAGCAGGAGCCATATTCGCCAGCGCTCGCAACCAGCGGCATTCTTGGCGTGGGCAGTGCTGGCATGGGTATGGGCTCCGGAGGCATGAGCATGGGTCCGATTACGCCAGACAGCACAGGCTCCTCGAGCGACTGGAATTTCAATAACCTGCACGAACGAGCGGCTGAATATGTTCAAGCGCCGCTCTGGGGCGACGGCGGAGCTGGCACTTATATGGCTTAGAGAGGGTGTTCTTGTGCCCGGTCATTCGTTGTTCATGATTAAGGCTGTATCGAACAGTCTTCAACATGACTTGAGGTGCATTTGTAGGCTATATGACCCCGATTGACGACACCGAGTGAGCCGAGAAGCTAGCACAACCCCGCATGAATATGACTAGCATGATGAAATGTATGATTGATGCAGACTGCAAGGCCTCCAGCAAACTGCGAGGGCGTGATGGGACCACTTGGGTTGATGAAGAGGTCCGCTCGCTGTGTCACGCTTCATCAGATATGCAGTTCCCATTCCAAGTATTTGGACAAACCCCCGATGTCTTGATCGCATTTGCTACCCTCCCGAGACAGCATCTATCCTCTCTTGCGTGACGACATATTCCCTCGGCAGACCGCCATCCTCCTCGCTCTCAGCAGTGTCCACCTCCTCTGCCTGCAGGGCCTTCCAATCTGCCCCTTTTAGATCCGCGATTGCCAGTCGGGCTACATGGCGTCCACATAGTGGTGCGTTCGTCATTCCATGGCCGCTATACCCAGCAGCGACAAACAAGCCAGGAGATCCCGGCACACCACCGACCCATGGATGCCCATCTGCCGAAGACCCAATGATTCCTGTCCACGATGCTGCTAGATCCAACAACCCGGCCTCTCTCGAGATCGAGGCATCAGTCGCCAAGTTCAACCTTTCCGGCAGACTCCTTAAATACTTCTCCACGTCTTCATCCACGTAATCATCATCACTTACCCCCACCCCATGCCCTTTAGCCTCAGCCCTCCCACCACCAAACATCAAATGCCCACCGCGTCCAACCACGCCTCCATCCTGACTGTCCAGAATCGGATTCTGCACAAGGTAATCACTCATAACCCGGTCCTGCAATCCGACCCCCATCATGCCGTAACTCTTGGGAATCAAGGTCTCAGTAAACGGCGAGTCCTTTGGCGGTAATAGCGCCGACATCTGCGCTTGCGTGGGCGATATCAGACCCGCGAACTGCGGGAGCAAATGCGACGTATATCCATTCGTCGCGAAGATGACGCGCTTCGCCTCTACGTCACCCCTGCCTGTGTGCAGTATCCAGCCTTCGCCATCCTCGACGGGTGTGATGCTCGTTAGGGGAGTTTCCGTCTGCAAATTCAGCCTGCCCGGCTCATGCTTTCTCAACATCTCGGTCCAAAGCCCAATCATAAGCTTGTACGGGGACAGACTCGCCGCGACGTCCTGTATGATCGCGCCTACCACGCCGCCTGTGAGTCTAAGCTTGCTCAGTTCCTGCGGGTCCTCGACAATTCGGACAAGGGAGCGGTGCTTCTCTACCACTTCTGCCTTGCTGTGCAGCGCCGCTTTCGCTTCGTCGAAGTATGTCTTGTTCCAGAATCCAAGACAGCCGGGCAATTGGCGGAAGTCGCAGGGAATATTGTTGTCTTTGATCATATTGTAGATGTGACGATAATTGCTCATTTCGAAATCTATAATGGCTGTGCGCTCTGCGTGAATCAACGGCTGTAAGTGTCCGCCATTGCGCCCTGTTGCAGCCGAGCAGGTTGTTCGGGCTTCAAGGACGAGAACGTCTAGATCGTCGGCGGCATTTGCGAGGAGTTCGTGCGCTGCGAATGTCCCGGAGATGCCGGTCCCAATGACCACAACAGAAGCTTTTGATGGCAGCGCCCCTGTCGAGCGGTGATGAGTGATCGGATTCGGGTGGGAGGTCTGCCAGAATGATTTTGTCGGGTTGGCTGAGGGAAGGCCTGCTTGACCGGTATATGGTAAAGGGGTGCTGGCGTCTCCCATCTTCTGATTACAGAATCTGAGTCCTGAGCCTAGCAGAGGTGACTTCGCCTCTTTAATCTTCCGCGAAAATGACTTTGTAGACTTTGCAAGAATGTTCCTTTTAGAGATTTCAGTACCGAGTATCGACTGAATATATATTCAGTTTCAACGTCTTCAACACCTCGAAACGACTTCTCAAGCTGCCCAACACGTCACCTAGTCGATGGTGTCAGTAAAATTTCTGAAGACTACGCGCTGATACGAACAACGTATAACTTCAATACAATTACGGTGTTGGATGGAGAAGTCGTAGCTTGATACGCCTCATGAACGCCGTTACGCTGTAGTAGCCAATCACGCATTTTGCCGCACTACAATGGATATCACTTAATGGGCATCTCCGTTATACCAAGTCCTGTAACCAAGGTATGTAGTTCTTCTAGATGCGAAGGTGGAGTGCTCGTGAGGGAAAGACCTGGAGCTGTATTATGGATGCTTCTACTGGAGTCAAGGGGACTTGGTTTTCGAAGAAGAGGTGCCTGGCATGCTAATGCATCACAATTAATTCGCTACACGAATACCTCCTGCCACTATACAGTGGTTTTGTTCAGCCGGAACGGGGTAACCATCTTCATTTGCACTTTTGGGACAGTGCATCCTCATCTTCGTCATCCTTTTGTGAAATGCCAAAGCGCAAAGAATGCTTCCATCGCCTTCTACCTTCGGGATCATTCACTGCTGGGACATCATTCAATCAACACCCACTTCTTGTCAGCCTCCTTCGTGCCTTGCCTCGCAGCAATGGCTTCTAACGTATTCTTGATGGCGTCTTTGGGACACTTCGGGAATTTCTGCTTCAGAATTTCAACTAAACCAAGCTTTGTCAGGGCGCTGCCTGAGACGGCATCCTTGAAAGCAGGCAGAAGGCTAACGTCGATCAACTTGACTGGCTTTGCGGATTTGTTGGCCTTGGACTGCGTTGATTTGTTGTCGGTCTTGATAACAGCAGACATAGAACCAGATTGTGCAGAAGGTGGTGTCAAGTTTCCGCTGTTTGGATCGACTGCCATAAGTGGTAATCGTGGAGGCTGCATGGGGGCTTGTGTAACCGTTGGCTGTGCCTTCTCTCGCTTCACTGGGCTGGTCTTGCCAGTGTCGGACCAGTGCTTTGTCGAAAAGGGATCGATCGGGAAAGTTGTTGAGTCGTGCAGGACATCAATGCGATAGACGGAGAGATCGAGACCTTGAGGCGACACCTCCACACCTTCCCAGCATAATCCGGTGGATTTCGGCTCCATTTCCGAGACTGTTTGTCGCTTTAGAATGTCGCCTTCGTCGTCTAGGAAATCGTCCATATCCTCATCTCCATCTTCATCTTCTGATTTCTCGTCTTCATCCATAAGGTCGTCATCCCCCTCCTCGGGCTCTTGCCACTCAGCCTCGCTGTCATAGTCATAGTTGGTGTCTGGTAAGCCGCGATGAGATGGATTAATCGCAAGCTTGCGAGCGGATCGCGGTGGCACAGCTCTGGTGTATGTTCCCTGATATGCCGGGCGAACGTCTTGCACGAAGAAGAGATATTTGTACGGGAGTGACGCGAGGGCATCTCTGGTCTCTGTCAGGTCAATCGGTGGATTGGAAGTGCCACTGATTCCCTCCAATAATGCCTTTACTGGTTTGAATTCCGTCCGTCGTCTGCGTTTGTGGAATCGTCCATCGAGCTTCTCATGTTTGGCGTCCTGTTTCAGCGGCAGTGTGTCTCCCACAGTCGACTTGGAGTGGAAACGATTGAATGGGGCCAGTTCCATATGATCGTTGATGAAAAACGGCAGGATCCATTTGGTATATTCAGGGTTTGCTGGTTCTCGGGCCTTGATCTCAAGCGATGGCGGCTCCATATCAATTGACGCAGTAGAGGATCGTCGACTACGAGTCCCAAGAGTAACATCGTCCGGACTCGCTGGGGGCGTTGACGTTGGACCAGGGCGGCCGAAGAAGGCACCAATGCGCATTTGAGCCTAGGAATGTCAGCGACGCAACTAAAAGAGGTCAGTTGCGAATATACCCTCTCCTTCTTCAATATCTCAGCAGCCCTTCGTTCCTTTTCGGCTTCTTTTTCAGCCTTGATGGCATCCCTTTGACGTTGCTTCTCTTCCCTTGCAGCATCTTTGGCCTTCTTTTCCTCTTCTTTGCGCTGTTTCTCTTCCTCTTTTTTGGCCTTCGCCTCTGCTTTCTGCCGATCCTTCTCTTCTTTCTCTTGCTTCTTCAGGGCCTTTTCGACTTCCCGTTCGGCAAATGTAAGCTTCCGCTTTTTGGAATCAGAAGACGCCATGTCAGACTTCGAGGGGCTGAGTACTGGCGTGGATCCCAGCTCGGTCAGGGGAGTACTGGCTGCACTGAGAGCAGGAGACACAGATCGTGAGCGAGTTCCTGTGCGGGGAGTGCTTCGTAGTTCTACAGGTGGCGTGATAGAGGAAGAATGATTGACCAGTTCACCGTCGTAGTTGCGTTTCTTGGAGGTAGGAGTGAGTTGTTGAGGATGTAAGGAAGGAGCAACCGACCGCGGGGGAGAGATGTGAGCATCCATGATGGCATACAATAAGCAAACAAATTCGAAAGGTACAATGAGAGTTGGAAATGCCGATAACGCCAGTCAATGAGGCTTGAACAGTCAAGGAGCATGGAACATTGAGACCCTGTCAATGCAATGCGAGGAAGTGTAAGGAGACGCGAAAACGCGTGACGATGGAAACGCGTTCGCCACGCCAAGGCTGTCCGCCAACTTGGCCTGCCTCGCCTCGTGCTGGAATTCCCATGACCTCCCCATCCATGTTTATTGAAGGACGCCCACGACCACTTTACACAGGACTTCACACGAGGCGGCCCTCCCAAACCACCTACAATTCTTACGACTTTGTATTTGTCCTTGCTGCGAAGATCCCTGGACCTGACCAACCACCCACCGCCTGCTCCCCTCAATGCTAGGCGAGTGCGGCTGAAGGCTGCTGCAGCCATCCATGTTCCTCTCGTATTTTCACTGCCTGATCAACAAGTCATAGGGTCGATAGACAAAACCACCGAACGAGGCAATACGACACTCATGACTGCAACCAGACCACTAAGTTGCCTGCAAATTGCGAGTATCACAGAGCAAAGGTACCCATGCCATCATCTTTCTTCTGGCCTGAATTGCCTTCCACCCTCACTGCTCATACAAGAGGCTCGGTTCCCTCGGCCATTGCCCGTCGAGCTCTGCCTGCTGGTTGAGAATCCAAGGATCAAAGCACCAGGCATCGCTTTTGATCATGACTCTTGCTGGACATAAGAGGTAGGTCAGCCCAAGCTTGGTACACGCATCCGAGACTTGGCGCGAGGGCTGAGATGGCGCATCCTCCTCAGCCTGACCGAGTCAAATGGAGCTCTACAAAATATACATACTGCACAACTCTCCTCGGTGTCATATTTTCCTGCTCTTGTTTTCGAGACCATTCCAATCGGCAGCACTTTCGAGTCACTTTCGTTCGATATTTGACATACCCACCGGAGAAATTTCACACCATCTAGCAGACAAGGATTGTCCCAAAACTCTGTCGGCCTGAGAACCTTTACCGCGTCAAACTTGCACCCATCGAACATATGGACATGAGACTCTCCTCCCGATCCAGTTTTGGCTTGTTCCTTGTCCTGCTGCTCGTCGTTTCCGGACATCCTGTTGACTTAGCCGTGCCAGCCCCGAGTTTCTCGAGCACGGAACTGCTACCAAAGGCAACATGCACACGTCCAGGCAATGCCGAATTCTATGGCTTTGGCATCCGTCTTGGTATCTATTTGCAGATACTGTCGACAATCATTATCATGGCCGTATCAGACTCGAACTCAGAAATGATATATGATCTGCATGACGGTAACGCCGCCCTTCTGCTGGCCATTCTCATTGCTCTGGTCAAAAACACTCCATCGAAAAGCGTTGAGCTTGCAGATGTGGTCATACTCTTGCGGTTGATGTGGCTGATCATCATCTGTGGCTTCTCGATAGGACATATAGCAGCTGAATTCAGAGCTGCGAGGAGCTCGGGCAAGTTGATTGCTATCCTCACTGCGCCAACCGCCGCCGTCTTTCGGTGGACCGTCGTGGGAATGGTTTCTGCCTACAACGTCTGGTTCTGGTTTCGAGGAGTTACCTACCTGCGCAAAGATGATCAATGCCAAACGTACGCATTTTTCTTTGCGGAACTCGATATCGAGGGTGGGCTTCGCAGTCTCTACAGAGTTACCTCAGTCCTCCTTGTACTTTGCCCTCCGGGATGGCTCCTCGCGTACCTAGGTTTTCTGGCCGGGGTCTTAGTGCTCGTCATGGGGATGGTACTTGCCTTCTACGCATTGATCCCAATTCTTCTTCCGATATCTATTGCTTTGCGAATTTACGATATTTGCCACACAACCGGAGCCTCGATTGAACCTGCACGTAAAGAGCCCGAGAAGAGGGGCGCATTTTGGTTGAGACTTATTTCAATCACTTGGCAGTTGTATGGGCCTTCGCTTCAAGAAATACTGTTAACGTGGACGAAAGTGCGCGAGGGTGCTGCTGGCAACAAATCTCGTCCCATGTCCACAAAGGCCCGAACAAGCAAGTCCGAAAAGGTTTCAAATTTGTGGGTGCACTCCTATCACGAACAATAGAGACCGCTGACCCTTTTACAGATGGATTACATATATTGGACTGGTCACCTTCTATTACTTCTTCTCCATCTTGGGGATTGAGCTTTCTATATACTGGAATAAGATCAGCCGTCCTTATCAATTAGATGCCACTGGTCAACTTATCCCATTTGTCATCGGCATTCTGAGTTTCATCAAGGTTATAGGGCGCGCGTGCGCGGTAAGCACAACCATTTCAACATTGTGGTAAGAAGCTGTTTAACAGATCGTAGGAAGCCGAAAGGTTCATCTATCCACGATTCCGAAAAGCAGTGAACAAGTGGTCATTTTACCTAGGTGTGCATGGCGCCGTATGCTTCTCATAGGCGCGACAGATGTTGATGATTCGTTTTGCAGAGACGAGGAGAACCGAACCTTCCAAGCAGGTTCGTTGCGCTTCTACACCAGAGCTTTCCTCAGAGAAATTCCAGCCCGAAAGTCGGCCTAGACGCTGCAATAGTCTACCCGATGTGGGCCGAGCGGACGACATGGGACCGGATTCGGCGCAAGAGAGAGATAAGATCAATGCCTATCTGAAGGGGCATTACACATCTGACCATGAGTCATCAGAGGTAGAAGGGGTATTTCAGGGACTTCGCGGCGGCCGAAGAAAACAGCTCATTGCTCTTCCTTTGGTACGACAGGGCCCTGAAGCCGGAAGCGAGCAAGAGACTGTATGATGCTCGATCAGATTTGCGGTAAGGCGATATCATGTGGATGTCGTAGAAGCCAGGGTGACTGCTATATCAAGTTCAAGCATACAACATCCCTCTCTTGGGCGTCCTCAAATACTCTGGCGGCGCAATGGCAAGCTGCGGCACGCGCTCCCCAGGTCTATAGCTAAAATCATTCACAAAATCATTCCGAAACTGGCCCTGCTGGTCATCCTGATCCACCACCTCGCCGAGCTTGACCTCGACATTACGCAACATCTTCGCCCTAACAACGCCGTCAAGCGTACTTCCTCCCTTCGCGAAATCGAAGTACTTGGAGTCCCTCGTCAGGGAGGAACAATAACTCAGCACGTCGGGGATGGTCGTGTTGAACGCGCACCATATACTGAACAGCGCTGCGATCAGCATCACAGATATCGATGCGCAATATATTGCGAGCCAACCCCAAGAGACAAGGTACACCGCGCGTCCCTCAAAATACGTGGCAGTGGTGTTGCGGTAATTCAGCCCGTAAAACTGCATCGTACTCGCAGAGACCTGACTGGCCAAAACCCACGTGTTAAGCAGTTGACCCAGGCGCTGGGAGAATTCGAGGTTTGTCACGTTCGTGTAGTCCGCGTAATTGCGGCCGTTGCCGCTCAGGATGAACGCCGCAGTCGTGTTCTGTAGGTAGTACTCGCTGAGCGAGGAGTAGGCGCTGCTCGACAGCGGATCGGTTGCCATTATCCAATTCTCCGTCAAGTACGAGAACGTACTAGGGAAACTGAGTGTCGTCACGGTCGAAGGGGCGTGCTTCTTTGGGGATTTCCGTTGTGCCGACACCGAACAGTCAGGTATTTGCGTAGTTGCGTCAGTCGTTGAGACGCAGCTAACATTCGATTCGACATAGATCTGGTTTATCTGGCAGCGGGAAACCCAGGGGCCTCGTGTTTGGAACAGGAAAGTAGCCTGCGGTAGGTTGTTGTCGGTGACATTGACCAATTCCTCAGGCCATCCGTAGAAGTAAATGTTATTGTTGACGAACTGGTTCATGGCGACACGCCAGTAGGGATAAATGGCGTTGGGATTTGTTTGAAGAACAGTTGCATTTGGACCGAGGAAGGTGCCGTTGCCAGCTGTGACATTATAATTTATATCCACCAACTTCTCGGGTTGGGACGTCTTGCAGTCGAGATTCATGTAAGTGGTTTCGATAACAAAGCTGGAATTCTTGTTGGCCAGCGATGCGACTGGGAGACCGACTAGGGATGAGTACATCCCCTCGGTGATGTTGAGTGTTGATAAATCGGCCCAACCATCGTTGCCTTGTGGTAGACTCTCGTCCAGCCATGGCACTCTGACGTTGCCCCATAGATCCATCGTTCCAGATTTCACGGTTGTTGGTCCCAAGATAGAGCTTACATAAGTCGGTTTGAGGGCTGTCAGTACTGAATCCACACCAGACACTGAGTCGAAGATCTGATTGGTAATGCTGTCAGGATAGCTGACCAGACTGCTCTCTGTATTGAAGTCAATGCCTGTAGAGATCAATCGTAGAGACGCCTGGGATCCGAGAGGTGAGCAAGCCCAGCATATCAGCAGGACCAAGGACATGATGTTGAAGGCCCGCAATGACAACAGTGTGGTGAAGGCGGCAAAGACTGTTCGACTCTGCATAATCTGTTCCAGCAGCCCCAACTGAATGCCTCTCTCGAGACGCCATGTAGCGAAGCGCTTCAGTGTCGAGCCCAGCACAGCCGCAAAAAGGATCGTGAAGAGTGTAGAAATCTGCACCAATTAGTCTTCTTCTGGGATGGCACTGAATTAAGACAGGTGTGTGCGAACCGTGCTCGTAGCCTGTTTGGCATAATTCGTCTTGTCTTCCGTTATCTGCTCATGATCGTACTTTGCCATAACCACCGCCAACCAAACAAAAGGGACAGCCGCGGCCAGTGCAAAGGTGCAGAGCGTAATCTCTACTATTAAATCCACACCGAACTTGCCAACCCGGCCTGGCCCAAGAGCGGTGGAGGCTGGAGGACGTTCGACGCGAGGCTTGAATGTGCGGTTCTCGTATTCATCTTGTGGCGTGAAAATAGGGTTGTACGAGGCCGATGCCGACTTTCGATTGAGTCCAAACGACCTGCTAGAGGGTCGCCCACTCCCAGAAGCATATGGATTCGGACTGTATGAATTGGTAAGCTCGACGATGTCGGGGCTCGACATGGGCCTTGATTACGAAAACGGGTGATATGGAGCCTTATCAGAGGATCTCGAGCCTTAAGGTGGTACAGATTAAAGGACCTGAATGTCGAGCACGAGAGTCGAAACGTGAAACGGGAAATGGGAAGTGCATACCACGACGACTGGGAGCCAGAATTCTTACTGTGAAAATGTCTGAACGACGTGGACGACTTCTAGTTTGATATCGCGCCTCCAATGCAAACTTCTGGCTTGTGAAACATTGTCGAGCCCACACAGCCCCGCAAGAGCCACGGTCAATCGCAACTAATTTGATAAGCTGCTGGCTGGTGAGGCTGTGATGGGTCGTGGATGGCCTGACATGAGTGCGGCTGGGGCACCTGAGAAGCGGGCCCTATCATTGGCTCCTATGAAGAGGATGTTGCCAGTGCTATGGTAACTCCTTACCGTGGCTAGCCTGCGAGTTGATTAGGAAAAAGTAGGGCTGGCCCCTTGATATGACTGGGAAGTCCTGGCGGCGGTACCTTTGGGGCTGTTTAGGCATTACCCCCATGATGGCTCGCACCGCTGTACTCGGCACCTAGAGTTTCCGAATTTTGGGTTCATGATGGGACTGATGGGAGTAAACGCAGAACCTTCGCGGCCCGCTGCCCACAGCCAAAGAGCACGGCCGGCGAATAATACGGTAAGAATGGCCCACACGTAAGGCTCACTACCTTTGGCTTATCAGGCACCAAGCACGGGTGTCAAGCTTGCTGATGATGAGGTGACAGGCACGACAGGCAAACCCAAAAGCTTGGACCGCTAATGCCAGTCACTCGTCGCTGGGCAATGTTCCGCACGACATCTAGATCAAGAAGCTGGTTGAAACGATATATCTTCCCGCCCAGTATCAGACACTATATCGCTCTTCTGTCAATGGTCTCTGCTACTCGCCGGCAACACGGAAATTCGGTATCGACTGCCCACGGACCAGGATCCGGGCAACCCTCAGGACTCGTCGAAAGAGATCTCGTGCCTTCAATTTTGAGTGGTTGTTTGTCTGCTTGATTTCATCATGATCGCCAGTCGCTCAAAAACGATATGGAAAAGAACACACGCAGTTGTTGTATTGTTTACTTTGAGTATGCGCGCTTTGTGCGTGATCCACGTATTATGACCTCAGGGAGCGTTACCAACATCTTCATCCAAGTAAGTGTTAGACGTACTTAAAAACGTGCAAACATAAATGGGAGTTCGCCTGTTGGGACAGTGAGGATTTAACCGCAGAAGACGCTCATCATCTAGTCAGTCCTGGACTTCCGAGTGCAATTGCAGCACATCATGTCGTCGTCCTCCTACAACGAACCAGTCTCTCTCATTGTCATCTCTAGCGTGTCCATCGGCATCGCGGCAATTGCAGCATTATGGATCAGCCTCGACATTCTCTGGCGCCGCGGATGGCGGTCTATGATGACCATCATGATCCCCGTGTATATCATCAATGCACTCTATCTCTGGCCGATTACTGCCTGGGTGTATGTAAAATATGGTCGGCCCTCGAAGCCAGCACCGAACAAACCTCCTCACGAGCAACACCATCCTCCGCACGCAGGGACGGGCGGCGAGACTGAGCGAACCCACGAAACCGCTGGTGGAGAGGGACGAGGCAGTGGTCAGAGTAGTACAACGGTCGCCTTCGACGAGAGAAATAGGGACGAAGAAAAGGCCGATGTTGACGACGAAGAGAAAGGTGAAGGAGGAGACCAAGGAGGAGACCACGCATGTCATTCCCACGGCTCTTCACGACCCATGTTTGCCACCGTTACAGTCGGAGTCTGCCACTGCGGCGCCGGCTGTGTGCTTGGAGATGTAGTGGGAGAATGGCTGGTCTATGGAACCCACGCCGGCTTTGGCGCACACGATTCACTCCTCTGGGCCGAGTACCTTGTCGACTTCGGATTCGCCTTTGCGTTCGGTATCTTTTTCCAGTACTTCTCCATAGCTCCTATGGCAGGCAACTACAGTCTAACAGTGCTCTGGCGGGCACTCAAGGCCGATGCTCTGTCACTCTTGTTCTTCGAGATCGGGTTGTTTGGGTGGATGGCCATCTTTCAAATCGGCATATTCAATTGGGACCTCGAAACGAATAGCGTCACATACTGGTGGATGATGCAGATTGGCATGTTTCTGGGTCATTGGACGGCTGTGCCGATCAACTACTGGTTGATCAAGAAGGGGATCAAGGCGCCTTGTGCGTGAAACTACAAGTGGACAGAGGTACACATCCAAAATGAGGCCCAGAGCAAGTGAATGAAATCAACTAATTCATACAATCGCTGGAGAACTCAATCATCGTAACGCTGTCGTCCGGTTTTTCAGGTCCTTATGCTCGGAAGGGATCTTTACCCTCATGGCATTGATGGTTTTCCATGCCATATGCAACTCGTCGACCAGCATAAAACCCATGGGTATAAATAGATTTGAAACCACGAGCTCCTTTCCTTGTAGTACATCCATCGTCCTCACCGAGCACCGTTCCTTGCTCTTGTTTGACCCAATCTCGGCCATCCTCGCTGTCCAAGCACATCCATCCTCGGCTCTCACGACTCCTCTCCCCAGCGTCCTTCTCAATCCCGACGTTCGACCACACCCTGTCAAACTATTCCTCGTCCCTCCCATCAGGACTTCCCCTAGATAGTCCCATAGCCCTGAACTCCACCGCTCTGCACACGGTCCGAGTAGACACCAGGCGCTGGACGACCCGTGAGTTGTCCATGTCTCGCGCGGTCACGGCGGTCGAAGTAGACGTATTCGAGGTAGAAGGCGTGGATGTGGCCTGGAATGTACCCAAGGAGGGTGAGGCAGATGTTGACAAACAGATCGACGCCACATCCAGCGACCATGAAGACACCGACTGGAGGAAGCAAGATTGTGATCAAGATGATCAGAAGGGCGGGGGCGGCGTCGGACATTTTGATTGTGTTTCTGTCCTTCGAGATTGCTTTGTTTGATTGAGTAGTTTAGTTGTTGATGCGCTTTGTGCAAGATATGAAGTGGTTACCAGGTATGTATGTCGGAGAAAGATTAAGTTGGCAGAATATCTCTTGCAAGTCGGACGCAGGCAGAAATGAAACTGCTCTGATATTTATGTGATTTGCGCCTGAAGCGCCGCAGCTGCAGCTTGAAACAAGGCATACAAAACACTCGTCCTCCTCACCCAATGACGTAGCCGCAAAGTGTGGCGCATGATGTGGCTGCGACTGTGGCTGTGCAGGCGCCACAAATGAGTTCTTCAATGTTCAACGAGTTACGAGTTAGAGTATCCTGTTCACGCTGGTCAAGGCCTGGAAAGTGGTCGAAGACCTACGAACATGGCAGCAAGGACTGTGTTATCAGAAACACTTCCAAAATCCAATAAGCCGTCTCAAAATATGCATAACAGTCATATTTTAAAACACCATCTATCATAATCATACACTTCTGTCTGTCGAACATGTGAAGAGGGCTGCCAGAAAGCAGTCTCAAGCCACAAGCTCACTTACGCCAGTCCTAGGCACTTCATCCAGCAGCGCCAAAAGACCATCATCGGTCTCCTGAGCCGCATAATCCCTGATACTCAAACTTGTCCTGTTGTCCTTCAACGTCGGATCTGCCCCGGCCTCCAGCAACATCTGCACGGTCCGGTACCTTCCCCTGGCTCTCCTTTTCTTCTCTGCCACGTCGGTAACGTCGCCCTTGATGACCGCATGCATGAGCGGCGTTTTGCCAAACTTATCCCGTGCGTCGATCTCCGGATACCGATCGAGCAGCATCTCGACAAGAACGGGATCACACCGCCGTGAAGCGTCATGCAGGAGCGTATTGCCATGCCATATCAGAGGGAACTCCGTCGGCAAGGGGAAGTTCAGCAATTGCTTGACGATAGCATAATACCCCTTTCTGCAAGCTACCATCAATGGCGTCAGACCCTCTGCGTCGCGGATGTCTGTCCTGATCCCTGCACAGGCCAACAACAGTGCTGTGATCGTCGAATAGCCCCTGTCTACGGCCGCTTGGAGCGCGGTGAACGGGTTTCTAGGGTTGGATTCGGTGTACCCGGCTTGATACGCCACAGCGTTCACGTCGACTCCGTGTTTGATGAGTAAGTTCACTTCTTCTGCATGCTCTTCTTTCAATTCGCAGAAGAAGTGCAGAGGCGCATAACCACGACCTGTACTCGCCAGCCCTTGCCCAACTCCACGGCGGACGTTCTTCTCCAGTTCCATCTTGCGGATTATCATGACAGTGGAATGGTAGGTATCGAGGAACTGTAGTGCAACTTTGACTGCGCGGTCGAATTTCCTCTCCGCGCAGAGTTGAGAGATGGCGAGAAACGTGGGCTCCACAGTGCGGCTCGAGGAAGATCGTTCGAGCACTCCAGTAGAGGGTGTTGTGATAGAGTCATCGTCATGCACCGAGATACTGCGTTCGTGAGTCGAAGAATCAGAAGGGGAGTGGAGGCCTCTCAGTAAGTCGTTGCGGGTTTGACCAGTGTCCATGTCTTCGAAAGTGTCGTTCAACGTTGTCGACCTTGATATAGACACTCTATGCAAGTCTGCTATGGGTGGGGACTGTGCTAGAGTGGACTGGGAAGACCGTCCGAAATGTCTGATGCGTTGCGCAAAACTGGACCGACTGTTCCGAGAGATCGCTTGTGGCTGCGCAGTCACAAATCCTGGCTCGGGCGATACCACTCTCCCTGCGGACGGCGATTCCTCAACCGTCAGTGGTGATGGCTCTCGAGGTATGCTCTGCGACGACTTTTCGGGAGGCAAGAGAAACACCTCGTACCCTTCTGCCTCTTCTTCATCCCCTTGAGCTCGATAGATGTCTATGATCAATTGCACCGACTCAAGCGTCTTCTCGTCCTGCGGACCAAGCTCCTTCCTCCGCTCGGTAAACGCTTTGAGGCCATGCTCTTCTGCCGAGTCAAAGTCTGCCTTCATCATGAATACCAGACCCAGCATGTGACTTGCTGCAAGTGCTTGAAGCTTGTCGGCTCGTTGATATGAAGAAGATGACCGCTTTGTCATGGGATCTGCATTTCCTGCAACACTTGGAAATATGTCGGGTCCCATTCCGGCTACGGGTTCCAGAAGAGCGACAGCCTCATCAAGCTTTTCCTGCTTTACGCATGTCTCAGACAGCATGAGAACAACTTCTGCCGGCTGAAATGATATCCTTCCGTCGAAGTTATTACTATGCATGAGTGTTAAGGCCTTTCGAAAATGTATCTCGGCACCAGCATGATTCTCTTGTTCGACTCTCTCTTGTCCAAGTTTTAGGTGCCGCTTGGTACGCATGAAATGAATCTCGGAATCGTCTTCTGGAGATCTCGTGTTATGACCGTTTGATCTAGAGCGCTGTTGCCCCAGACGCGAAGTACGGCTGGGATCCGTGGTATCCGATGGCTCGGGGATCCAGCCCACCAACCGTTCTCTTTCAGAGATTGGCATTGGGAGTTCGGGCACTGAAGGCTTTCTGCGGTCTAGGATAAGTTCTGGTTCGATAGCTGGAGAAACGGTACTCAGTGAGGATCTCGTACTGGCAGCCGCGGACGCTGTCGTGAGGAATTTCTTCGCAAAGGCAATGTAGGTATCCATGCCGTCGTCTGGCTTTAGTACTTCGGGCTCTGCAGCAACGATCGTAGCGCCACCCAGTGTTTGTGAGCGCGAAGGCTGGCCGAGTCTTTCAACAAGCTCTCTCATTGACCTCTCTAGGGCCATCAGCTTTGCATCCAGTGAGACTTGATGGTCACTGGTCGTCCCCCGTTGTTCGAGTTGCAGCATGACGCAGACCATTTGTATCGGGAGAGCAAGCGCCGAATTGAAGAACTGGATGCGTTGCCGAAGACGAGATAATTCGCCGGACGACAGTGATTCTTGTAGTTGTGCTCTGATTTTTCGACCAAAGCCAGAAGTTTGGCCAATATGGTTGAGCACTTCGTTGACTCGCTTGACGGTCCGCTTCGAGTCATCGAGAGTCTCTTGGATTTGTTTCCATAGGTGAAAGCCATCCGAAGTTTGACTGGCTACACGAGCCGCCTCTGCCATCAGCGGAGACGATAAACTTCTCTCAAGACCTTCATACGTGGTTCGGAGAGCGGCAACTTCATCGCAAAAGGATGAGATACGCGCATCAACGGTTCTGACATCTCCTACCCACTTGATGATCGTGATAGTAACCTGTGCGCAGGCGCCAGCTATCTGCAGGGCACCCGATGTGATTGAGAAAGGATCCATTGTGAAGATACACTTGAAGTCGCGGCTGTCGCCCTAGAAGTGTTGGCAATAGTTGACCGCGGGAGCTGGCAGATGGCCATCACATCGAACGGGAAGAATCCGCTAGGTGGAAGCAGAAAGTTGAGTCTGTGCCTGGCTGAGTCCGCTCATGAAGAAACCTATGAGTGACAAGTAGCACCTTCAAAAACTGTCCTACCTTCAAGCTGGGAAGCTGGGTGGCAGTGCTCTGCTTGCACAGAGCGGGATGGTGTTCCCCGGGCATGGCTTTTGACTGGGCGCATCACCACCTAGAAATGGGGGCGGCCTGGGGGCTGTGGATGGGCATTCTGGGGCTACGCGGGCCACGTGCATTTCGATGCGGCTGAGTTGATGGCACCAAAGTCCTCCCCCTGGTCCTCCTCCTTCTCCTCTATTGGACCTCCCTCTGACGCTCGCTCAAACGAGTTTGTGATCTACAGCTGCCTAGAGGACCCAGCCGAGATCATCGTTCCACGCGACGGGCAATGTCGGACCTCTATGCGACTTGCCCTGTCACTCTGTGCCGTCCTTGCGAGCGAGTGTCACGAGAAGACTCCAGAGTAGCAAGCGCCATCACCAGGTGCAATTCTGCGTCAGGAACCTTCATTGGTGGCCGACAAAACGACTCATGTAATTTCTTTTGACATGCTTGTATGCAAAGTACTTGGCTGGCGACCAATGGTTCACCAGTAGGATGCATGGAACTTTTCTAGAAGCATCATGAGGCAGCCCCAGTAAGGCTGGGGGAGGAATGCGAATGTAACATTGCGCATCATTGTTCCTCGCTGGCCAGTATGATCGTCAGCCCTACTGGATTGTGCTCATGACGCTTTCACGTGCTTATCTTTCGGGAGACCAGTATGTACAGAGAAGCCCTCTGTCGACCATCACTCTTTGTCGACATTGGGAGCCCAGTCTGCTTCGAATGCCGACGCAAAACCCTGTGCCTTTAGAGTTCCTGACTATCTAAGAATCCGATGTCGTCGGTGCTTTAGAGGAAAGGCTCTTCTCCAGGATTGATTCGCATGAATGCAGCGATGTCCTGCTCGGTGAGCGTATCATTCATCGGTGGGGGATGTGAGCATGTGCCTGATCCATCCCTGCCGCCTACGTTCTCCCCTGTCAGTGCAAAAGGCCAAGCAAATCCTTGAGCGTAGGGCAATTCCATTTGCGCAGAGCCATACCGGTCACTGCCCTCGGACCTAAGAGGCGGAGGCGCAGGAGTTATGCCATAACTAAATGATTGAGAAGGGAGATACTGATTGCGGCCAGGGTTCGGCGTGCCTGCTGATGATTCCCACATCGGGGTCGGCGTTGCGTAGTGCATTTGTTGGTAAACCGGCACGCTCACCGGGTGTGGAGGCAATGGCGTGGATTGAGGCCGATACGGTCGTGGTTGCTGACCACCGCGCTGTGGATGAGACGGAAGTGTCATCCCTTTTCCAACTCTGTTTCTCGATGTGCTTGGAATGGGTTTCTCGGCTTTCACTGGCGCCGGCGGTCGAGTCTGCTCTTCCATTGGCCCGCTCCTGTCGCCAGGGTATTTACATAGCGGCTCGACTGTTTTACAAACACTCTCCACATCGAGGTCAATGATATGCGACAGTCTGCGGGTCAAAACCTGACGCAATCAGTCGGTTAATGTAGCAAGCATATATCGATCGCACACTCACTGTCACCACATCCAAGCACCTTCGTGAACCAATGTCCTGACAGGCGGTTTTGGCGAGTATGCGAATGCCTTCCTCCGACTCCTTTTGGATGGCTTCACATTCTCGGTTCCCGTGCTGAGTGGCAAGGAAGAATATCAGGCTTACCAACGAAAGAAATATCGTGTAGACAGACTGCCAGGCTGCGGGAGCAAGAAAGCCCCCTCGAAGCATTTCAGCGGAGCGCGAGATTGTGTTCCTAGAGGTTCTGACGCATGACATTGCACAACGGAGAAGCCGTTGATCTGGAGGTTGATCCACGCTTGTCCTGGCCAGGTAATGCAGAAATGGTCTGTAGAGTATCATGTGCCCGAAATTGTGAACCATCTCAAGCTCGTAGACCACACTGCGTTTGAATCAGCCTTAGTCTGCGTTGTGATGGAATATTGTTACCTGCTCAATGACTCGCCCTCACCGTCTGAACCAAGTGCATCAGAGAGCCCGTCTCGCCAGGCTCTGAAGTCGTCTTCAATCTCCAAAATGCTAGCATTGCTAACGTATATCTTTTTCGATTCCCCGGCACGATGAGCCTCTTCGTCGGTTTTAGGATAAAGCTTTTGGGTCAATTTGCTCATGATCCTTAGAACATTCAGGTACTGTGCGGAGGCAGCAAACATTCTCCTTGTCCGTAAAGAAGCAAATCCTCCCTGGGTCTCATCTGCGTAGTCCTTGATGTGGCCGCTGGGTTTGAACTGGTCAACATAGTCCACATTGATCATCCCAGGAAGTCCGAGGACAGTGCCACTGTATATGTCGAGTTTGACGATAGTCCAGAAGACTCGGCGTCTAACATCTTTTTCAGGCTCTGACAAATCCTCCAGCGTTGAACATGTCCGCGTATGAAGACCCATCCTCATGGCAGCTGCCACAGCCAAACCGAGATAGGTGTGAGCGTTTGCAAGTCGTGCAGTGGACATGAGGAATAGAATGAAACACAATAGTGTTTGTAGGCTCAGTATATCGGTGCAATGATCGAGGTTCACCATGCGGCGTGCGGCGATGAAATGGCGCATTCTTTTGAGTGGTCAGAATTGTGTGAGAAGGGAGGATGAGATCAGACTTACGCCTGGTTGACCGCCCCCGTGCAGCCATCTGTAAATTGTCAGGAAGCTGTATGGGCGTAGACACAGAGAAACAGACGGCACGTGCTCTAATGGCACATACTTTGCGAGGAGTAGATATACGTACATTTCTCATGCATCTTCCGGTCAAAGAGGTAGCCCAGGGCAGTGACGGCATAGAATAACGGCAAAAAATCATGGTCGGAGTCGGCGAACTCGATGGGATCTAACTCATAGATACGGTCTGTCTGTCTCTGGAAATTCGGTTCGTCCAGGAATTGTAAAAGTTGGTACGTCTGTCCAAAAACTACGTCGAGTAGTTCCGTTGCTGTTTGCCTTGAAGGAAGTAATTGCGAGAAGGGGATGTCCGTTGCAAGAGCCTGCTTGTCCGGAAGTGGAGACTCAAAGAGTCTGGAAATAACCTCTAATCCAACGTAACCGCCGGCGGCCTGGTCGCGGGAGGAGATCTCTGGATTGAACAGTTCTTGAGTGCGTTGTAGGAAGGCGAAACCAGAGCCGCCTCCGTAATACTCGGTGGATTTTTTCGTTGAAGTGAGCCGGCCTCGGCCGTCCAACATGTTTTCAAGATGATCCCCAGAGCTATCATCCGCTGGGTCCGACGTATCCGACTCGGATAACGGAGAACCAGGGGGAGACTCGAAAATGTTGCTGACTTCGAGATTTAGCTGAGGCGAGGGGCTCTGGGCCTGGATCTTCAAAAGCAATGCTTTGGCGCGTCGTAGACGATCCTCAAGGATCTTGGTCCGGGGGGCTCCTGCCGTCCTTTGTCCCCTTGTGGACGTGAAAGAACAATCTTTCCTGGTGGTGAGCGGGGAAACCATATGCAAAGAACAAGGCTGGACTCACGACGGTCGAAGTCTTGACATGGTTCACAAGGGAGGCGGCCGTCGCACCGGACTTTTCTGATCCTGCAGTCCATTCAGCATGACTGAAATATCCAACTTGCGAAGACACACATACCTGCACTCATTGCACGCTCGGCTCACCCTCGAATATCGTCTCCGTTTCGGCGTTGATGGTGAGTCTGCCGGGCTGTCACGCATCTTGGACTGCTGGGCTTGTCCTCCGACGGCTGTTCCACGACAGAAGCGTATAGAAATATAAGGTTGCCCTGATATCCCACCCAGTAGAAATGCACTTAGATAAACAGCTGGTAGCTTGAGAGGTCGTGTTTGCTGAAGTTCTCATCTCAGAGCGGGCCCATAATAACTCGCGACGAAGAGAACCACTGAGGGGTCGGCCAAGGCACTATTTGAAGCGATCCGAATATCAGTAGAGATTTGGTTAAACACTGACCTCATGTGGATCATGGAGAATGAAACGAGGCTTCGGATCCATGTGCAAGAAAGAAAGCGCGAGATGAAATTATCTTACGAGCTCTTACGAGTACATCTGTTAGCCACCGTCGTTTTGGTGTCGTTGACAGAGGCATGACATGGCATGACAGGGGTACGCGAACCCTGTGGCGCCTGAAGGCTGAATGATTAGTAGGCAATCATGTTGCGTTTATCTCGGGGGACGACAATTTTACCGTGTGGGTACGCCTGCACACAAACACGAGACTCCGCTGGGTGACGGTAGAGGTGAAGACCAAAGAGCAGAAGTGCTCTACCACTAGCCATCGTCAGTGGGAATATCTTGCATGAATCGCTCGTCCTCGCGCACCAGCAACCTTAGGCATAGAATACTTGATTGAGTGTGCCAGGACATTGCCGCGTTTCCGAATTCCACTTGTCCGTGGAAGCCAAGCTGGGGCCATGAATGCTTGTATGTGACCACAACGTCCTTGATTGGTCCGAGCCAGCAGTGTCTGCCACATATAGGCGAGGGCAAGTCACCTAGACAGCTGTTTCAATTGCCGTTCTTGCGGACTCGTTCCCACGGAACTGTGCCGGTGCGTGCTGCTGGCAAAATTCAAAGCTTAAGTCGGTGAGGCGACTGAGCAGCTGTCACGGGTCCAATGAGGAAATCACAAAAGCCAGACTCTGATACGCCAAATGGAGCGCTACCGCGCGATGATGCCACAATGCATATACACAGTAGGGCTGGAAGGTCTGAAGGTATACAACAGTCGGCCGGGTTGTGCCGCCACCGAGGCCCTGTAGACGGCCAGAGCCAGCAAGTCACCACTAACTGTTGGTGATAACATTATCAAGTGAGCCTGGTTGGCTGGTTGGAAAGCGACGGCGTATGGAGTACTTTCGTCGAGTTGCTCAGAACTGTAACATCAAGCAATATATATAGAGATATATTGCGACGGATCCTCTCACGTTCCCGCAGCTGTACCCTACAAGAGGCTGCCCGGGCAGGCGGGAATGACCCATCAGTGGCAACCAGGCAACAAACGAGCAAGATCTCAAAAACCGACATGTGCCCTCTTATGCAAGACTTTTGCATGGAGTCCCCTTGACTTCCAGATAGTCCACGAACATGTCGTCTCAACATTTTCGAAGGTTTCCAGGCTTGCGACCAGGAAATCATGCCGCACTTTTAGTCCCGGCCGATTTATCACTGACAGCATGGTTGCACCCTCTATGGGGAGTTCTGTCTACAGAATTGTAGAAGAAAGCTGTAGGATTTCTGCATGATGCGTGGATCGGACTTCCATGACGATGCTGCAGCAACATCGTTGCCTTGACGTGTAAGAGAATCGCCAATGTCTGCGTGGGGCTCAACAATTATGAGAGAGAGTGAGTGCCAGAAGTTCATGTAATTCGCCTTTGAGTCTACCGCTTGAAGCGCCTCTTCGCGCCAAGGCAGGTGCGAAGAGGCCTGGACGAGGCCTGAAAGGGCGATGGTAGAGCGTAAGAAGCCTATAACTGACAAGATGGCGACGTATGGTGTACCGAAGGAGACGCAATCGGTCAGATCAGGCCCTTTCTAGCCAAGTCTACTTTCCGCACGGCCTCGCCAGGCTTGAATCCTCCCTTGCTGACACAGACTGCAATACCTTCACCCAGTTCAATCTTGTCTTCCACCTCTGGGAACGGGCAAGGACAATGATGTGGAAAATGAACGCATGCTAGAGTATCGGGACAAAGATAGTTCGAGCAGGTCGCTATGAGCCGTGGCCGGTCAGTAAACGTCGTCGGCAATTGAAGCAATGCGAAGCAAGGGAGACCAGATCACCATTGAGGAATCCGAAATCTCGTCACAGCAATCTCGAACGAAAGGATGAATGTACTGACCTCCTTCCCAGTTCTGACGGTACCAGCTCGAATCACTTGGGACATTTTGTTTCTCTTGTTGCCCCTGAGCCTGCTGTCCTCCTTGGAAGAATTGCTCGAAGAACTGAAATTGAGCGGTGGCCAAACCGGCAAGAACAAGCAATAATCCGACAAAGGTTCTCATGTTCGCGCTGTTAAGGGAGTCGCTTTTCGTCGAGCACGTAGAGGTGATGGAGAGGAAAGAGACAAGTGGTTCTTTTGCCCGGTCATAAATTGTGTAGACAGTGACCGAAAACGGTTAGCGTACATTTACCAGTGACCTGCAGATTCCAACTGCTGCGGCGCATCCATAAGACCTCGATCAAGCTCTACTACCAAGGCACATGTTATCGTCAACATGCTACAGCCTCGATTGTCCCGGTCCGTCACGTCGGCGGACGCATCTCTAGCAGCTCTTGCGTCCTCGTTGAATGCCCTGAGTCTATGTTCGAGCCACAAAGCCTTTCATCCTCGCACATCCATAAATTTCGTCCGACATGCTTCCCACGCAGCTCAAGGGCGTGCCAATGGCCCAACCGACTCCGCAGGACGACGACTAGGCGCCAAAAAAACTGCATCGGAATATGTAGCGCCAGGACACATCATCTTCAAGCAGAGAGGTAACGACTGAATTCCCGGCTGACCCCCAAAGCCACAGAAGACTGATGGACTCAATCACCAGGCACGAAATGGCACCCGGGCGATAACGTCGGTATAGGGAAGGATCACACAATCTTTGCCCTCGAGTATGGCTACGTTCGATACTACCGCGATCCTCTGAAGCACCCGAAACGACGTTATATTGGTGTCGCCCTAGAAAAGGAAGGACCGGGCTCACAACTTCCCCTGCCTCCCAATGCACCCTCTCGGAGACGCTTAGGGATGTATGCCACGCCAATAAAACAGCAAGACGCGGACAAGGACTTTATGGAAGCACACCTCAGCGGCCATAGCCACGTTGCTTTCAGAGATGGCGCGACTCCGACACCATCCCCGCCCACAATCACACGGCAGGGCACCTACCGAGAAGCAAACGTCTCAATTGGTCGGGCTGCGGAGAGAAAGGGAGTGAAGGTTCGCGCGTATGATCGCGGAGACAGATGGTTGGCGTGGAGAAGACGGGCTGCTAGAGTCAAAGCGGCCATGGAAGCCAAGGTCTCGAAAGGCACGAAAAAGTCGAAAGGAAAGAAGTCAAATAAAGGTGCTAAGATTGGCGGCAAGATGAGGTAGTCCTGGAGTGAATGTCGTTTGTTCGAATCTGTATAATTATTTACAGGAAAACAAGTGCAAAGGACACTTGACACCTGGACGGCTGTGTGATGTGCTTTGGCATGAATGATTCACCTGGCGTAGGTTCCCTGCGTATGTGCAAATGTATAGGGTGCCAGCAAATGATTCTTTTCAGAGCCCATTTTCTGCCTTGAACTTATCCCACGCCTCGTTCAATGCACTGAAAACGGCACCCGCAATCATTCGCTGCTCGGTCGTCGCGTCTGTCGGAATCTGACAATCCCAACAAGTCAGTATGAATTCGCGCAAGCATATTCACAAGAACAGTGATTCGACATACCTTATCAGGATGCACCTTGGCAATGCCCTTCATATATTGCACCTTCACTTTTGCTGGTAACACCAGATCCGCCATGCTGATCTTCTTCCACCCGGACTCCTCCCAGAGCACATTGTCCAAACTGCCGAGAAGGGCGCGCAGGTTGTCCGCTTTGCCACCTTTCCAGGCTTGTATGCGCTCATCGACCGAATCAGCCAGCCGGAACTTCTCATCGTCCGCTTGTTCAGCCGCCATATTCGCTGCCCTGAGCCGCGTCACTGCTGCAGCCGGCACAGTCGACGTAAGCCGACCAGGAGGCGCTGATGCTGGCTTTCTCGCAGTAGCAATAGGAGGTCTGGGTTTGGCTTTCGCAACTCCCGGATTCGCCGCCTTTTCAGCACGCATGCGGCCCTGGATACTGGTGGCACCGCCGTGCCCGCCCTGGACGGCCTCGCGCCAGACGACGGCTGCATCGGCCCATTTCTCCATCTGCTCGAGTGCTTCAGCCTTGCGCATGAGCGCTTTGCCGTAGTACTCGCGCATAGCTTTGGGCGCGTCCTTCCCATTGCCGAAGTCGATGGACTCCGATTCGCCTTTGGACGAGCCGATGACAGCCATGGCCCTGTCCGCATCGGAGATGGCAGTCTTGGGCTCACCGATTTTTAGTGCGGTAAGAGCCCGGTTAGTCAGGAGGACTATGGAAAGAGGGTGGCTATCAGGGAGATGCGAGATAGACGTGCCATAAGATTGATGGGCGGAGGAGTAGTCGCCGCGCTTGAAGTGCTCATTGCCCTTCTCACGGTGAGAATGGCATGCTTGCAGGCTGATGGCGGAGACGGTGGGGATGGTGCGCGTTGGTGGTGGTGGCCGGACCGGTGTTTCTGCGCGTCTCACGGGTTGGGACTGAGGTCGAGATACGGGATTAGTCGCTATCTTGAGCGGCGGCTGTACGCGAGGAGCAACACCTCTGAAGCTGCCCTCGAGAAGGTTAGGTTCAGGGCCAGAGATAGATGGCTGAGCTGCAGGTTGAGGTTTTCGTCTGCGAGCAGAACTGACATATGCTTGAGCGGCTTGATCCTCAGCTGCTGTTCTGTTTAATGTAGAGCGCGATGTTCCGGCGGGCGATGGAGTTTGCTGCCGGAGGAAAGCAGGTTGTTTTGTTGGGATTGACTCTCTCAATCGTGACGGCATAGCCGGAGAGTGATCGCGAGAGGTGCCAGCACTAGAGTCAAACTGTCGGTCTTGCCTTGACGAGGCTGTGGGCCGTAGCGGAGGAGTTGGTCGACTGGATTCAAGCATCATGGCCTCGTCCGTCACAGTAGATGGCTTTTGGACTTCAGGACTTCGTCTCCTTGGTCGACCTGTGCCAGATACATCATCTCTTGCATGTGACGGAGCGTCGGCTCTGCGTGGCTTTTCTGTTTCTCGCATCCAGCGTGGTTGGCTCGAAGAGTCACTGTCAGAGTTGAGTTCTTGGACAGCCTGCTGTACTCGTTTCGTGCCTTGCTTCCATAACGACCCTGCTGTTTTCAAGAAGTTGCTGCCAAAATCTGCTGCCATTTGTTCAAAGCCTTCTTCTGCGGCTGATGATGGAGCTTGTTGTCGCTTCCGAGCCCTATCTCCTTCGTCATAGTGCATTTGTCGCCTCGAGGCTTCTGATCCTGGCCGGCTGCCCCCTCGCACGCCATCCGTGTCTGCCGTTTGGCTCGGGTCTCTAGCTTGCGTTTGCTTTCTTGCTTCGGCATGCGCTTGATTCAATAAAAGGCCTACAGCAGCTTGTACGTCGGTGCCAGATTCAGTGGCCTCTAGAGCAAGTCGTGCTTTGATCGCAGGAAATCCCATCTCGACAAGCTCGGCGATGGCCTTGTCCTGTGGATGAAGTTCAGCAACGTGCTTCTCCTGTTCTGGAGGAGGCAATTCCGCCTTAGGTCGAGCAGATGCGGGTTTCCCAAGCAGCCCAAGCACATCATCGTCATCCTCAAGAGTGGAAGCGATAGCTCCGGTATCTCTGCTCCGCGGTTTCGATTCCGAAAGCCCAAACGGGTCATCGTCTTCATAGCTCGGTGTATTCGGCTGTAAGGGCGCTGTATTAGAGTCACTCTGACTTGTAGCAGGCTTGTTGAATACAGCAAACAGATCGTCCTCATCATCATTGGGCGCGTTCTTCGTCAAGTTGGTCGTGGCATCCTTTGAAGCGTCGGCTACGGGTGTACGTCCACCACTACCCAGATTGTTCCAAAATTGATCATCGCCACCAGTATATTGCTCTTTTTGTTTCTGGCTCTCTATCTGTTGTTGCCGTTGCCTTGCCTCTGCCTGCCTCTTTTGCTGTTCTAGAAGCGATAGGTTCTTATTCGGCCCGGCTGCGAAGGAAATGAGGTTCGCGAAGCTGTCGTTTACCGGAGTCGTTGATTTCGATGGAGGATGGCCTGATGAACCATTTAAGGGAGTAGCTCGTCCTGAGGCCGGTGGAGTAGGTTTCAGTGTAGAAAAAGCAGTGTATGTGGATGTTGGGTGTTTCTGTCCATCGGCCGGGGTTGACGTCCATTTCAACCCCGCGATATCGTCCATGATTGCGAAGGAGGGCGTCTCATGAGTATACGCACAGTATACTGAGATTACTCATTGCCAAATACCCAGTCACAGGAACTGCTCGACAGTGTCACAGCCATGCAATAGTGATTTGTTTGGCTCTGAACGAATAGGGTGATGTGCCTGCGCCACAATTGTCAACAGCAACGCCACATTTGAGCTCGTGTCTAAAATAGCAGTTCTCCGGAGTGTCGTCCTAGTTAAACTCGAGCAATATCATCTATGTGACTTGACCTTCCCACCTACTCCCATGCTCTATATCATGGTCAATGCGAGCCCTCACGACGCTAGCCTCGAGGTGGGGACAGCCTCCCAAGTCATTGTGACCACATAATACTTCCGCTTTGGCAGATCGTCCGCGATGGGCTTTTCCTTCAACACCTGGTAATCATCCTTGAGCTTTTTCAGACCTTCCCAAGAGGATTCTTCGAGTTTGCCTGTCCATATCAATGCAGTCTCTTCCCTGGTCAGGGGAAATTTCCACCCTTTTGCTCGTTCTGTAACCACCTTTAGCTGTGACTTCTTAGCCTTATCGGTCTCAAACTCCATCTTGAGTACCTTCAGCCCCTCGATCTGGCAGACCTGGCCGCCCCACGTCGTCAATCTCTCGATACGTGACTTGATGTATTCGAGGCTCGGTTGTGTTGGTTCAGCCAGCATCTGCTGACACGATGTCCTATTCTCTCGCCATGGGCAAATACCTAGACGGTCGCTGCTTGCTGGAGGGCTCTCCCATGACCACCAATCGGAGTGACGGATAGTTATATGTAAGCACGAGGTCCTGAATGTGAAGGCCCGCCAGCCAAAAAAGTTAGGGAGGCTTTCGAGATTGCACTGTTGAGCGAAGATGTGAACGAGCTGGATTGCGCTCTTCTGGTCTTCGTTCAGACGCAGGACCAAGTCATTCCATCTGGATGTGTGCCTGTTTCCCCGCCCAATTGACAACCAGGGCCCATTGAAGAGCCAGAAGATATGCTCATTCACGGACACTGGCAGAAGGCGAGTCTCCCCGTAGATCCGTTTGCAGGTGCGAAGCAATGCGCAATTCGTCTTCTTATGGTGGTGGTAGCCTGGCCTGTAGAAAACGCGATCAGGCCTGTAGGGTTTTGATGTGTCGTCGGCCGCTCTCAAAGCTAAGGCGAAGATCTCGGCTCTGATCTCGGCCGGAAGCTTTGAGAACAGCGGGCTGCCTCCCTGGGGACTGACTCTGATTGCGTCCATCATGCTGATGCCGCCGGTTTGATGGCGTGTCCGGCTTGTGGACCTCGGGATCCCAGCCGAAGTACCTGATAGTGAAAAGCGGGTGTTTCAGATCAGATTGGCGCGCTACGAGTAGGCTCAAGGAATTGGGCATGCACTGGCACGTTGGGGCACTTCATACAAGTAGTGACCACTCAACGGTACCTGAATTGGACCAAGGATCAATGGGAGGACATCTCAATGGAAGCGTGAGTGTGGTGTAGGAAATATATGGTGCAGCTGGCTGCCTTGCGGCTGCTGCTCCTTGAAACGCTTCTGCCTTGAGCCATGCGACGTGGATTTGCGGATCGTATCATAAACCTCGCCATGCATGGCTCTAGCTTGCTGCATATGCCTGGGCTCGATCGCGACTCTGGTTACCCCGTAGTTAGCGAGGGGTTCACCAGGGGAAGGAGCCAAACGGGTTCATGGCCGTCACCAGGGGCAATACGAAAAGGTGTCACCAAGACCCAGTAAGTGGCTGGGGCGTCTGCTATGAGCCAGTGTCGGCGATAGGTGCATGATGCCGCCTACAAGGATGACCTCTAGGCGTCATCCAGGCGTAGCAATAAAGTCTTGTCGCCTAATAAGCGTTGGGCTAGTGACGCTTGCTGGGGGCACTTCTGGGGATGGCGCCATCCACGAACCACGTTTTGTCCATGAAGGGTGCTTCCCCTGGACTTTGCATTTCAGAAAAAGCTGTCCCAGGTACGGAGTACTAACTAGTACCTAGTCAACGGGGTCCTGGACCTTGAATAGGAAGGCCTGGAGCAAAAGGCTCGAAGCGTCGTAGGCGATGCACCATATGGTTCGCTCCTTCCTCCTGCTACAGAGATAAAAAAGGATTTCCCAGGGCTCTTAAAAAGCTCCAGACTTGCTGCGCCATCTTTATCCGTCTCACTCTCTTTCCATCCGCTCGTTGGTCCCCTTTTCAATTTCATGTCTCTCGCTTCGCCCCCTCTCGACAATATCGCCCTTTGGCCGTGAATGGCTGCTGGTCTTGCACATAACTGTTCGGATCAACGACGCCTGAAAGGACAGAATCCACGCAGAGCATCGCGCCGTGACGCGCACCCCAGCCACAGACAGCGAATGGCCGAACCTCTCGCCTCTTGCAGCTTAGGCGTCGAGTAGCCTATCGGCTATCTGCATTCCAGGCCCCTCAGCGGTCAGGGCAGCAGAGAAAGCAAATCATTCAGGCGCCTCGACAAACCTTCCCCATTATGAAGAACATCTTCAAGAAAAAGGACTCGAAAGCAACTCGACATGATTCAAGATCTCACAAAGAGTTGTTAAACCCCGCCGTCGCCTTCGAACGCATTCAAGACTACTCGCACAAATCACCGAGATTGGTCAGTGACAAGTTTGCGTCCGCGGCATTGGGTAACAATATGCCCGACATTCCAGTCCCTGAACCACCTGATCCAAGATCAAAACCTGCCGCTTATCTTCGAAGTATCCACGCCGTTAGACAACGGACTCGCTTGGTTCTCGATGAAGCTAAAAGCAATGCACTCTATCACTTCGATGTCGACATGTCCAAGTTCAAAGACACGGCTGACTATGTAGTGGCCATCATCAAAGTAGGCCGTGCCCGCGGCAGCGGATATAATTTGATCGGCTGACAACACGCAGAGAGATTTCCATGAAGACTACGCATCAATACCGCCTCATGGTCGCTGGCAGCATTTTGAAGTTGGAGGCCGGCCAAGAGTGACTCAATTACTCCAGTCCTGGCCTAACTCGATCGACAATCAGGAAAGGACCCGTCGATTGATTGATCTTTTCCTCGTTTCGGTGTTGCTTGATGCTGGAGCCGGCGACAAATGGTCCTACAAGTCCAAGGAGTCGGGTAAGGTCTATGCTCGAAGCGAAGGTCTAGCTGTTGCTAGTCTGGAGATGTTCAAGGCTGGAGCCTTCAGCAGCGATCCGACCCAGCCACACCAAGTCGATGCCGCTGGCCTCAAGAAAGTCACAATCGAGACATTGGCAAAGGGTATGCAGGTCACGGAAGCTAATCCCATGTCCGGCCTTGATGGTAGGACTGGACTGCTCATTAGACTCAGCAGCGCCCTCCAAGATACTGAGATATTCGGCGCTGATGGTCGACCTGGTAACATGATAGGTAGGCAGGCTCTGTGTCCTGGCTTGAGGTATGCTGAGATGATTTAGACTATCTGATGTCGCATCCCACCACTCAGGCTGCTTCTGTCCCCATTATCTTACTACCAACTCTGTGGAGCGTATTGATGGACGGGCTGTCAAGTATTTGGCCCGCAAGCCGAACCAGTATTGAAGGTATCCCTCTGGGCGATGCTTGGCCGTGTCGCGCTATGCCCAAGTCACCACCTGCACAGCTGTGGGAAAGCATTGTACCGTTCCACAAGCTGACCCAGTGGTTATGTTATTCTCTAATGGTGCCAATGACCAAGCTGCTCAACGTCCATTTTGCAGGTGAAGATTTGATGACTGGTTTACCAGAGTACCGGAACGGGGGTTTATTGGTCGACACAGGCCTCTTGACTCTGAAGGAAGAAGATAGGCAGAAGGGTCTCAAGAACTATCATCGGATGGTCGGAGATGGTAATGCCGTCGAGGTGGTGCCAACCTTCGAACCTTGCGACGATGTGATTGTGGAATGGCGAGCTGTCACCGTGGGATTTCTCGATGAACTGCTCACGGCCGTGAATGAAGGCCTTGGCCTCGAAGGCTCTGAGCAGCTTACTTTGGCTCAGATGCTTGAGGCTGGTACTTGGAAGGTGAGAACCTCACGGACACTTCTCTTATGCAGCTGACACAGTCAACAGGGGGGACGTGAAATTGCAAAGGTGTCGCGGCCAATAACAGGAGGCCCACCCATCGGTATCATCTCTGACGGGACCGTCTTCTAAGTGGTTGCTCGTGTTTACGACATGCTGAGACTTGGTCACCTGAAATGAAGGATCGAGCATTGCAGACCGGAAGAAAGTGACAGGGTTATGAAAGTTATGCAATGCGTTATGATGATGGCTTGCCAGGAAGTCTTCCTCAAGAAGAATTTATTGGGCTTACTATGAGTGTCCAGGCTCGAACGCAAGATTCATCTTGAAAAACTACGAATCCGTCCCGATATTTCCATTCTTAACTGGTCATCGTCGCGATGTCCCGGGACGCCCCGAGGCCCGGTACCCTAACTCGAAATTCCTCGTCGATCAGTCTTCTTCAGTCGCTGCTTGGTACTCTTGTCGCATGTTCTCATTTTCTTCGTCTGTCTCCCGCAGCAGACGCGTTTCTTCTGCCTGCAGGCGTGGTGTGCTTGGGGGAATGATCGTGGGGTGGCTGGACCGGATTCCACTGCCCGCCATTTGCTTCCTCAAACGTCAGCCATGCATGCCGAAATTTGGCTTACTCGGGGTCACAACTCACCAGCAGCACCCAGTTCAGAATACTTGCCAACACTGTTAGCCCGGCAACGGTCGACTCCTGTCTTTGCCAACGGTCTGCACAGCTGTTCGTGTATCCTTGCGTTCGCTCACAAGCTCTGACATCCACATCATGGGCCGGGAAAGGCCAAGCTCGGTCGTGCAAAGAATTGAATCCACAGCATCGAAGGCCATTCTGGATAGCGCGGATTCCGGCATCGTCTTTTCTCTGAAACATGTGTTTCCACTGAGACTCCATGCCGCAGCGAGACATGTCTGACACTGTCCCGTACATGGCAGCCACTACCAAGAGAATCCATGGGATCAAGGTTGTGAAGTACCAGGCATATGAGAACAGAAGCCCTCGAATGCCCTTCTCAGCTTGAGCAATGGTTGTCGTCATAATTGGTGCGAGAAATGGGACAACAAGGGAGAGAATAATATTTATGATGGGCAGCGCGAGTGGGAATGGCAAAGAATACCTCACGGTCATGGCCCAGGAGATACTGTGACTGTCAATACCTCTTCCTTCTCAGCGAGCAGGAGTTGGACGTACGCTGAGACGACGATGGCGGCGGTAGCAAGCTGGAAGTGTCACCCAAGTCCTTGAACGCCCGCAAGGCTTACTTACAATCGCGCAGAGGAGCAAAATGGTCTTCGGTTGAGTTGCCATCATGAATATGACTGTCAATCTTGCTGTCTGAACCGTCTGAACCTTGGCCTGTACCAAGCCAAAATCAAGGTCAAAAGCCCCTTGCTCTACGTCTAGGTCACAACTAGGCAACCAGAGATGGAGATGGAACAGAACTTGAAATAAGCGCAATCGTGTCGTGTTGTTGAAGCCGGGTCGACGAGGAGCAACATATGACCAGACGTTACACAAAGAGGGGTAAGTACCAGGCAGCGATCAAACACGAAGTGCTTCCGTGTCACGACGTTCAGTCGTGATAGGTGTTGACAGGGGTCACCCTGGATCACCGGATGGAACATGTACCTCTTGAGCGGACGTCCTCTCGATGCTGATGACAACTCACTGCGCTAAATTCATCGACGGCAATTTAGTTTCGAAGCATGAGAACACTTTTTCCATCGAATCTGATGCACAGCCCCTGTCAAACACTATCACTTTTTGTCGATACTGGCCGGGAGGGAGAAGGAATGAGAGACCAAACTGTCAGCCACTTCCCAGCCTTACCGACGACTGGCTATGCGGATACTGTTGGCCAACGCTAGTAGGCGGTGTGCTTTCAATACTGCGTCTACGTAGTTTAAGTCCAGGTGCACAACTCAATTCAGCTTCCTTTGGTTCCTTTGTCATGATCAAACAGGCTGACTGTTTGTGCCCGATAGGAGAGAGTGTTCTGGAAACCCTCTACAAGGCTATATGAAGCCTTTCCATCCAGTTGGATAGAGAGAATCATCATTCATCACCTATCCTCAGCCTGATCACCAACTCATCTCGATTTCAAGTCCCCTCCTATTTGTTGCTGCAAGATGTCTGGTAGCAATCCGCGCCGTGGCCGTGGCGATGGGCAATTGCCCTTTCACCCTAGAGGACGCGGCGGCTCGTATGCGCGTGGGCGAGGTGACACATCGTACAGAGGAGGCCATGGCAGTGGTAGAGGTGGCTCTGCCCCGCAGGTCGTCGTCTATCCGTAAGTGGCTCGCAATCATGATGGCCAGACACTGACCAAATCTTAGACAGGATGTCGCGCAGACTACACAACCCAAGCCTCAGGTGAAGATTGTTGAAGACAAGACACAAGCTTCCATTACGACATCAAATGCGGCCTCCACATCCATCCATCCCCCGCGTCCAGGATATGGGACCAGAGGACGAGAGGTGGTTCTATGGGCAAACTATCTTGAGCTAACTGGATACGAGAACCTTCTTGTGTATCGCTACAGCATCAGTATCGCACCAGACCGCAATGGCCGCGAGCCTGGCCCAAAGAAGAGACGTCGCATCGTACAAATCCTCTTAGAAGAATACTTCAGCGAACGTAAAGCGGACGTTGTTACGGATTTCCACTCCAACATCATCAGCAAAACCAAATTGGCCCTGCAAAGTCCATATGCGGTGGCACATCGTGGCGATGGAGTCGACGACGTCCAGGCCAATGCTACAATCCATCAAATAGCGCTTGCGCAGATCGGGGTCTTGAACTTGTCAGAACTGCTGGACCATGTGACCTCCGAAGATGCAGTCGCCGCACTCGCCTCAAAGGCAGATTTCCTACAGGCTTTGAACATTGTGGCTGGCCATCATCCCAAAGCAACACCCACTACCGCTGCGGTTGGCTCTAACAAACATTACAACGTCAGTACATCGTCTGAAAAGTTCGGTCTGGGGGCAGGAATCAATGCCATTCGAGGTCTATTCATGAGTGTGCGTGCGGCCACTACTCGGATCCTGGTCAATGTGCAAGTGAAGCATGGTGCATTCTACCAGGAGGGACCTCTGGAAGGACTGATATTCTCATTCAAACAAGAGAACGGAGCGGACAAGAACAAGTTGGAGGACTTCCTCAAAAAATTGACAGTCAACGTCACCCACATTCAGAGAAGAAATCGCACAGGAGAAGTGATACTTCGCATGAAGCAGATTTCAGGTCTCGCCACGCCCCGTGACGGAGAAGGGCAGCCGAAACGACCTATAGTCCCAGAATTTGGGGCAGGTCCCAAGAGCGTCAAGTTCTGGCAAGCAAGCGAAGGCGCAGGCGCAGGCGGCAGCTATGTCACCGTCTTTGAATTCTTCAAGAAGGGTGAGGAAGCCATCATCTGTTAATGTGAATGTCAATGCTAACATCAAGAAGCATACAATATTGTGATTCGAGATCCCAACCTGCCCGTCGTCAATGTCGGGAACAGACAGAATCCAGTCTATCTCCCAGCTGAAGTTTGTCAAGTGAGACCCGGGCAGCATTTCTCAGCCAAATTGAGTCCGAGTCAAACCCAGAACATGATTCGTTTTGCAGTGCGTCCGCCAGAGTCGAATGCACGTTGGATCACGACACAAGGCGCACATCTCGTAGGGTTCGACATTACAAATCCGGTCTTGGTATGTTCGACACCTGAAGCTCGACGCTGTCACTGACTCTCACAGAATAACTTTGGCCTCAAGGTCCCGCCGAAGCTCATTTCGGTGCCTGGCCGGGTGCTGCAGGGTCCCAACATCCAATACTATGGAAAGGACATGGCTAATCCTGGCTTTGGTAGCTGGAATCTGCGGAACGTCCGCTTCGCGGCCACCACAGAATTACCATACTGGACATACCTGGTGCTGTCGATGGAAGGAACACAGCCCCCCTGGACCTCAGAAGCCGCGCTACACCCAGCACTTGACGAGTTCACGCAGAAGTTGAACGAAGTCGGCATCAGGGCAGGGGCCCCTACCGCAGGGCAAAACGTTGTGCTGAAGCCCTCCTCATTGGAGACCCAAATCGACCAGGCCATCTCGCTGTTCATGCACAGCAAGACCAGAAAACCACCAAAGTTCCTCCTCGTCTTTCTGCCCCATAGAGATACGGGTATTTACAATCGAATCAAACTCGCTTGCGACATCACGGAAGGCTTGCTCAACGTCTGCACGGTAGCTTCCAAGTTTGTGAAGCCCAATAACCACCAATACTTCGCCAATCTTGCTCTCAAGGTCAATTTGAAATTAGGTGGCCGCAACCACAGCATCGACAACAGTAAATTGGGTGTTATTGCAGAAGGCAAGACTATGCTTGTGGGGCTCGACGTTACTCATCCATCGCCCGGATCTGTCCAGGCTGCGCCTAGCGTGGCTTCCGTGGTGGCATCAGTTGACCGTTGGCTTGGGCAATGGCCAGCTGAGCTGCTCAACTTACCTCCACGTCAGGAGATGATCATCGGGCTCCAAGAGATGATCGTGAGTCGACTCAAGCTGTGGCAAAAAGTCAACAAGTCACTCCCTGACAATATCCTTGTTTACCGCGACGGCGTCTCAGAGAGCCAGTACCAACAGGTATTGGAACAGGAGCTACCGCTCTTCAGGGCCGCAGGGAAGGCGTTGTACCCGGCAGACAAGACGAAGAATGGCTATCCTCGCATCAGTATCGTCGTGGTCGGAAAGCGCCACAACACTCGGTTCTACCCTACTCGCACAGAGGATGCTGATCGGTCGTCAAACCCACAAAATGGAACCGTGGTTGATCGGGGTGTCACCGAAGCTCGCAACTGGGATTTCTTCCTGCAAGCTCATACAGCATTGCAAGGTACTGCTCGGCCAGCGCATTATTACGTCGTCCTTGACGAGATCTTCCGCAGTCGCCCAGTCAAGCCGCCATTCCAGAACACGGCCGACGCTCTTGAGGACTTGACACACAACCTCTGCTATCTCTTCGGACGAGCGACGAAAGCGGTGTCGATTTGCCCTCCTGCTTACTATGCCGATCTTGCATGTGAGCGAGCTAGATGCTATTTGAGTAAGGTCTATGATCCGCATTCTGTTGCGAGAAACTCGTCGAGCACCAGTACAACATCGGCACAGCCAGATGCAAGTGTAGTGAGACGGGTGCACCTGAACGTGAAGGATGCCATGTTCTACATCTGAACCGTAGCATGGGATCAGATAGCTTGGGCTCCTGGATAATGTGCTCAGCGCTGGAGAGGTTTCGAGAAGTCGAGAAGTCGAGATAAGCATTTTGGGACTGGGCTTCGACGCCGGACGACATGGCGTTGGCTGAGATGGGATATGTCGTGGTATTTGATGTACGGGGAAGGGAATAATATTGACATGGCCTTGGATAAAGACAAAGATCTTTGGATTCAGATGACATGGGAATGGGCGAGCTAATGCCTGCTACGAATAGATAAGACAAGAGTAGCTCCCTCGAGAATGATATTCACCATCATCCATGTTCACGCATTGTTCTTGTGTGGCACATTTGGAGCCTATGTTCCGCTCTTGCATATACGGCGGAACATCAAATCACAGAGTACTCTTTCCTTCCCCAGCTTTTCCTTGCGAAGCCTCAAACCCCACTTCCATCTCGAGTCCAGCTGCAGGTAGGACATAACAGTAGGCGACTAGACCTTGCGCCTGAGAAGCGTCGAGCAAGATGGATACCCGTAAAAGGAAAAAGAAAGTGCTCCTGATGGGCAAAAGCGGCTCCGGGAAGTCGTCCATGCGCTCCATCATCTTCAGCAACTATGTCGCAAAAGACGTCCGACGATTAGGAGCGACCATCGACGTCGAGCACAGCCATGCCAAATTCATGGGCAATCTGACACTCAACCTGTGGGACTGTGGAGGGTGAGCAAAACGTAGCATCTTGCCTACAGTGACTGACGTGTACTCAGTCAGGATGCCTTTATGGATTCCTACCTCAACGCACAGCGGGAGAACGTCTTTTCCGATGCCGAAGTGTTAATCTACGTATTCGATATCGAGTCGCGAGCGGTCGAGCAGGATCTCGAGACCTACAGCCAGGTCATCAAGGCTTTGAAAGAGTTCAGTCCAAATGCACATGTCTTCTGCCTGATTCACAAGATGGACCTCGTCCAGCACGAGCTCCGCGAGAGAATATACGAAGAAAGGTGTCGCTTGATCACCGCCCGCTCAGAAGGACTCAGCTTGGAGACGTTCGCGAGCAGCATCTGGGATCAAACACTGTACAAGGCATGGGCGGGGATTGTCCATAAGATGATACCGAATCTGGTGGTCATTGAGAAGTTCCTGGACGCATTTGCGAAACAATTACAAGCAGAAGAGATTGTCTTATTCGAGCGGTCGACGTTCTTGACCGTCACGAATGTTGTTACGCAGTACGGGGAGGATAACCCCAACCATGACCGGCACGAGAGGATCTCCAACATCATGAAGAGCTATAAGCACACCGTGGCGAGAAATACGCGGACAACAGCTGCGAGCGCAGGGTTTTTGCTGTTCAAAGTTCAGACGCCGCGCTTCAATTGCTTCCTTGCAAGATTCACGGAGAACACGTATATTTTCGTCGTCATCCCGCCTGGAGAAGCAGCGTTCAACTGCGCTGTGCTCAACACTATGATGGCAAGGGATGTTTTCAGGAAGAAAACTGGCGTTGAAGGTTGAAACGGTACGAGTCACGACCAAGGTCGTCGCATCTCCTAGTGACGACCCGCGGTCTCTTCGCTGAATGGACAAGTGGGTATCATCACAAAGATCTCTAATGCCGGCTACTCAGCTGCGGCGCACACAGAGATCATCAGCTGTCCGCATAGACTTTTCTTGGGGCCCACGGACGGCTTCTCGACTTAGGCTACCCCCACTGGCAATGTATAAACAACGGAAGGCAGGAACAATTCCAAAGCCTAAGGCAGTGGGCCTCAAACGTGAGAAGCCATGTGGTCCGCAGCATCGAGCCCCTTCACATGGCCGGAATTCAGGGTATCAGGAGCCATGCATCCGGGATCTCTTTGCACCATGTTCCCATGGGCTGTATCTCGAATCATCCGAGAACGATCGCCTACAAAGCACGAAAAGCCAACTTCGGTATTCCTTCAGCCTGACGAGCTGCACGATGGCCTCGTAGTAAGAAGGCAGCCATATACCGATGAAAATGTTCAAATGAAAAGTGAAGGATATGAGTGGAACACAGAACGGACTGGATCAGTGGCAAATAGCTTGCATAGGACGAAGGAACGACGGGAGTTGTTGACAGAAAGAGACGGACTCTAGCGGGAATGAAAGGCGTCGGGATGATCACCTTGAGGTGTCGGACATGCTGCAATTAGCAGAACATATAAAGCAACATCGCTCGGTGTTGGAGAGGAAAAATCCACTTCGTTACTCGTTACTTTTCCTCCAACCCAGTTCAAGCTAAATGACGAGGACAGGTGTTGGCAAGTAATTATGCTCCGACCTCAGCTACCATCTTTCCACCTTCGATCCCGACATTGTTCATCCCCTCGGCCTGGGCGAGCCTCTTGGCTTCGAGAGCCTTGAAGTTCCGCATCATGGCATTGCGCGTGAATTCCTCGCCCGTGACAAGTGGGTACTTTTTCAGCGGACCTTGGATGAGGGTGTCGCGACAGGGCTGGTTGAAAAAGGCAATGCTGTATCGTTCGCCATAGTAGTCGTCCGGTTCGCAGGGAGCTTTGACACGGTGGAACGTCGATTTGAAACGGTCATCGGACCACGACATCAACAGGTCGCCGATGTTGCAGATGATGGCGTTGGAAGATGGGTCGGGGGTCACTTTGGTCCATGTGTCACCATGACCGAAGGACGTGGACACTTCACGACCTGGGCAGATCTAGGGCAAACGAGGTCAGCAGCAGGTCATTAAGCTTAGGAGTGCAATCAACAGCATGTATTTGGGGTTTTTCATGGTATTGCGAGAATTCGGCAGGGGGGAGGAGAGGCTTTACCTCCAGCCCGGATTGTCCTGCCTTTTGGAACAAGAGTGTGAGCAGGTCCCAATCTGTATGAGCACCGGCACGATGCCAGACCTCGCCGTTCGTCTGCTTGGGCGTTTCGAAGTAATGCAGCAGTCGTGCGACGGTCTGGCTCTCGGGTCTCTTGACATCATGTGCTTTGATGAAATAGTCGTCCGGGAAGCCCAGTCCTCGTGCGAGACAGAGCATCAGCTTTTCCGAGACTTCCTGAACGTGCCACATGAATTTTAAGCTCGACTCCTTGAAGCCTGGTATGTCGGCGTCGTTGAGCCATTTGCCTTCCATGTTCTTGCCGAACTGCATTTGATAGGACTCCTTTTTGTCCGCGGCGCCCGTGGATGGTCGAACTTGGGAATTCTTCTCCCAGCCGGCATTGTTTGCGGACGAGAAGGGCACTTTGGCCTTGGTGTCGTCTGGAAGGGAGAAGAAGCGGGCAGACTGAGCGAATATGTCGTCGACTTCTTGCGGAGAGATGCCGTGGTCAACTACGCAGAAGAAGCCCACGTTCTCGGCTGCTTCGACCAAATCTGCAGTGATCTGATCGACGTGATTGTCAAAATCTGCCAGTGAGATTGTTGGGATAGATCTATCAATGTATTTTGTCTTCTCGGTGGCCATGGCGAACTCGATGGTCGTTTTGGCTTCTTTGATATTGATGGTATGTGCCTAGGTGTGCTCCGCAAGTGAAAGGGTACTCAAGAAGTATCCAATTTTGTCTTGGTTTCAGGAGGTTGGTGCTTGCTGATGTCGAGTGCTTTCGGGATACCATGAGTACTTTTATAATAGATAAAAGGGCCCAAGGTCTAGAAGAACCTGGTCTATACCGATGCCTCATGAGGCCTGAGCCCGCAGCGTACGACCTGATAAGGTTATGGCTGATCACCGTACCCCCCGCACGGTTATCGTCCAATCAAAAAGCGTCGATTATTGTACGGCATTCTCCGGACGGATATCCGATCGAACAGCCTTGCGGACTGGGTGTTCTAGATACAACCATTTCTCATATGTCAAAGTTCAGAAGGTCCTCAAACAGGAAGTTGTTGCTGATGCCAGTATGAGGCGGGAAGAGCTGTTCGAACGTTTCGTACCCGAGATCAGATGTGAATACAGGATCCACTGGTGCTGGAGTACGTGACTGCGTACGCGATTCAGGTTCGAACAGATCCATTGACGGTTCCAGACCTCGGTTGGCTGTACGCAATGAGTGCGTAAACGAGTCGTTGCCGACGAATGACTCGACGAACTTGGGGACATTGAATTTCTGCTTCTTCGGTTGTAGCCGATCACCCACAGAATCACTCGAACGTTTTCGATAGTTCTCCAATGTCTGGTCTGCCGTAAGCCGCGCCTGTTCTGCCAGTAGGGACGACAGGAGTCGGATTCCTCTCAATGCGATCATGCTGTTTTCAAACTTTCCCAGCATGCTGATGGTGTTGTCAACGAGTTTTCGATGTTCTTCGTATTCGGGTTCATCGGCTTTGCGATGGAATATATCCAAAGCCAGCGTAATTCCAGCAGCAACCATGAAGGCTTGATCAATCCATAGCATCGGCCCTTCTTCGTCGTATGCCTGCCTTGCCTCTTTCAGAATAGTCTTTGCTGCTGCCATGCATGTACGGCGGGTGAAATCGAACGCTTGTTCGGTGAAACTGCGACCCAGAAAAGCTCGATGGATCATGATGATCTTGTGAGCAAAGCAAATGGTTAGGCCTCGCCGTGCCCACGGAATGAATGCGGGCCACTCTGGTGATATTGCTTCTCTCACCGAGAAATATCGAGGAAGACCATCAGTAGCCAGCGCCCTCATTTTTGTATCGTACTCGATCACTTGCTCATATTTGGTGTATAGTGTGTTCGATGAGATGATAGCGTCGTGAATTTGAGGCATCAGAGATGCCATATCGACAAGGCTATTCTGAAAGCTTGTGATACTAGGGACATCCTCTGGCAGGGGTTGCATTGTGTTCTCATCGAGATGCTGAGGTCTAAGTGAGGTAAAATGAAGTTTCTGGATTGAATACATCTCGGAGAACGGAATGGAGAACCAGTCTTGCATGCAGAGCTGTGCCCACACTCTTCTGCCCGTCTCGCGTTTGATGGCTTTGTCTTTTTGCATGGGCGTCGTCACAATGGAGGCCCCAGTAGGATGGTTGCTCTCATCCTCAGGGCCAAGTCTCTGCAAACCTAAGCCCTGGGCGATTTTGAGGGCAGCGCCTAACAGCGTGCTTTGAGTGTTGCTGAAGCCAAGAACGTGTGCTGACATGGTCAGTACTGCGATGGCTTGGACTGAGTAAACGTGATGTCGCCACATATAATCTGCAAGATTGAGGCATGTCACTGTAGCCTTGTACCACTGTCTAGTTAATTTTGCTCGTTCAGTCTTCTTGAACCCCCAGGATGAGGCCAGTTGGTCACTGGCACAGGTCATGCTAGCGGCCATGACCGAAAAGAGCAGCGCAGTCCACCTGAGGTCCATGTTCCTGACTTGTAATCCACTGGGACCCTGATAAACCTCGTTCAGCTCGTTGTAAAGGGTTGGTCCATGCAAGCAAGCATGATACCACAGAATCGAGTTTATGTGGTACTCGACCAGTTGAAAAACTTGCCGACGACTTGGAAGTAATAGTTGCAGGAACGAGACCTGAGCGGCCCCTGTGCCCCCCAAGCCGTTGGAGACATCCCAGTCGGGGCCAGTGTCCTTGGGTAAAGCAGCGGGTCCAGCATTATGAGGCTCTTTGAGGAGTTCGAGAGCTTTGAGATCATAATCAGAGAATTTGGATCGACCCCAGGTGAGGAATTCTAGCACTGTGGCTGCATTGTCGGGATCTGAGATGGGACCGTTCGAAGGAGGGGCGCCCAAGTTGCTGGGATTGGGTGGCCGTCGGATGTCAGGACTGGAGGGTGAGTTGACCGAGGCTGGATTTCTCATGGAAGGGTGGACTGAAGTCTCTGGCACATTCTGGGTGGTGGTCGCAGGGCTCGTGTTTTCTGTGGTGGCCGGACTAGACTCTGCCTGACCTGTTGATGTTCGAGGGTAGATACGATGGATCTTGGGATCGTAGCCCCCTTCAGGCCATTCGCGGGTACATTTGTGCGCATCTCCTCGCTTGACGCAGCGACCACAGGGACTGTTGCGGTCACATTTTTGTCGTCGCATAGAGCACTCGGTGCATGTTTGGCGTTCTTTCGGCATGGTTGCGAGGTTGTCCCATACCCCCTCGTACTACTAATGGGCAATCGAACGGCCAACTGATGTACGGCCAGCGTTGATAGTAGGTTGTACGGGAGTACGAGGGTGGATTGTAAGACGAAGAAAATTGGGAAACGAGTGGGAATCTCGGCCCGTGTCAGGCTTGGCGGTCCGTCGGTCACGTGTAGGCCCTCCCTCATCTGCAACATAGGAGGTGTCCTAGGCTTGAAGATCTCAGTTCCTGATGATCAACGGTCACCTAGAGGAGAAGCAGTGAACAAGCTCAGCGTGACAAGGCAGAGAATGATGGCCGTTCCGATGGAGATGAGAACTATTGATGTAGTCGGAAGACTGGCGGGCAGAGTTGATTCAACATTCAGCGCAGCAAGACTTCTCCCTTCATGCCCGCGCCCTCGCAATCAAGGAACATAAGCTCACTCTCTAAGAAAGCCTCGTTACTCTTCTAAATGCGTCGTAGGCGTACTCTGGAGAACCTCTCCCGTACTCTCATTCACCACAGGCTCCGACGGCACGAGGACAAACAACATTCGACAGTTCTCGTTGCTGATGTTCTTCCATGCCTATCGTGCCCCGTGATCAGTATATTCTCTCGTAGCAGATGAGGGTAATTCAGGGAACCTACGTGAATCGTTGCTCTTTGCACACAAACGTCGCCCTCCTCCATGACAGTCTCGACACCATCATCCAGAAGGAGCTTGATACTACCTTTCAGCACCACTCCAAAATCCACACTCTGTGTACGGTGCATAATATTCACATCATCTGGGGTATCGCCTGTGACTGGGAAATCCACAATCCGGCAGAACACGCCTGATTGATCGACGAGCCCGTTTTTCTTCCCGTGGACGTCAACGAAAGGTGTCTGGGCCTTCGCAGGGATGCCGTCAGTCTTGTACAGGTTTGTAAATCCCGGAATTATACCCTTCGGCGGCGGACGACCCCGGAGGGTCAAGTGGATTAGCGGGAGTGAGGACAGTATCTGAGGCTATCATCGCTTTGCCGTTGTCATCATGACCTGGATGTATCTCCATCACTGACAGTTGAAAGCGTGTGATGGAAAGGCATACCTGTCACGATTCTCCTCGTTGTAGGGAAGGCCATAGTTGGGACAGGATTGGAACCAGTACTGTACTCCGTATGCCAAGTAAATTGGTCTACGTCCCATTCTATTTATTACCTGTAACTCGTAGGTGTATAGCTTTTAAGGCGATCGGCCGCCGAGACGCCTAAGACCCGACCGAATTAGAGGCACTTTCGTTGATATGCATGCCAAGTCAGTGGCGACCGCGTTCGACCAAAGACCCCGCGTCACGGCGGGCTCAGCCTCTACCTCACCACTGCTCTGAATTGACATGAATAAACATGCCACTCCCGGCGCGCAGATCACAGGTCACTGCAGTGTTTCTCGGTAGTATGTGGACAGGTGCCCTGAAGTCGTGTCGGAAATGCCACGTTGGCGTTTAAGCCTTCCTATCCGGTGGCCAACATTAACTACACTACACAGCAGTGATTCTCAAAAGGGCATCTATTGAATTTCAGCCTCACCACTCTACTTTTCACCGTAGGGCAATCCGTACCGAGCACACAGCCCCAAATCTGCATTGACTGCCAGCTTCCCATGCAGCCCACTGAGGGCAATCCCGTATTCTCTGCTCAGCCGCATAGCCAGCACACGGCTCCTGCGGCGTTTACTCGCACCGGAGGATTATAATATGCCCATTGCCTCCTCAGACTCCGTCCATCTTGAGGCCGCAAGTTTGCAATGGCTAACGACACTTGCTACGTACCAGGTAATTCCGACCTCTACGGATTGGGTATCAGGACTGGAATCTATCTTCAATGGGTTTCTTCTCTAATCGCGAACAACTGCTACCCCGAAGAGGTTCCCACTTTGCTTGTCACTAACACAATATTTCTCATCGCCGTCTGCATTGCAACGCTCAAGTTAACGGCCGACAGTTCACTCAAGCAAGCAGAATACCTCGTATTGCTGCGTGTATTATATGGGTTTCTTCTCACGGTTTTGACCGTAAATGGAACAAGGGTGCGGCGTCGAGAAGAGGAAAGCACGTTCGTGAATCGCAAAGACGAACTTGGCTCTATAGCATCTCGAAACCTCCGAAGGGCCCTGACTGTGGGCATTATCTGTTTCAGCATCTGGTATTGGGCGAGCGAAGCGAATGTTGGCGCACGAGATTCCGCTTGTCGCACCTATGGGTTCCTCTTCACCAAAATCCCACTCTCCTCTGAATTCTACCGCAACGTTGAATTGACCTTCAGCGCGTTGCTACTGATCCATCACATCATTCAGTTCCTCATCGGAATTGCCATACTTGCTGGCCTGGCCATAATCGCAATGATCAGAGTCCGTCGACAAGGAAGGTTCGCATGGTCCGTTCTCCTTAACTGGCGACTCTGGGCGGCGTTCAATGACGACCAAACTAACGCCGTAGTTGCATTGCTTTGTAAGGCTCTACCAAATCTATTTGGCCGAGCATTTCGACAGATTTCTCGGAAGAAAGGTATGGCCAAAGAACCGAAGGAAGGTCATATCAAGCCAAACTTCTTTGAGAAGCGAGGCTATCCTGAGATTGGGAATGCCCTTGCAGAGTCTCTCATGTTGAGGGCGGCCATGGTGTTCCTCTACCTTCCGCTCCGGAAGTCAAAGATCTGGCCGCGGCTGGAACGCAACAGAGCCTCCCTAACATTCCTCAAGGCTTGCGGGAAATCAGTCCATAGGACGTTCCAGTTTCTGAAGAATTTGTAAGACGTCCTCCAGAACTCTTTGGTAGCTTTTCGCTAAGGTTGGCCGAAAAGGTACCCGCAAGCACTTAATATCTTGTATCTGGTCTGGGCAGTTGTTGGTATTGAGTTGACATTAATCTGGAACAATGTCTCCGACGTCTACACCATTCAATCTACCGGCCAACTTATACCTTTCTTGACAGGTATTCTTAGCATGGCCGAAGCCATTTGGGGTTTGTGGTTGAACTACCTCAAGGTAAGCTCCAATTTCAGACATACCTTTCAGTTTCCTTTGAAATGCTAATGTCTCTTAAAGCAACGACGATCTTATCTGAGATTCAGAGATCATTGGCATAACCCAAAACATATCCCCTTGAAGAAAGACGAGGCTTGGTGGAATTACCCAGCAGTGAAGCGAGGGCTGAAGCTGAAGGCAGATCCTTTCTATGAAAACGCTTCCCGCTCTGCTCGACACAGTATTTCCGCTATCGACCAGCTGCCCAAGGTGCCTCGTTACGTTCCTCGGTCAGAAGAGGAAGTTGAACAAGCCAAAAGGTCGAAGGCGATTCGAGCCTACAAACCTTGGTACATTGATGCCACGGACGTCTTGGTCGAAGATGCCAACGGCGGTACCCATAAGTTCCTAGATCGCCAGATTGAGGTGGAGTATCCGCTCGGTGGAGGAAGATATGAAATCCGCAAGTACGGACGATGGAGCTGCAACCAGTCCCTCGTTGATGAAAGCACCGACCTCGCAAAGAGAGAGGACGCCGAAGATCCATTGGTCCCAACAGGTTACTGGGAATACCCTACGCCGAAAGGAAACATCGCTAGATTTTGGGACCAACGATATGGGCATCGAAGCCGGAGCTGCCCAGAGCTTTGGTTCATCGATGATTCCGAAAGCGTCGAGGGTGGCGGCTTTTCCAGGCACAGCTCTGCGTCCAACTTACGTTGGCTAGCTGAGCATGGTCGGCTGCGCAGTGCTGCTTCATTTCACCCGACGCCGGTAGCGGCGCGACTGGTTGTTGCCGGAGTAGACCTCACTGAACCGTTTCATCGCTTGCAGCCAGCCAGCCCTCCTGGGCTGCACAAGGTCTACAGTGTTTCCTCCTGGCATTCCAGCAGATCGGGGTCTAGACGAGGGCGCAGTCGAAGACGCAACAAACACGATTGGTTTGCCTCCCTATCGACTTTGGATTCCGAGAGTTCTATGTCGGACGCGGAGGTGATGCCAAGGAGGTATGAGATCTGGGATCCCGAGGCGCAATATTAGTATTTTTGCCATCTTAAGGACGTTAAGGATTCCTCGAGAGAATAATAGCTCCAATATAAGAGGGGAGGTAAATGACTCAACTCATGTACCAGCCTTTCTTGAAGACGCGCGACGAATTATCCTTGCTGACCGTTAGGGTCAGGGACGTCCTGCAAAATCCTCGAAACAACGGCATGCTCCGCGCGTTGGTCGATCTCGGGTCAGAGGAAGGCCTTGCCGACCTCGTGGCCACAATTTCCCGGGGACTAGATCCAATCGGATACCTCATTCGCCTCTACCAAAGGCCCAGTTCATGTGAGCGCTCAGTTCGATTTCATCCAGCTGCTTGCAAAGTGTCGCGAAAACAATGCAACAGATCCCCGGGACAAGATATATGGCCTCCTTGGATTGGCGCCTGCCTGGGTCACTGAACTCATTGAACCAAGCTATGACCGGTCTCATCTAACATCTATACACTCAGATGGCGCTGCAGCTGATATGCAAACTGAACTCGTCCATACTCTTCAGCCAAGCTGGACTATCTTCTCGGACAACCACCCACGAGGTCATACCATCATGACGACGGAGTCTTGATGCGAGGACTCCCCGTCGACATTGGCATTGCAGTATCGGAGAAAATGCCGTCATATCACTCTTATGCGGTCGAGTCGCGAGATCAGTCGGGGACTTTCCTCCGACATGGGTCTTCTCGTTGCTGGTGATATAGAGCGGGAGCGGTGTGACTGTCCGCCCACAGGTGACGACAAAGAACTGTGGAGGTCAGTTATACTCTATTGAAATTAAGACTTGGAGCATTTCACTTTTCTGCACACAGCTCGCCTCTAGATTATGATCCACTTACAGTCCATTGATTCCAACGCAACCCGGTCATTATCTCAATCCATTACATCCTAGAGCATTCCAACGATTGCAAGACTTCCTCTACTAAAGTAGAACAAAGGTATCCATGTGGTTCCTAGACTCCACATTCTGTGAGTTCGGATCGATGATTTTTCACTTATAGAGGTGGTGAATGCAGACAATCGTGTTGGATGATTGAGAAACCGTGTTAGATCATACATCAGAGAGCGTTTGGCCAGGAGCTAATGACAAAGAAAAGGGACAATATTGGGTACAAATATCAATGCTTTGATTTAATAGCGACACACATTCGCATGACCCTGCTATGCACTAAGACTCCCATTCCGTGCGCCTTTGGTAGGAGACAACGTTTTCTGCTGTACAAATTTGGTGATGATTGTGACCCAAACCATCCACCTCTTACAACAGAGCAGCAAGACCCAACAGAGCAGCACCAGCAACTCCAGTCAATCCGGTTGGCAGAGCGGCAGCCACGTTACCAGCTCCCGAAGCAGCAGCAGAAGATGCACTTGAGGCAGCAGAATTGGTAGCACTTGAAGCACCACTGGTAGCGGAGGCAATCACCGAAGAAGCAGAAGAGGCTGCGGAACCAGCTCTGCTTGTAGCACTGCTGAGAGCACCTGCAGCGTCGCTAGTGATGCTACCCAGGATCGAGCTGGCAGCCGAGGTCAAGGAGGCGAGGGAGGATGCGGCACCAGTGGCGTTGTTGGCAGCAGCGGAGCTGAGACTGGAAAGGCTGGCTGAGAAGGCGGACTCTGCGGAACTGAAGCTCTTTGCAACAGATTCTTGAACGGACTGGGCTGAGGCAGACGCGGCGGCGGCGGAGTTGGAAGCTGCGGAGGTGATCGAGGCAATGGAGCTGGACGCGGACGAAGCAGCTGAGGCGCCTGCGCTCGAGGCGGAGGAGCTGACGGCGCTGTCAGTCGAAGTGGCAGATCCAGCTCCGGAGATGGCAGAGGAGAGGACTGAAGAGGCACCAGATGCGGCACCAGAGCCCAAGTTTTGACCTAGAGCAGGGACAGCTGCGAGGAGGACGATGAGGTTGGTGAGCTGCATGGTGACGGGTGATCGTAGGTGGCGAGTTGAAGAATGGAATTTGAGTGGACGGGGATTTGACGAAAGGTGAGATGTGAGTGAGGATGAGAAATCGAGGTCAGGTTCGAAGGATTGGTGAAAGAATATATACGAGTAGCATACGTGATGACATGGAGCGAATGGTCTGGAATTCCCGTACCGGAGCACAATTGTAGGAAGGTGATGGTGCAAGGGTGCGTCACCACTTCCAGACAGACAGGCGAGGCTGAGAAGGGGCCACGGAGCTAGGCGAATTCTGGTTGGCTGGCGTTCCAATGGTGTCTTGAATTTCAGGTTAGACAGCACCTAGACAGCACTCAATCGGGCGGCAAAGCAGGGAGATCGACGCAAGCGAAGCCGAGTCAATGTTTGTCGATTGGTGATGCGAGGCAGATCAAAGGCTTCTGGTGACTTCTCCAGGGGCCCATCATGGCCTCATCAACAAAAAGATGGCGTAAGACGTCATGACCCAAGCCCAAATGAGTAGGCCAAGATACGCTAAACCGTTCTGGTATCGCATCAGCCACGGTCGGCTTCGGATTTTCTCCTCGGGATAAAGGTCCCTTATTTGTTGGCGTGCCAGAGTCCCCAGAGTAAAACAACCAACAGGCTGTCCACTGACTCCTTGGTAGCTGCCACTGCCGCTGACCATCGCCCGAGTAACCTTTGAAAGTTGTGTTCGAAAAGCTATGCATGGTTGAAGTATAAGGTACTGAGGGACAATTTGGAAGGCCGCAAGTCACCTCTTCAGCTTTGGCAATCTGTGACCAGGAGAAGCGTTGTTTCCCGCCCTGGTTGGGTGACTCGCGAGCCCGATAATAGGCGTCGGTGGAGAGAAATTGCGGGGTGTGGCTACGGCTTCCGAGGTACACTTGCTGTTTGTTGATAACGCCGTAGTGCTTGCTGAGCTTGCAACAAGATTGTATATCACAGCTCTGCTTAATATCATGTCTGAGTCAAGCAGGACAAGTGCTGGCCAGCTCCACATCCTCTTCGTTCGACATGGCGAAACCCAGGACAACATTGACCGCATCCTTCAGGGACATCGAGATACCAGCCTGACAGACAAAGGACTGGGAGAAGCACAGGTCCTAGCCGAAAAGCTGCGAACCCAACAAATCGACGCTATCTACTATTCACCTCTGATCAGGATTGTTCAGACTATCGAGCCGATTGTGTCGGATCGACCACAAGTAAAGAAATATCCAGACGCAGCTCTCAAGGGACAAGCACTCGGCTCACTTGAGGGAGGCTCGTACGACCTGGTGGACATGAGAAACCCTAGGGACGCCGATGGACAGCCTGGAGTAGAGCTCTTTGAAGATTTTGTGAGGCGATTGAAGAGAGTCTTTGCACAGATTATTGGTATAGAAGCTCCCCAGGTCGGGCAACAAGACCGTACAGTCGTGATCGCGACGCATGGTGTGGGCATCACGTCGCTGTTCAAGTGCCTTGAGTCCAGTCCTTCATGTGACGGTTTCAATCCCAGACTTGCGACTCGAGGACCGCATGCATTTGAGGTGCGGTGGACTGACAGTGACGATGTGGCTCGACTGGTCGTGACAGATCCTACCAAACTCCCCATCAATGGTGGTCAATTAGATTACTCATCGGTTTCTGGTCAGCCGTTCGTCATTAAGCGCTGGGGCAAGAGAGAAAAAGCAATATAAACATTCGTCTTCCTACGGAACGACCATTCGACAGATCCACAAAGTACCCCGAGTATTTGCTGCACAATGGGAGACTATCATTGAATGACATTTCCCTCGCTTTCTTGGAGGCTTTCGGGCCTTCGTGCTCATCCCTCGACAGACGAGGCTTCGCTTCCATCCATATGGTGCTAATTGATCATGGGGTTCATTCTGACGTCATTCCCATTGGGGCCACGAGGCTGAAGCAATGCTCTCCTGATACCCGACTTGAATCTCAATCTCTCTCTTCACGCTCGTTCAACCATCATTTTTCGAGTCCTACACAGCAGACGTGAAAATGCCACGGACGAGCAAGCGGAGAAAGACATCTTCAGGTGCAGCTGCGGCACCAGCCGAACCAGCTCCACCTCCAGATGAGAAATCATTGCCTAAACATCATCTTGACGACAGCACTACTACGAACGAAGCGAAACAAGAGACTGTTCGACCTGAAGCCTCGGAGACTGGAACACATGAGCATATAGCTTCCCATCCGGAAGCTGATGAAGCGAATGCTGAAGCCGACAATATCAGCAACGCTAGCGACGCCCCAACCTTTGATGATATCGACCCTGCAGATGCTGACCCGGCGCTGCTCGATGAAGAAGAAGCTCCCAAATCCACATCTGCGACCAAAGGGGCCTCTGCGGTCGGCGTTCGCGGCGGTTTCAACGCCCTAAAGTCCTTCCATGGGCAGGTCTACTCGGGCATGGCGATCGGTGGCTCGCACACGTGGAACTACGATCAAGGCGCGTGGAAGGAGACCAAACTCGAGCCGGACCTGTGGAAGATCGACTATGAGACGACAAAGCGACGTGCACGCAATGCGCCGAGAGGCAGTGGCGCGCCTGTTGGGACTGAGTATCATTGGCTGATTGTTGCACATCAAGTAAGTAAAATTTCATTTTCCAGCCATGTGCTCGATATCCGATAAACGCTTCTCCGGCGTCAGTATTCGACCGACGCCTTACATCTTGCTCTGCATATTCACGACCGGCCGGCCGTTTCGATGCATTCATGAGAAACACATTTGGCTACTGCCATCGCGATTGTCATGTTCAGAGCACTCTCAGGAAGGATTCTCAACCAATTTTTAACGACAATACTGTCGACACCATGAAGTCACCCGCCTGGCTGAGCAGAACCCGACTGACTGAACGATAGCACGTTAAGAAAATCGACGCCAACACATACACCACTCACCTCACGGGTTCAAAGTACAAGCTTGCACACAAGAACGTCAACTCGAACTCGTGGTCTGTCCCGACAGTCAAAGTCCAGCGAGAGCGCGAGGTTGATTTGTTGGAAGATGCGAAGCGACGAGTACAAGGTCTGCCGCCCGTGCTGGCGGGCGAGAAGGTCAAAGTCGAAAAGGGAGCCGAGAAAGGGCAGCGGAAGCTCGAGACAATGTTTGGCAAGAAGGCTGACGGTGGTGAGAAGAGGAAGAGGGAGGATGATGGCTGAGGGTGTTGAACACAGCGAGAGCTCATAAGACCTAGTTTTTCTTTACAGCAGAATTAGCGGAGCGGTGTAACGTACCATCATCTTGCATCACAAGCGGACACTTGAGGGCGCAGTTTAAGTTAGATCAACGACTTCAACCTTTCACAAAATCACCGTGACTGTGTAAGCATCCGTTCCAAGACGGTGACAAGCCGGCGTCTCGGCGTCGGTAGCGTGCATGCCTGATGAGCGTTGGAGGACGCTCATGATCCTCCCTCCCTCCCTCCTAGTCGTTAATATCCGATGCTATTCTTGGAGGTGAGGACGCAAAGGTTGCCAGCATTGGGAGTAACGAACCCTTGATCACAGTATAACAATTCCAGCGCTCAAAATGTATCAGGCAAGCACGGGAACTCCGGCAAGGAGCTCGAAGCGAACGTACAAACATACGGGCAAGACATCCGTGAAGCGCAGATTCGTAGGGGACGAATCTCAACTGCTGCGAACCGGATGGGATACGGTGATGGTGTTACTAGCTTTCAACGCCCCACTAACTTTAACGACCCTGTCGATTGTCGCTTGCTTTGGGAGTTGATGTAGGTCAGGCGGAGGATTCAGAAGAGAGCTGTCGCCTTGAAGGCACGTGCATGATATGAAAAGATGTAATTGGACATGAAACATGAGTTATGCAGGAACCCAGAGACGATGAATGGACGAAGGAGCGGGAAAAGGTTCGCTCATCACCCGTGGAACGTCTCCAATTGAAAACGTGGCTCGCCTAAGAAAGAGCACATCATAGCAGCTCAAACAAGGGTATAAGCTGCTATCATATACATAGCAGCTTATACCCTTCCTCGACAACCTAGAGTTTTACCAGTCTTCGTCGCCCGTCCCACATTGAGCCACCATGATCTCTTCATTCGTTGCTGCTGCCATTTCTCTGGCTTTCAGGGCCACCGGGATGCCGTTGCCATCATCGGCTACTGCGGAAGGCCTGGACATTTCGACGACGCTGCAAAACATCCTTTCAAACACTCATAACAGCGATGCATACACCTATCCTACCGATTTGACGAGGGGAATAATTCCTGTTAGTACTCTTGAAGGTTCAAGACCGAGGACCCAAACCTCTACATCGTCTTCCATGCCATCTGTCGACCCCTTGTTTTAACTTGTCTAACCACTACGTCCATATCTCAGAAACCGATTCACTCACACAACGATTACTGGAGGGACATCCCATTCTACACGGCCTTGTCTGTAGGCTGCGTTTCAGTCGAAGCCGATGTCTGGCTGTACAACGACACCTTATACGTCGGGCACGAACAATCCGCCCTCACTCCGGCGCGAACGTTCGACAGTCTGTACATCCAGCCGATCCTGGATACCCTGCATCGCGAAAATCCAACCACGCAGTTCGTCAGCAAAGCAACCAAGAACGGCGTTTATGACACTTCGTCGGGCACCACGCTCTTCCTGTTCGTGGACCTCAAGACCGATGGTCCAACGACTTGGCCCGTCGTGGTCTCCCAGCTTCAACCGCTCCGTGATGCAGGTTACTTGACCACATTCAACGGCACGGGCATCACCCCGGGTCCAGTGACGGTGATCGGGACGGGGAACACGCCGTTGAACCAGGTCCAGCCCATCCAAAACCGGGATTACTTCTTCGATGCCAACCTCGCGTTGCTGAGCACGACTCAGTCCAACATTACAGCGTTTGTAAGTCCTGTTGCATCAACACAGTTCAGCAAGTACTTCGGCACGATCAACGGGACCACGTTCAATGATACTCAGATCGCTACATTGAGTCAGCACCTTGCCGTGGCCAATGAGAAGGGAATCCTGGGCCGATACTGGGACACTCCTGCCTGGCCGATTGCGACCAGAAACGCGGTCTGGTCGACGCTCATCGAAGCAGGGGTTGGCTTGCTGAACGCAGATGACCTACCGGAGGCGGCGGGCTATGGCGGTGTCAATGGATACTGGTGAAAGGTTGGATTTGGAAATGGTCAATGAGGATCCATTTGCGGAACAAGTCGATTGAGCGAGATCCCATCAAAAGCCACATAGAGACATTCGAGAGATACATGAGAGTCGACCTGGAATAATAAAGGGGCCCGCCGTGCCTCACGGGTTGCACATAATAGAATTAAATATCGTCTAATGAACGAGCCTACAACTTACTCTTGTCCTTCTTCACAAACACGCCCTGATCGCTCACATCGTAATCTCGACCCATACTCCAGCCCACCCACTCCTTGAGCGCTTCCCCGGCGCCTTCTCCCGGCTTCAGAGCCTTGCCCTTCCACCGCAACTCGGGTGGCCTTCCAGGACTCTCGGTCAAGCCAACAATGGGCCTATGGTCGTAGCCGGCCTGTTCCATCTCGCCGTGCTCCAATACCGGTGCGACACATGCATCCGTCCCGTCGAAAATACGTTCCCACTCCTTCCTCGTCTTCTCCTTGAACCTCCTTGTAAACACCTCTCGCATGTACGGCCACGACCGCTTGTCCTCCCTGTCCAGCCCACCAGGCACCACCTCATGCGCTTTAAACCCCAACCCTTTCAGCAGTTCCGCGTAGAATTGTCGCTCTAGGGCCCCAACGGACAAGTACTTCCCATCATCTTTGCACTCGTAGCATCCGTAATATGGTGCGCCGCCATCAAGTGTATTCGTCCCCCGCTCCGCATTCCACATGGGCTCCTTTGTCAACAATCGCGGGAATGTGCCCAGATAACTCACCCCGTCAACCATGTTGGCTTCAACGACTTGTCCTTTGCCGCTTGTACTGCGATGGATCAGTGCCAGCAACACGCCCGTGAACGCAGCGTGCCCGCCGCCCGCAAAATCCGCAAGGATGTTGCCCGGCGGGGAGGGTGGAGCGTTGCGTGCGCCGAGCATACTCAGCACCCCGGACACGGCAACGTAGTTGATATCGTGGCCCGCCATGGCGGAGTATTTACCATCTCGGCGGAAGCCCGTCAGTCGGACGACGATGAGGCGTGGGTTCTTCTTGAGCAGGACAGTCTGTGGATCGAGGCCGAGCTTCTCCAGAACGCCTGGGCGGAAAGGGTCGATGAGCACGTCGGTCGTAGGGATCAGGGAGAGGAAGAGCTCGCGCGAGGCAGGGTTCTTGAGGTCGAGGGCGATGGAGGCTTTGTGTGAGGTGAGCAGGTCGCTGCTGGGAGGGCCCGGGCGGTCGATGCGGAGGACAGAGGCACCCCAGTCGGCGAGAAGGAGGCCGCAGAACGGGCCTACAGGAACAGTGATTAGCAAGGTGTGCACTGGATTGATCAACTTCGGCAGGGAGCAGAATATACCGGGAGCAAGACCGCCGAGTTCGAGGACGCGGAGTCCCGACAATGGGGGTTTGGGAGCCATGCTTGCACTGGTTTGTCGAGGTGGGCTAGACTTCAGGTTCTTCAGGATTAGACACCAGAGGCATCAGCAATAAGATGTGAACTACATAACTTCCCAAATAGAGTCGGCTTGAAGCTCGAGATGCTGGCTGCGCCGATGCAAGCGGCATTCAATCGACAGCAGCAAACCGAACGGGCCGAGGTCAATGGCAACAATGTGCGGAGAAGATACAGCGAGATACGGCGAAGTTTAGCCGGCTATCCTTCTCCAGCTCCTCTATCGATGTGTTCTCAAACCTCTTCTTTGACAATCACCTTTCCAAGGTATAACTTCTCCCCTAGGTAGTTTGGCCAAGGGTTTCTCGCTCTCGCCATTTGTCACGAAACAGCTTCGTCCCCTCAAACCGGAAGATACTGCCGCCACCTTTCGCCATGACCAACGTCGCTCCTCAGGCTGTTGCCTCGGCCAGTATCTCCGTGAGATCCCTTTCTCTTCTAACTTTGAGACCAAGGTGACGTCGGTGTCCTGAATCATCCTGAAGGTTGGTTTACGACCCAAACAATGAGAAGACTTGGCAAGGAAAAGCATGGAGCATCTCGAAGCTTTCTGGAAGATGTCCGCTAAATCAGCCAGCAGAAGTGAGGGCGATCGCGAGGCTCGATGACGAACGCCGATCGAGGATACCGGCGCGTCAAACGCGGTATATGATGTAGTTGTTGCAGAATCACGGTTCCACGACGGAATTATAAAGTACACCTGGAAACCAAGCCGAGTGTGGCTTTTCTGTTGTGTATTTCTATTGATGACGGGTAGGTGGATGCACAAGGTCTAGATCCACATGTCAGTAACCTGCATGTTACAAAGAGAACTGCACGTCAGATGCTATCGTATACGGTAATATCAGAAGATGCTTCCGTTGGAAGTGGATGATGCGTGGAAGGAGGACTCGTGATGTCTTGAAGCCACGAATAGATGTCGTGAGCATGAGATACATAGCCTGGAGGACCACGAATGTGAGACATGATGGCATGCTCGGAGAGAGGTAAATGAAGCTCAGCCATCCAACTGGGGCCTATGCTGGCCCACAGCCTTGCGCAGTGTTGGCAGAACCCAATGCACTGCTGACGGCACTTAACAGGTGGTGCTCGGTGGTGCTCTGTCCGTTCGAGTAGCACCAATCGCCTGAGCACGACGACTGTGGTACCAGTTGCATAAGGTATATGTACCTAGGTAATATTCTTATAAGTTCTCCGTACTGTGAAGAAATTCATGTGCATCTGAGGTGGGTGTGAGGAAATAAATCCTTATCAAATGGTGGATGATGTGGGCCAGGAACATCCGAGTCTGCTCCAGCCAATCGAAATAACACGGGACCTTTCGAGTGGATTGTTCGGCGAGGCCGGAAGACCAGAAGGGGAATAGCGTCGCCTGCGCATTTTCCACCCTTTAAAATCACCGCAGTTTTGTCGTTGCAACGTTTCCATCTTTCTCTCGCACGGGCGCCTCCTTCCAACAATATTATTAGAACTATGGATCTATGGAGCAACTACTGCACTGCTCGGACCCATCACACCGAACAAAGACACGGATTCATCCCAACTCTGACGCGTAAAGGCCACAGTCGATGCTGACTCCCTGGATGCTCCCTTTAATCTTACTTTTTCACCAACACCACGCACGCCACTTCCCAATGGAAAAAAAATCTGCTCCTTAGCAATCATGATGGCGATATTGAAACATCTCCATGATGTGTCAGCCTTATCCTGCTGGAGCCTTTTCCCAGGATGAATTCCCTATGCCTTGTCTCTTCCTTGTTATCGCCTTCTGGTCCACTTTTCCCTGTCGCCGCGCACATGCAAAGGCAGATATCAGAATCTTCGAATCTAGTCTCTTGCCAGCTGTCCGTGCCAATCTACTTGACACTTTGGGGTGTTGCTTGCCTCCACCACGTGCAAATCATGCAAAAAGCTAGGTCTTTATCGACAGGGAGCACGCCATTCATTTGATATGAGCTCACTCCATATTCCAGAAGTTCCGTGCTCTTATGACTCTTTTGTGGCTTTTTGAATCTTCACCTCTCCTCGTCGCCCCCAAACCTTCTTTCAACCTCCTAGCAAGCACTCCTTACCTGTTGAGGGCGTGATTCCGAATCCTCACTGCAACTACTCCGTGTCCTTCGTCGAATCTCATTTTCCCCGGTCCCGAAGTCGATGTGATTGCTGGAATCCTCACATGAACCGCGACCATATGGCCGACGGACACCATCTCGCGCCCGAATCCGAGAGCAGCAGCAACAATACCAGTTCTAATCCAAGCCGATCACACAGTCTCCGCGGGAAGAATGCACAGAAAGCTTTTCACAAAGTCAAATTTATGACAGATGCTCATGGGGAGGAGGACGATGCCGCACAGCTAGAGAACCGTCGCAGGAGGAGTATCCCCGAGATACGACTTGCAGAGTCAGAAGATGTCGCCGACAATCCCATCAGCCCACCCCCTTCAGATTATGTAGGACGGACAAATGCTGCTGCTGCTCTGGCACAGAGCCGTGCCAGCCGACTAGCCCAAAGATTGAGCAACTCACATGTCGGCGCTGGCAAGTCGAACTCCGGGTCGAACACTCCTCTGATGGGAAATCAACAAGGTATGATATGATCACTTGTTCATTCTGGGCCAGGAATAGCTTTCAATAGTTCTCCGAGTCAACAAATCAGCAACTTCTGAGAAACCCGTTCTAACGACGCTATGACCAGGTTATGCATCACCCAACACTTCTCCGCCGACTAAGCCACTGCGCGACTGGCTTGTTAACATTGACGACATCCCAATGGCCACCCTTGATAAGGACAAAAGGCCATATACGATACACGACACGACGACCGATGATGACGATTCCGATATCGAGAAACCCAAACCCCTCAAGCGCGATGATGAAAATGTCGCAGAAGCAAGACGTCTTCTTAGGACATTGACCAACGGCCACACCCACGGCCATCATGACTCGAGATGGCAGGCTCAACCAAGGTGAATACCAGAATTGCATTGTCACTTGCTAGGACCTCTCCCTAACATATGCATAGGTCAGGCACAGAAACGCCGGCCGTTGATAAAAATTTGCACGACGTGGATTACGTCCCGCCTCCCGATGACTATCGTCCCGGCGTCTTCGGCGCCATTCTTTCTTCCAAGCTTGCTGACCTGCAACGTGGTGGTGTCACTCATCCGAAATACCAGGACGACATCTTCTCACACGAGGATGGCAGGAATGGCCCAAGAGATAGCCTCCCTGACCATTCTCGAGCAAATTCGGATACGTATGACTCCTCCCGCGCGTCTTCGGGCGGGGCGACTCCTTCAGGCAGATTGACTCCCTCTAAAAGACCCAAGTGGTACGACAAATCTGCGAATCATTCCATGACATCAATGGCCACCCTGGTAGCATCTGCATCCGCAGCCTCAGCAGCACCTGCAGTCCCAGGGACTAGCGCTCACGTCCCACGGCCGCAACGGCCACACCTACCCCGTTCAAAATCATCCAGCAGCATGATAGCCACTGCTGTGGACATGATCAAACACCCAGGAAATGTAAGTTATCTTCATCCTGTGCTTTCCAAGAAGGGCTGGACTCTGTGTGATAAGAAATGCTCCTATCAGACGATGCCTTTTCTGTTGCAACAGTCGCTATTCTGCCGAAGCATATAACTGACGAACAGCAGCACTTCAACCATAAATCCGAACAGATACTACGAGCCGAAGAAGAACGCGTCATCCACGACGTAGCCGAGATCATTGCCTGCCGCAAGTACCTCAAGAAACTTGCTCGATGTTTGATGGCCGTGGGCGCCCCTTCTCATCGTCTCGAAGAGTACATGAAAACTTCGGCACGAGCCTTGGGCATCGACGGCGACTTCCTGTATCTGCCAGGGTCCATGCTGGTCTCGATCAACGACAGAGTTACTATGAGCACCGAGGTCACCTTGGTCCGAGAAACGCAGAACGTCGATCTCGGAAAATTCAAGGACGTCTTCGAGGTGTACAAATGTGTGATTCATGGGAAATTGACTGCGCAAGAGGGCCTCGACGAGCTCGAAGACATTTTGAGGAGTCCTAAACGAATCAGGACGATTTTCCAGATTCTGGCGTTCGGCATTGCCGCCATCTCAGTTGGACCGTTTGCTTTCTCTGCCCGGCCTGTCGACTTTGGGCCAAGTTTTATCCTTGGTTGCACATTGGGCTTCTTACAGCTTGTCGTGGTAACCCGTTCATCACAGTTCTCACACGTCTTCGAGGTGCTGGCCACCGTCATCATATCTTTCGCCGCTCGGGGTCTAGGCTCGATTTATCACAACGGCCACCCTGTTTTCTGCTTTTCCGCAATCGCCCAGAGCAGTATTGCATTGATCCTGCCTGGATACACGGTACTCTGTGCAGCTCTGGAGTTGCAAAGCAAGAACCTCGTTGCCGGTTCTGTGAGAATGGTTTACGCAATCATCTACTCATTGTTTCTTGGGTTCGGAATTTTGATCGGGACAGTATTAATGGGTAAGTTGTATTCCGAGCCTGCCAACATGGGATCTGGCCCATCCTGATATGAGGACGCTTGCCACGAGTTTCATTTCTTGCCACCACAAGTTTGATGGCGCGGAATCGCGAGATGGGACTCGTGAGACGGCAACCTCCTTAGTCAGGCCGTGTCATTTCTTGACAACCGCCCGCTCTATTCCTCTTTTCTTGTCTGGTTGTTAACACACTATGCAGGAGTCATGTATGAGGGCGCTCAAAGCTCCGTGACTTGCGACACGCCTGACTGGTGGGATACGAGCGTGCCCAGCTACAAGCTGATCTATGTCAAGTTCATATGGGTGCCCATAGTAAGTCCGACCTTGCATATTTCGACGTCCTGGCCGTCATGAAATACTCGGTCTTCCTGGATCCATACTGACGCTTTCACAGTTTGCTGTCTGCTTAGCGATCATCAACCAAGCGAAATGGCGCCAAGTGCCCGTCATGACTCTTATTGCCATGGCGGGTTATCAAGCGAACTTCTGGGTGTCTCAACACCTGTCAAACAACATCCAAGTCGCCAATGCCATCGGCGCCTTCGTGATCGGATGCATGGCGAACTTGTACAGCCGATTTTTCCGCGGCCTCGCCGCTGCAGCCATGTTGCCCGCCATCTTCGTCCAGGTGCCCTCGGGCCTTGCGGCGAGCGGGAGTCTCGTAGCCGGAATCACGAGCGCAAATCAAATCACACACAATGCCACGGGGATCAGCGTCATCAACAACGGCACGGCAGGTTTCCAGCAAGCACAGGACAGCTCCACTACAGTATATTCCGGGACGATATTCAACGTCGGGTACGGGATGGTGCAGATTGCCATTGGGATTAGCGTTGGATTGTACTTGAGCGCGTTGGTCGTTTATCCCATTGGGAAGAGGAGGAGCGGACTGTTTAGTTTTTGAGCGAGCTGCATAAGCGAAGAGTGCCCGCTACGAGTACTTGGTCTCTCTTGATCCACTACGATAGAGGAGACTAATACGAGTACTCCGTATTGATGAAGATCTTGACCTTTTGCCCCAAGGATACGTCCTGTAGTTCGACACAAGAGGATGTACGTGCGTGATTCATGAACGCTGACGAGCGACGACAAACAAAAGCCTGCAGCTAAACCAGCTATCGTACGAGTAGGATTCTTGACTAGTTTACCTGGTTGGTCACCTCAAGAAGGACTCGCGGTATCAGGCCGGGCGACTCAACGACGGAGTACTAAGCTTCCTGTAGTGTCTGGGGTAGCTTCTAGTGCTTTTGTAGGCAGCTCGGCTGCCGAAATTCTTCACAAATCTCTAGTAGTCGTAGTCGAGTATTCAAACAGGACACGTGCGGCTGCTTGTGCCGTCTACTTGTCCAGAGCGCGCGCATAACCTACAAGTACCGGAAGGATGCTCGGTACTTTATCGACAGGGGGCAAGAATGGCGGTCAATAAGGTCCTTCAGAGTGGCGGTCAACGAGGTGCAAGTATTTGTAACTGGTACTACGCACGACATACGGTACTCCAAGCACGCTTGGACGTGGTCGCCTCAAATCTGGCTGATGTGCGCTGATGTGCCGGACCAAGGCCACTAGGCCCCATCATGCCCTGATTTTCCGCCCATCAAATACACGGATATCACGGCCGGGGACGGATGGCTGGCTTGCTGGAAGAACATATCCTGAGCGTCACCCAGAGCGTGGGGTGTAGCCAAGGCTGGTGAGGCTCACTAAGGCCAACATTGCAGTCAAGTTTGCCAATTGTTGAGACTCGGCATGCGTACGATGGTACTCCGTAGGATTCGAACCTACATGCACCGTGTACCATACCAGGTATCTAAGGTAGTTACTAAGGTAGTAGGGTATCCCTCTGCGAGATGCGCTTTACTATTCCGGCCGTGGCTTCAAACAAAAGGATACTGGGAAAGAACTTAAATAGCTGGCTGTGCCTTTGATTACTGCGTCAAGGGCAACAGATCATACATGTACCCATAGTAGGCATGTATCGTCGGTCCAAGAGGCCGAGCATCCCGAGCTATCGACAGTTGCGTACACAGCACAGCCAAGCACGCAAGACCTAAGCGAGCCTCATGATCGTCGCCTGGTAATCTCGTTTTCGTATTCCTTCTTGACCAGGGTTTCGCCCTGATCTGTTGCTTCTCCAGATGATCGACCCTTGAGCAACTGCAACTGCGTCATGCTCGCCTATTCCCCATACATTGTGCAAAGCACGCATTTTCCAGTTCTGATGTCAAAGCCATTCCTTTCCTGAAAGATGGCGTTTGAACCGTTCGAAAGATTCGACCTGGGTATCCGTGTGAGCCCTGCCCTTAGGCGGTCAACTGTATTGACGTCGAGCAATCTTGTTCTCATAGCTGTAACATTCACTGCATGTTTCGAGGCTCGAACCTGGCGCTCCACGCACAGCGTCCTCATGTCCTTCATCGTTGCTCTGCGCCATTGAATCTCGTATTGCCATTAGATTATCGCTTGTTCCAAGAAAACATTTCATCCCAGATTAACCCTCATTAGTCCTCAATGTCGGGATTTGCCACAAACAACCGAACACCAGCACCCATGCTCATTGTCCGTTCATCCACACTGCCTCGCCGCCGTAGATCTTCAGCCTGCTTTGCGTGGTCCAGAGCTCTCTGTACGGAACTTGGTCCGGAGAGGTCTTTTAATTCACCAAAGGAGTCTTCATCGTCGTTGTCGTGGCTCTTTCGTGCCGGTGTCCCTAATTCTGAATCTTCAGGTATACCTCGACTGGGTGAGGCCTCGCCACTCGGAGGTGTGCTCGTAGTGCTGAAGCGACCTTGGTCGGGTCTGGGATATCCGCTTCGGTATTTGGCACTGTTTGTGCTGCTTCTGCCACTTCCTGTTCGAGCATGCCTCATGCTATTGTCGCCTAGACTCTGGCCCTCTTCCTCATCACCCAGCATTTCGTTGGCACTGAGCCGCAGGGGTACTGAGGCCCCATTCAGGTTGGCCGGAACATAGCCCGGGGCTTTGGGCACACCACCGTGTCTGATTTTGCCCACAACTCCACCGGAGCTTAGAGTGCTGGTTCGTCCCGAGTTGTTCACGGCTTGGACCTCGAGTGCAGCTCTTTGTTTGGCAGCCTTGTGTGCGGCTGCTAATCTGGGATCGATGTTTTGTGATCGGTCGCACCAAACTGTAGCTTTTTGTTTTCGCATCAATGTCACATATGAGGTGGGGCTGTCGGTGGAGGTCGAGCGTCCTGAAGTAGATCGTCGAGGTATGCTGTTGGCTGATGCTGTTGTGCTGTGTCTGTGCATATTCATGTTTTGTGAAGTAGAGGTAGAGGATTGGCGAGAGTGAGAAGAGGACGGAAAGCGGGAGTGACCCGAGGTCGGGTGCGTGGCAGGAGAAGAGGAGGGATTTCGCAGAGTCGCGGCAGGAATGGTGGTGGAGGAGATGGTCCGAGAGTGTTTATGGTTGCTAATCCCAGGCGCAGTTGCCAGCTGAGGATTTGTCGTCAAAGTGTATGACTTTCGATCCGGTCGGGTGGAAGAGCCCGGAGGCGGCGAATGGGCGGGATGAGGAGGTAAGGTGGAATTAGGAGGATGAGAGCGTGGGTAATCGTAGGAGAGAGTAGGATCTGGGATAGTAGTTATCCCAGACACTGTCAGAACGCTCATTGAGTTGTTGTGTGCAGAGATAACGGGAAAGCTGAAGCTGGAAGGCGCACAGAGGGCTGAAGGCCTTTGTTTGAGTTCCCGTCAGTGTCAGTGGTGGGGATTCGGATTCCCAGCTGCGAGTCAGTGCTCACTGCGTATCATTGGCTACTAGCCGTAGATCCGACGCAGAGATTGATCGTCGTTGAAGCCTTTTCCGCTTCGTGAATCTGGGAAATACTAGTATGTTGAGGAAGAGAGGCAGAGAGAAGGACGTCCGGCAGCAGCGGTGTGAGAAATATCAAGTTAGGCTGGACTGAGGAGAGCAGGATCGGAGTTGAAGCAGTGTGCGCCGCAGATGGTAGCGAGATGATGTAGCGTCTTGTCGAGTTGTCTCGTCTCGTATGATCACTAACCCCTCCTCACTTCAGGATCCGGGGGCGGACATTTGCTAAGTATAAATGAAAGCTTCAGGAAAAGATGGCAGTGGTGGGCCAATGACGATTAGACAGGGCGTCAACCAAGTCCGAGCGGGAGGTGAGCGGATAAGTAGGCGTGGAAGAGGCAGTGGAGGAGACGAAGCAGCCTTGCAGGAGAGCAGGCTTGTACTCGTAGAATGGAAGGGCAACGACCCAAGTAGGTATCGTCCCGGATTTCCAGGCGCTTTTCTAGGCCTAGTGAGCCTCTTACGGTTACCAGGAGATGAGGGTGACAGGATTCAAGCAAGGATCGGATGGATCAGAGACAAGGATTCAATAAAGTGATGATGCGGCTGATACGGAGTACTAGTACACAATACCTACTTACCAAAAGTAAGGTACTTAGCAAACCAAGGGAACAATCTGCAGACACATCGCGGCTGGAGTGTAACTATGGAGTATTCACTTCCTCATCACTCCGTACAGTACTTGTGAGTACCATGATGCTCATGCCATGTCACCCAGGTGCATGTTACAGTCCCAAATCCCAAATCCCCATTAATGTTGCGACCCGAGCGCATCTCCAGCCCAAAACTCAAAAGGACCGGCACAGGCCAAGAGAGAATTTGGCTGATCCATGGCCTGTGAGTGCCTGTGATTAGGCGATGATCAATCCACCGTGGTACCTCGTAGGCGAGCTGAACATCCACTCGGTGTCACCCAAGCCCAACGCGCCCAGGGCCATGGCTCAATTTGGCCGCCCCAAAAGCCTTACAGCCACTCATAAAAAAATCCTTTACCATAGTAGGTTCTAATTGCTGAATCGGGATCAATACCTTTGGTTACCAGGTAATGCTGGTGATACTGTGGTATGCCCACCACGGGAGACCTCGTGCTTAAAGTATGTCTTCATTCCCTTCTCGTTCCTCTCGGTACCCTACATGTCCATTCAATGATCTGAGAGGACTCCGGGCCGATCGAAACCGTCAGACGGACTTCTGCATGCAATGACAAACCAACCGCCTGCACGCATCTCCTGACGGTGGTATCATTTTGGGGTGCTTGCTGTCCACTGCTGTCTTACTCGGCGGCAACTCCGGCACCTAAAGAATCGGACGACGAGCTGTCGGTTCTCCACGTTGACGGGATGACCATGCGGATACTCCGTACGGGCACGTCAAGAAACGCACGGCCGACAGATGGTTGGAAGTCAGGTCAAGCAATCGAGATCTCTCGCGAGGTATCTGGACAGCTCTGGAGCACAAAAGTGGTTCAGCATATCGTTGCTACGTCACAAACGTTTCAGATGTGGTCTCCATTCAACAAACACTGTCCTCCACAACCGTTTCCACTCGTGCTACAAATTTCCGAGCCTCTTTTGTACGAACAAATAATACCAGCTGGACGTCGTGGTCGTCTAACTTTTCGGCCACGGCCAAGGTGCAGATCCCGCCTCAAGCGCCCGTTCACCGCCAACAGGTTTCTTATCGCTCGAGAGGCCTTCGTGTCGGTTCGGCATCAAGGGTGAGTTGATCCTGTCACCCACCTGTCGGACAAATCGTCATCTCTCGGCAAACGCTTCTCAGATGCTAGCGAGAACCAAGTTTTGATTTTTCTCATGGCTTCAAGAAGCGAGGCGGAGGACGAATCCGGAGTATATCTCTGGCAGCTTACCTTAGCCGAAGCCCCTGATAAGTCCTGGGCCTGAAAACCATGGTCGCATTCACAGACACAAACCGAACAAGTCGACTAATCAAGTATCTCAAGCAGCGTTGGCTCAGCCTTGGACTAGCAATCGCTTCTCTCATTCCCGAATCGCTGGACAGCAGGACAGCAATTGCATCATTGCCAGCCTCGTCGCCCGCATGTCCAATCCCGGTCAGGACTCTTGTTGAGAGTAAAAGCTGGTCCTAGAGGGCATTGAGTGCAACGAGTAGTGTATTCTGCAGTAAGTTATATCTGTCGGATGAGGGCGGCAACAATTCGTTTCGTAAAATGTCAAAGACGCCCGACACGGCTTCGAGAACGGTCAGAGTTACAGAGCAAAAACTGGGACTGAATTGGACTGGAGTCAGTGCTTACCTGCAAGCGTTCTGAGGTGACGCAGTCGCTCGACACCACTAACCATGACCACTGAATATCACGAGATTAAACAGAGCAAGACCGCCCACAACACTCGCAGAAGCTCAGTGATACGCACGTTGTCACTTCGACTGGGCAAATGTCGGTTGATGAATTGAAATTTCTCTGGGAAAGTCGCAGGACGAATGACTTTTCATGCTTTTCAGGGAATTATTGCTTGTTACTACCGACCAATGGCAAGCGCATCAACACGGGAGGTCGGTACGTACCTGCCTTTGGGGTGCACAGAAACGTTTCAAAGGGTATTTGACGGAAAGCACCAGATTTGAGAAAGCCGTTGCAGTTTGCCAGCGCATCATGCGTGAGTCGTGGGTCCAAGCAGAAGCGGCAAAGAAGTGGCGTTGTCGGCGAGCCGGTGAGCTTCCGAGAGACACATGGCTGAAGATCTTCGGTTTTCGAGATCGTTAAGGACTTCGAAAAGTCGTCCGCTGTCCACTCAGAGTCATTCTTTCGCGAATTGACGTGGCCCCTTCTCCGACTTTGTACGGCGGTAGGCGAAGGGGACCATTTTCTGCAACATTGGCGCGATGCTGGTAACGCTAAGGGAGGGTACTTTCTGCTCCCACCAAGAGCACGTATAAATGTGCGGAATTGCCAGACCACAGGATCCTATTGTCGGATATTGACTGTTCACCGCATGAGTTGGCGCCACCCTGTCGGGAAGGAGCAGCTGCTGAAGGCGCATCATACCATTTGTTGTCCGCGCTGTGCCACTCAAGGGCGGTGGTCGAGTTGTCGCCACCAGACCTGAGAATCTGGGGATTCAGCCGTGGCCTGTTGCGCACCGCCAGTCTGTCGAGGAAGCTCTAGGAATAACGGGCCGGGGCGCATCGACTGTACTAAGATGCGGCGCAACCTCGACAATGAGTGGCTCAAGGGGCGCTGAGCTTATGTCAAAGGGCCTGTTTAACATCGACTAATGCAGCCTGCATATGCATTCGTTGGCAACAACGTCGTCAGGGCCTGCAAGTCATCCGTCGATGCGCTGTGCTTTGTTCGACTCTCTGTGCGTGATGTTGCGCTGTACCCGTAGTATTTGTGCCCCAACGGAGAAAGGGTCTTGTTCACTCTACGCGCCCGCGATGGATGTCGTTGTCGTTGCTGGACCCGGCATTTTCTTCGTGTAAATATACCTTGATTGTTTTTGAAAGAGGCTACAAATCTGGCGGCTTTTTAGGTACAAGCCGTCAAGCGAGAAACCTCCCCCGCATCGTGCACGCCTCAAGCCTTAAGCCTCAAACATTTATCGACTATTGCCTTTGCCTTGCTCAAAGCGAACCAGAAACCGGTCGTCTCTGAGACTCCGGTTCCTACGATCGACGGTCCTGCCGCAGTTGTACTCGACTGCACATTCACAGGCGCTTTTTCCGAGTCACAGCAGCTTTCAACCAATTCCCGTGCCCGGTGGACGCAAATCCCACTCACTCCACGACTATCCAGGCCCGATCTCCTCCCACGCCTCACTTCTGCAGCATCTCCAAGCTGCCAATGTGAAAGATCTACGAGACCTTATCTCCTCCCCGATAAATTCTGGCAGCATATGAGTCCTCCGACGGCGAAAGCTGGAATGGAAGTCGCTGTCGTATGACAATCCCAACTGGCGTTGCCAGTCTCAAGGAAGGTCAAGGTCCGTCACAGCAATCTTCTGTTTGCTCTGCATCCGCAGGCAGACTGCTGATCCATTGTCAATCCAGAACGATCGTTCTTCCCTCGACCGCCGTCCCCTTCTCACCATGCAAATGACGATGCGAAATCTATGTCACGCCCTGGACATTCAGAGAGCACCTCGCAGGGTTTCCCGCAGGTTCCAAGCTCGTCTCAGGGGAATACTGGTAAATATGTCCAAACGACCAGGCGATACGAGGAGCAGTCTTCTCCGGAGTCGCAGTTAAAGACTGGCCAAAGATCCACAAGCGCCATGAGCGAGCATGGTCAAGACGTGAATACACGCAGCCGCGAGATACCGTTTGCGCACATGCGTGTGCATTTCGAAGAGTTCGCGAACCAGCTGCGCCTGCACCGGCACCAGGAACATCGAAAACGCATGCTTTTCCATCGACGCTACCGACTCCGAAATGCGGTAGCTTTGTCTTCACGCTTACACCGAGTGGGATCCTGGCTTCACGATGGGCTTGTGGCAATTTCTCGTCAGTCAGATGCAAATGGCTTTTCAAGAGTACACCAGCACGTGCAAGATTTGGCGGACTCATGCTTCTCTCAATGGACCCATGAGATCACTGCCCACGACGCAATTCCTACAACGAAGCTGCCAATCAAGGAGTCCTTCATGTCAAAATTGCCGGTGTCTTGCCAGGACGATTGTATCGAGCTGATCCAGACACTACGAAGTAACCCTCGTTTTCTAGTGGAGCGATTTAAAGGAATGTCCCCCGCGCAACTATCGGCTCTATCAACATTCCCCAAGTACCAGGAGCTTTCAGAATCCGTGTTAACGTCTTTGTCTCAAAACCGCGGTAGAGGTTCCCAGAAACGGCGGATCAAGGCCTACTCAAAAGGGCTTGAAGACTATGCAACGTCTTTTGAGCGGACAAATCCCTTGTCCTTTCTAATACACAATATCTACGGGCCATTCCAGGCCATCCAAAGCAAAGAAAGCCGATTACGGCTTGCTACTTGGTCCACCATCTGCTCAACCTTGATGGTCGAGTCTAAACCAGGCTTCGACGCCCTGATCGGTCAATTGCTCGGCGCCTTTGCGAACATGTACGACTGGGAGATTAAACCCCGACTCGAATTGTATTTGATGAGCATCTTGCAGCGAGGCGCATTTCTGCTTGACATGGTCGAGAATCCTGTTGCGACTTTTCAGCCTGAACAAAATCTCTTCGATCCTCTTGGTACACAGGAGGCCCAGAAGTTCTTCCAGGAAGCAGTACAGGAGCTCTTTGAAATCCTGGCTTGTGATGGAGGTCTACCCCTGGGTGCCCTTGCCCTGGGACGTGCCATAATCGGAAAACTGCCGACCGTGGAACTTCAGAGTCAGTTTCGCGGTCATTTCTTCTTCCAATGGTTTCTTCAGGACTTTCTCCGAGTTGTCATTGCATATCCTGAGGTAAACACTTCTTACGGCACAGTTGCCCCGTTGCTGACTGTCGAAAGGATGAAAAGTTACTGCACCAGTTCCACGTTAGTGACAAGGCACGGACGTATCTGCTGCATATCATTTGGAATCGTGCTTATACCAGGGCGAGGGAGGTGTTCAATCCAGCGTACTGTTTCCCTTTCAATTGTCTAACAACCAACTAATCTTCTTGTAGGCGCCCCGAAGCGATAGACCCAGGTACAGAAAGCTGTGTATTGACAATGATCAACAGACTGGATGCCGACCATCAGTGTCTTGACCCATATAAAGCTACGACTTCTCCCACAGCTCCGTCGTGTGCAGCATTCCTCTCCATCTGTGCTGCAGATATCGTCCACATCCTCGAAGCTTTGAGTCCACAGTACATACACACCTCAAGCCCATGGGACACCTTTTTGAGTTCATCCCATTCCACCTTCAGTATGCAATACGGCCGTGCCAGCAGCAGATTCGACAAACTCCGACGGCGCATCCTAGATGTTATTGAACCCGGTCATTCCTCCAAAAATATACATCCCTGCCAGGAGAGCTGGGCCTCGATCTTAGTCTGGGCTGAGGGGACCCTTTCATTACCCGCTTCAGAGCCGTCTGACAGGCTACCGACAGGGATCGCCAGTCTAGGAGATCTTGATCTTGCCGAACAAGCTGCACTTCGTCTCATCGAGGAAGATTCATCACCAGCTGATCAACGACGATCCGGACCAGTCCCTGTTGAAAAAGCCAGAGGGGCTAGTTTATCGAAAATGTTCGCAGACGAAGCTAGAATTGCTCTCATCGGAACCGACAGCATAACCTCGATGTATTGGCAGGACGCATTGTCATACCTGCGGCGCCATTATCCGCTGACCGTGCTGACGGATGACGACACGGTGATTCTGGGACCGATGACTGGGCGGTTGAAGGTTGGTCAAGTGAAGTTAGGAGACGAATGCGTCTGGATTGAGCAGGAAGTCGCTCAGTTGGAAACTTCATATGAAATTGCAAGGTCCAAAGTGTCTCACCTGTCCTCTTGGCTGGAGAAGCTCCGAGTCAAGCTTTGGTATAGAATGTACGTTGTAAGTTCCGATGCATACGACGACGCAAAGAACATTTCTGCGGCGCTGAACAATATGGCACTGGCAGTGCTACAGGGAAGTGCCCCTGTTCAAGGAGGAGAACAGCTGTCAGAACCTAGTCGACTGGGGACACCCGGTACTTCGACCTCATCACTCTTTGAACAGCAAAGAGTCGACGCCATGAGCATCTTGAAAGCACCAGTCGAGCATGGAGGTCCCAAAAAGCTTTCGGATCCACAGATTGAAATGACCAAGAAATGGCTCGAACGCACCCACTTGGACAATTTCTGCAAAGGCGAAGAACGAATACATCGCTTCTGCATGGAGGTAAACATGGCTGTGCGAAAATTGGTCGGTGAGACACTCAGCGAAAGCCCCGTGCTCTGGTCAAACGAGCTATTTTCGAGAGAAAAGAATCTGTACGACGTCCATGCCGCCGGTCTTTTCAGTGTCCAGCCGAGTACTCGGGCTCCCAGCGTGTGGAGCGAGCCTCTTTCGTCGACGTCTTTTCCTTCGCGGTCGGGGTTTGGAGGCTCTAGGGCTTCCTTCTACAGTCAGGCCTCCGGTAAGCTCGGCAGTGATTTTGCATCTCTGATCAGTTCACCTGGCCGCGCAGCCACAGTGACCACTCTGGAGTCCGGCAGCGGTTTCTGGTCGGATCCCCAGTCCAATCCGCGATCCGTGACCTCAATTTCGTCACAATCGAGACCAGGATCGACTTTTGAGGATCCGGGCTTGAATCGTCTGACGGATCACAGTCAGGAGAAGGCAGCTTTTCTGGACAATCTTCAACATGACTTGACGTGCTTGTTGCTGTCTGACCTCGCCTGCCCCGTCTGGAGTTGTGGAAGCGAGACTGATGCCTGGATGGGTACGATACTACAAACCGCAAGCATTGTGGACCGGATCGGTCAACGATCTGTCATGGCACGGTTGTTATCGAGCGGGGAACCCCAAGTCCGATCGATAAATGTCAGGAGTAAGAGAATGAAAAACCGACGTAGCCACAGCACAGGCCCCGGCAGTCACCAGTCATCAACGGGAGCCATTCCCATGCCTGCGGATCCGATTGAAGATCTACTGAACAATGAGCGTCCCGAGCTCGAACCAAGCGGATTCTCATACCGACATGCCTTTGACGACGTGCTTATGCGAATCAGCGAGCATGTTGATCCAAATCTTAAGCTGGAAGCCATTCACGACTTTCTTATTCTGTCGAAGGCGTTCCAGCAGACTCATCCCAACCCGAATCAGGAGCAGTTGGTGACTCAGACGAATTCAGGAACTCCACGAAGGCAGAGTCTCAATCCAAGCATACTTTCTTCGAGCGTCAACCGCCGTGAGCAAGTCACGAAGAGCAGTGCCAGCGGCACCAATCTGGGCGGTAGCAGTGAAAGTGAGGTTGTGCAATTTCTAAAGAGGCTTCTGCTCGTGCTGCGACCGAGGACGATATTCCGAGACTTACAATACGTCGCGGCGTTTGTGTCGTCTGATACACTCAACGATACAGAGGTTGGCAGAGCATTCTTGCACGTCGGGCTCGCGGCGTTGGCCTGGAAAGACGAGGTGTGTCGGGCGATGGTGGATGTTGCCGATCGAATTGTGGCCAAAGATACGATCAAACGAAGCATTAGGCACAACGAGCGCAATGAACCGTCTATCCTCAAAGCGGCGGAATACTGGGTGGTTGCAGCACGGGAAGGCAACCCAATTGCCCAACGAGAATTGGCCAGTCTCTACCTGACTCACCCAGAAGTGCCGCCAATTATCAGTCTGCCACTGGCCCTTTCGTCCGACATTTTCAAGAACGATATGATGTGGGAGGAACAAGAGGAGACGCAGCGTGGCAGACAAGCGCTGTGTTTGGCACTGCATTGGATGCAGCAAGCGGCGGAGAATGGTGACGAATTGGCGCAAATGAAATTGCAGGAGCGCCGGTCAGGTCGTTCAGTTCGATGAAGAACAACTTTTCTGTATACCGAGAGACTTGTTCCTGTTTGCAAGTGGAGCGAAGGGCACCCTACCTCGTTTTCTGTTCCTTTTTGGGGGGGGGGGGGGGGGGGGGGGCAGATTTCGTTTTGGACATTGAAGTCATTACAGGCCGAGGGGCCCCGGAGTCTTATCTGTTTGGATTGATGTGACGACCACATTTGATACACGTGTACTTTGTATGTGGGTGGCAGACTGCTATTTGGAGGGATGAAGAGGACAATGCATGGAGGAAATTGGTGGGTGGGATGATGCGTCGAAAACAATATCTTGCCGTGTACTCCGTACCTGTATTCATTTACATCCATCTCGGTCGGCTACGAGTGTCACTCTCCCAGAGTACCATGGGTAGGTCGGATGGATCAGACATGTAAGTTACCCAAGCCTACAAACCTTGTATACACGTCCGGTCTCGAGTGCAGTGTATTCCAGCTCCTCTCAAGTGCCGTCAGCAGGGCATCTATTGTTTTATGTTGACGGTTTTCAGGCGATCGAGTCAGGATCGACATCATTGGTGAAGTGGGAGGGCTTGGAGGACCACGGACAGATCAGGTGGCACTGGAGATCTTGTGGACGAATCATGAACAAGGCAGGTCGATTCAGGCACATGTCCAGTGGCCGGGGTTGGTGTAGCACAACGTTAGGGGTCAGATGGCACCCAGCAGTTTGGACGGGCGAGATGACCTTTTGCACATGTCAGCCGTGGATCAGGATTGGTAGAAGAGCCATGATAATAGAATGTAGAATGAGAGTGGTGTTGAGTGTGTGTACGAGATACTGTGGTGTACTTAGTAAGACAGGCGCAGACACCTTGACATCCGCAAACACACCGAGAGAGATGAGAGAGTGACCAAGAGTGACCACGAGTGACGTAGGGAAGGAGTGGCGGTCTTGGCACGATTCAGCCATTCAGCCCACCCGAGCCACCTAGTTGCAGCCCATGATGAACAGATGAGCAGCTGGAGCAGATCGAGCATGAGCCATGATGAGCCCTCGGAAAGGCAGCCGTCGTGTCAGTAGTTGTAGTTGTACTTGTATATGTTGCCCGCTGGCTGCCTCTCTCGTTTGTTTCTGCACATGCCTCAAGCTTCGATGCTCACAAACTGACCACATCATAATAAACAAGACACCTCGTAACCTCTTCTGATCATCATCACTTCGTCGTCCGGGTAGCATCGACTCTTGCCCCTCAGATACCTCCCTCACCTCCCTCCATCCTCCATCCTCCATCCTCCATCCTTCAGCCTCTGTCCACAGTACTTTTACCCACTTTCTTTAGCTGGACTGGGTCACTGGGTATCCACCGTGTCCAAACGCTTTTTGTCCATCACTTCCACCACCACCGTTTGCTCTTACGGAGTAGGAGCTACTCAAGCAAGACTGCGACCTCATTGTTTGCTCGGCTAACTTGCCTACACTCTTGCCGACTATCCAGAGGCTCATCTTTGTTCTTCCTTGCTGCTCATCGCCCACGTCTCCAACTCTACAACCACGCCGGACTCTCACAACCGACCACCAATATCCTGCACACTACCTATTTCAGACGCCGTCAACATGCCCGTCGAAGTCCGTCACTCACCGCCGCCTTTGCACCACCCTAGTTCGGGTAATATTCGACCGAAAGGTGGGTTACAATTACAATGATCCAGCACACATGGGCCCTGGTACTGACCGTCACCAGGCATCCTGAAGAACCCCTCATTCTCCTCCGCCAGCGGTCGACCAGCCTCACCGATCAAAGAATCATTCCACTTTCCTCCTACTACACCTCTTGATCCCGAAGAAGAGAGGGAATTGACTCTGCAAAACACCCTACAAAATGCCGGTCACCGCCGTTCTTCGTCCGCTGCTAGACGCACTTCCGCATCTCGACGTCATTCCTCTGCTGTGTCCGGCGACCAGCAAGACGACCAGGAAAAGATGCGTTTGAAATGGGATGAAGCCAATTTGTACCTGGCCGAGCAAGAGTCGGGAGGGCGGATGAAAATCACGGAACCAAAGACTCCTTATCAGTACGGCGATGCCATGGAAGAAGACGATGAGGAAGATGTGGCTATCGACCCTCGTTTCGTTAACGTCGATGAAGTTGAAATGGCCAAGAACAAACCCGAAAAGAGACACAGTGAAAGCGACATCCCCGGACTGGAACTAGGTGAACCAGAGGACGAATACGCCGTCGCAACCGGACCAGAAGACGGCCGTATTGTGCGAGCGAGCAGCCTTTCGAGGGAGAGCAGCAAGGAAAAGCATGTTAGTGTCAGTGATGGCAGTGACGGAAATGGCTTTACGGAGCAAGTTGGCATGCCTACGAGAGAAGAACAAGAGAAGCATCGTCAATTTGAAGAGCGGAGAAAGAAGCACTACGAGATGAAGGATATCAAAGGCCTGTTGGGGTGAGCATTCTTTCTACAATGATTGCAGCCAAAGCACTAATGACCTGTACAGTCACCCTGAAGAACTGAATGGCGACGATGACGAAGATGCCCCATCTCCGACCTCCATGCCTCGGAATCTGCCCCAAAGATCCGTTAATGGCGCCCAATAGATGACACCGACTCAATCCTCGCCTAGGGGCTCGATATACCCATTTCTCGAATCAACAAATAAAGAGTTCTCTGGGCGTTGGTGTACATGCATTTGAGCATCGTCGTCATTACAATATCTGTCATACGACTCTCCAGTACAGACACAAAGTTCAACGGAGAATCTCATTTCCTTTGTTTGTCACGTCAATCAGCACGAATCGACCAGTTATTGCTATCGCCGCATGCACCAGAAATGAAATCGCTTTATCCATCTTACACATTGCACAAAATGCATCCGCGTTTGCTTTTTGCAATGCATGACCCCCCTGAGCATGACCTTTCATCTCGTTGTTACAACGACATTGCATCCGAGAACGCTTTTGATCTCACTTCGGAATTTCGTATTTTGTGGAGCAATTCCAGACTCCTGCAGCCTTTGGCTTAGGAGGAGGTCGGGAAGGAGAGGAGAGTTGTGACGGTTGAGGGATGACTGGAAGAGAGCTGTCCGCTATAGGTAATTGTCAATGACAAGCCTGCAGTCGACAAAGGACCGCGATTAATCAGTCTGAGGGACCTGATTCAGAAATTCTATCGCTCCAGCGAGAAGGAGATTGATCGGTCACATTGCGGCTGTGACAATCTGTAGATAGGGCCACCAGTCCAGGAAAAAGGCGAGAATGAGCATTCGTTCAGACTTATAAACCCATCTGCTCAAGTAGGCCGATTTTGGACAAGAGCATCCATTGCCGACACCCACCTCCATGCATGCCAGATCTTCTCTGAATCACGCTCGCATTTATGTGAGGGACTATGATGAACGTGCAGTACCTTCGATGTCGCTATGGCCGTCTACATTTCTCTTCGGCGTTATGTGGTCATTTGATCACACTCCAGGCTATCTCTTCTACCGCGATACTTAGCGATCTGTAGGTATTTCTGTGGTTCAGTATCCAAGGCTGGTGCTGGTAAGCCTTCCATCATTGTGCACAAACCTCCTTGAGACAATGGCAGACATCTGGTATAGATTCAGATATCAGTGCGTCGGCAACATGGTCTGTAGTCCACCCTTATCGACTATCAAGCACGACACCTCAAGGTCCACGTCGAGTTCGAAGTTGCATTCCACCCATCCACAGTTTGCCTAGAATCAGACTCTGCAAAATATCTTCCTTACACATGACCTTGACCTGAGCCTTGTCTTCTCCTGTCAATGTCTGTTGGCTCTTTAGCATTTTGGTCTTATTCCGGCCCTTCTGCGTTGACACCGATGTGGGTTGCGAGAAGAGGGCCTTTGCGCTGTCTACATCTCCATCGTCAACAAAGACATAGCTGACAGCATCATTTGCGTCAGTGCCTTGGTTTTCAACAGCCGCTTTGGCAGACGCCAGATCAGGAACCGACACGACATCTCCAGCGCCGAGAGCTCGAATGAAAAACAAGTATGCTTTTCGCGTCTCGTTGTCTTTGCCCAGAGCCACGACCGCGGAAGAGCCATTTAATATGGTCGGTCTTGAAGTGATCATGTCGGCTACTCTGGCTGAATTGGTGTGAGTAAGAGGCAAGGTCCTCGATCTGATAGCACCATCTAACTCTGCGCTTGCTCCGGCGGGTAAGAGGTACGTACTCCAGTCAACGAGCTCGTCTGCTTGGATGCATGCTTCGACCCATCTGCCATTCAGACAAGGGACGGCAAGGGCCAGCGCCTGCATGTATTTCGGTTTGCGAGAGTGACAATCTGTCAAGAGTGCGGTAAAAGACAGGTCGGCGAATTGTGGTTTCAATTCTATCGAATCCGTCTCGAGCAGGTCAGGAAATGAGTCCCGCAACACCAGGCCTCCCTCTTTCCGAATGTGACGTGCTAGTTTGTCTTTGCGCTTTTCGTCATACGAGATTGCGAACGCCATGTTCGTGAAGATTCCACCCGGCACATGGATCGAAGCGGACACCGCCGCAGCAGTAGCGCCTCTGCGATGCCGGGATTGTGGTGTGCTTGGTGTGGAACTTCGTCCGACAGGCGTTGAGACTCCCGAAAGTGACCCTTGCAGAGCCATTGCTTTGTGTTTGTAGCTTCTGTCCTTCATTTGCCCCCACATGTTGCTGTCCAAGTAGATCGAGGCTACAGGGACTTCTTGGACCGAATCTGTCGACAGATCTGCAGGGAGGCTCTTCCGCTGCTTTGGAGAAACGAGCAAATTCTTGTAGCCTCGTATATCAGTGATAGCTTGCGTCCCATCTTTTGCAGGGATTTTGTCGCTGAATGCTTTGATAACATAAGACACTTTAGGGAACCCCTGCATGTTGACCTTGACTAAATCCCCAATATGCAGGTCCAAACTGCGTATTCCGTGTTGGTCGATCTCTTCAGGGTCATATCCTTCCCATTGAACTCGGTATCTGCTTGATTCTGCATCCACAAGACCAAGACATCTTGCCGGATAATAAGCGCGAGTTTTGCCATTGAAGCACGCAAAGACCATGTTGGGAGCGACGGGCACATCGTCCGAGGAGGGTTGGACGATTGTGTTAGCTTCTTCCTCCACATTTTCTGGATGATGGGGAGGTCTATCAATAAGTCTGTCTTCAGTATTTTCGACTTCTGCAGGTATCGTCTTCGTCGAGGCGGCTTTCTTACTGCTCACTGTCCCTGTCTGAGTCGACCTTTTCTTGCTCGCTGGGCCATCAATATCCGCGGCCTTTCGCTTCAATACGGAAGTAGGTTTTGCTGGCACAGCCTTTTGCGGAGGGGATGCGTCAAGATCCCATTGAGAAGTTCGAGTCTGGGTAGACACGGCTGGAGGAGGTACTTTCGAGGCCTCCAGTATTTTCGCAGATGGCTTCCTCAAGCGCCGCGAATACGTCGGTGTCGTCACTTGGGTTACTGAGGGGTACTTCAAATGATTGCTGTTTGAGCGTGGACTGCTGGGGTCGTCCATGTTTGAAAGACTCTCATGTGGACCGGTTTGGCTGAGGTCGGACACGCGCTCTGCAAGAGTCTTTCCACCTTCTTCCTGCTGATCATCATGCATGCTTACTTGGTGGGCGACATCGATGACAGGCTTACAGATAAGTGGACCTCTCCTTTCAGGGCTTTGAAAGGCAGGGTCCAGCTGCAAGGCATCGTTCGCATTGAAGCTCAACTGAGACTTCAAGGGCGAGGGCTCGGCTGCAATCTCAGCCATACGTCTGCGTTTGCGGGTGGGCGTCGTGTCTGTCACGAGCGGCGTGCTCGTTTCAATGGCGTTCGGCCGTTCCACGTGTGCTGTGGGAGTTGGGATATGAGATTGGGCTGTCTCAAAGTCAACGCGACTGGTACTCTCTGGATCACCACGTTTATCGTCACTAGCTGATCTGGAGGCTGGGACTTGCTGCTCATTTGAGCTTGTCTCTGGAATGGTACTCTGAGGGGGCCGGCTACTTTGGATATTGGGAGGATTCGCACCGGAGGCACTAGGAGGAGACACAGGTGCATCTTGCAGGTTGCCACCCATGTTCGAAGTTTCGTCAATCTCCTCTGCTCGTGGGATTCCGGTTGTTGGCGCAGATGGGGTTGGGGATTGCGGTACAAAATCGAGACTTCCAGCAGCAGGAGTTGAGTTTGGCGCCTGACTAAGTTTCTGGAGTCGTCTCCGTGACTGTGAAGATTGAGAATCAGCCACTGCGAACGGCTGTGAACTGTGAAGCGGGTGAATATCACCACTTCTACGGCGCCCATGTCTTAGGGACGGACTATCCTCCAGCTGCGAGGGAGCACCGTTGGCAATACGAAACAGTCTCGCCGCCGTTTCAGGAACTTGGCTACCATTGTCGAGAAAGTTTTCCTTGTCCTCTTCATCTAGAGGGACTAACGCTTGACTAGAGCGGGCGACAGCTATCTCGACGGCATCCTCGTGGTCTGTTTCCTGTTCGCTATCATCGACCGGAATGGGAGAATTCGTCTTCGTCGGGCTTGATGCTTCTATGAACCTGGTAGTAGTACGTCGTGACAGAAGTCCAGGTGGTGAACTTCGACTTGGACTCCGGATCGGAGAAGACTTTGACATAGAGGGACCACGAAGAGGACGTCTCGAGGGCGAAGAAAGTCGCTGAATCTTTTCTTGTACCCGCCGGTCAATCTCCCGTCGCCGCCGGTACTTGACCACCGAGTCTGGTTCCTCACCGAAATCGTCATCGTCATCGTCATTTTCCTCGTCGAAGGCCTGCTGCTGTTCAAGTTGCGCTTGTCGTGCACGGGCGGCCAGCTCCTCTCTGACAGAAATATAACGTGAAGCTGGTTCAGTCGATGCTCTCTGAAAGGGGACGATCGGTTTCATGGGCGAGCTTGTAGCGGTCATGGGACGCGGCTGCAGCTCGATCTTTGGGGACGGTCGGTCGGACGGAAGATCACCGTGGACATTCTGTACGAAAGGCGAAGTGTCTGCTTGGGTTGCGGCAAAAGCCTGACTGAGTCCTATGACATTTGCCTGGTTATTTGTGCCATTGTGTAGCAGCGGATTGCGTGGTAACTCTGGGCTGTCAATCACATCGCTATTGAATTTTCTCTTTCTGCCTGCGGTTGCCGGCGTCTTGAAACGTTGAGACTCGGGAAACTGGGAAAGCGCATGCTGGCTCTGGGTAGGGGAGAAATCGACCGGATCTGAATCGAGTTCAATCGGGCCTTCCTTGCGTGTCACTAGGCTTGACAATAGATCGATGTGCCCCTCATCGCCTTCCTGAAGCGATAGTTGTGGTGACTCTTCCTCCACAACCTCCGTATCATCCTGCGCATGTTGTAATTGCCTCTCACTCCGGCTCCTATTCTGCAGCAAGATGGTATAATGGGACTGCGACAGCTCTTGTGTTGGTGCATCGCTACCCTGTCTGTTCATCTTCTGGGCCACAGTAACAGCTGTCTTGGGGGCGGTCGCGGGCCGGAGGGACTTGAGGGGACTCTCGACATTGGAAAGCTGCTGAGACTCGACAACGGTGCTGGCAAGTTCAGGTGCAGTATCTTTGCTTGGGGCCGGATCTGGGTTGGTTGATCTGATGGGAGACAGTTGGGCGAAAGCGTGCTTGATGGCGGTAAGTTGTTGTTGCGCGACGAGGCTGTGATTTGAGTCCGGCTGTTCATGGGTCGACTATGGCGCAACTAGCGTTCAGTATTTGGCGACGAACCAGGCATCGACGACCAGGGTGGTTTGTTTGCCACTCACCTCTAGACCATGAAGAACCGCAAACTTGATGCTTGATATGTCTATGCTCTCGCTCTCTGTATCGAGAAGTATCGGACCCTCCATGACATTATTCTCGTTACCCTGCTTGAAAAGGGAAAAATGTTGTACCAATGCATTGGGATATTGCTCGTGTCAAGATCGCTGGCGCGTGCGCGTGCCACTTTATTAGACGCGAACAAATGGATTTTGCGGGGCAGAAACCAACTCATGCACTAACCGTAACTGTATTGGCTTCACAAGGCTGTGGATTGGCAACACACGTGCACAGCCTCGCCTTCACCCTTTTCGCTAGCCACACTTCTTCTGCGCTGCTCTTTAGAGAATCACTTGTGATAGCACATTGCCCTGGTCACTTCGACTTATATGACTTGCCTCAGATATGCCGAAGACAATGAATCAGAATTAGACAAGGAAGTACTTTTACCTTTATGACTTTCTGCACTATTAACGTGAAACGTGTCAACGAGCTGCGATAACAAAAAGCTAGATATCCTGTCTCGTCTGCACCATTCACAAGACAGAATATGCAAGAGAACAATTCATTATATATGGTTGCACTCGATTTGCAGGTTTAGCAGGTATCTTTCCATTTTGCGTCACTCCAAAGGCACTACTGCCGATGAGAGTGGCTGGTTGCTGCACCTTGAAGCATTCACGAAATGGAAGATTGCAGTTATTGTCCTAGTAACCTGGTAACCAGAGCTGCAAACACCTTAGTCGACGTTGCAGACACTAAAGAGCTGCCATCGCTACTGGTTGGCGATTTCAACAAGTACCCAGATGGAACCCGTTCCCCACGTTTTCTTTCCCACGTCCAGGGTGACATCTTCGACTGTTCGGCTACACCGCTCCCTGCTTTAACGCGGAGCATTTCACGGCCTAACACTCTGAGGAGTTTCTAACAATGTCATTCCTCGGGAGCATTGAATCCCTGCACAGTCTCTTGTAGGAACACGGTTCTTTGCAGGAGCTGCCAAACAGTGATTTGAGATGGTCGACTTCAACTCGTCCCAAGTGACCATCCCAGACCACTTCGGCATTAATTTTACCTCGGTTGTGCACACGCATGCCGAAGGCCCAACACGGCCAGAGAACAACAAGGTCTCGTCGCCTTTTGTGGTCGTCGTCACCGGCGCGGGCAAAGGGCTGGGGTATCATATTGCTCTTGCGTGCGCTCGAGCCGGTGCCACGGGCCTATGTATTTCTAGTCGAACGCAGTCGAACCTTGATGCCCTCGAGAATGATTTGCGAAAACTCAATCCTGAGGTCGAGGTCCTGAAGCAAACATGTGATACAGCGGATCCGCAGGCCGTGAACGGGCTCGCAGAGGCAGTAGCTACCGTGTTCAGCGGCCGGTTGGATGTGGTCATCGCCAATGCAGGCGTGATAAGTCGGTACTTGTACGACACAGATGCTGAAACGGGTGAGCAGACGTATCGAAGGCTTCCCGTGTGCATCGTTGAGGACGATGATTTTGCCCGCGTCACGTCCATCAATTACCTGGGCAGCTACTATGTGGCCAAGTACTTCACGCCTGGATTGGTTTCCGGATCCAACCCGTCCGCGATCAGGGCGTATGGCGTCATAACGAGCACGGCGGCACCTTGCTACGACAGCAAGTTTGTGCCTACAGCGTACAATATAAGCAAATTAGCCAACGTGCGAATGGCGGAGTATATGCACAACGACCATGAAAGAAGTGGATTGCAGGCGTTTGCGGTCCATCCGGGAGCCGTACTCACGCCGCAGACCGAAAGGCATAGCACACGGGAGGGCGATGGGTGGGATACGCGTGAGTTTGCGGAAATGACCAAGTCGGGATGGTATTGTGCTGACTTAGGGGATGTGCATAGTCTTGACTGACGACGTCGGTTTGTGCGGAGGGTTCCTGACCTGGTTGACGAAGGAGAGGAGGGAGTGGCTGAGTGGCAGATATCTTGCTGTCACCTGGGATGTGGACGAGCTTGCGAAGATGGAGGATGAAATTGTGGTAAAGGATAAGCTGAAGTTCAGAATGGTTGTTTAGCTAGCCCCAAATGTTGAGTGGAAGCGTAACGGACGGAATTGAGTCAATGGTACCTTGTTGCTTCACGTCAGCTCATGTGCACTACTCGATCTTTACTCTGTCTTTGCTGGCAATGACCAAGCAGTGACCCAAGAGACGACAAAGAAGTGGAGTGACCGAGACTCCTGTAGCCAGCAATGACTCGGCACGGCCACCTGGGAGACTGTCATTAGTACGGCAAGAGCACACGAGGGCCGAAGAGACATTTCTCATAGAACACAAAACGGAGATCGAGGCATCTCTTCTAATGAGACACCCGACGTTGTGATGGCACATAAGCGGTACTGCGCAAGCCCGCAAGAAGAGGTAAGGACATCAGGAACAAGTCTGACCAAGGCAGTGGATCGGAAACGTCTCGTCATATCTGTTCCAGTGTCGAACTCGACACAAAGGCTGGCAATTGTCATGATTTCATGTATTCTACAAAAATGAATCGTGCAGTCGTCAATCGTCAATCTCGACTTCTGTTCGGAGTCCAGCGCCGTACATTAACGTCTCGAATCTTATACCGTGCAAGAAGCATTCCAATGTCAATTTGCCGGCCTTTTTCGTCCTCCTTCAACGGAGGTGGTACATCCACATAGCACAAGACCAGCTGTTTGTGCACCTGTGCCTGAACTCGGTTGACTCCATGCAGCCACCACCACGACTTCTTGGTTTTCTGCTCAGCCAACTTTCTGTTCTGGGATGAATCTGTCCAGTGGGGATGGCTGTATGAAGGAATAATAATCACGGCAAATTCTGCATGCGAGAACGCAGGACCGCGATTGTAGAGTAAATAATCGGTGGAGAATTTGACTCCTGATCGAACTACCCAACCGAGAGAGCGGTAATGATGATAGACAGCGTATGAGAGCATGAAGGGGTCGTCGGGCTCTGCGGTCATTGACAAGCTTCTCGGAGGAGAGAATGAGTGTCGCCGAAAGAGGGATAATTGAGATGATGGAGGTAGAACAGCATCGCTGTCGTCACAGTAGACTTGGAGCAGTCCCAGCCCATAGGAGAGGAAAAATGCCTCCTCAAGTGACAAGTTCAGGTGTTCCTGATTTTCCTGAACAGGTTCTTTTGGTGATTGCACTTCTTCTAGCGGCGACGAACCAGGACCTTTAATGGGAGATATGATAGGTGAACTCAAATCAAATTCCCTTGCTTCAATTGTAGGCGAGAAGCGGACAGTCTTGGTTCGCTGCATTCGCTTTACCGGTCGACCGTCAATGTGACTAGCCTCTGATGATGTTGATGTTGGCGGAGGTGTTGGGATGCCATTTGCCTCAATGACTTTCTTCCATTCGTGAAATCCATCTATGGAACAATTCTCTTTGTCCTCTTCATTTTCGGGTGTCGCGGTGCCGTTGGCAGAGTCCAGCACGCTCCCAATATCACTGAGGTCTCGAGCGTTCGTCTTCAAGACATTTTCTGACAGAACACCATTCACATGGCTGTTGGTGGCATCGTTCGTCTGCGATTCTTCAGCCAGTTTTTGCTCTATTTCTTCTTGTTCTTTCCGAGCCCGTTCTTGCTTCCCCTGTCGTCTCGCCTGTCGACGTTGGGCTGTATTCTCTTCTGCGGTAACCCCTTTTTTCTTGCGATTGTCTAACCATGTCGGCTCGCTTCGACTTAAGCTACCTCGGCCAAAGAATCCCATCTCCCATAGTTTACGGATTGTTTCTGGATCTGTAACGTGGATGGATGAGGTTGCTGACGAGAAATAGCCTTTGTATGTCGGTCTCGACGGCGGAGCCAGGACCTGAGCAAGGTAGGATAGAGCAATTGCGACCAAGGACAACGGATTGTGTGGGATGAGGACAGGAAGTGGATAGATTTCAACGGGAAGGAGATTTCGGTGGATGTAGTTGTAGTTGGGTCTGCGAGATCGCTTTTGTGGTTTTGGGGCTGTGGCCTTCGCCGATGAGGCTGGGTCTGCCTGGCTCATCGTTGATACAGCTGCGGAGGTAGCCATACTGAGTCATGGCATCAAGTCTGAGCAGTTTCTTGGTCAGCCTTGTACGTCAAAGAACAGTCAGAAGGCGAAGAAATTTGTAGGATTTGAACCATCAGATACCGTTGTAGTCTAATACAAGTGCACACATCAGAGGGAGCTGAAATCAAAGTGCTACCCTCCTAGGCAAAAGAAAGGAGTCATCACGGGAAAATAGAGCAATGTGTAGGTGGAGTGATGTTGTAAGGTTGGGCAGACTTACTTCACTTCCGTTGTGCCGCAGGACGACAGGAGATGAAGGTCATGAATGTGACGTCCGACAAGGCATTGATGCGGGATGAGACGCCTCGCTTGTTGTTGATGGGCTTGCGCTGATCAAGAAGCAGAATAGGTTGATGTAAGAAGTGCGTTTGTTGGCTGCAATAATCCCGAAAACCTATTCTTGTGCTTTCGGTCGCGCGGGGAAATTTTTTTCGTTGCAGTTGCAAGTTGCCGATCTTGTCCTCCAACCACAATCTGCCAATTTCTGTCTCATTATTTCTTTTGGCGAGTGCAGGAAAGAATTGTCGTTGAGAGTCAAGCAAAACTGGTGCCATCCCGACAAAATGCATTTGATGTACAATGAAGACCCGGTCACGGGAAAAAGAGTCTACACGCTGAAAAAAGTCCTGGATGGCGTCGTCACAAAATCGGCGCATCCCGCGAGATTTTCACCCGATGACAAGTATTCGAGGTAAAATACGAGTGTGTGCTATATTACTTCTCACCTGACATCGTCATAGGCAGCGAGTGACCCTGAAGAAACGTTATGGTCTCCTCCTTACACAACAGAGTGTGTGCGCCAAGTTCCCCTTCTCCAGACGCAGACGCTGACAGGGCTTCAGAAGAAAGCAAGAAATGAACATATCACAAGAGAACATTATCCGAGACGAGCCAATAGCTCAAGGTCCGACTGCAAGTGCAACCCGACGGGAGATAGGATGAGTGATGGCTGGACAACCTCTCGTTGATGGACAGGGTCTGCGAGCGAGAAGTGACGCTGCGCCTGCGGAGAGCCTGGTCGCGAAAAGGCGTGGCTCACCATTTACTATGCTGGAAGTATCACTGAGTTCTGGCGTATGGAGTTCGGCATCTTTTGACGACAGGATACCCAAAAGACTTGATATGTCGGTCGTGGCTTTATAGGATTACTAAGTTTCTCTGGCAACTATCTTTTCCTTGAGTTGATATTCCTACCAGCTCCAATCCGCATCCTGCCAGAATTCTGACCTCTGTCTCCAGTCAAGATACTTGGGAGGGTATCTTGGTCCATGAGATCCTTCTCTTTCGTCCTCTTCATCGACGACATTGCCCTGATATACTCTTTCTGGTCTTCGGCCAAAATCAGATCGTTGCCCCAGCCGCTTTGTCCTCCACCTTGTCTCGGGCCTTTCCATTTCTGATTCGCACTGCCGCTGGTTGGCTTCGGTATGGAGAAAACATTTCCCCTGTTGTTCCACTGCATATTCGCCTTGAGATGCAATTTGACCTCGCCTTTGTCGTTAGTCGTGCAGCTTACTCGTGTCAAGGTGGCTTTTCCGCATCGAGGACAGAATTGCTTGCTCATGTCCTTCGTTGTCGCAAAGCAGCCGTGGCACCGGAGGATGAACTGCTTGATCTGCGAGATCCGCTGGCAAGTCTTGCTTGACAGTAAGTTGAGGTTCATTTGGAGTAGTACATTTTGCATTGCAAAATCACCGGTCATCGTGGCAACTTGCAGGTGTTTCGTCTCGGATAGTGATTTACTGCTTGCATCCTCATCTTTTGCTTGTCGCTTCTTGATATTCGATGGTGTTATCCAGCCCTCATCAGAGTCGGACTCTGCGCCAGCGACTTGTATCTGTGTAATTTGTTCTCCTGTTTCTGACGTGGGGAAGCCCTCGGGTTCAGGCTGCTCCTCGGCCACTTCGACTGTCTGCTGATGTCGTGGTTGCTGGTCTTCCCCACCGTTCAGACTCAGCGACTCAACTTGATTCTTGATCTCATCTTCCTGCTCCCCTTCCTCTTTTTTCTTTGGATTTTCCGATTCAGCAGCATCTGGCTCGGCCACATCGTTCGGCTCATCCTGCGCTGCTTGTTTCTGTGGCGGACTACCATTCACCCTCTTCTGACCCGGAGTTGCTCGCAGACGCCAGTCGCCATTATTTCGCTCACATTCGACATCGTATGCTAACGCAAGTACTTCAAAATCCGTTTGACTGAGAACCGCGCCGTCCCCAGTTTTCCTCGCAAATTCTTTGACAAGTTTAACACTTTCTGGTCTGGGGTTTTTGATAGTAAGAAAAGGCTTGTATAGTGTTTCGATCCTGGCTCTTGCTTCTTCCCCTCGGATTTCAGCGATAACAGAAGGAGTGGTCACTAGAACATGGCCGTTCGCAAGGAGGGTGGAGATGCCGGGCGTGTTAAGCAGAAGAGGTGAGGAGTCTAATATGATGGTGTGTATTGGTTTCTGCTCGTTCGCCAGAGGCTCTTTCGAAGTATCCGCCATGCTGTATTGTCTTTCACACAAGAGCAAATTGTTTTGAAAGAGGCGTGCAGTCAAGTTCCGCCATGTCCTCCACAAGAATATTTCCTGCGAAGACTTAGACATCTTATCTTATCTTAGCGTTACTTTAATGGTTCAAGATTAGTCATCCACTAGTGTATCTTCGGGGCATCAAGGCATGTGCAAATAACTATGGTCTCATGGGTACATCGTGTATATTGGCGCTACGGTGCCATTCGACGCCAAACAGAAGCGAGGACAGTTTAGGTGGGCAGAAGGATCTCCTGGTCCAAGACAGATTCTTTAGTCATGTCTTGCTCGGGCACGTATAAATCAACCTCCAGTGCTCCTATCCAGGTGCAATATGACCATGGTGTCATGGCTAATCAACGACAACATCCCCAATTGGATTGTCTATGGTACGATAGCAGATTAGCGCTGAGTGGTCACCACTCATCACGATATCGGACACGTCCCTCTACACGTAGCGGTCTAGAGTCTCCATTCAAAAGGATGCTTCGTATCTAGCTCGGCCTGTCTGTGCTTCACTGTAAGAATGGAAAGTCTTCAGCACCCCAATTCAGAACGTCGAAGTGGAGGTCGAATCCAAATGAAGGCACTGGGTCGTTTGAAATTGTGGCATCCGCTGAAGTGGGATATATCATGTCGATGGACCCCTGAGTCGCCTGCACTACATCTGGTGGTGTGGCTGTTGTACCCGCTTGAGAATGCGTGACAGGGCTAGCCTGTGCGGCAGTAATGCTGCTCTCCTGATTGACAATATGAGAGACAGCGCATCGTTCAAGATACGTCTTTGTCTTTCTCTTGCCGCCCATATAAGCATAGATCTCTGGAATGAGCGAATGCCAGTTGGAACTGGGCGCCCCATCCTGGGCGTTATGGTGAGCTTGTAGACCATCTCCATTGTTATACGCGTGGAGAATCTTCGTTAGAACGTCTCGACCGGCCACTGCCATCGGAGTCGAACTGTGGTTCTGGACTAGCTTCTGCAAATCCTGAATCACAACTTCAATATCAGACTGCATTCGGCTCGGCACGACCGGGCGTTCCACGAGCAGGAAAACTGCTATGGACACGGCTGAGCAGAATATCTGGTAGCTCTGAGCGAGCATTCTCTGTGATCGTTGGAACCGCGCGGGGTTTGCAGCGCGAATTGCATGGTAGACAGCAAAAGCCTCCTCTACTGCCTCAATGCATTTCGACCAGCATGCATTGTGGTAGGAAGTGCGAAGGAAAGGCCGATACATACGGATACGTTGTACACAGATCGAGTTATGAATAAGGTGGTGTTGCCATTGGATGTAGTCGTACGCCGGTGGAAGTGTAGGGCTGACGATTGCATTTCCTGGAGCACTCTTGAAATACCATGGGAACTGGTTTACAATCGCTATGATATTGCCGTCGATCGAAGAAACCTCCTCATAAGATGCTAATGCAGCTCCGTTGTCCGCATAGAGTTTGTTAAAAGTCTTGAACAGGTGAGCACGAAGGACATGCATGGACATCACAGTAGGGTCTTCAATGGGCCGAGGATTGATTGTAGACTGGGTGATGTCGCTGTCATCGCAATTCTGTGGCATGGGCACATCCGACAGGTGTGCTTGCACCAATGTTTGCCTGTCCAGACAGAGAGACTGGAACGTGTCTGAACAGCAAAGGTCCCACCATATACGATGACGGAGTTCGGACGCCAAATCTGCAGCAGGCGTTCTGTCTTTGTCAAGGCCTATTGCTTGAGCACAGCGAATGGCCTGACCTAGCGCACTGAAAATTTAGAAGACGAGGCCTGGAAGATTTTGCAGGAGATGGACTTACGAATTCAATGATTCGACTGCCTTCGTGGCATACCAGTACAGCTGCGATTCGATGAAGACCTGAAGCTGAGTCAAACATGGTCGTGATTCATATTCTCCAGCATGCAGAGCCTGCCGAGACAGCCGGAACCAAAGGTGGCCGCTGTCTCGGACATTGGATGCATCGAAGCCGACGCTCTCGCACGTCCTGGGATCAATGTACAAAGCGGTCAAGGATATCATCACATAGAGAAGGGCCAGCCAGACAAGATCAATGTCCTTGACTGGTGTCCGCCAGAATATTTCGTATTTTTGACGAAAGGACGGTGCGTGAATCGCCTGGTAGATCCAATTTGTGCTCTCGAAAAAGTAGGCCACGAATAAGTCGCATTGTGATCGAGGGGGAAGACAGCTCGCAAGATAGAGCTGCCAGTTGGTCTTCTCGGAGGTCGACAATGTGACACCGGACCCGGAGAAAGACGGCGCTGTTATCGCTGCTTGAGACCCTTCATCTTCATAGAGGCACCGGAGGTCGTTGTGAGTCCGGAGTGCTTCGACTGAAAGAGCAGCTGGATCATAGTTACTACTTACACCATCCCCGGTCGAGTTGCTAGTGATATATCTTTGCTGGGGGTTAGTATCCAAATTGCACTGTCGTTGTTCCGAGTTGGCGTTCGAGGGTACGCTGTGATAAGTGCTTAGACTGCTGACTGAGGCCAAGAGTTGAGTTGTAGTAGGCCTCCCGGTACAAGTATCAATAGCAGTACTAATACTTTGTGCTCGTCGAACTGATTTATTTGCCCGTGTTATGGGCAGCTTGTCTTGATAGGTCCAGCAGGCAGGCTGGTAAGGCTGACAGCGAGTCTCGCATCCATGTCGAACGCAGCTTTTGCATGGTGTCATACGATCGCAGCGGACCTTGCGCTCTCGGCAAGGGCGACAACTCAGGATTTTGTTATTCGCTCCCATTCCGCGTGACGGACCAGTGGGAGAACCAAAGCTGCCTGTCCAGATGAGAGAAGCTACCTGTTCGAAGAAGACGCCCCCTGCGGCCACGCTTCAGTGCTCGTTCTGACGACCTTCGCAGACCTCACGAAGGAAGGACATGGTGGACCGAGTATTCCGCATCAGTCGAGCTGAGGAAAAGATAAGGATTCTAAGGAGATCGTGGGATATCGAATTCCGCGCCCCAAAGTGCACGGACCGTGGAGTTATCGCCCGGCCTTAATCTCGGGCTCTTTCTCTCTCTCCCTACCCTTTCCTTCTAGTCTACGGAGTACGGGTAGATTTTTAGAGTGCCTGAGAGGGACTGATAGACGGCACAACAATAGCGTCTTACTTCCCTTCCGCTAGCATGTTGCCAGCATGGTCGACAGCTTTCCATCTCTTCATCGCTTGAGGAACCTCCACTTTCGTCCCCTTGAGTTTGACCGAACCAAGTTCGTTCCCTTCCATGTCAACTACGAGCCGTTCTATCTCAGCAGTGACATTGTAACATCTTATCTCCACATCAGTGGTGTAGTCATACTCGACTCTACCTTCTCCTTCTTGGCCTAGAACAAGAACAGACCCTTCCCTCACATATAGTGGAAGCGACATCATGTTATAAGTCTCTTCCATCCATTTTGGACCCTCGACAACCTCGCCAGCATGGCCTTTATCCGAACCGAACCATCGCGTCCACTTTCCTGCGGGAAGGTAGAACTCAACCTGTCCGCTGGCCTCAAACACTGGTGCAACCAACAGGTAATCACCAAGCATATACTGTCGATCGAGAGTCCAAGCAGTAGGATCGTTACCGAAGTCAAAGAACATCGGGCGTAGGATAGGAACACCTGTCTTCGCGTTGATGACTGCCTGTGAATACAGGTAAGGCATGAGCCGGCACTTGAGCTTCGTGAACAGGCGCAGCACGTCGCATGCCTCGTCATCATAGTTCCAAGGCACGCGATACGATTCCGAGCCATGAAGTCTGGAATGTGTCGACAGCAAGCCAAACGCAACCCATCGTTTGTACAGGTCCGCAGGTGGGTGCCCCTCGAATCCTCCAATATCGTGAGACCAGTATCCGAAGCCAGTAGTACTTAGAGACAGACCTCCGCGAAGCGTCTCGGCCATAGCGACCGCAGTGCTTTCGCTGTCTCCTCCCCAATGACAAGGCATGCGCTGTCCGCCTGCGGTGGCTGACCGCGCGAATACGCAGGCTTTACCTTCCCCAAACCGTTCCTTGAGTACTCCAAACACGGCTTCGTTGTAAAGCTGCGCAAAGTAGTTATGCACTTTCTTTGGATCACTCCCATCGTGGAATTGGGCATCGATGTACGGGATATCCTCGCCAAAGTCGGTTTTGAAAGAGTCAACCCCCAGATCTACCAGCTTGTGCAGGTAGGACCGGTACCATTTCCTTGCTGCTGGGTTGGTAAAGTCCACAATCCCCATCCCTGGCTGCCAGTAGTCCCATTGCCACACATCTCCGTTACGGCGGCGGATAAGATAATTGTTGTCCATACCCTCCTGGAAGAGAGGTGATTCTTGAGCGATGTAAGCGTTTATCCAGACGCAGATGTGCACGTTAAACTTGGATTTCAGCCGTGCGATCATGGACTTGGGGTCATTGAACACATTGTTGTTGAAGGTGAAATCGCAGAATCGAAATCGGCGCATCCAGAAAGAGTCCTAAAGCTCAGTCAGCCAGATCATGTAAGTTTGTGCTTTCCTGAGAGGGCTCACCAGGTGCAAAGTGTGGACTGGACTGTCAAGTTCTTTCATTCTGGTCATGAACCCTTCAACGGATTCCTCGTTCCAATTTGTCGTGAAGCTTGTCGAGAGCCAGAGACCAAAGCTCCACGCTGGTGGCAGTGACGGCCTTCCGGTCAGTAAGCAGTACCTCTCTATGATATCTTTCGGGGTGGGTCCGTTAATAAGATAGAACTTCAGCCTCTGTCCCTCGACGCTGAATTGGCACCTCGCACTGCGTTCACTTCCAACTTCAAAGTCTACGAGTTCGGTATGGTCGACAAAGACGCCGTACCCACGGTTGGTGAGATAAAATGGAATCGCCTTGTACGCTTGCTCCGAGCTAGTACCTCCGTTCTCGTTGAAAGCACGTATTCTTTGCCCGTTCTTGACAAACTCGGTGAACTGCTCACCAAAGCCGTATATCTTCTCGCCAACCGACATTGACAGCTGTGCTACGATGTAACAACCGACTTTGTCCAACGAGTGGGCCAACGACCGCGATTGCGTAGGCGGATTTGAGTACGCCAATCCAAGCGAGCGGAAGTCGAAGCTCGTCAGCTTGCGATGCGCGTGACTTTGATCACTGAACTCGATGCCAAAGTTGTCAGTTTCCGTGTTGACTTTGCACGTCAGCTCTCCCGAGGAGAGCGAGATGTAGCCATCACCATGCTTGATGGCAGGTTGGCATTCGGGCCTTTCATGAGGATACAGTTGGAAGAACGGACCTCGCCGTCGAGCACCAGCCCAGTGCGTCGTTTCGATGGATATGATGCCAGGAGAATGTGCGGTTATATCGAGATTCAAGGCAGACGTGTCAATTGCGCCTGAGCGAGACTTCACTGAGCGGGTTGGGCATAACAGATGAACTGTTTTCCCTTCGTCTCTGATCTCAGTGTTCTCTTGTGAAACTTCGATGGCATACTCGACCTTCATCCCCTCCTTCACGAACCACATGCCGTCTCTGAACTTCATCTTGGATGTTGAACCTTCTCTGAGTTGTTGGGTATGACCACGAGCTTCAGCGAAAGAGGCAGTGCTTTGATCGATGGATCTCGACAGACGGTGAGAGACTTGTTTGGCTCCCTTTGGAATGTCCGCGGCATAGACGAGGTGCCGGATGGCAAGAGATGCGGTACCATAAATTCAACACGGCATCCAACGCCGTTTTTCGGACACACTGTCGAAGCTCGCCGAATAGGGTTCATATTAACCGGCGGCTAAAGACTTGTCAAGAGCATCAATATGCAATTTCAAAAGTACTAAGGGGGTATACCACTAGAGGCTACAGTACCTGATCATGCGGACGTGGAGGTGGAATATCAACAGCAAGAGGACCTCTTCAACGTTTTTCGCCGAGAATGGAAGCTTCCATGTTTGGCTCGCCAGTCAAGCGGGAAGACAACACGCCAATCATCCCCCTAATTCTAAGTGAAAATGGGTCGATTTGAAGTAATATTCCCCAATCATGGGGAACATCCAAGTCTGGGGTGGGGATTGCGGCTTGGACTAGCACCACGTCTTGAGTTTCCGAATCAGATTCTCCTTTCCCAGCTTCAGCGGACGGAGTGGTCAAATTTATCCGGCCTTCCACGTTCCTCTTTGTCCTTCGCAGAGTCTGTATGTCATTACCAAGGAGTGCGGGATAGTTCGTGGGATACGGAGTACCCTGCCGACAATTTGCGGAGGTAGCGTGTGGAGGGCTATTTTGCCGGTTTCGATATGCCTGGACGGCTGGGTTTCGCTTATATAAAGAAGACTTCGCTTGTCCTTGGTCTGTCTACAAATCTCGTCGGTCGTTCACATACTAGTACACTGGCATCAGCCTTCGAAACCAGCTGGATTGTACCTGATTATTCCTGCAGCGACCTAGCTTGCTCACTCACCGCAAGTCACAATGGCACCGACCGAGAAGTCCGTCAAGCTTGAGGGCATTGTCGGTGAACATGACGACAAGGGTAAGATGGAGGAACTTACCGCCGACATGGCGAGTGGTCCCTTGGGTCTGATCCAGAATCCCTACGTCAGCTTCGTCTCCTTCTCGATTGCCTTTGCTGGGTTCATGTACGGATACCCCGGTGTAAGACCCTTGGCAGACCTTAACAGTTGAATGCATACTGAACAGACACGCAGGGCGTTCTTTCCAATATCCTTACTGACGAAAACTTTGGCGCTCATTTCCCAAGGATCTACGCAGATGCGACCTTCAAGGGCTGGGTGGTGGCCAGCATGGAACTTTCAGGGGCAGTAGGATCTATTATTGCGGCACCGCTCGCGGACAAATACAGTCGCAGATACGCTCTCCTTATGTCGGTCGCAATTATCATCGTTGGGACCTGCCTCCTAACTGGCGCTGTGAATGCGGGCATGATCATTGCTGGCCGCTTGATTTGTGGCGTGGGCGTTGGTATCCTCGCCAACACTGCGGCAAGTTTGATTGCCTACGATGAGAGTTGATATCTTTCACTGACAGGGTTGTAGGCAATTTACAACTGCGAAATCGCTCCACCTCAGCTTCGTGGTACATTGATTGCCTTCTACATGTTCTTCCTAACCTTGGGCAACATGCTGGCCTTTTTCGTCACCTACGGCTTTCACTTTCTGGGCGGCATCCGTTGTGCCCCTGAGACACCGTATACTGGACCGAACAATTCATTTGATCCATATAACGATGTTCCGTAAGTTGACATCTTTTCCCTATCCCTGCATTGCTAATCAGTTGGACCAGAGCCGGTGGCTGCACCGGGCAAGGAGACGGCTCCTGGAGGATCCCACTGGGCTTGCAGATCCCTTTCGCTCTTATACTTGGTCTTTTCGTGTGGTTGGCTCCTCCGTCGCCGCGCTGGCTTATGATGAAGAATCGACCTGACGAAGCGCTCGACATTATGGAGAAGTAGGTAGAACACCTCCCAAGCGCCAGCCATGACTAATTTGAATAGGATTCGACGGCTGCCACGAGACAGTATCCTGGTTCAGACCGAGTTCCTCGAAATGAAGGCCCACATGATCTATGAACAGGAGCTTGAGCAAGAGCTGTATCCAAATGCAGGTCTACTCAGACTAACGTGGGAGACCTTCCAAAGGTTTTTCACAAACCGCGGACTGTTCAAGCGCCTGTATATTTGCGTGGTATACATGGTCTTGAACCAATGGGCTGGGGTGTGTAGATTACTATTTCTCCCACTCGCACCTTTACTAATAATCAACAGATCAACGCTATTCTCTACTACGCGCCTTTGTAAGTTTGCTTCTGACTGCATGAGCGGCCGCCGCTAACACCTCCCAAAGGATCTTCTCCCAACTTGGTCTCAGCTACAATACTACTGCGCTTCTTGCGACCGGCATTGTTGGATTGGTTTTCTGGCTCTCGTGTACAGTTAGTCCCCCCCGCTTCCCCCGTCCCCCACTCTCTCTCCCCCGGGTCGATCGCCTTTGCCTGTGAAACTCACATGGATCTAGGTTGCCATTCTTTATTCGGACAAGTTTGGCCGTCGCAATATGCTCATGCTTGGGCTGAGCATCATGATCATAGGCCACGCCGTTGTGGCTGGCATTATCGGGAAGTACTCTGGCCAATTCGGCGTCTACACCAGCGCTGGATATGCGGGTGCCGCGTTCATCTACATGTACGTTCGAGCAGGGCCCTCTCTTCTCATCCAGCACACTAGAAATACTGACCATCTGATTGACAGCTACATGATCGGCTACGGAGTGACATCTATCAACATGAACGTGATCAGTTCCGAGATCTTCCCCAGCCAACACCGCTCACAGGCCATGGCTATGATTTTCGCCGTCAATTGGATTTGTAACTTCTCCGTTGCTCTTGCAACTCCTGTCATGCTGGAGGAAATCAAATTTGGCACGTTCCTGATCTTCGCTTTTTGTTGTATTGGTATGCTCCTGTGGACCATATTTGTCATTCCTGAAACTTCTCACAAGACTGTCGAGGAGATGGACATCTTGTTCAAGGACCAGTTGGCCAGCGATCAGGCTGCACGGATGGCAAGGATCTTCGAGAGGCTCGGCTTAGCTGGCGGTGGACACTCATCCACTCAAGAGCTCAAGACCGGAGCGGCCATTGAGCACCACGATGTCAAGAATTGAGGCATCATATAGTAGACACAGGGTCAATTGCTCGCTGCTTCGTGGGAATGCACTTGTTGGCACAGACAGATGTACCGACTGCACTACATTTACTGTCTAGCTGGAGAGATAGGGTGCGAATATCAAAGAACGTTGAACGGGTCTCTGTTTCTTGTCTAAGAGTCCTAGGGAGAATGTTGGCTATAGCCCATACCTAAGACTCTCTAAGCAGGGACTCTAGGTAGTTACAGACGCCAGACCTGAGTCCGAAGCTGCCTGGATGCTTTAGATGCGACCATTCAACAATGTGATGGTCCCACTCAGTATGACTTAGTTAGAAATTCTTCATCTGGTGTCGTTACGGTTCTCAGCCAAGCCAAAAACAGTTGCAAATCCGTGACTACTGTACATGAGTGACCACTTTGCTCTCAGCGACTCTTGAAAGGTCAAGTATGGGTGCCAAACAGCTGCCGCTTTGAATCGTCGAAGCAGTGGTCGGGCTCACCTTGGACAGGGGCTCCTCCTACCACATAAACTGTCGCCGCTGTTGTTTGTCGTCTAATGGCATCGTAGCGCCAAAGCAGTTGGGCCTCGTATTGTACAGGAGGTCAAGTCCCTCACTATATTTTGGTCGATGCTACGAAAGTGCCTCTCCCCTCGATCCAAGTGGTATACACAAATACTGAAGCCTCGAGCCAGAAAAAACTAGGAAATAATACATTCCTCAGTTTATTTCAGTTACGAGAGAACTCTAATGACTGTATTGAATTGCCCTTCACGAATTTACACAGAGCTCAACCGAACCAGACAGCCCAGCGTCATACACCCACACTAATTGACAACCACCTCGTTCACTGATATCAAGGGCTGAATCTTTCCCTCGAACGGGAAGTTGTTTGGACTCACGTAGCCGTCCTTTTTCGCGGGGCCAGTCACCGCGTCCAGCCCGTCGAGCTGCAGATGATCGAAATTCTCCGTCTCAATATAATCCGCTTGAAACTTTACATTGCCCTCCTTCTCCCACCCCTCTATCATCTCCTTACACTCCGCCGGCAGCTGGAGTCTCAGTCGATTTCCGTACCACTTGGCAAAGAACATCTGCGAGAGCATCACCCTCGTTTCGTCGGTATGGTTTGGAATGCCTGCGTGCCACAGCCTGGGGTCTCGGATCACCATGGTCCCCTTGGGCAAACAGGCACGGATCGGGGGCACTGTTTTCCGTCTCTCCTCCGGCAGATCCGGCTTGATGAAAGGCTCGTTCGGCGCAATATGGTCCTCTATGGAGGTGTTTGCGTGCGTGCCCAGCCACACTTCTGTCGCTCCGTTCTCGACGGTCGTTTCCACGAGACAAGTGTTCAGAGTGTAGCAGAAGGGCAGTTCGGGGAAACGGAAGTCCATATCTGAGTGGACGCGTTGCCGCTGTGTGCCACGCAGACAAACGTTGGAGCGTAGGAAGCAGCATTCAGGGTTGGGCCCGAGGAGATACTGCAGGACTTGGAGTGCCCAAGGGTTGGCGTAGACATCGCGATAGAACAGAGCTTTGTTGACTGGCGGCGAGAGGGAGACGTTGCCCGTGTCCACACCTTGGATGTGCCACAAAGCATTTTTGGACCGCAGATATTCGGCATCGGCACACATTTGCGCATTTATGGCGTCTTCATGCTCGATCGAGACGGCGTTGCCAAGGCCGACGATGCCGTCCCGATGGACTGTTTGGATGATCTTGAAGAGTGTGTCGTCGGTCAGTTTCTCATTGGCCTTTTCACTTTCAGAGACAGGGATGATAGTGATGGCCGGGCGTGCTTGAGCGACCATGGTGAGGGGTGACTAGGGCTTAATGGGAGAGGAAGAGCGTCTGTGAGAGACAGAGGAGGTACTATCGACGCTGAGAATTGTGATGTCGATAGCTAGAAGAAACGAACATTCGAATCAATACCTCTACCCCGGATGCACTTGGGGTAGATATACTAGTGACGGGGTGAACACCTCAGGAATATCCCACTAGATTTCCCCTTGCAGACCTGTCAAGTAGGTACTTACTGATTTCGTTATTTTCTGGTCTGGATTCCTTAGCCACCTTGCTCTCCGTTTGACATGTCCTTCCAAGTCGAGCTGGAAGTGTCTTTCAGCCTGAATCCAACATATTACCGCGGACTTTGAATGGATTGCTCTGGTAAACCGGACAGAATCAACCCGCGCATTTCCCATGATATTCGGTCTCGGTTAATTAGAGCCCTAGCTCTCGGACCCACTTTCCTTCTGGATGACCTTCGATGTCTCTTGCAGGAAAGGAAATCGCTTGTGATCTCTCGCCGGCTGGGGAAATTCATCTCCCATGCTGGTATCGACCCAGCGACTAGTACTTCCCCTACGGTTCTCAACCCCGACCAGCTCCCGTACCTCCGGAACACCCTCACCGTCTTGGACCTTTCCCCACAGGTGAGCACAGGTGCAATCTTGGAAAAAGCCAGACACAGTTCTCCATTCCTCAACTTCTGCCATGTGGTTGCCATGGTATATCGACCGGATAAATCCCAAGGTGAAAGCAAAGCTGACAAATTGGCCACGTCCTCACTCTACCAGGCCCATTCACGCTTGATGTCCTCGATAATTGCATTCCAAAACCATCCTGTCTCCTGCCCTACCACATTCACCAAGTCGAGAAGCTGACGCTGTAAGTTGCGACCCGATATCCAGTAGTAGCCTAAGGATGAGAGATCAGCTGAACATGTCGGAGAGACTATACGGTATGCCACGGTCTCATGGGTAAATCGTGTAATCAGCGGGGTGCAAAACAGCTGCTGCTTGAATCGTCGAAGTAGCGGTTCCTCCTGCCACCTAAATTGTCCTCGCTCCTGTTTGTCGTCGAATGACACCATAGCGCAAAAGCAGTCAGGTCTCGCATTGAACAGAAGGGCCTCCTAGAACGTAAACTGTCGTCGCCGTTGTTTGTCGTCGAATGACACCCCGGCGCCAAATTACACGCTTTACCCATGAGACAGTAGTGCATTATCGAGACTTACTGGCACATAAACAGATAGGGATCATATGGCGTGCTGCTGCATCTTCGCATGAAGCAGCAGCTCCGAAGAGCACTTTCAGATATTCCAAGACTTGTTCCTGCAGTGATAGTGAGACTCTTGCTTGCATTCGATACTAGTAGCTGGATGTAAGTGTGCCGACTTACCTGTTGTCTTCTCTGAAATTTGCCGCAATTGAGCCCAAATTTAGGACGGCTGGGATCACAGGTGATCAAAATGGCTTTTGCCATGCATATGTGTTGTACGGCGGACACATGTAGGGGAGACGAAAACCAGATGGTCGGAAGCGGATTCGCATCACCCGGGTCGGCTGCTCGATAAAAGAAAGGCGCAAAGGCCTGTGGTCTAGATCTCTCCCATTCATCTAGCTTGCCGTAAATCCGATTCCATTCCTTTTTGCTCTTGTCCCCCTGTTCTGCTAAGCAGTACTGCACTGTCTCAGCAAGAAGCCAAATCGCACGGTGAGCCCAGTGCTTTTCTGTGAGGAAAGGCTGCGATAGCCACATGCGCTCCAAACCATCGTTGAAGGTCTCAAAACAAAGCCGGAGCGGGGTCTGCCACGCCAGCGAGAATTGAACGTCTTGCATAGCAAAAGCCCAGAAAGAAGCCTCGGTCAAGCCGCCGGCTACATACCAGTCGACGCCGGAGTTGAAAAAGGCAGAGCCGCCGGAAAGGTGATGCTGGAAGTCGTGCTCGTGTTTTACACCTGCAGAAGGGACTCAATCAGCCGGAGATCGTGTTCGACCCAGGCAGGAAGGGCTTACAGGAAATTTGCTCCTCCAGACGGAGAATAACGATCGAAGCAAGGATGACGTCCATCTCCTGATGGAGATCAGGATCGCTAAGTAATGGAATGAGAATTTCGATGCACCGCCCGTGATAGTAATCAGCCGTCTCTGGCGAGAACGTCTCCGTCGTATTTGCGAGCTGACGAGCTGTGAGAGCAAGACATGCGTTCAGTAAGAGAGGGCAAGTAGGAGCCCGGCGTACAACTTCAAGTGTGAAGTGTCGATTATCGTCGCATATATCTAGCTGTAGATGGCTGTATGAGCAAAGTTCGGGCAAAAAACAGGTGCAAGTGGGAATTTCGCAACATCAGATTTCGAACATACCCAAGGCCCAAGAGCCCGGCCGAAGTGACGAAGTAAGTACCCCTCGGTGAGACTATTAAGTCTTGTTGCTCCGGATAGTACTCTGGGCGCTGTAATGGCATTGCCTGGAGTAGAGACATCGTTAAGAGGTGACTCTGTTTCATCATCGCGCATAAGGATAGACGTCCCCAAGCTGTCGGCTGGATGATCAAGACTCAGTAGGTCTGGCATTGAGCTGGAAGTATATGGTCTACCTGAAGCGACATTGTGTCTCAATTCGGCCGAGAGAGATGACAATTCGGGTCCTTCGGAAAGGCTCCTCCATGGCGTCAAGCGATAATCAGAAGATCCAAAATAGTGAGCGACTATCTCCTCGGTGTTGTCCTCGAAAACCAACTCCGAAGGAATGCCAACCCAGATCTGGTCGCGGGAAAATGCGAAATCTCGCTCTCCATAAGATGGCTCACCATCGATCTGTCTCGACGGGTTCAAGCCGTGGCGGAAGATGTCTTTGGTCTTTGGTGCAGGGTATATACAATCTTTTCCAGATTTGGTACATGCCATGCATTTTGGTCGAGCTGCGTCACCTGCGTGTGGCAGTCAGAAAGTCAATCGCTTTGAGTAGACGGGAAGTATTAGAGCATACATTTTAGGTGACTCTGACGACAGCCCATACTGAACACCTTGTTAGTGGAAGCGATTTGAATACGGGGCACTCGCCGGGATGCAGCCCTACATACCAGAGAGACATGATTCAGGCTTCGACGACTTCACATGTTGCCCAAGTTGGCATTCTGTTGGATAGAAGTTGAACTCAGCGAATATTCGCCCTAGGCAGCTCTACCGTATTCTTTTGACGAGAGGATCGGTTTCGTTAAGTAACTGCATCATCTAAATATATATAGGCTGTGTGGCCGGGAAAAGCCAAAGCAGGTGGCAATGGAAGATATGTATGAAGGAACACGAATGGAACACCACAGACATGCAAGGCTCAGATTAGCAGGTCTCTGCGGGGTTGATACTTGCATTCCCTCTTGGCACAGCTATGCCCCACGTGAGCAACACGACAGCCTTACCGGGTTATTACTAAGCAAGGCTGCACCAATGTTGGTTACTCCCTCATGAACTGTACTAGTAATACTCGAATAAATCTCGCCAACACTAAAGCTGGGAGACTCACCCCCTGCATGCACAAAGTGCCTTCAGTGAAGCTTATGTGCTGTGGCGAAGAAACAATCAGCAAGCTCAACCGCGTTATGGGATATCCGCCCTCTATCCAAAGCATGACGCTTTCAGGGTGGAAAAGAATCTCTGTTGAAGGTCTAAGGGTCCCGGGGGACGAGTTAGCTACATACAACTCGGCTAGTACTAGGGCTAGGAATGCCTAGAATCTGACAGCCTCGTGGTGCCCATTAAATCGTTGAGCACTATCATACCTTCCCTGACCACTGCCCATCTGACGGTGCTCAGATGTTTCACCATACACGTGAGCAGGCCATGTGGTCTCGACTGCCCTGCTACTCGCCAGATGTCCTTGGCAAACGTTCGTCTTGCAGGATCGAGCCTCGTCAAAGCGCTGATCAGTGCCATCATATCTGTCCTTGAATCCCAAACACCGTCCTCATCCACAACGTCGTAATCTGGTGGCGGGGCATAAAGTGAGGTTTGGAGTTCATCCGTGCAATTTTCAGTGGCAAGGCTGTAGGTCGTCCAACATGTGAGAGTAGCGAGGTAGAGACACCAAGGAAAATGAATCATCTCTTCAACGTCCCAGTTGTCGAGCTTACGGATACCATCGCGGAGGAGTCGCGCTGCATGCCATGTTGCTCGCCCAATACTCTTCCCTTCATCTCTTGTCATGAATTCGTCGAGCCTGGTTCGTGAGCGTTGCCGATCAAGGTCTGTAACTGGTCGACCGATAATATGCTTTGCGCCCGCATGAATCTGCAAATCCGCTGTTTCAACTTCCAGGATCAGCTGTGCGGTATGGTAGACGGCCGAACTGGCGACAGAGGAGCGTTGGAATTTCGCATGTTGAGTAGGACTGGTCGACAGAGATGACAGAACGTCTTTGGTGTACCGATCAAAATCCTCCTTCCATTTGGTATAGCAGTTGCTGACTTTGGTTTGCCATCTGACTCCGGTTGAAGTAGTATTCCGGTTCAAAGCGGTTTGATCACGACGCCTAAAGTCCCACGAGAGAGACATGAGGCCGTGAAAGACTAGAACCCGGGACAGAGCATTCAAGTGCGATGGCGCGGACGACACGCTTGGATCCGTGTACATCTGCAAGATAGTCAGGTACTGCGGTGATGCTGGTGAAGTCTTAGTTAGATAAAGCCAGTCTTCGGCAGTATCGGCCTCCCAGATAGCCGTATCCCAGGGAAGAGCCACTTTGAGTTCTGACGCATTCAGACAAAGGATCTGGGCAAAGAAGATAGCATGCTGTGTATCCCACATGAAGGAGATCAGTGCGAGTCTGTTGAAGTCCGTTAGGAATGGTCAAGCACGGCTTAAGCGGCACTCCTACCTCCGCTTCTGTTCTGCCTCAATTGCCATGTGCCAGTACTCTTCCAATGTCTGAGTCGTTTCGTCCCAGGGTGGGATATGCACGTTGTGGCAGTCACTTCTTCGTAGGAGACTGCCAATGTTAGTAATCAACGCCACAGGGCGAGAGGCATCGTACTTGATCTGAAGTCCATGATAAACGTTCGACATATCATGCTGGCGTTCACCCGCACGACTCTTGCCGAAGCACTCCACTAACAGGATCGTCTGCAACATCCAAAGGCTTGGCCTAGTCCCGAATTCTCTACTGCTGTGAATAAGTGGCCTCATAATATCGTGTATGCATACAGCCAGCATGTGTGCTTTCTTATCGCTGTATGTTGCGCCCAGAAGAACAATGGACATGAGAAGTAAGGAATGCACTGTCGAACTTTGAAAGGTAGCTGGATGAATCAATGGATACGTCGTGTTGAAGTGTGTGAAAAATAAATCACCGTAATGTTGTAGAGATGCTAGTGACAGCAGCGGATCACAGGAACTAATCTCTGACTTGTCCGGTCTGGTCGGGCGCGTCTGAGAGATCAATTGCATAAGGCCGTCGCGAGCCTCATTCGTGATGATAGGCAGCTTCGGGGGGGTTTCCCGTACGAAGGAATCCGGAGGCGGAAGGTCGTCAGTATATATATAAGAAGATCCCGCATGCGCGACGATTGTGGGTTTCTGATTTGATGAGAAATATAGGTGAGGACTGTCAAGCCCGATGATACCGAGTTCGCTCGCGGAGCCCTGATATGATGGAGACGACACACAATTGATCGTGCCAGCTGAAAACGGAGATTGCCTATCCGCCGATGACTTCCTGATCGTCTGACCAGGACTAGAGTCTGGAGATTGAAGTCCGGTGTTCAGATTCCGAGACTGAGACTGAGGGTGAAGTTTCAAGGCCGTCGATGAATCCCCGAGACCCGAGTGAAGTGGAGGCGGAGCTGAGTGAAGGGTTGGGTCAAAGCTTGCTGCTGGAAAACGATCCAGTGTGCGATCATGGACGAGCTCGTGCGTAGATGTCTTGCTTGGAGGGGGCTGTGAGTGATTGATGTCAGCATTGGCGATGTCATTCCCGAAAAGCCAGCTGTAATACTGCAGTGTCGGAAGCTGAGTACTGAAGGATATTGCTGAGACCATTAGTTATTTTAATCTTCAGCATATTCCTCATACGTACTGGTATCAGTAAAGGTTACATCGTTGTCGGGAAGGTCACAAGGGGCTTCAATCAGCGTCTGAAATGACTGGTTGGCCCAGCTGGCATCAGACAGAAAGTCCAGATCAGTGCCTTCACTTTGAGGCATGAAGCTCATGTCAACTGGAGGCCAACCGTCTTGAAGGTACGTGAGGTCCATTGCCTGATTGTTGCTCGTCTCGTCCGAGCCAGTGCTTGGATTCGACGTGATCCGAGACGGAAGACCACAATTCAAGCCATCCAACATTATGTCGCCATGCCGTACGCCTGTGTCATCGGGTATTATGTCATCCTGCCGTGCGCCTGTGCCATCAAGACCCGAGGTGCTGGACGCGATTTTGTGTGGGCGGCTCGCGTTGACCACTCTGCCTTCGCTGTCTCTCCAGAGGCGCTTTCGTGTAGCCAGGTTACCAAGGCCCACTCCACCAGCTTCGGCGTCCTTCTGTCGGTGGCGCTGTGCATGACGCTCCAAGAGGTCACGGCGCCTGAAATGGGCAGCACAGCGAGGACAAGTGAAGTCGGCGTCTTTGTGGTTGAATGCATGCCGGTGCAAGTGCTCACGTCTTGCAAATGACTTGCCGCAGCCCTGTTCGGAGCAGAAGAACCTCTTCTCCTTGTGAGCTGACTCCAAGGGAGCCGGATCGGCATACGCAGAAGGTGCCATTCTGGGATTCACATGGCTCGCTTGATGAGGCAGAAGTGGGAGTCAAGAGAAATCCAGGGCATATTATTCCACAAGGTGGGCGGCATATGCAAGAGGAAGCAAGGGAGAAAGGTAAGAGTCCACTGCATCTGTGGCATGTGCATGCAGGGGAGGCACGGGAAGGCCACTGGCATGACACATCCCGTGGGCCCCACTTAAACCGCATCCTAATCACCTTGGCTCGATCTCGTTATCTCGGTGTCGTATGTCGTGATTCTGAGGCTCATTAGGCTGATTAGCTTATCAAGTTGCTATTTAGAGGTGGAAAGCTCCGTTGTTGCCCATAGATTCAATGGTGTGCTGTTCTTCCCACGCATCAGAACTAACGCAGTGAGGACTGCCACTTAGGCTATCTCTTGCATTCGTCCACGCAGGCACCACATGCTTCAAATACTTCATAAATATGACCAAGCCAACCGCGTACTCGACATTACCCTCGGGATCAATAACTCTTTCCGGCCACGCGATGCCTGCCCCATAGAGCCCGTTGATTGCAACACCCTCTTCATCGTCGAAGCCACCCGTTGCCGAATCATGCTACAAGCCGTCCAGAATGATGCCGCTGACCCTCAGTCTTGGGATAGGACTCCGTTGGAAGCCAACGGCTTGAATGACGTGGGTACAATCTGGCAGATGAGCCAGATAGGCCGAGTTCTCGCCCTCTAACGTGGTCCCTATCTTGTGGAGGTTTTTGGCTACTGGCGACTGAGGCAGCCTGTGCTGCTCAAGATTTGCTCTGGCCCATGTGGCCACATCGCCTTTAAGGCCTGTGTTGTCGCGGAAGATCCTGCCATCACGCTCCTTGGTGTAGCGGAGGTCATGCCGCGTAAACCACTTGATCCGTAGGTGGGGATGAGAGGTGCCGGCCAAGTTGCAAAGATTCATGAGCACGAGTATGGTGCTATGGGAGGCGCCAATGACAGCTACCGTTGCATGAGTACCACATGGCAATATTGTGGACAGAAGAATCGGGTTCAACCCATCGTCTAGGCCGATATCTTGCAAAGATGTCGTTGGGAGGAGGCAAGTGGCTGGAGAGGAGCCAGTGCATAGCACCAGGAGCTCGGAGGATGCGATATTATGACTCGGTGAGTCTCCGCTCTGTGACCTCACTATAATCTTCGACAGTCCTTATCCTGTCCACCGTCAATTACTTCCCTATGCGAACTTTCAATAGTATGGATTCTTACATCTGACCAGGATGCGTCCGTGACAGAGCCTGCTTGTATGATGACCTCGTCAGGCTTTGCAAGCCCTTGCTGAGCATGAGGCACATATCTGCCGCATCTGCAATCATGCATGTCTTCTCTTGGTCTAGGTCCTTGAGACAACTAATGGTATTTGGCTCTGGTCCTTTTCTGGCAATGGTGCGAAATGCCAAAACTCCTTCAGCATACGCCACGAACAGTTTGACCTTCGTGTTGCTGAAAGACATTTGTCAGATGAAGTTTGCGCAAGATGATGGCTAGGATGCTTCTAGCCTTGGTACCTGTCCGTAGCACTTACTCAAGCGTCTACCTTCAAATTGCTCGTCCACCCAGAGTAAAGGGGACTTATGTTGCTCGAGCAAATTGCCCACAACAGCTATGCCTGCGGGTCCGGCGCCAACAACCACAGCCTTATACTTCATCTCGCATTTCAACTTAAGATCCTAGGAGTGTTTGCTGCCTTGAGACAAAACAGGTTGACTGTGAGGTATGCGGACAGGTGCTATACCTCGAGGGTCCAATCCGGTCTGATAGTATCACTAGTATCTCGCCCGGAGAGGCTCAATATTGCATGGGTGAAACTGAAGTCTTGTAACGCTCGTAGTATCTTATCGAGGATAGGTACAGATATCTATGTGCGTTGATTCTGGAGGGTCCGCTACCCAGCAGACAGAAAATGTCCACATTATTTTACTCCTCCATCCCTAAGGCATTCAGAAAGACGTAAGTAAATGCATGTATACCCTGGAAAGTGACTTGGACGTTACTAGTTGCAAAGTGGATCTAATCTATGTCCATCTTGTGAATTTCGGGCTGGAGTGGGTTGAGTACATCTGTGATTAGGTAACAGGCTAGAAGCACGCCAGCTATAGCACGCGATAAATGTCGTGCGGCAGGTGTCGAATGGCGACATTTTGATGGCTTCTCCAAAGTGGGCGCAGACATCAACTTACCTCAACCTCGATAGCCAATCAGTGCATATCAGAAAGTTCGCGCAATGGTGTTTGCACTGGCTAGTAGCTTGGAAAATTCAACAACTCCGTCGACCTACCTGTCCCACAGAGATCAAAAGTGGGATAGATTCGCCAGCCTGCCCGACAGGCGACACGAAGCGGCATAGTCGAACAACAGCATCTTGAGAATTGCGATATCACAACGCAGGTACTCTCGCGGGTATATATTCGTCGTCGTCGTTGTTGCCGCAATGCCACATGTCGGGGAGAACTTGTCCGTGCACTTCACGTTGTCTTCGTGCTTGAGAGACTTTGAACCTCTCGTGCCTCTTAACCTCAAACATTCCGACATGGAGAAAACCCAGCCAATACCTAGCACTACTGGCCACGGCCTTTCCTCCAGTGAGGATGGCAGCATTCAAATTGACTATGCTGCCGAGCAGAAGCTTGTGCGGAAACTGGATGTACGTCTTCCTGTTGCAATAATAGTTCCCATCTTCAGGGGCAAGATACCGCTGACACAACAAATAGCTGTATATCATGCCGTAACTATGTCCGATAAAATCGACAGATGTGCAATTGACAAGATCCAGTTTGATCATGCTGTTGTACCTTTTCAGCTTTCTTGATAGGTCAGTGTTCGGTTCCTGTCGTGGTGGCCAATGATCTTTTCCCGGTCGCTAATACCTCCACAGAGTAAACATAGGAAATGCCCGGTTGGTACCCACGGCTGCAGGCCCGAAATCTTTCATTGACGATGTCCAGGCTGTACGGTCTCGAAGAAGACCTTGGTCTGCACGGCAATCAATATCAGATCCTGGTCTCGGTTCTCTTTGTCACGTATATCACCTGTGAGCTTCCATCAAACCTGGTTGTCAAAAAAGTCGGCCCTTCGAGATGGATCGCCTTCATTGCTCTATCCTGGGGTCTTGTCGCGACCTTTAGTGGCTTTGCACAGAATTTCGGGGGTATGCTCGTATGTCGCCTGCTCTTGGGTGCCTTTGAAGGTGGCATGTTCCCAGGAATAGTGGTCTACTTGACATTCTTCTACACAAAGCGCGAGCTGGCGCTGCGGATTGGTTACTTGTTCACGTGTTCCGCGCTGGCTGGGGCATGTGGAGGGCTGCTAGCATATGCTATTGGCTTTATGGACGGTCAGTAGTCGCACTCTCCCGATACGGATATTCTAATGCAATCTCAGGCATCGCTGGACACCGTGGCTGGAGATGGATCATGTGGTTGGAGGGCGCTCCGACCGTGGTTTTGGCCTTCGCAATCTGGCTCTTCTTGGCAGATCAGCCATCAACGGCCAAATACCTAGCCCCTGGAGAGAGAGTCCTTTTGATGGCTCGTCTGAATCGCCAAACCGGTATGACAAAATCAGCCCAAGAGCTCCGATCGAAAGACGTCAGAAAAGGCCTCCTTGACTGGAAGGTCTGGACATTCTGCTTCGCTCAATTCGGCGTCGACACTATGCTCTATGGCTTTAGTACCTTCTTGCCGACCATCATCAAAGGCATCATGCCTACAGCTACGAGCGCCATCGTACAGGTTCTCACAATCCCGGTCTATTCTCTCGGCGCAATAACATATCTGATTGTCGCCATCATCTCTGACCGCCAACAGCGACGTGGATTCTACTGTGTGGTCTTCGGTTCAGTCTCGATATGCGGTTACATTATGCTCATATCAAATGGCGGCAGCGGCGTGCACTATGCAGGCTGCTTCCTGGTGGCTTGTGGGATGTACTGTGTCATCGGGCTCCCGCTCGCCTGGCTGCCTTCGCATACTCCACGATATGGAAAGCGTACAACAACCATAGCGCTTCAGGCCATGATTGGTAACAGTGCGGGCATCATGTCTAGCTTTGTAAGTGGTTCCCGTATCTCTCTGTCGCGTTCGGCCCTTTGGGTGTATCTCGAAAGGACACATAAAACTATGCTAACACAAAGTACAGCTCTATCCTAGTACTGAGAGTCCACGTTTCATCAAAGGACATGCCATTACCATCGCCATGGTCGCCTTTGGGACCCTCAGCTTCGGGTTTATGTGGGGCTACTACTCTGTCGTCAACAAAAGAAGGGTAGAAGGGAAGGAGGATCCCAAAATTGCTGGAATGTCGGACGAGGATGTTGAGGAGCTAGGAGATGACAGTCCCAAATTTACCTATGTTACCTAAGGAGGTTGGGAAAGCCAGAGAAACGCAAAAGCCAAACGACACAGAAAATAGAAGGCTATGCAAAGGGATTCATGAGCACGACATACCCCTCCTCGGTGTATTGAGTTCTGAATCAGGTAGCATCCACGAAGTCCGCAAGCTTTGCTTCAAATGGAGATCACAAGAATTGGCTTGACAGGTTCATGGGACTCAATATGACATGGTCGAGACATACCGACATAATGGTCATTATTCAATTTTTAGATCGTACATGATCGACTATATCATAAGCCTTCCTCCGATGGCATGCCCCTTTTTGCTTTGATCACAACGTCGAACTTCTTTGGCTTCACAAACCACGCAGTATGCAACTCCCAATCCTCGTCACTACACAGCCGGATCTAAAGTAGTTCATCAGCATGTCAGGATCACCAGAAGATAGATTCAACAGAAATCAAACTCTGTGAAAATTCTCGATACGGGGTCTGCTTACCTCAAATCGTCTCAAAAAGCTCGGAATCAGTTTATACATCTCCAAAAGGGCGATGTGCTTGCCGAGACATGTCCTCGAACCACCTCCGAATTGGAACATGACGTTGTTCATCTTTTTCAAGCGCAACTCATCTGCTTCTGTGTCGGCAGGGTTCACCAGCCATCGCTCCGGTCTCCAAGTATCGACGTCTTCGCCAAAAATCTCCTGCCGGCGATGTATGACCCAGGGGTTGCAGCCTACTATTGTCCCGCCCGGAATGAATCGGCCACAGATCTCCATGCCCTGCGGCGCTACGAGTCGCTCCAGGATCATGCCAATGGCTGGATGCATGCGGAACGTTTCTTGGATGCAAGCATGTAGATATGGCAGTTTCTGTGCGTCGGTCCACGTTATTATCCCTCCTGTGTCTGATATCAAGCCAGCATTAATGGCATCGTCGATTTCCCGGTTGAGCTTCTGGTAGCATTCGGGGGACTTGAGAAGGAAGTAAAAGACTGCTGCGAGGCTGATGGCTGTTGTGTCAGATCCAGCAAGGGCAATCGAGGTTGTCATTGTTAGGAGGCGTCCATCATCGAAGAAGTCAGGGTTCTCTGTTTGAGCCTTCAGAAACATGGTCAAAAGGTCCATACTGTCCTTTTTATATGCGCCCGACAGTCGCTCGGCCATTCTAGCTCTTGAGAATTTGGCCGTCCCCGACGAGTTGTCGATGTATCCATATTTACTCTTAATAACAGAGTCAGAATTGTTTGGGAAGCACTCGAAAATCCAAAGAGTGTCCGGCTGCTGGAGACCGCTTATGAGGGGGCGCGACTCACGAGCAAAGTTCTGATCGGATTCTTCACAAACACTTTGTCTAGCCAAGGCATCTGGCCAACCTGGGATAGACGATCAGCCGGCCTGGCTGGTGAGCGGGATTGTTTCACTTACCGGCGCCTGATAGTCAAAGATCTTTCCAAGCCAAGCAATGATACCATCGACGTCTTCGCAGTTATCCACGAAGCCGACTCTCCTACTGTACGTAATCTCCGTAATGACATCAAAGGCAAAGTATTGGAGCCAGAGGATAAAATTGCAGGGTTGGCCAGGCTTCGCATAGAGTTCTTCCGTCCGTTGCAGGAAAACTCGAACAGTATCGTTCACTCGGGGTTCGTATTGAACCAGTGAGGTCATGGAGAATGCATTGCTGACAGTCCGTCTAAGCTTCATATGATAGTCTTGGTCTTGTGTTCCGAACAAAGACTGGAGCACCTCGCCTCGTGATAGCTGCATCTGCACCGGGTAAAATGCACTCTGCCGGCCTATTAAAATGTGATCGACATATCGACAGATAGTCATACCTTTGTCAATCGAACATTCAACCCATATATTGCCTTGAGGGCTTCTGGGCTGCTGAAGGAAAGCGAATTAGGTCCGAGCCTAACGATATCTCCATATCGGTCATGTAGCGTTCGCAAAGTCAGTTGCGATTTGCCACTCAGCACACTGAAGAATCTCCAGACGTCTGTGAAGTTTGAAAGAAAGGGCCCTGGATATTTGTTGAAGCCTTTGTTCAGATAACTTCGCACAAACGTTGCAATAACGATCGCGGCTAGGATGATCAGTGGTGATTTGGCAGGGAGACTCGCCAGCAGATTGTCCATCGTCCTTCACCGAAAACCTCGGGAAAGGTGCAAGGAGAAGTAGCCCGGTAACCTGCACTAGCATCAACCTCAGCAGCCAAAATGATCACGAGTATATACCCGAATACATGATCTGGTACTGTGTAATCGGTGGCATTGGAAAGAGCAGGAGACCCGAGGATTCTGGTGGGTCTAGAGGGTGCGCTAAGCACGGCTCAGAAGGGGCGTGGACTGGATAAAGTGGGCACAGGGATAGGCCAAGAGTGGGATGTAAATTCATCAACGAAAGTAGGATGTCGGCAACTTATCCGTGGTGAGGTCGGAAATGCAGGCAGAGTAGGTCTGGAAGCGACCACAATGCAAGGAGACAACATTCCCAGCAGTACTCATCAGACGAACAGGCGAGAAGACGCATAACGATTGGTTGTCCATCCAAAGCCCTTCCGCCAGCATGAGTGACATTGTTGTAGAAAACTATAGGTCTTAGCTACAAGTTAAGCCGCCATAATATGAGAGGACTTCACACGTACCATCTGTGGACAAATCTTCTATTTTCTAGAGTGATACCCCCTCCTCAGCTAATTAACTCCTCATCATGATTCGGAAGTGTTCGCGCGTGGCAGTCATCGGTGCTGGTCCAGCAGCAGCAATTGCCACAGATGCCCTGGTCAAAGAGCAAGCGTTCGACACAATCCGAGTATTTGAGAGAAAGGGAATTGCAGGTGGCACTTGGTATGTCCATTGTGGCTCCGGAAGCTGCATATGCATATTTGCTAACGACATCCTAGGGTGTATGGTTCTGAGCATTCGCCAAAGATACCTTCACTTCGTGCGCTTCTAGAGCACAATGCAGACCAGCCCGTGCTCATTCCTGCTTCTTTTCCGTCCGAGACCGACAGGTCCGAGTCGATCAACTCGCACCAGCTACGCTACTCGGATACAGGTATCCACCAGTACCTTCATAGTAACCTTCCGCCTCAGACTATGTGTTTTACCAAGGAGCCAATTCCGGAAATTCTGTCAGAACGCACGTTGGCACAATATGGTAGCAATGCTCCCTTTCGTCACAGAGAAGTCATCCGTGGATGGGTAGAAGATATCTTCGTTCGTGGCGGCACACTCGAGCTTATTGAGTTCAATACGACTGTCGAGCGTGCCGAAAAGAAAGGACATGAGTGGATACTGACTTTACGGAAGGAAACACCAGGCAGCAAGAAGAACTATTGGTGGCAGGAAGTGTTCGACGCACTGGTCGTTGCAACTGGCCATTTCTCTCTTCCCTACGTGCCTAGTATTCCGGGACTTGCAGAATACGACGAGAAATATCCTGGAAGTATCAAGCACAGTAAACATTTCCGGTCGGTGGATGAGTTCCGGGGTAAGGTAAGAGCTTGTGCCCCGTTCTTGATCCTCACACCCCCCTTTTGCTCGTTTGTCTCAATGCACACAATGCTTGAAGCTGGAATACTGTATCTTACGTATCAATTTCCAGAAAGTCATCATAGTAGGCGGATCTGTCTCAGCATTCGATGCACTACACGAAATTCGATTAGTGGCACAGCATCCCGTGATATCCTCCCTGAAGGAGCCTATACCAGCTTTTGGCTGGGGTGCCTTCACACACCCACATGTTGCCATCAAGCCGCCAATTGCCAGGTTCCATCAGGACGGACGAATCGACTTCTGTGATGGTTCATCTGTCGAGCGTGTCGACATCGTCCTTTTTGCCACAGGCTACGACTACAGTTTTCCATTCTTACCAGAGGTAAATGGAAGGATAAAAAACAGGAGAATTCAGGGTCTGTATCAGCATGTGTTTGACATCGAAGATCAGACACTGGCATTTATTGGAATGGTGAGTTTCAGAGCTGCTTTGAAATTGCAATCTGGCAGTTTAGATCACTAAGCTGATATGTACGGTTCCTCAGGTTTCGGGCGGCCTGACCTTCCGTGTGTTTGAATGGCAGGCCGTAGCAGTGGCTCGGCTATTAGCAGCACGAGCTAGACTACCTGTACGACACCTGATGCAAAGATGGGAACTTGCCCGGCTCGCCTCTCGAGGGGACGAGGTGCAGTTCTTCGATATCTCGTCGGACTTCGAGGAGTATTTCGAGGGCCTTAGGCGCTTTGCGGGAGAGCCAGCCGCCGGTTCCATTGGCAGAACTCTGCCCAAGTACGATCCAAAATGGAAAGACGCATTTTTAGAGGTGGTAGTCAAAGCGAGACTGCAATGGTGGGATCAGGAGAGGCGTAAAGCGGAGGAGCAGATACGAGTGTTAGAAGATCGACGAAAGGCGGATAAGGATAGTGGAAGTCACATGGTTAGGGTGAGGTTATGAAGTAGACAAGAACAGATTATGAATGTTTCAGCGTTGGTAATGGTAACGATGCACAAGTGGAATGGCACCCACTTCTACGTACCATCAAAGCGATCCCAGAGATATATAGACAATCGATATTCATGCTGAAGCAGTGCATTGCCCCCGGGTGGATCCTAGTTACTCACCACGGCGTCTGCTCAAGTAGTTCCTGTCACATGGGGTCAGCATATAATACACCCGACTGTACTCTTGAGGGCGTCATAATACTGCTGTTATACATCATCTGGAATAAGTCCTACCGATCTTTTGATGCCGCTGGGCTCGTCTCCCGGATCAAGTCGTTTCTCCAGGACGACATCAAAGCACAGAAAATGATGGATTTGTACCAGATCACGGCCGACATGGATCGAAACAAGACCTTCTACAAAATGCAAAAGTTCACCGCAGACGGTCTTTTTCTCGCTGTACACTGGGCTGCTCTCCGTGCAAATCCGGAAATTTACGCATACCGGTTCGACGTGCCTTCACCGTTTGAGTGCGATTTCAAGGACCAGCCTCATCATTCTCTGGACAACGTCTTCATCTGGGGCTTGCTCAAGGAGTTGCTGCCCCCCCACCAATAACGGATATCCGAAAAGATGTCAGAGGCGTGGCTGAGGTTTGCCATCGGCCAGGAGCCATGGGATCGGTTCGACAAGAGACAAGAGTTCATGATCTTCGGACCGAAAGAATGCAGGATGAGGAGTGTAGAAAAGGATGCTGCGAGGGGCTACGCAATTTGGGAAGAAATAGAGCGTGAAGGGTTGATGCAGGATTTTGGAGAGCTGTGCATGCGACATTCGGAAATGTGTGACCCTACTGCCACACCAAAACAGCTCGAGACGAAAAGCTTTGAAGCATTGGGCATCAGTACAGGAAATCAGCCTGGTGGGCTGCGGCTTGGATTCTGATTGATATCGACGAGTGTATTCCACAAGGGTTAGTATGTCAGTATGTCAGGAAGACCCGGCCATGCATACCAAACCCCAGATATAATTGCCAGTACACGCGGACAAAAGGCTGGATTGCCTTGTGGCAGAACTGGTAGAACACATATGGACCCATAACGTCAGGATCGAGCATCTGCGTGCGCCTCTCATCGTCGTTGCCAAAGTATAATTACTCGACCAGCTAAGGCTACTGAGCATTGTAGATACGGGTGGTGTGTCAAGACGAAATTTGGCTAAAAGCACGGTGGTGGCTTGGTCAAATGGCAGAGGTTGCTCACGCGAAAGGAGGAGACGTACAGACACTTCCTTAGCTGAGAAAGGCCGAAGTGTGTTCTTCGGTTGGCAACAAAACCTAAATTGGATTATGTTGTCTCAATCTATCCGAGCAGTTGTTGAAAATCTGGACTGAACTTATAGTCTGTGTATCCTTTTGGTGAGAGCACTTCGTAGAACGTATCCCGGTTGTATTTCGTAAATGGGATCCCTTTCTTCACACGGAACGGCAGATCCGGATTCGATATAAATTGTCGACCAAAGGCAACCAAGACATCTTTGTCTCGGTATTTGCCATCAACAGCCTGTTGCGCACTTTCGGCTGTGTAACCTCCTGCCACAATGACCGGACTGGTATTGTTCCATGCATCGACAAACACATCGATACATTCCCGAAGATCGGTATCTGCGTTTCCTGCCACTCTGGCCTCGATGATATGCAAGTAGGCCAATCTGAGTTTCTGTAGCTCTTGCAAGAGATAGGTGAACTGTGGTACAGGGTCCTCCATACCCATTCCATGATGCTTACACCACGGGCTGATTCGAAAGCCAACCTTGTCAGCACCTATAGCTTCCGTGACTGCTTTGCTGACCTCGATTCCAAACCTGGCTCTCTTCTCGATGCTACCTCCCCAGCCATCGGTTCGCTTGTTACATGTGTCTTGGGTGAACTGATCGACCAAGTAGCCATTCGCGCCATGAATTTCAACTCCATCGAAGCCGACGGCGACAGCATTGATAGCTGCTTGACGAAAGTCGTCGATACATGCCCAAATTTCGTCTTCCCGGAGAGGACGTGGCACTGCGGATTCCGGATTCCATGGGATGTCGCTGCTCGAGATCACTTCTGCGCCCGCAGCCACAGCTAGGGGTCTTGCTGCACGTCCTGTTATCCACAGCTGCGCGAAAATGTATGAACCCTTGGCATGCACAGCTTCGACCACGGGTTTCCACTTTCTCCTCTGTTCCTTGTTGTAGATACCGGACGTATTCTGCCAGACACTTGCGCGGGTAGATGTTGCTATAGCTTCGGAGATCAGAAATGTTCCTGGTACCGAAGCCCTTTGAGCGTAGTAGTCGACCATGAGATCACTTGCTACGTAGTCGTCATGAGCCCGCCGTCTGGTCATTGGGGCCATTGCAATGCGGTGTTGCAGATGGCAGGGCCCGACCTGCACGGGCGAAAACAATTTCGACATCGGGATCTCTGATTGTCGCTCGCGTGAGGCTGATTTTAGGAATCCATCCTTCGATCTCGAAGTTCATTCCAGGAGTAGACATGGATGTTATTGGCAGTCGAAGGAGCGATCCAGTCCTCCCTGCATGTGCTGCAATGTTACGTTGATGGCAGGGCTCTCATTGACCGGCCCATCAGTGCCCAATCCCTCATTCGGGTTGGATAATTCAGGGTGGGATTGGGCGTGTAGTAGCGTGTAGCTACTACATCGTGATCTAACTGAGAGACGTTTCGAGGCCGAGGCCGAGGGCCAATCATCTGATAAACCAAGGTTGGAGGAGACTGCTGATGGTAAAAGTGGGATTCGAGCGTACCGGACTTAACGACGGAGAGCCTGTGTAGTCTTAGGTACTCGGCATACTGTTTGGCAAGCCTCGTCACTCAGCCCAAGGGAATGAGCGCATTTAGCCAAGGGTGCAAATTCAGGTGGTTGCCGAATCTCCATCAACGCAAAAGAGCACCTAAGGGAAGAGACCAAGGTTGAATATCCACGAGCCGAGTAGTAAGTAGATTTGGAGGCGAGTTGCGAAGGAGGTTTTACCCTAGAGTTACTAACTAAGCAAGTCTGGGCCATCGATGCCTCAATTAAAAGCACGTCTACTCCGTACATGATGAGGCAGTTCCAAGCTTGGATGGTTGATGGCCGCCTTTCCGAGTCCAATGTCTACTCTGGCGCGTTAGAAATGGGTATGGGTGTGCTCTCGGAGCACAACGGTGACACTGGCGAGAATTACATGAATCGAATGTTAGCGGTCTTCCCTTGACATCGTTGACTCAACGCATGATACCTTCTATGTTCTTTTATCTCGTTTCTATCGCCAACGCCAGTTTCTCTTTCTCTCTTCACGTTGAGATGGTTGTCAATGTCTCCTTACTTGCGGTGTCCAGACTCCTCCACGGCCATGTGCTGGTTCACGATACGTTCCTGAACTGGACATATCTTCAATCTTGGTGGCTCGAGTCCAAGCTTGTGAGATGATCTGTTTTGTACTTGGAGGACTGATTGTACTAGCAGTATTTTATAGGTTTGACGTTCCGGAAGTCGTCCGATTGACAGCCCAGAGATCCTCAGCATTCCCTTGAAAAAGGCGATCTATCAGAATCCGGTCGTGCTTACACCATTCGATACACTGCTGCACAAATGGTGCTATACTCAACCCGTTGAACCGAGTATGCGGCCAGTCCGTGGCGAAGACCAGCCGTGTCGTCCCAACTACTCGAAGAAGCTCTAATGCTAACGGGGCCAGGTCGCCCAAGGCTGTATCGTGCGATACTCGATAAGGCGCGGAGAACTTGACGTATGTCTTGCCCTGGGCCAGGAGATCGACCAGGGACCTGAATCCAGCTATGCTGTAGGGGTCCGTCGTGTCGATCAACGAAGGGGACAGGTCAGGAGAACCAAAGTGGTCGAGACAGATCTTCACATCGAGATCAGCTGCAAACTCCACAAGCCAATCGACTAGGACCATAGGTATATGGAGCTGAATGACCCAGGATAGAGGGCGAGCGGCGTGGGCGCTACGGCGCAGAAGACGTTCAAAGGTTGACCGGTCCATCGTCGCGCCGACGAATTTCAAATTGATGCGTACTCCTCGCACACCCAGACGGTGCCATTGCTGGAGCGTCTCGGAGCTAGTAGTGTACGGGTCGAAAGCGACGATGCCACGGGCGCGGCGATCCCCAAGCTGGCGGAGAGCGGAGAGCGGAGAGGAGGTAGGAGTTGTCATTGCCATAGCACGACGGTTGGACGAGGACGATGTTGCTAATACCCAGGATCGATTCAAAGGCTAGGGCTTGTGAGAGGCTGGAGGGAATGGAATGATATGGTGCAGTGGGTGAGTCGAGGCTGTGAGGTTCGAAGACGTGCATATGGCTGTCCCATGACCGCGGTGGGAGTTTCGGTTGGCGGGTGAATGAGTGGTCTTGCCTTGCTTGGTCTCGTGGTCGAGTCTCGTGTTCTAATGACATCCTGTGTCGTGGCTTGCAGACCAAAACCCTCTGTTATTTGTGCTGTTATCATGTCATGTTATTAGTACAAGTGTAACATACTCCGTATCCGTGGCCTGAAATTCTTTCCAAGACCACTCCTTTAACCACCAGACACCAAGCATGTTTGACTCCTCGCAATGCAATCGCCCCTTTCTTGCAGGTCTTTCCTCACATATAGAGCCTGCTTTAGACAACAGAGGGCTTTGATGGATTATTTACCGGACCATACCCGATCCAATCCTAGGGGTCATGCTCTGTCTGCGGAACTCAGCCTGACTCTGCCTCCTGGAGTTAAGCGCTCGTCTCGCTTCCAGACTTGTTCTCGAAGCTCTCCTAGAATCCGAAGTACCCGAATTTGAACGTAGATATGACAGACGGCGCCCTTGGTTATCTGCGCGAGCATCTGCAAGCGACTGGGCGAAGGGCGACTTCTTTCGCAGGGTTGCTCCGTACCAGTAGATAACGTAGACGGCAAGGACGAGTAGAGTGGCAATGCACGCAAGAATTGTGGCAGCATAGTCTAGATGGTAGCGGCCACCGATATCTGATAATTGTTAGCTCTGAGTCGAAGGAGTGGAAGACAGCAAAGTACTCACTTTCGAAGAATGGTGTAGCTGGGATGGTGAGGACACCGGCTAGGAAATCTCTGGACCAGCCATTACCTCCAGTAGCCGAGGCCGAGTATGGACCATAGGCGCAGATCATGTAGTCGACCGTAGCCATGTAGATGGAGTAATTTGCGATGCCCACAATCCCTGCAAATATCATTGAGCCGATCCAATGGATTGGCGGGCCTTGGATCGTCCAAGCGAAGCCAAAAAGACCGATCGGAAGAGTAGGTGCAGTGTACAGAAGCCACCATAATCGAGACTCGTATTGGGCCTTCTCGTCGCCAGGGTTTTTCTCTCGCTCCTTGATATTTCTCCTGATGGCAGGAATAAATGACATCCATGCCACGAAATAACCGATGCCGAGCGGAAGGAAGGACAGACCAACGGCCCAAGCGCTAAAGTTCCATTGGCCGTAAACCAAGGCGAATGACTGAATAAACATGAAGATAAGGGCGTCGGAGAAACCGCTGAGGAGTGAAAGTGTGAGTACTATCGGTTCGGTCACGAACATCTTGAATGGTCGCATCCAGGTGATGAGCACTTCTTTGGCAGAGAAGCGGTCCCTGAACGGCTCGAGCTCGTTGGGTCCCCAGATGTTCTCGCCAGTGGCCTTGCGTCTTTTCTTTGCGATTCTGTCCATGATGATGGTTGTGCGAGTTTCGGGAACCAAGAAGAAATGAGCAGCCTGAACAAAGCCGCCGAAGATAAGTTGAATCCAGATGCTCCACCTCCATGCGAGGTATTGCTCCACGAATCCACCAATAATGGGACCTAGGACTGACCCAAAGACTGACGAGAAGACCACATAAGCCACAGCATATTGCTGGTTGTCAGCGTCCCATAAATCGGCTGTACACTGTTAGAAGGCCGGTCATTATTAAATTTCGAATAACTCACCGATCATCCCGAGCGTGACTGAACCTCCAGCAGAGCTCAAACCTCCCAACGCTCTTCCAACCATGAGAGAAGCAAAGTTAGGAGCCAGGGCCACAGGAAGTTGCCAGATGTTGACGAGAGTCAGAGAAAGTTGGAGAACTGGCCAACGACCAAACTCTTCACTCCAAGGTGCCCATAGCTCACAGCCAAAAGCATACAGGACCAAGAAGATCATGGCTCCGCAGCGAGCTGCTTGAGCGCTGACACCAAACTCGGCCGAAATGCCCTTCAGACCATTGGAATACAAGCTGGTGTTGAAATTCATCGAAAGCTGGACGAGGAAAATGACGGTGAGAACAGTCCACTTTTTCCACTCTGGCCACGCATAGCCGAGCTCGTTGTAGCAATCATCTTCGGTGATTTCGATCTTATCGAAGGTCTCAGGCTTAGGCTCGACATCTTGACTCTCCTTTTCGGAAAGAACAGTCCCCAAATGATCTGCTTGCTGAGGATTTCCTTGGGGGTTGACGGCAGGAGTCGCGTCGTCGCCCTTCACAGTGGAAGCCTTCTCCCATTCTCCATTTTCCTCTTTAGCCTCTTGAGTTGGGCCTCGCTCAGGATCAAACGCGGGAGTGGTGAAGGTGGGATGCTGATCTTGACGGTCTGTAGCCATGATGAAATGAGGCAAACAGGAAAGCCAACAAGATAAAACAGACGTCGGCCACAGAAAGGGTTGAACAACAAAACAAACAAGTGTCGGGGAAGATGGGGTACCGCAGAGTATATAGGGTGATAGGATCTGGTGGATTAAGATGGATGATCATGTGCAGGTCTGGCCTGCCTTGCCTACTGCTTATTTTCTGCGGTGTCGAGAGTTCACAGCGTTTCATCGAGTATTGGTATCCATGGTATCTCCGTACAATGTGCAATGATATCAGTAGTGGAGATAGGAGGCGGCCTTCACAAATCAAATGAGGATGCTCACGGATGCTGCGCTATGACGAGCGTGCCATGACGGGTACCTTCCACCATCTTAGTGGTTCTTAGTGGTTCTTACCAGGTAGTTTGTGGTCAGGCGCCAAATAGTGACACGGAGGCAGGGGCGGGAGGGTATCGGCTAGATTAAGTTAGTGCTGCATCGAATGTCCGTGGTTGCATCATCCCTTCCCTCATTTTGACATACAATCAATCCATGGCAAAGCAGAGGACGGCGTGGAAAAGCTCTGCGTTATCAGTACAGGAATCCCAGCCGAGAGAACATTACCTTAGGTACCTGGTATTTTGGACAGAAGGCATTTCGATCGAAAAAAGCTCGTAGAAAAAAGCCGTTGATTCAGATGCTTGTTTTTCTGACCAAGACCGAACTTTTTCTCTCCTTCAGCCACAAAAGCTTGGCATAGCCTTACTACCCATTTAGGTATAAAACGATGACGTCGTCGAAAGAAGCTTGTTTTGGGCTTAGAATTTTCAGGCCCAACCACCAACCACACACATTCCCGTGAACCGCAAAAGACAGGGCGTGACAGTGGTACTTTCGATAGTCAAGCAATATGTTGCAGCCATTGTCCATCAGTGTCAGCCCCGTCAAGCCCCGAGAGAAGCCCGTGCTACATATGAAGGAGCACACATGGTCAAAGTGGCCTCAAATTGACCAGGCACCCACAGGCAAGACCAGGCTCGCAGGATGAGAAATATATCACCGCACACGCCGGCCGATCGTCGTGATCATCCAGAGATTCGCCATCGTGGCCATCCAAGCTCGATCGACGCCAACACGTATCTTATCGGACGGCCTGGTCCCGACCACGAACAGCTGGTTCCAGACTCCAGCATCTATCGTTTATGAAGCTCTCAAACCTGAGTACTTTTGAATAGCGCCTAACGCCTTACTGGCTGGAAAAGACAATGAAGCACACGATCATAGATATATCGGCAGCACTCTTTCGCCCGACTTCGATGCCGATCTGACCGCTCGAGAACGCCTGACCATGCTTCCGACGCCGCCACCATCCGCTGACGCTAGGCTGGAGGTCGTATTTGCTCCTCCTTGACCATCATCTTGAAACACTTGAAGTGAATTGATCGCCCAGTAAGCACCGGCAAAATCCTTGGGATTGTTGGCCACGTATTCTTCGCAAGTTGGCGCAAGTGACGCGCAAGAGGTGGTATTCCAGACCTGACCCGCCCACTAAACGAGGGACAGTTAGCCTTGCATTAGACGAGGGAACGAGAAATTATTGGATTACTTACCTGCCCGCAGAACGTGGTGTCAAAGATGATCTGCAAATTCTTGAAGTGATCGTCGATGTTGAAGCTTCCTTGAAACACAGAGTTCGGGGTACCCCAGTTCCCGCTGGGGTTTGGATTACTGCTGACAATGTCGTCAGGGAAGCTGCCGCGGGGGAAGTACCAGATCTTGATGAACTGCGACGTCCATTCCGTTGCGAAGACACCGCCTCCAGCGGAATTGAAGTCGCTCCCAAATGTCAAGTTAGATATGTCGCCAATGGAACATCCTGCATTCTTCGATTGGCCCGGAGCATTGATATCGCAGTCCGGTGTGACCAATTCGCCTGAAAAATGTGCGCCGTCGCTGATGACTGGGCCCGAGTTCGTGTGAAGAGTCATGCTGTTGGTGACCTGGTCATTAACTCCTTCGACAATATCGATCTCGCCATTGTTGGGCCAGTCTGATCCCAGCATCCAGAATGCAGGCCACGTTCCACAAACACCTCCAGGCATATGAGCAATATCGGCAACCACCAAAGCATGTTGAAATGTCTGAGTCGATGAAACACGAACACTGGCCCGACCCTGGGGTGCAACTTGTTCGGTGTCGACACCCATATACACGGCCAGTGATGAGTTTCCTGACTCTATAAACCCTGCAAGCCCTGTTGCGTTTGCGGCGTCAAGAGATTGAAATTGGACGTGGCCATCGGTTGGATCAGGGTCCGTGAAGAATTCGAAGCCTTGCCAGAAGGCATCTCCAGAATAATCTTGCACCAACTGATAGTCTGCCAGAGTGGTTCGAAAAGTCATGCTGACTAGCAGCACGAAGAAGGTCATGCCCAGCATTTTGCTTCTGCTATTGTCTTTCCAAGACAATACTCTAAAAGAAGTGAAGGCACTGCCGCCTGCGGACTTTGGCGTTTGAGGTCAAATATCGCGGTCACTGGGATTTCGATAAGGATGCGAGCAATGAAGGTCTTGGGATGGTAATGAAGGGAGAGCAGTGGATGGGAATACTGAGAGAGCGTAAGAGAACGGCAGGGCGAAAAAGAATGATTCAGGATATGAAAAAGAAAACGACTGAATAAGGAACGGAAGGTTCTCAGAATTCTCAATATCAGAGCAGCTATTGTCACCATGGCGCAGGCTGGAATGAGGTTTCTGCCACACCCGGGTGATAGACTCTGGAATGTGGTCCGTCTTTGGCGCAGCCATCTTTGTGGTGAAGGAGGCAATCCAAGACATCAGAATATCTTTTCGTGCCTGGTACCATTCAAGGGGGAATACTACGGCAGGTTGGCATCAATCGTCGACAACAGCATCCCCCATGGACAGAGAGCATGTTATATCCAGTCAAAATAGAAATGAAGCGAGACGGCTGAAACCAGAGTCCTCAGTCCGTAGATTGGTGAATACGAGATTCCAGATGCGTTTGTGAAACGCGTTTCGGCAATCGCCTGCGTGTTTTCTCTCCCCGCAATCGCTTCACGTTGACTGGGCGGCAACATTTCTCAGGACCTTGGTCTCTCAACGGTCTCTGTGGTCTCTCAAACACCAGCAGACAAGACATTCCATGCCATTCCAACACGTCGCAGCGCATACAACGCGACCAAGATATGGCCGTTCATCCCGATCCTGATCCCTCCTGTCCGCCGCTGCCATCATGACCACTCGGGCAAACCCAGATGTACCTCCTACACAGCCCACGTTCGAGCCCGCCGACCCTGTTTCCATCGCCGACCTGTCTCCAGTTCCTGCCAATTCCTCATCGCATATCCTTGCAAATGTCGCCCTTGTCTGGCCCTATTCCAGCTCCACAGGCACACTCGCGCTGTTATTGGCAGACCCCGATATCCGGGCTAGGAAGGCAAGAGGACAGGTCAAGGTAGTCTTTCGTGATGGAAGTGCCCGAGAAGTTGCGAGGACAAAAGTCGGAATTGGGGACACGATACGCCTCGCCCTGGTTGGATGTGAATGGGAAGAGACCGGAGAGACTGTATCAACACCGGGAAAGAAGATAGACTGGGACTTGGAATTCAAGAGCCGGGTCATCATCCAGGTCTCGCGCGACGATGCGGTGATCGCTAGCCTGAACTACACGGCACCTGAAGACGATATACCTACCACTAATGGACCGCTGGAAATTCTCAGCACCCTCCGAGATATACGGCCTCAGTTGAACGGTACTCTAGACCATGAACCAAGTACTATCCACGTTCCCTTCGTCACACCTTCAAAGTCGGCCACGAAATTCCACGGCACGACTTTCTTTGATGCCTCGCTAGACCCTTTCACGGAAGACGATGGGTATGGTCAAGGCCGAGGGCGTAAACGCACAAAGTTTGCCAGACATAGCGGAGCATGGAATCTGGTCAACTCAGAAGACGAAGAAACTCCTGTTCGGACACCACAGCAACCTGCAACCACCGTAGCGCTCGTTCAAACTCCGAGCCGTGAACAAGATAACCTGGCCTCAAGCCCGCTGGGAGACGCGTCTGTGGACGGAAATTCACCTCGAGAACAGCGCCGGATTCAAGAAGAAGGCCATGCTACCAGTCAAGAATATGCTCAAGAACATCGCGCTAAAGAGGACCTCCTTCATCAGGTTGAAGCGAATTCCTTTGTTCGCCAGCAAACCACCGCTGGAACTAAACACCGCAATCAATTGCAGGGTAATGTAGACAGTGGATACATTGCAGAGCAGCCGTCTGCTCAGGAGGAACAACTTGCGCACAACATTGTCGGCGAAACTGCGAACAACGACCAGCCTGCTCAGCCAACAGAGCAACTCTTGTCACAATCAGTCGTCATGGGTCCTCCGCAGACGCCAATGAGAATTTCCCATCTCCCTACACCAGAAGAATTTGCTGTCGGCAGCTCTAGCGGTGCAGCTTCTGACGCCACGAGTACACCCCGTCTTCATCCTCTGGCATCTCCAGGACTCCCTCTCGTATCACCCCTAGTTCGAAGGCATGGCGTGGCGACTGGCTATTTCCCTCCTTTCCAAGAAGGTCTTTCTCAGCTGGACGCAACAAGAGTTGTAGCAGCTGATGAGGAAGCCAATCAGCAAGGTGAGGCTCTGGTTGGGATCCAGGACGCACCCATTGGTCATAGTAGGACATATGATATGAACCAGGAAGCATCAAAGTTCCATGATGAATTGGACACATCGCTTGACGCTGTTGAGGAACCTTTCAACCAGAGACCGGCATTGGCCAGTGCAAGCCCGCATCCACCGATTGAGCCTCATCTCCAGTCCCCATCAACCAATCAAGATTTTGAGGCACCGACAGCGGCTAGCCATAATTTGAATGAGGCATTGCAGAATAAACACCCCGAAATCACGGCAACCGAACAGTGGTTATCCAGCGCGGAGCTGACGATTGCCCATGAGCTTTTGAAGCCTGACAACGAGTCCCAGAATCTCCGTGCTAGGCATCAGGCTGCTGAGATCATCGAGATAGAAGATGACGATCTTTACGGAGCACCACCTGATATTGCAAAGAAGCCTGCGCCTCCCTCACGGGAGTTAACCTCGCCTAGCCAGCAGAAGAGTCCTTCGGATGTGGTCGAGCAATTTTTTCAGATGTCGCCCGTGGCTGCAGCGACTGGCCAAGGGCCGGAGACTTTGGAAGGATCCGCCTCCAGAAGAGCTCCAGAGGAGATGACGGAGGTGGACCTGGGTATCAGTACTGTCAATTATCGCTCGCCTAGTATCTACGATGGAGATTCATTTCCTCCTGAGCAGCAGTGGGAGCGACCAAAGAGCTCTCACTACATCAATCGTGGATCCCCAACAAGCCACACTCCTGCTGTTTCTTCCTTGGATGGCAATGTTGATGAGTCGGAAGGGTCTGCTCTTGCTCAAGGGCGTATTGCTGATGTCTCGGAGGCTCTAACGTGGATGTTGGACCATTCCCCGGGCATGAATCAACCTGCAGGTGCGGACATTGACATGGCTGACGAATCTAGAGACCCATCTCTACAGCAAACGTCGAAAGCAACCGCACATGAGGTAGTTGAGATCATCATGGAAAAGGCTGATGAAACTGGTATTCAAGAAGCAGAAGACGTTGCTATCGGAGGTGAACTGCCCAGTGTTCCACAAAAGCCAGACGTAGTAACCCACCCTGCGACCATCGGAGTTGTGGAGCTGGATCACTCTCTTGTTGAAATGCCTCAGGTCATCATAGAGGAGAGCCAGGAGATACTTGGCAGCCTGCGAGAAGAGCGCTTCGGCAAAGATGAAGCCAGTGGTGATCAAGAAGCAGAGGAAATCACCATCATTGAGGAGCGCCAGGTCTTCATCTCGCAGGAAGGGGACGTTCCAGACAACTCTTTGGCTCCGACTTCCGGCCTCGAAGCTGGTGGACAATTACTAAGTCCAGATCAGACCCAGCTTGACCACCCCTTTGTTGATCGTAATGGCGAAATGATGTCTCCTCAATGGCATCCTTCCATCGCGCATGGGCTACCAACGCCTGTTCAGACGCAGGAAGAGCCTATAGCTTCATCCATCGAGGAAACAACTAGGAGCCAGCCAGACGAAGTCGCAGCTCCTGTAATCCGACCTCAGCCCCAAGCTGAAACTCCTGCACCACGCCGCATCTCTCAACGACTATCAGTCCGGCGCCCCATCATGCCGAGCGATATTTCCAGTCCATACTTTACGCCTCGCCGGCCTTCGCGAGAACCATCGTCCTCCCCTATGAGAAAGGAATATCTTAAGCCTTTTGTGCCATCCGTCAGCAGCCCGTCATCACCTCCAGTACATGGGCGCGAGGCTTCAGCTGAAGCACAGGAACCATTTGCTCAGATCAATGGTGAGAAGAAAATGATAATACAGAATCACCAGGAAGTACAAGCTTTCGCGCCGCGAGCTATGGGCACCACGACACCTCTTGCATACTATCCATACCTCACATCCCTTCACGAGCACTTCAGTCAATTGGTCGACATCATTGCCGTGTGTATTCAGGACTGTCCACAACCAGAACGTGCAAAGTCGGGGCCCAAAGACTACCACACAACACTGAGGCTAGTAGACTCATCCTGCCAGTCTGACGCAGTCACCGTCCAAATCTTTCGACCCGTCAAGACAGCGCTACCCACTCCTCGACGCGGCGATGCGCTTCTTCTTCGAAATTTCAAAGTTCAGACTCTGAACAGAAAGTTCATGCTTTTGAGCACGGAATCATCCTCCTGGGCGATCTTTCAAGCAAGCCATGATGGGAAGTCTCGTTGGACTGATGTTCTTACCCCTGGCCCTCCCGTGGAGTATGGTCCTCACGAAGAGCAATATGCCAGCTCGCTACTTTCATGGTGGGAAGAAGATGGCAACAATCGTTTCGAATCCTCGAACCAAGATATGACCAAGACAAACATGTCGAATGGAGTCAAGGTATCCCGTCAGTCACCCAACAAGCCCTTGCCAGCTAGCCGGCGAAGAGGCAATCGGGCCGACAACTTTGGCAATGAGGGTGACGTTACCGAAGACGCCGAAGGAGAAGTTCATGAAAGCATTCCGTCGACTGATACGACCGATCACGACCCCAACGGATCGACCACTTCGATTGCGCCTTCAAGTCCTACGGCTGCCATGACCGAACCCACACCGCGACGAAGTGTCCGACTCAGACAGTCTGCGAGTCCAGCGAAGGAATTGAAGAATGGCTCGCAAGATGCCCCTGATCATGGTGGCGATGATCATGAAGCCAATGGGACTTCTGGAAACTGGTCAAAGGAAAGCAATCGTCGTAGACAATCTACGATCTCGATTGTGCCTTCGAGTCCCGATATGGCGATGAAAGAAGCCACGCCACAACGAACTTCGCGGCCTAGAAGATCTGCCACTCCGATGCAGGATGTCAGCTTCAGCGGCAACGACGAAGCGGGTACAAGCCCGGAGAACCTGAGAAATGGTCGCAGAGGGTCAACCGTTTCAATCGCCTCTTCAACACCTAAGCCTGGGACAAAGGAAGCGGGGCGTCGGCGCAGTGGGAGACATAGGAAATCACCTAGCTTGGTCCATGAGTTGCGAGATGGGACAAAGTACGTGGATGACGGACAGCCTCGAAGGGCCAGTGTTGTGCACGAGTTGAGAGATGGGGCCACATATGTTGATGAGTGATTGAAGTGCCGGGCTATGGGCAGCGTGATCAGCTGGATGTGTAGAGCTTTTCTTGTCGAGAGGGAGAGAGGCCTGACACGTACGGCGGGTGTGCATGTTTGCAAAAGGCGTGGTCCAGGCAAGGCCGAGGGCTCGATTATGCTGCAACCCTTGGACTGGAATGGGCGGGATTGGATTGCGTAGCACAGCAAAGATATCAGAGATATCGTCGGCCTCTCGTGAAAACTGGCACATAGAGCCGGCCAGGTAAATACATAATGTTCAATTGTACGATACCCACATTGATCGATACCGTGTTGGCGCAAACAGATCCTGTGCAGTCTTGTGGCTGCACTTGTTCTTCTGCTCTTTCCCGCAATTCAACCTTGACTTTGGAAATAATCTGACGGTCACAAGTGCAGCACAGGATGTGTGATGCGTGCAGCTTGCAAGGTCACCGGGAAGGAAAATGAAAACAACGATACGGAATGTATGCTCCGCGATGCGCGGCGTAGGCTTGAACGGTCAAGTATTCGAATTTATGTACATCTTATGGGATACTTCTCACATAAACACCAAAGCCAGAGCAGCCACAGTCGCCAAACCGATCGTGGTCCATCCTGTCACAATGACCTGCTTGTTCGTCATGGCCGCACCAGTATCCCAGACCAGATGTCTAATACCGTTCAAGCCGTGGTAAGTAAATGGGTATGCCGCGAGCGTCTTGAAGAGGATCTTTGCGAAGATGGGCAAGCTGGCGAAACTAGCGGCGAGGGTTGCGCTCTCCAAATGCCAGCCGAACAGAGGTGCGACGAGGTATGCGGCGCCAAAGGCGTAGATCCCGACAGAGAGCGTGGCGCCTGTGATACGGTGGAACATCGACATGTACCATGTTATTTGTGGCCGGTAGATGGATAGATGAGGAGAGACGGGACGGTGGCGGCGCTGTTCGGCGAGGATCTCGGAGCCGGCGGATTGCGAGATGGGAGTTGTTGCTGCTTGTCTGGACGATGTTAGTCTCATCTCAAGGGAGGCTGCTGGGTTCGAGAGCAGAGAACAGCTGAGTAGAGAAACAAACAGAGAAAGGTTGAAGGAGCGTGCTATTATTGTAGAATCGTGACGCGACACAGATGACTTGAGGTGGACATTTGCGGGCTGCCGGCTGAGAGGAGGGAATAGTGTTGACTGCAATTGCATTTCACCCATAGCCTTCTCTTTTGCTTATTGGGTTTTGACCACCTAATGGTCAAATCTTGCTTCTCCATCGTCTTTGTTCGTGTAGTGCGATCCATCGGACAGGTTTGGAAGTTGGGCCTTTGCAGTAGACTGGCAGCGGAACGGAGGGGATGCGGGTAGCTTGGATAAAACAACCGTTGACAACACTGTCTTGTCCAGGGAGCTGTCTCACCTATATTGGAGATGTTGACCCATCGCTATGGCTGCCGGAGCAGATAATCTTGACAGAGGAGTCTTGCTGAAGGTGGAGGGGTTCGCGACGGCCACTGCTTGTAGGTCAGTCCACCAAGTCTGTAGGGACAACAAGAGAGTGCTTACATCGCCGCGTGGTTGCCTGCAGCACTCGGCGGGAGAACATGTTGGCGGACATGGCTGCTTTGGAGGAGAGACTGGGACGACCGTTCTATCTCAATCGACAGCGACGTGAAGCTTCATGATGTCGAACTGCTTCGGATGTCGATCGGCAAGTTTGGGCTTGGCAACGACAACGTGACCAGGATTATTATGTCCTTGCGCTGATTGGTTCGCTGCGGGAAGGGAGGAACATCCTCAAAGAGCTTGGAGGGAGATGCGCAAAAGTTGGCTTCCTATTGCTTTTTTTAACCTTATCAATAGATGGTGTCCATGCAATACTCCCACCGGTCTGGAAGCCGCCACCAGAGAGCAGAAAGGGGAAACAGAGTATGACCGAACACTAGGAACAAGCTCTTCACGTACGAGATATCGGATGTGACTACTGATGTTTAGTCTCCGGATTCAGGAGCCGAAAAAGAGGCAGATCCGTTGGACGAGGTCTCCTGTGTGCCGACTGAGAAGGGGGCGAAGCGATAAAGCCTATTGCTGAGCAGGGTAAAGCGCAAGCTCCTTGCGAGGAAAATCAGAATTGACGGCGACGGAAGTGGACAACGACCTCTCAATGAACATGAAAAGCAGAAGAGAAGACGCAGATGAACAGAAGGAGAAGACAAGAGAGCTTGATGAGCTCGATAAAATATCCTTCCACCCTTGTGACTATCGAGGCTACAACATTATTATCAAGGCTGCGTCAAAACGTAGTCCGTAAGTAAATTCGATATCGCGCTCTAGACAAGATGTTGGGCGTAAAATGCGAATCGACGTGGAGGAGTCCGCAATCAGTCAAGCACAATCGATCATATCAAAAGCCCTTCCACTTCCAGCATCACCATTCCTACAGACTGCGTTGAAGACGTAGTCTGTAATGAATCCCGGACTGCCGGCTACACAATATTGACTGTCGTTACTGATCGATCATGCACAAATCCAGGAATGTTCTCACAGGTTAACTCAAACAGAATTCTTTGGTTGCTCCTGTGCACTACGATGCTAGACACGGACAGCTGTACACGGTTAGTGATCAAAGAAATGTGCAGTATGAGGACCTTTCCAAACACACATCAGAGAATTCTGCCCATGGCGGCCTCCAGAAACTTGTGACCGATGCCGCAGCCTCGTTAATTACTCTGTCTACGCTGCACATTCACGATCCCACACAACCATCAGCATCACAATCCTTTTCCTTGGGCCAATTCCGTTATCGTCCGCATCCCTTACCATGTCTATGTCGTGATCATGTCGTTCATAATGTTGAAGTATGCCAGGCCCGACTCCTGTATCTGTTCACCCGCTGCCACACCCTTCGTGCGATCCCTCTGCCCGATACATGGAGTCCCTGTGAATACGGGTAGGAAGAGGAAGGGAAATGACAGGGTAGAAGAGGAGGAAGATTCAGACTATCGACCTGGAAGGAGACGTCGCGGCACCTTGGACAAGAAGAAAACGACACCAATGAGACCCGCTAGCCATGCGTTCAGCAAGAAGACGGTTGACGCGACATCATCTCCTCTCACTAGTAACGACAAGAAGACGCCGAGCAAACCTCCTCCACAAATCAATAGCACCAGACCGACATCCGCGACATCACACCCCCTCACCGACGACAACGTGTCAACCATCGCGACATCATCCTCCGTCCTTGTGCCCGCGCGCTCAACCGAGGAGGCTTTGGCATATTTCCAGAATGCCTCGAAAATCAATAGTGGTGGTCAAGAAATCAGCAGCAGCTGGATTCCATCGAAGTTTTACACCGATACACTAGCACGCCTCAAGGATGAAGATTGGATGAAATTCGACTTGCTTGGAGAGAATTGGAAAGAATTTCGCACCAGACTCTATCGCTACCTCCTCGTACCACCATCGAAGTCCGTTACCTTTGCCGCCCCAACATCGACACTTCGACGGAGCAGCGATCACAATATTCATACCTCAATTCTGCGCGCGAACCGGCAGGTTTACCGCGAAGCGAGCAGGATTCTGTATGGCGAGAACAAATTCATTGCAGCTGAGCCTTTCCATCTCTTCCAACCGAACGGACTAGAGGCCTTGCGACGGCGGACAACAACCCTGATTCGAGAGCTATCTTTCGAAAACAAGGGAGATGCAGCCCAGCTGTGCCTAGAAAACATCGAGACCATACTGCAACCGATCTGGAAGATGATGCTCGAACAACCTGCGTTTTTGAGTCTCAAGAAACTCAGCATCCGCCGTGAAGTCATCCGAGAAGCGGATCTGAACTTCTTCGCGTTCCAGAGCTATCTGGACACGCATGGCGGTGGCAGTCTCGATGCTCGCTCATTGTTCAACAAGCGAGACCTTGTCGTACGCACCATGGCAAAGCTGGCTTCCCTTGCTGCGATGAGAGACTCGGAATTCAAAGACATGTACATCGTCGAAGCGGACGGGAAAGAGGTGGTATTCCCAGGCTTTCTCGGAGTGAGCAATGTGATTGAAGTTTGTCTTACCCGAGACCAGGACCATGGTATCACCGGAGAGAGGCTGGATCTGCATCGAGAAGTCATTGATGTGCTGTTCCACGAGAGAGAGGTCGGGTTATTGGGAGCTAATGATGCATATGAAAGGTATCTCGATAGGTATCGAGACCAATTTACTTGAGCGCGGCAGAGACCGCACGCTTGGGCGCGGAGAAAGATTGGAAACTGAAAGGGCAGAGCTGTCATCCAACAACGGAAGAGAATGTTATAAGTCAAAGAGATATGTGAGAAGTCATAATAGCCCCAACGAAATGAAATCCCATGAAAATTGCAGGTGAATATTCCCCCGAGCTTCCAAGCAGAAATATTTCAACGGAGTAGTCCACGGTTGAAGACGGATATCTACGGCATTAGTCGTCTCGTCGTTTTCGAGTGATACAACCTTGCAAAATTCTCGACTACAGATTGGCGAGAAAAGCATGTCACTCTTAATCACAAGAGAAAAAACAAAGTCTTACGTTGCGCTGAAAGCAGGGTTCCGACGAACCGTGACGGCGATTGTGTGGCGGCGAAAGGCGCATTTTCGTACATGAGCAAGCGGTGTTTGTTACAGGGCGCGCTGAGGTCAGGGTTGATACCGGTGATCCCCTTCGGACCTCAATCCTACATCCACAGGGCGTACATCTGTACAGGCATGGTCAGACTCACTTTTTGCCTCTGTGTCCTTTCATGAGAATCATGCCGGGGTAGATATACCATTCTCGCTTGCTGGATGGCATCGCAGGCTGCCAATCTGAAAAAGCTTCGCTTCGTTCGGAAAAAGTCTTATCAAGAACACAACTCATTATGCTCGCCCAACCAGCCGTCGCCGTGGCTGTCGCGCCGCACGAGTACTCGTTCAACGCGCACATCTCTTCTCCTAGAGCTGTTCAATCATTACCAACACTAGAAAAGCCAGGCACAAACACCAAAGCATTTACAATTAGAGCAGCAACGATAGACGATGCTGAATTTATAGCAAACCTCGGCGCCACCGTCTTCTCGACCACGTTTGGCTTTTCAATACCTACGGCCGATCTGAAAGCATATCTGGGAGAAGCGTATACCGTGTCCGCCATAGAAAACGACATTCGCTCATCTTCCACACATATCATCGTTGCGTGTGCCGAATCAGATGGCCGTGTGATTGGCTTTGCGCAATTGACTGAAGGCACCACCGAGCCTTGTATAGACGATCTGGAGGGGGTTGTCGAGCTGCAGAGATTATATGTTGAAGCGGATTTTCATGGCTCAGGTGTTGGAAGAGCCTTGACCACACAGAGCGAGGATATGGCAAGGAAGCTGGGGTATCGAATTGTGTGGTTAGGCGTGTGGGAGGGCAACTTCAAGGCTCAGCGGGTGTATGAGGCTATGGGATTTACGCGCGTTGGAGACCATGAGTTCAAGATGGGCAAGTGTATTCAGACGGATTGGATTATGGTCAAGGACTTATGAGTGTCTGCTACCTGATCATTTCTTCTCCTCGGTGTTCGTGGCGCGTTGGAAGAGGAAGATTGATGTATCGGCGGATCAATTTACATAGCTTTGACATGGAAATCATCCCAGTCTCAAGAAGGATGTCTGAGTATTTTGCAGACAATTCCTTGCTCAGCTGCAACAAGACATGGAAAATGTGAAATGTGACCTTAGATATGAAACCCTTGCAATTCATTGACAGAAGGACATGGGCGATTAACGACAGGTCTGGTATGTCCTCTAGGACTCCGTATCACAACCAGGCGCAACTTTCAGGATGAAAGCTGCAAAGTTGATACCACTTCGCATGAAATTGAGGTTGCTGCGAGTGTGAGCTGCCAGGCCGAAGTCCATAGTAAAAGGAAGAAAGGAGAGTTGAAAGATCTGCTTGTGAAGAATCGAAAATCCAGAACCACCCGAGTCAGAGCTTGGCAACTAACAGAGAGTAGCGACTCACCCAGGCCGTGCCGCTTTTAAAACCACTCGCCCTCCCTCTCACCTTCACACTCACCCTTCATCCTGAACTTCTCCACCGCGTACAGCTCAATTGTCTCGGGCACAAGGGTCGGTTGGGCCAATTTCCTTGGACTTCAAGGCGCCAGATCGTCGCCAATGAGAAGCGCACTTGCGAAATGGCCATAGATGTCCTAAACCCTGTTGGTGTTCTCAGGTGCCCAAAATTCTGAGCGTCTCAAAACCGTCAAGGGTGCCCGCGCCTCCGCCCGTGGTGATCCGATGCTGCAAATCAATTTCATTAGCTGGGTAGGCGCAGGACTTGGGGTGGCCTGCATGCAGGCGTGCCTGCGACCACTCCCAAGCAGACACTGAGACACTAGCCGTCTCAACCTGTTGCCACAAAAGTAGCTGACGGGATGTGCACAAGTACTAGTATTGCCCAACTGGGAACGATGGTGATTTGCTTAGTTCTGGCTAGGCTCGGCTGCACTGCTGTGACTGCTGTAACGGCTAACCAAGCACGCCAAGTCGTCCTGAGGTTCTGGGTGCCTGATCTGACACAGCCTGATCTACTTTCGCTGATCGACCAATCTTCTTCCAGCCACCTACCAAAGAATCCCAGTGAAAGCTTCAAACCCATCATTTGGGATGCGCACCCATGGACGACGACACTGATTCCCAAAGCCTGCTTCAATCCGTGCTTGGATTCTTCGCTCGAAGGCAACCGCAAAGGTCGGCAAAGCCGGCGTCACTGAGATCACGGAAACGCGAGGCCTGGCTACGGACGGATGCATTTCTGCAGCGCGATGATCTTGGCGAAGCTGACCCAGAGAGCGTTGCAAAGACACTGCGCGTATTTGAAAACCTTGTTCAAGACGACTCTGATCGAGAGATAGATTTCGTAGGTATTCTTGATATACAGCAAACTCCAGTCTTTCGGTCTGTTGGCCTCTCACTTCCTGCCTACTAACGACAGTTCGCGGAGCAGAGCTTCCAACAACCCCAACAACCCAGACATGAGCAGTATCCGAAGCTTCGCCGCATGATCGAGAATCCGAATCGCGAACCGCATCCCGACCCAGGCACTGTCATTCGCTTTAGTAAACGGCGACGAGAATGCGATGACGCCATTCAGGAACTTTTGCATTTGGAACAGGAGAGAAAGAAGCGCCGAGTTCTGCCTCGTGAAGAGCAAACTCATGGGTCCAACCTCGAAGACCCCGATGCCGATTTCGCCGTGCTGATGAGGAGATATTTGGTGTCCTTGGACAATGCGTTGCGAAGACACTGGGTTTGCGTTTGCCAGAAGTGCTCAGGGTTGAGCGTGAGACTGTCGCTGCCACAACACAAAAAGGATCTCGAGGCTGAGGCGAGTTTCGAAGTATTCTTTGGGGTGCGGTCCGTACCTGCAACTGCTTTGCAAGAAGCTAAAATCACGGTCAAGTAAGCTCTCGAAGCTTGGTGTGATGACTTCTATTCACTAACACTGCCGGTGCAGAGACCTACACAACAGCACATTGAGGCGCTCATCTGAGCCTATAGTTAGCAGCCCACCCGACTTTGCCCACATATGCCAAAGCATCACAGAATCCCTCGGTCAGCGAAATTGCTTGCATTTAGCTCTCGAGGATGGGATATTTCAGAGGCTTCGCCCGCAACCAAAGACATTTGGTAGTGATCGAATGTCTCGCACGGTATCCTTGTCGGTACTGTTCAATCGCCAGCAAGAATTACTTCGTGGTGAATCGGTACTACCACTCAAGGGGAAGCGAGTCTTGGCTGTTACACTGGCTTCAGCACTCCTTCCCTTCTTGGAGACACCGTGGCTACAGTTTTCCTTCAATCACTCAATGATCCAGTTTTTTGAGCCACGGCAGGATGGAGAACTCCCCAACATCACGAAACCTTTCCTGGCTCTGGAGCACGTTCCAACCATCTCAGCCCGCAGTACAGACATCGGAGACAGCTCTGGCCTCTCGAAACACATGGTTCATCCCAACGCCAGTGTGCTAGCCCTAGGCATACTCTTGTGCGAGCTTCACTATTGCACACCCGTGGAGCTGATGGCAAAGGACCCGCACGTCGCCAGGAACGTCAATGATGATTTTTATACCTGTCTCGATAAGCTTCAGACTCTGGAAGACGACGCTGGCGTGGATTACTATCTCGCTACGAAGGCATGCCTTACTGGGGAGTACTATCCCCTTGGACAGCACGCTGACTTCGAGGATGTCAGCGTTCAGCGGCTCTTCTACCAAAACGTCGTCAAACGACTTGAGGCCGTGATATTCAAGGCATGGGGCATTCGAATAGAGAATCTGGGTTCGTTCAGTTCTCGACAGAATGAATCCTGCTGGGGCTCTATCGGTCGAGATGTTGTCCGCCTCCATACAGGCAAGGTCGATTCCTCCAATGCAAACAATACAGTAAGGGCAAGTCCGTATCGTTCAATTTCTGACACCTCGCCCGTGAGCTACGCACCCTTCCACTCAGATATCGTGCTACGGATGTCGGCACAACCTTCTTCCGGATCGCAAGCCCACGGACTCCTCGCCGAGCCTCCAGAGAAGAGCTTGTACTTTTTTGATGCAAGCCACCAGACGGGTCCTGAACAAGAGTGAGGTGTTTCCCACTGGCTATAAGACTTCGTCGTACTAATAACCTGCCAGGAATCCACTCTCGGAAAGATGGATGGACAATCTGCTGTCCTCGATCTATCCCTATGTTGACCCTGTTTTCGACCTTGCCGAACCGGTTCGAATAGCGATTTTGGACTCCGGACTCGATCCTGATAACCCATTCCTGATCGAGGATCAACAACTAGCCAACCCACGAATCAAGGAAGCGCGAAGTTTTGTACATGGAACAGGACCACACGACATTCGAGACGAGATCGGGCACGGCACCCATGCTCTTGGTCTCCTTCTCAAAGTTGCCCCATGCGCTGAGATCTATGTCGCCAGAATTGCGCGACGACAGACGCTGGATTCCAATACCTACGATGACATTGCAAAGGCAAGTGTCTCTATACCAGAGCAGACTTTTTTGACTGAGCTAATGACCTGTGCAGGCCATCGATCACGCAGTTGAACAATGGAAAGTGGACATTATATCAATGTCATTCGGGATTCGTGAATATCACGAGCTAATGAGCACCGCTATATCTAATGCACTGAACAAGCGGACGTTATTGTTCGCGGCAGCATCGAATGATGGAGCAAATCTTGGCAGAGCTTTTCCAGCTCAATATCCCAGCGTCTTTTGTATACACTCAACCGATGGAAATGGCAATCCCTCCAATTTCAACCCTACAGCAAGTGAGACGGACGTCAACTTCAGTCTACTTGGCGAGCATGTCTCTTCACACTGGCCGGCTGGCATGAACGGACACGATCAGACTGTCAACGCTATGTCAGGAACATCGGTCGCAACACCGATCGCCGCTGGCCTGGCGGCGTCGGTCTTGTCCTTTGTCCGGCAGCAGGATCAGCACATCGCTGTAGAAAGTGAAAGGCTGGGACCGTGGCTGAAAAGGGACAATTCCATGGATGCGGTCTTCAAGAGTATGGTCAGACGGAGGCGGGGGGTCGGCTACGACTACATCACACCTCATGTGCTCTTCGATAGCGGTTCGACAAGGGAGGATGTTTACGGGAGAATCAAGGATATCAAAAGGAACATGTACAAATACTAGTCGAAGCCTAGGACTGGTTTACTCAACCTCCAATCACACATGGTTTACTGATGTCTATCTCAGTTGTCGTCCAAGATTCGTTTAGCATGATTAAGCGGGAACGCAATAGACGTTGCCGTTCTCGGTCACATCGGGAACAGCCTCAGCAGTCTTGATATCAGCTCCATCCACGTCCTCAACCAAAACACATTCGTCGTCATCTTCCTTACCGCCAAGGGTCATAAAGGCGCCCTTATTGTACTCTTCAAGCTTCAGTCTCCGCCCAAACTTGAGCCTCTTCACGCGGAACGCAAACACAAATTCCGACTCGCGATTGGTCTCCGTCGCATCGTCATTCGTGCTAGTCCAGTGGCCTTTCGGGCCAAAGGTCGTGCCCAGCGCGGTCACGTTGATGCCGATGTTCCCTTTGACCGTAGTGCTCTGTGAAGTCGAGTATTTGATCTTGGCGCCCTTGACAAGCTTCATGCCCGTGACGACGAAGAGCTCGCTGACGAGTGCAAACTTCTGCCTGGGATCTCTCAGCCATGTCTGCACGGCCGGTGCCTTGACGGCCTCTTCCACGTATTCCTGGGTTGGCTCGAACGCCAGCGTCGTCAGCGTGTCGAACGCGAACGTATTTGCCGTTTTGTTCGAATGCTCAACGTTCAGCTCGGGACCAAGGGGCAGTCCACCGGTAGCCAGCTGCAGGAACTGTGCATAGACACCCAAACCGAGCCCTTTCTCAGTTGAAAAAGTCTTCTTCCAGTCGGTCTCCACGATAGGCGGGAATGCATCAGTCACGGCAACAACGCTCGCTCTGTTCAGAGGGTATTGCGGTGCTGATGTGGAGCGAATTATAGACCCAAGACATAGCGGGCCCGTTGGTGGTGGATATATAAAATCGGATGTCGGACACAGAAAATAAGTCTTGGTAAAGGGCATGGTTTCACGATTCAGGCTCAGATACTGGGCTTTCCTTAGCACCGAGCGCAATGATCGGAGGAGCAGAAGAGGGATGTGTTGAGAGAGGCTCAGTTTCTATCCCATGCGTGGATGAATTGGCTGCATTTTGGCTTGGCACTAAATAGGCATGCCTAACTTGAACCGGAACGTTGTTTCAGGCTTGCCTATTTGCTTGTCTTATAGGCTTGCCTAGGGCGGCTAAGATATGAAGGGTCCTAAGTTAGGCGCCACGTTGGGCGGGCTATCGACTACTTCTAACTAGTTGGGATAGGCATGCCTGTTTCGTGCCAAGCCCAAATGCCGCCAATCCATCCACGCATGGGATAGGCACTGCCCAGGGTGTAAACAATTACCAGGTACTCAAGTGCCCTTTCTTATTATTTCTGTCACACTGCCAGACCGACCAACTTGAAGCTCGCAGGCCAATCAAGTCGTCCATGTTGATCTGGCCAGATACAGCAGCCGAGCCGCTGATAGCGAGCGGTCATCGCGTTTTGTACTTGTATCGCTCCTCATCACCCAATGCACATGCTGTTTGCACATTGTCTGAGTTCATGCGACAGTCTCATAGCCTCAGTCGCGATTTGCTTAGCCACGACCTTTGGAGCGTCCTTTCCATGCAGAGACCAGGATCGGCTTCCAGGATCTCTGCCGCACTCAGAAGGACTCGCGACGGTCCGCACCGCGCCCTCTCAGCATGCAAAGTCTCGAGCGCGCGGGAGACGAGTCTATGGAAGATGTCTTCCTCCAAGATGATCTTAGCCCGACCATCGCAGAGCATGCGACACAATGCCAGTCTCTTTTCCACAAGCACATGGACATGCCGGAAATCGTGCCAGACCCTACTATCATGGACGACCAGCTGGCACGCTTTTCTTTGTGGGCATCAAACATGGATGTTTACGGGCCGCTCAATGTCTCGCTGGACTACAGACTCCGATTCAGTCCCACAGCCGCGGATATCATACATCAGCTCCTGGACATTATTTGCGATACCTTGCTGTCTCGTGAGTACTTTCCGTACACATTCGGATGCATTGGAGGCCAAGGCTAATGGGAGTCTCGACCACAGTGAAGCCAATCGACGATCGACCACCACAAGTTTCGAGCAGGAAGAGACAACGCATTTCAGTACATGGCAATTCGGGAGTCACGAGGAGAGCCGATGACGACGCAAGCGATTCAGAGACCGATGTCGATACAGCAGAAGAGAACATTCTAAAGATCACCGAGACAGTCGGCGGAACATTGACGCGGCTCTTCCGTCTATCCAACGCCGTTCGAAAGTCCGCCAAAGCCAACCGGGCTCGCAAGATCGAAAGGTACAAAGACGACGAAGAGGCAAACAAGGCCATAGACGAAATGCGTCTCTACACCAAATGCTATATTGAGTTCCGATTCCCGAAGGTGCCTGAGGCGCTCCGCTCGGCATTGGTCGAAGCCAACGCGCTGCGACTTCGACGGCTGTATTATCAACGCTCCCATCGAAGGCGCGTTGATCTGAGTATTCAGAGCCCGGAAACGACTCCGGCCGTTGTTAAACTCCCCAAAATGACGGGGAGTGCGCCGGCTGTACGATTTGCGCAGAGCGCGCTGCCAAAGCCTGCAACGACTAACAAAATACCGGCCCCTTCGCCAGTGCCAGCAACGAATGCGACTACTGCTCAACAAACTGCCGTTGCGGCCTTCTACGCCAAATCCACGACTGAGGTTCCCCGGGCTAAATCTGTTCTCGTGAACAACAAGTTGTCGTTCCCTCCCATACCGCCGACGCAGCAGTGTCCATACTGCGGCGTCGTTGTTGAGTTCAAGAACACTGCAAGGTCCTTGCTGTGGCAGTAAGCAGATCATTCCTGTCGTTTCATGGGAACATGTGACTAATATGCACCAGAAATCATGTCATCGGAGACCTGGAGCCTTTTATTTGTGTTTTTTCACACTGCCTGGAAGCAGGTCACCACGGGCATGGGACCGGTCCGCTCACATTCGAAACGTCGAAAGCCTGGTCCAGCCACATGCAGACTGCTCACGGCCATACATGGGAGTGCAGGGCCCCTTCTCACGATCCGATCGTCTTTGACCAAGAGATCCAGTACCAGGAGCATTCCATCAAGGAGCACGGCGTGCCTGAAGCGCACGCCGGGACCCTCAGCAACGCCGCACGGAGGCCAGTCGTCGATAAGGTGCTGGAATGTCCATTTGGCGACGATTTTCAACCCTCGGGAAAGGTTGAATCCAGCGCTGTCTTCTCGAGTGAAGCTCTCCAGTCACACGTCGCCGGTCATATGAAGGAAATTGCTCTGCTTATACTGCAAAAACTTCCCAGCGATGATGAAGAGAACGCGGAGAACGTCAATAGCGACCAACCATTAGAAGATGATGGGCCGGCCGGGGCTTTTGGAATTACACGTGCATCCATGTACAGCGTACTGGACGACGCGGACCTGGATTTCCAAGACGATGACGCTGAGGCTGCAGACGGCAAGGTGAGCCACCGCGAAGAGGACATCAGTGCACGGGTGACAGTACTCGACTTAGAGGACAAAGACGACTTGGGGATGTCGAAGCTTCACCACGCGGTGCAGGCTGGCGATCTGGGCGTGGTTGAGTCCTTGATCCAGAGCGGGGCAAGTGTAAATTTTAGGGACGAAAATGGCCAAACGCCTCTGCATTACGCTGCGGAGAGGGGCTTCATCGAGTGCATGGAAGTCTTGGTCATGCACGGTGCGGATTTACATATCGTTGACAACTATGGATTTTCCCCGTTTCTCTGGGCTGTGGTTGCCGGGCAAGAAGGCGCCACTAAGGGACTGTTGTTCATGGACGCTGATGCCAATTCATACAGCGCGGATGGAAAGTCTGCGCTCGCTTGGGCAGCCAGTCTGGGATGGTCTTCGACTGCTAAAATGCTTGTTGAACACCGTGCCAGCATATCTAATAACCGAAATACGCAGCAGACTCTGCCTTTGGAAGAAGCGGCAGCTTCTGGCAACCTTCCCACTGTTCGATTACTCCTCGAATGTGGTGAGGATCCGAACCATCGTGATCGCGATGGTTGGTCCGCGATACATTGGGCAGCAGAGGAGGGCCATCTGGAGATTGTGCGTTTGTTGCTGAACGCTGGGGCCAACCCCAGGGCCGTCAGCTCTTACGGTACGTCAGCATTGCACTGCGCTGCAAATGGAGGGCATGTTTCCATTGTGAGCTTGCTCCTCCTACAGCGAGCCGATCCACTCAAGTCAACATGCCACGGCTGGACTGCACTACACCACGCCGCCTTCATGGGACACTCCTATGTCGTCCAGCGCCTCTTAGAAGACGACCGCATACGATCCACTGCCTCTCAGCAGGACAACCACGGCTGGTCCGTTCTTCATTTGGCCATCCACAGTCGAGATCTAGCCACCGTCCGTATCCTGCTCGACAACTCTGTCATTGCAGAGCCTCAGACCTTATTCGACGAAAGCGGCCTCACTGCAGAAGAATGGCTGGATCGCGGACCGACAAGCCATTCCCAGAAAGCCACCGGCAACTTAGCGTTCAGCAAGTCGCGCTGTTGCCGGGCAGTCACAAGCCTTCGCCAAGCTGTTACCGTAGGTAACGTCCCCATGATCAAACTTCTGTGCAGATTGGGTCACGACATCAATGGCATGGACTCTGGAAGGAGGACTGCTCTCTACTACGCCGCGAAGAAGCGCATGCTTTCCATCATGGATCTGCTTCTTGACCTGGGTGCGGATCCCAACATTCTCGCCGCGGGACGGAAGAACTGGGAAGAATTCATTTCGCCTGGTGATGTTTTACTGCGGCTCAACCGAGCAGGATACTGCAAGCGAGATACCGACCATGAGGTGGAGCGCCAGATTCGTCAGGCACTCAGAGTGCAGAGTCAGCCGTCTGTGCCGGATCAACCAGCCTGGTTCGTATCGGACGAGTCGACTTTATCAATGCCGGACCAACCGTCTTCATCTGTTCCAGCTTCGTCAATGCCACCTTCTCCAGATCATGCAGCTTCAAGTAAACCGACACGCTCGCCGGCGCCTACATACCAAACAAATGACAACAAGCGCAAGGCAAGGTCAGGCCGGACGGATTGGTGGAAACGGCTCATAGGTGGAAGATAGCTACCTCGGTCCCTAAAGGCGAGAGCGAGGAGCGACAGAATAGCTGTGGGTTGTATTGGCCTCGAGCCTTGACAACTAGGTTGGGGATGTAACATGACTCATGTCCAACTAGTGCAGCGGCTTCGATTCAGCAGATTCGAAACTTGCGGGTAGGGAGACCTCTGAGCAGAGAAAAAAAGGAAACCAATTCTTCTGGCGCTCATGTCTGTAAATGAAGGGTCAAACGTACATTTAGACGCTTCCCTGTAAATGAACGTCCTTCGACTGGGAGCTTTTTTAAAATTAATCCCAAATGCAACACATAAAGCACAATTATGAACACAGGCTCAAATTTTCCTCGCGACTTAGCTCTGCCACTTCTCAGGCAGGAGTATTGCGAAAATACCTTATGAACCTAGGATGCGATTCATCATATATCCGACTCCCGGCAAGGACTGCAGATGCTGTTCCACTCTTTGTCTCGGTGCGCCCCTAGGTAATGTCAAACCATACCGCTTCCCAATGATCAGGCACTCCACAAAAGTCTTGCAAGCCCGCTTCTGCAGCGATCCCGGAGGTTCCTTCGCTATCAACGCCCCTATTTCCTCCGGGATGGCCTCACCAATCAGCCACCGGTGAGGGGTGACATTCTGCTCGCAGAGAATCAAGCATGCTGCCGAGGGTACGTTGAGAAAGCGGTCCTGTCCCTTCTCATGAGCCTGCTGGGCGAACTGGAAAATACTGGTCAGAAAGAGACGTAATCTGGCAGAGTCGCGACTTTCGCTGATGACGAACAGCTCATTGGCGCACGCCTGATTCGCATCGCCGAACAATTCAACCTCGTGACTGCTGCCGATGTATTCTTCGAAGAACTCCGCGACGACCCGGGAGAAATAGTCGATCGGCCCTGGTTCCTGTTTGTCGATCATGGCGA